TTTGAAATTTATTTTTCTATTAAACATTTTGACGTCTGGGCGTTTCGAAAATTTTTATTTTTGGACGTTTTACACTTTTTTGGTCATTTTAAGGAGACTTTTCATCTCCAGACTCTAATGTCCCCTTTAATGTATCTTTTCTCTTCTCTTCAATTTTTCGTTGCTGACAGCCGTTCCGCCACTCCTTGTTGTTGCCTTTATTTCCCTTCTCTCTTATTTTAATCTTTTTGGGATCATTTTTTAGTGACTGGCGCGGAGACCACCCAAACAACACACATTGGTGGTTGTGTGTCGACACCGCCCACCCAGAAAAGTGGAGAGAGGGAAAGGGAGAAAAAAGACAGCCGGACATTTTTATTTAAATAAAGGACCACCCAGTTCGCAACAAACAGACTTTATTTTTTTTAAATAAAAATGTCTCTTTCGTTGTTTTGTTGCCTCTCTGTCCGTGCTGGGTGATGCCGACTGGGAGAAAAATGAAGGGAGGATAATGAAAAATTGAGGAGAAGAAAATAATAAAAATAAGTAAAAAATAAAATAATTTTTTTTGAGAAAATATATAGGGTAAAAAATAAATAAAAAAAAATTAAAAATTGTATAGAATGTAAAAATATATATGGAGTAAAATAAAAATAAGTTTAACAGTGAATTAGAGTAAATAAAACTTAGAATATTATTAAACTTGAATTTATAAACTTGAAACATTTTTAATTAAACTTGAATAAGGGAGAGAGTCCAACTTGAATAAAAATACAAAATTAAACTTGAGCTAAAACATGAGATTACAAACTTGAAACATTTTAATAAAATTGATTTGTAAATCTATAAACTTAAATTTGTAAACTTAAAACTTGAATGAAAGAGGGAGAAGCAACTTGAATAAAAACAAGTTTTAAACATATTAAACTTGAAGCTAAACTTGACTTTACACACTTGAAACATTTTTAATAAAACTTGAATAAGGGAGAGTCAAACTTGAATAATTACAAACTTAAACTTGAATCTACAAACTTGAAAATTTATTTTTTAAATTAATAAAACTTGAAATAATTAAACTTGGAAGAGAAAGAGTATATGTTTTGGAGATACCAACAGAGTATTTTCTTTAAAAAATAATTAAACTTTAAAGTTTAACATAAACATTTGCACTTTACACGATCTTTGCTTCAATATAAAATAAAATTAAAAATAAGCAAATCGTTCCATCTTATTTTTTTGATTTTTCCCCTTTATGTCCTTTATTTATATAATAAATTACCACCCCTAAATTAACAAAATAAATTGCTAATTTTCTCTTTTTGTCACAGTGCAGAAAGTAAAAAAGATACATTACTAAAAATATAAATTGCAAATTAAATTGTATAAACAGAAAAAATGTGAAAAGACCAAGAAACAAAAAATATTAAATAAATGAGGAAGTTGCGTTTATTAGAAAATTGCAAACTTTGTTTTAATAGAAGAAAATGTTTTTAAGATTAAACTTGATGTTTATAGTTTAAAAACTTCAAGGTTTAGTTGCAAGTTTTAATTTTATAGTTTTTAAGTTCAAACTTGAACTTCAAACTTGTCAAGTTTTAAAATTCCGCCTGTTTAAGAAGCAGGCGTTAAAACTTATTTAAAATGTATTTTCAAAAAAATACAAAACTTTAAAACACAAAACTTGAATAAAACATAAAACACATTTTTGTATTTTTAAAACACGCAAAAAGTTTTAAAGTTTTAACAAAATCAAAATACACACCTTTTTTATTTAAATAATCCGCCTGCTTCAAATAAAATAGGTTTATTTAAAAAGTGTCACCATTTAAATTCAACCTGTTGCAAGCGAAGGAAAAAAATAAAACAACTTAACTAACTAAAATAAAAAAAAGGTTAACACAACAATGCTTCAAAATTTCATAAAAATGTTTATAAGGTAAAAGCAAACAATTTTTAACGATAAAAAGCCTAATAAAAACTAAGAGGAGAGAAACACAACGGAATTTTTTTTTGCACAAATATAAGAAAAAAAGTGAAAAGTGCAAATTTTTTGGGAGAAAAAAGCGCAACTTTTGCTCTTTTTTCTCTTCTTCTTCTTCTCTAAATTCTTCTCCTTAAGAAAAAAAATTATTTTTACAATAAAAAAAAAATATTTTTTTATTGTAAAAATTTTTTTCTCCTCTTCTCTCGTATCACAACGACCTTTAACTAATAAATATTTTTATATATTTACTTGAACGGGTAGAAAAAAAAAGAAAAGAATTGTTGTTGCTGATAATCGATTTAATAAGAAAAATCAGAAAAAAAAGTTTTAAAATTTAAATTTGTGCTTTTGCATTTATTAAAATGTGTTTTTGTATTTTATTTTAAATAAATCCGCCTGTTTCAAGAAAAACTTGAAGCAGGCGTATTTTTTAAGAATAATTTAATAAAATCAGCCTGCTTCAATTAAAAAAAGTTTTCAAGTTTAAACTTAAAAACATGTTATTTAATTCTTATTTCTTTAAACAAGCAAAACTTTAATTAAAATGAAATATTCACCTGTCTAAAAAGAAAATAATAATTTTTTTAATGCCACACGCATAACTAAAAATTATTTAGTTTTTTTTTAAATTAAAATAACAACCTTTAATTATTAAAAAAATTTCGTATTTAATTTTCTAACTATTTTTTAATTTTTTTTTAAGAAAAATAGCTGGCCAACACGCAAACTTATTATTATTATTATTTAACTCAGTCGACCGTGAAAAAATTTTTTTAAGGTATATAATATTCAAAGAATTGAATTTATAATTTTAAAAAATTCTTAACATTATTACAGTAATACTACTAACAAAAAACTTTTTTTTTCAAGTTTTTTTTTAATTATTATTTTCTAATTAATTATTACCTTTTATTTATTCAACAAACACCAACCAACCAACCTCTTCCCACTCTCCCATAATTCTCTAAGCAACAACAAAACAAAAATAACCAAAAAAAATTTTTATTAATAATATACACTACCTAATATTTAAATAAAATGGAGGTTGTACTCTACGCTTAGAGAGCTCATTCCAAGAATTAAACAAAAAAAAATGCCACAAAGCCAGAGATTTTTTATTTCCCCCAATTTTTTTTGTTCATACTAGTAGCGCAAAACAAAAAGAATAGGGAAAAACTCAGAATGGTTGGCAAAACTATATCAAAGAGAGAAATTTAAAAAAAATGTGTAAAATGTATATGTATATTATATAGTTGAATTAATGAGCCCCCAAAGGCTCCACTAATGCTGGGTGGTCCGTGGTATTAAAAAAAACAATGCTAGAAGTAACTGTTGTAGCAAGAAAAACAAAAAGGGGGGAATTTACAAAAAAATTCCTCCTATTTTTAATTTCTAATTAAACAAATATTCTGAATCTAAATCCAAAAAAAAACTTAACTTAATAATTTTTTTACATTCAGATTTACTAGAGACCTGACTGGGAGTGTCGTACGAGAAGCGAGATCTCGAAAAATTCTCAATCTCTATAATTTAGATTCTCGATTGAGATCTTGTCTCGGTCCGGTCCCTTTTACTTACCTGTACTGTATTAAAAAAAAAACAGTACATCATTAAAGTGTAACTACTCGGAAGATATAGAAATTTATTCACATTAGAAAAAAAATATATATATTATAAAAAATTAAAATTTTAGAAAAAACAATGAAGCAAAAAAAAATTTTTTTTTAATTTTTTGAAATTCTTAAAATTAAAATTTTTTTGATCTTAAATTTTAAAGAACAAATTTTCTTTTTCTTGCTTCAATTACAAAGGCTTTTTTTAATGTAATTTTAATTTTTTGGGCAAAGGGCACAAACAAAAACCGGTGTGTATAATAATAATTAGTATATTTTTTAAGGATTAGAAAAATTACAAAATAATAAAATAGAGAATTGTTTTGACTAAATATATAATAAAAATTTGTGTAGATTTTTAAAAAATTGAACTAGATAAAAATGAGAGGACCGGGAATGAAAAAAGTGTGAAGGGGAGAAAATTCAAGATTTGAAACAAAAAATTATAAACTTTAAAAAATAATTGGGGAAGAATAGGGGAGAAAAAGGCACAAAGATATAAATTTTAAGGAGTTGGGATAAATATTACGGAAAGCCTAGAAGAAAAAAATTTTTTCAAGTTAAGAAAAAATTTTTTTTTTGAATTTTATAATTAAAAATTAATTAATTAAAGGCACAAAAGATTTAAATAAAATTACAAAAAAAAATATTTTTTAGAAAAGTCGGGAGCAAGCTTAAAAAAATATATATTATATATAATCTGCGTAGATTAGACAGGAAAAAAAATTAAAAAATATATAAAAACAAATTAATAATATATAAAATATAAAAAAAAAGTCTAAATTTTGTACAACAACTAGAAGAAAAAACAATAAAAAATAACTAGATTAATGACTGAAATTATAGATAATATTAATAAAATATACACAGGGGTATCTCACCGGATAAAATATAGTCTTTTGAAGGGAAAAAGTGAAAATAAGAGAGAGAGAATTTAAAAAGTTTTAGAAGGTATAAAGATAAAAAGAAAAAATTAGACAGTCTTCCGGAAAGTTTGTTACAAAAATTATTAATTAAAAAAATAAACATTCCAAAAAGTATTCGAGAGTAAAATAAACTTTTCCGGAAAATGGATTAGAAAAATAAATACATGTTTTCCGGAAGGTACTAAATTTAAAATAAGATTTCCGGAAGGTAGTTGAATCCGGAAAGTATTTAATAAAAATAAACTTTTCCGGAAAGTATTTAAAAGAGTTTTACGGAAAACACTTGAGTTTTCCGGAAGGAAATTAAATTAAAAAGTAACTTTCCGGAAAATACATAAAAGAAAATAAACAAACCTTCCGGAAAATACATAAAATAATACAATTCTTCCGGAAAGTATATTTAATTAATTATAATAAGTTTTCCGGAAAGTTACTCACAAAAATAAATTTATTAAACAAGCTTTCCGGAAATATATTTATACTTATTTTTCCGTTGTAAACCTTCCGGAAAGTTTATTTTTCTCTATTCCGGAATAAATTATATTTACCTCTCACCAAGTTTTATTTATTTCCATTTCTTCCCTCCAAAAGAAGTTGAAGGTCTAGACATTGAATAATAATCTACAACATTGCTAGAAGCAGCAGAATTATTTCTGTTATTATTTAAATTGATGTTGTTTGTTGTTGTTGAAATGTTTGAAGTATCCAAAACATTATTGTAAACATTGCTGTTGTTATTATTATTATTCCTTCTTCTTAACCTTTGCAATTCTTCTTGTCTTAAATTTTCTTCCCTTTTTTTCTTCATATTATTATTCTCTTCATCTTCTACTCCTCCTCCTCCCCTTCTATTATTATTATCCATTTGAATATATATTAATGAAGATGATTGTTTTTGTTGTTTATTTTTTTGATCCTCCTCTTCTTCTCCATTACGTATTGAAAGTGTAGAAAATGCTTTAGTAGTATTGTTATTAGCATCACAAGAAGGCATTGGTGCTTGTGTTATAATTGAAGAAGGACCTGTTGTACTCGTTGTTGTTGTTGATTGATAATATGGGGAAGAATACTTTTAAAAAAATTTTTAATTTAAAAAATAGTCAAAATGATTAGTGATCGGAATTTCGTACCATACCGTATCCTATACCGGAATGGTCAAAAGAATCGGAACTAGAAGCGTGGAGGGAAAATGCGGAAACAAAAAATGCGGAAGCGGAACACGAAGGGTCAAAAAAAGCAGGCTGAATTTTACGAAAGCGAGAGGAAGAGGAAGAAAGCCTAAACCTGATCGGTACGGTCCGATCGCTAGAAAATTTTTAAAAAAATTTTTTTACTTGTTGTTGAAGTCGTTGTTGCTGCTGTTGATAACGTTGTTGTTGTTGTAACGAGGGAAGAGAAGCAGGAAAGTTGCCAATTAAAGAATAAATATCTTCTACTCTAGCCAATTCTTCTAATATAGGTAAAAGGTCCAAAAGTTCAGTATCATCCGGATCATCAAACCAAGTACGGATTGGTAACTGAAAAATTGGAGGGAATAAGAAATTTCAAAAATTTTTGAAAATTACAGAATTATTAGGATGGAAGGCATAACTAGCTGGTGAATTATCAATAATAACAACTTTGCGTAAATCTCTTCCCAATTTTTCCAAATCCTAAAAAAATTAAATTTTAAAACATAAAAAAGTAAACTCTTACCTTAACATAATTACCCTCAAAAAATACGCAAGCTTCACGAAAAAGACGAAAGCGAAATACTTGACGTCTATCCAATAAATCTGCTACAGGATCAGCATACTTTAAAAATACAAAAATTATATACATAGCTCCAGAACTTTAAAAAAAACCTTAGCCAACGATGCAGTGAAGAGAACACATTCAAAAAGAGCACCAACTCTCTCCAAAAAATGATCAGTATGTGGCCTTTTTAAAACATAAACTTGATGGACAACGTTGTCTATTTCTATAGGAATAACAAAATCGGCATTTTTGACAGGCTACAAAATTTATTTTTTGAAAATTTTTAAAATTCAAATTTATTTTTTACTTTAAATGAAGAATGAACCAATGTTTCATCCAAATCCAAAATTAAGCACTTTTTATTTCTATCTCGATGTGTTGGACTAGATAAAAGAGGTGCTGCTGCTAATGGCCATTGTACCCGTGAAGTTATTGGAGAAGAGCAATTATTTTGTTGTTGCTGTTGTTGAACAGCTTGTGATGATGACCAATTACTTGTTGAGTGCTTTAAATTAATTTTATAATTAACAAAGTCTTTTTCCAAATTTTTGGTGTAATTAAATTTTTGGTGTGCACAAAGGCACCCACTCCCCTTTAAACGAGGATGGGGGGATTGTTAAAGAATTATGTATATACTTGTTGGTAGCTATATCCATATCTTGCTGACTCAGGATTTATAAGCAAAGCTAGACCCGATTGCCTCCCCCTCGGGGCCGCGCCTACGCTAAAGCGAACAACACCCCATTTTGCTTAACTGTACCTCATTTTGTTTATTATCACTTCCAAGAAAAGGTCCATCAATAGCAATATTGCTAGTATTATTGTTGTTATTGTTGTTTGAGCAATTATTACTTGAAGCAATTATATTAGAATTTCCATCAACTGTAATTTGTGTTGCCATTCTTTTTTGTTGTTGTTGATGGCCTTTCCCTCCTCCAATAATAAAACTAAATCCATGTTTAGTTTTGCTTTTTCCTCCACTTTTTGTCGTTGTAGTAGGGTCAAGCCTTTGGCGCAAATCTCCTGCTAATCTAACTGATGTTTTGTTAACTATAGGTGATCCAGTCTTAGCAATTGGTTGTAATATTCCTCTAGAAGAATCGTAAACATTGTTGTTAGTATTAACACAAGTAGATCGTGAGTCGTTTTCTGGAAAATTTAATATCTTTTAACACTAATGAGTTGATCCCCAATAGGGAAATGACAAAATTGATTTTGAAAAGCAAAAGGTAGTCGAATGGTGATTTACGTTTGTCCCAGGCCTCACGGGCTCTTCCGACGTTTTCGCCAATACATATCGTAACTAACGATAATTTTGTACATTTAATTCTTATATATTTTTCTAATAAACAACTGAACACTTGCAAAAATTAATAATCCCTCTCTACTTATAATTAAAAATTCCCCTCTCACTTTCATTCAAAGGATTAGGCCTTAAACAACAACAAAAAGCATGCAAAAGTTTTGGCATCTGTGACGCTGTTGTTGTTGTACTAGTTGTTTGATGACGACGTATTTGAGGTGATGATGTCATTAACGAAGAGGAAGTTGTTGTTCCTCCTCCTCCAATCCGTTTATTGTTGTTGCTGTTGCTTCGAGCGCCCACTGGCGCGTTGTTGTTGTTATTGACGGTTACCGCCAGATTTTAATGAGAAGCTTAATTTTGTTAAAAGTTAAACAAATATTCGTATAAGAATATTTTGAAAATTAAAAATAATAAATTATTATTTTCACTAAAAAATAAAGTGGGAAATTTTAAATATTAATTTAATAGGATTATTTAAAAAATTAACAAAAAAGGATACACAACAAAAATAAGTAGGGTTAAGAAAAAAAAAATTTTATTAAAGGATTTCGGGACAAAAAAGACAGAGTTTCACGGGCAACCCGATCAATCCCTGACATCCCCAATAATAAATTCTTTTAATAATTTAATTTCAAAACCAGTTTTTAGAAGGGGGATACGCAAGATTGGGATTTTTCGAGATTCGTACAATTCTTGTACGACCTTTCAAATGTGACCCTCCCAGTTCGTTCTCTAATCCAACCAAAATTAAATTTAAAATAATATAATTTAATTAAAAAAATAACCAGTTTTTAGAAAGGGGATATTTTTAAAAAAAAAGTAAAAAGGAACCATAGTGATTTAATAATTAAAATTTAAAACAAGAGAAAAAAAGAACAGTAAAAATAAAAATTCCAATTAAAAAAATATTTTTACAAATACACCCACAAAATTTTAATTTATCGCGCATGTTTGTTTACTTTTTTCAAAGTTTTGTCCCTAAAATTGATATAGAAAAAAAATATTTTTGCGGTGTTCGAGGCCTAAACTAAAGAATTAAAAAATAAAATAAACAAATAATTTTTGTATTGCTGCTTTAAATAAATTTTTAAAACGATTAAAAATTAAATTTAAAAAAATTGATTGAAAGAGAGGGGAAGAAATGAGGGGAAATAAATTTGGAAAAAAAATTAAAAAATTCTCCCCTTCACCTTCTTTAAAAAAGCAAAAAAAGATTATTAAAAGGTTTATATTAAAAATGGAAACAATTTTCTTTTAAAAGCTCAAAAATCACTCTCGAGTTTGTAAAATAAAAAAAAATTTTTTAAAGATCTTCAAGAAATTAAAATTAAAGTTTCAAACAGTCAGTCAAGTCAAATAAAATTTTCAAAAATAAATTTTAAGACGTATTTAAACTGATCAATAAAATAAATTTTTTAAAAAAAGGTCTGGAGAAACAGCCAGTCATAAAAATAAAAAAAATTTTTTTTTATTTTTTGAAAGAAGCCATGAAACGAGCATTATATTTATTTTGTGGTAGAACGAGAAAAAAGGAAGGGAAAAAAAGAGAAAACGTTATATAATAAAGAATGTGAACAACATAACAAATCAATGGCCGTAGCGGAAACAAACATTAAAAAATAAGGGTGGTAAAAAAGAAAAGTAGTAGCAGCAAATTGCTGAGATTAAAAAATATAAGAAATAAAAAAATTGCGGACAGATTGCTACAAATTCTAATAGGAAATGCTTTTGGAAGAAAAGTAAAACATGATTATTTAAAACCTGAAACAACAAGTTTGCTTCAAGTTTTTATGTGTTTTTAAAAACAAAATGTATTTTTTGTGTTTTTTTGTGTTTTCTTTTTGTTAATTTCAAGTTTTGTTTAGTGAAAATACAACTTGTTTAGAGAAACAAGTTGTTTCAAGTTTTAATTAATTCAGGTTTTAAACAATTCAAACAGATAAAATACAAAACTTGAAACAAATTTACAAGCTCAAAACAAGTTTATTTCATTTCAAAGTTTTTAAAAATTCCCAACTTTTCTGCAAACATTTGTCCGCAATTTTTTAACACTTATATTTATTGTGGGTGGTTTTGGGTGGTTGTTTGGAGGAAAAAATATGAAGAAAAATGCACACATTTGCGTGTGTAATCATTTTATATTTTTGAGGGAGAAACGAGAAGAAAAGAACGCACCAGCCGGCCTTTCCATCGGTTTTTTCCTTCTTCTATCACTCAAAACTAAAAATATATATATTTATTGTTATATAACATTTTGCACGCATTCTTTCCTTCGTTTCCTTTTTATTCGGACAAAAAAACGGGGAGAAAATGTTGGAATTTACCACAAAAAAGGTTGCTAGAGGGTAATAAGGAAGCATTTATAAAAAAGAAAAAATATAATAATAAAACATAATAGTGACCAGAAACACAAAAAATCTAAAAAAAATCGAGAATATAAGGAAAAAATTTTTTAAATTAATTAGGAAAAAAAATCAACAATTTTTGGAAGCAAAATAATTTTTTAATGAAAGCAAATTGCCAAAACATCCCCCCAAAAAATTTTAAAAATGAAAGAGCCAATGAATCAATTGCCAAAAATGATGATGATTCAAAAATTGCGAAACACTCTACCCCCAACTTTCATTTTTGCTGCCAAATATTGTGAAATCAAAGGCGGTGTGTATAGACAAAAAAAAATAACGAGAAAAAAGACGGGAAAAGAAAAAGATTAAAAAAAAGACTTTAGAGTCAGCCATTAAAAAAATAAATGTTTTGCTAAAAAATAAAAAAAGGTTTTTAAAAAAGGAAAATGCAAGTAAAATTTTGTTACAAAAATATAAGAAAATATTCCAAAAAAAGCATACATTTCCGGAAAAAATATTAAAAAAAAATTTTTAACACGCGGGAAGCTCCCCAAAAATTTTAAAAAGGTTGTAATTCGAGAGGATTAGTTAGTGGAAATTAAAAGAAAAATTTTTTAATAGTTTGAGAATTGAATAAGAAAAAATATACGAGAGACTCTTCCATTTCTCGACAAATCTAATAAAAAAGTTACGCAACAATGCGAGATTAAATAATATTGAAAAAATAAAAGGGGTGACAATAGTAGTAGTAAAGAGAAAAGGTGTGAAGAATGGGTGTGAAGAATTGAGAAGAAAGATTAAAAATTAAAAATACTAATAGAAGAAAAAAATACCAGGAAAATACAACATGTAAAAATACATTAAATTGAATAGAAAAAATTAAAAATGCTGGTGTATTTTCCGTTTATCAAAAATTAAAGTTTATTTTCCGGAAAACACATTTTTAACTAAAATAATATTCCTTTCCGGAAAACACATTTAAAGAAATCCGGAAAAGTTTGTATTTTTCATTATATATCCGGAAAAGTTTATTTAAATTGTATTTATTTCCGGAAAACACATTTCTAACTAAAATAATATTCTTTTCCGGAAAACACATTTAAAGGAATCCGGAAAAGTTTGTATTGTTCAATAAACATCCGAAAATGTTTATTTAAATTGTATTTATTTCCGGAAAACACAAATAATATTATTCCGGAAAGTTTATTTTACATTATACACATCCGGAAAAGTTTGTGTTTTACAAAGTTCCCTCAAAAATCAAATAATTATTTCCGGAAAACACACTTACAACTAAATAAATAAAATAATAGAATAAATAATAGAATAAATAAAAATAAATAAAAATGAAAAATTAATGGATTATAGAGTAATGGTTCCACCCAAGGTCGACAGAAAAAAAAAACAATGCAAAGGTCGATTACTACGCTCTAGTATTACAGCAGTAACACGCTAATCGCATAAATTTACACGTGTGAATGAATTATTGTGTAAATATATTAACTAACAAAAATTTTTTTTAACATTTTTAGACTCTAATAATCCCTAAAATTAAAAGGTTAATCTGTGCTGCTTAAATTTTTTTGTTACCTATAGACAGCCGATTGCTACTAACACAAATAGCCTTATATATTTTTTATTAAGTTTAAGCAACTAAAATGGCAAGTAAAAAGCTTCTAAAGACAGTTAGCCTTGAACAACTTTTCAGAAAATTTTTTGCTCCCAAAAATGCTTCAAAAAATTTTTTTCATAAGCCAACAAAAATTTTTTTCCTTCCCAAATAAAAATAATTCATTCAAAACACGTTATATATATATATATATATATATATATATATATATTAAATTACAAATTTAAAAACTAATTCATTATATTTTTTATTTAATTTGGAATGCTAATTATTTGACTTTAAAGGAATGCTAATTAACAACAAAAAAATGTGCAGATAAAAATAAAAATGTACTCTCGCCGAAAAAAAAAATAAAATAGAAAAAAAGATGGAAGGAAAGGATAAAGTGCGCGACAATATTAGAATTAATTGAGCGAAAAAAAATTAAAAGAAAAAAAAAATTAAAAAAAGAATAGACGGGTTATTATAAATAATAATATTAATATACATATCTTGATGCCCTTATTTAAAAAAATGTCAAGAAAAAAAATATTTTTATTAATTTTTTATATCAATTTAATTTAAATAATTTCTTGTTTGTATCTGAAAAAAAGGATTAAAATTCCAAAAAATATTTTTAAAAAATTAAAAAGTGCAACTACATATTATAGTTTATTAGTCCAATAAAAATAATACAGGTCCAAATAAATTTACATAAGTGATTTCTATTCAAATAAAATATATTCCTCTAAAATATGTCATAATTTAACATAAAATTCATAAAAATTTCAAAAGTCTGAATGGACTAATGAATTTTAATTTGACTTAAATTTTTTGATTGGATCCATAAATATTTCTTAGTAAGCCAATAAATCTTGATTAGACACTCGTATATTCTTATTGGACTAATAAACAGAAATGAGCGTTAGGATGGGGAATGTTAGGCACCCAAGTTTAAGTTTAAGATCATTAAAAAAAATCAATAAATGACTTCACAAAATATTAACAACAAGCGTCCTTATTCATATTCCAACTTTTCCCCTCCTGACCAAACATCAGGGAAAAAGAAATTATTAATTGACTCTATTAATGCAATTCCTCCGATTGGAGAATTGCCACAACTTGACAACAGCATTCCGGATTTTGCTAAAACCATTATTCAGCAAAATTATTCTTTAATTACCCATCTGACAAGTCTATTAAAAATTGCCACTTCTTTATTACAAGACACTCAAACTCCAACCGAAATTTTTGAAGAAAAAGAGCGACAGAGGTCGTTGGTGTTAATTAATTTACCTGAACAACCAACAACGACACCACCTTTCGAACGTGCAGTAGCTGACACTAAAGCTGTTCAAGGTTTACTTCACCAGCTGGGTGTGGAGTCTTATCCTAGTAGTATATATAGGATGGGTGTTTTTAAAAACCCAGCTGAAAAAGGTCACAAGCCCCGTCCCATTAAAATTCTGATGCCATCTTCTCAGCATCAACGGCACTGTTTGTCAGCTTGGAAAAGAGAAAGAATCAAAATTTGCAAAGACGAATTATCTAACATTTTCCTTCGGCCCTCTCTGACCTTACAACAAAGACAATTTGAATATGAACAACGAGTAGCAAGGCGTAAGGAACGTGAAAAGGCAAATATGGATGGAATTGAAGTAATTAATACGCATAATAAAAATTTTTAATAAAACCTCTCTGTATTAAGCCGGGTTCAAACTATTCCTTTAATCATACTGCACCCAAAACTCTTAGTAAAAATACGAAAACAAATCAAAAAAGCATAACTTGTTTATATTTTAACGCGCGCAGTCTTAAAAACAAATTAGAAAATCTACATATTATATTAGAACAAAAGATGTATTTACTTTTACTGATTACCGAAACTTGGTTAGACACCAAAATATTAGACTCAGTTGTTATAGGTAATTTTGGTTATTCAATAATTAGGGCGGACAGAAATAAAGGAGTGGGTGGAGGATCATGTATAATTATCTCAAATACTTTACCATTTATTATCATCAAGTCCTGTCTAGGTTTAAGCTATGAAATCAGCGGAGTAGACCTTATTTTACCCAACAACAATATAAGAATACTAAACGTATATAGATCCGTTAATAAAGAAAACACTAAAACCTTTCATCAGCTTTTTGAAAATCTTCATGACCTTTCTTTAGACTCGCCTTCACTAATAATTACTGGGGATTTTAACTTCCCAAATTTATCGTGGTCAACTAACTCTCCACATTCTAAAAACTCTAAGGATGCACAATTTATAGAATTTATAGACTCACTTGAACTCACACAGCACGTCAATTTTCACACTCGTTTGGATAAAATTCTTGACCTAATTCTTAGTAGTCCAAAAAATCTGGTCAAAAATCCGCAAAAAAGCACACCTTTTGGTACCTCAGACCACAATCCAATATCTTTCGAAATCAATTATTATCGTGAGATTAAAGCACTTAAATCCCCGCAAAAGCGATTTTACAAAGCAAACTACACGGACATAAATAATTTCTTAAATAATATAGACTGGTTAAGTTGTTTTTCAAAAGCTTCAAATCTCAATGAACTCTATTCACAATTCCTCGAAATAACACATTATACAATTGAAAAATACATACCTATAACACAAGGAAAAATAGATCCAAAGGCAATTCCTATCCACATTCGTAAGCTTTACTCCCACCAAAAAAATCTTTTTAAGAAAATTCCAACTAAGGAAACCGCAAAACAAATAACACTACTTAGCAAAAATATTGACAAACAACTTAAAAAATTTTACAGAAATAGGGAAAGAAAACACCTTAAAAATTCCCTTTTTAGATTCAAATACACTAGTCAATTTTTGAAGCCTAAAAATAGCAATATTCCGACTATTTTCAATAAAAATGGATTGCCTGTCTTTTCAGAAAAAGTTAAAAGTAATATACTAGGCGATGAATTTAGTTCATACTTCAATAACGAAATTCCAGATTTAGAGGATCTAAGCCAAGATAACCCACAAATTCTCAATACTCTGGAATATACACCTATAACTGTAAATGATGTCTTTAGTTTACTTTGTCAAGCCAAAAATATCAGTAATACCAGTCCAGACCAAATTCCTTATATATTTTTAAAAAAATGTGCACAAACGCTAGCGCTTCCGATTTTTAATATTTTTTCATATTGTCTCATGTCCTCAAATATTCCTGACATTTGGAAAACCGCAATAATACAACCAATACCCAAAAACGCAAAACCAAAATCTGCACAAGATTATAGGCCAATAGGATTGACCTGCACTCTGCTAAAAGTTTTCGAACAAATTATAGCCAAACAAATAAACGAATTTCTGCTTAAAAATGAAATCCTACCGCCTTCACAGCATGGCTTTGTTAAAAACAAATCTGTAACCACGCAACTACTAGAAATTACAAACGACATATCACATGCACTAGAGGAAAAAAGCCTAATTGATATTGTATACTTTGATCTGGCAAAAGCTTTTGATTCCATTCCGCATGCACGACTATTTAAAAAATTAGAAATCATTGGAATTAAGGGAAATTTACTAATACTAATTAAGAATATAATCACTAATAGAAACTTCAAAGTTAGAGTAGGCGATACTTTATCTTCAACTTACGAAACACATAGTGGGGTATATCAAGGATCTGTACTCGCCCCAATATTATTTAACATTTATCTTTATGATTTACCGAAATACTGCTATAATGACAATATCAAATGCAAACTTTATGCAGATGATATAAAAGCGTATCAAATATATAAACAAACTAACCAAAACCAATTACAAAATTTTATCAATAAGTTTCACGAATATTGTTTAATCAATGGTTTGAATATATCTATAAACAAATGTCATACACTCTATCTTGGAAAAAACAACAAAAGAAACCCCTATAAAATTGGCGACAAATACATAGACTCATCATGTAACATTATTCGAGACTTAGGAGTATATTTTTCATCTGATTTTAAATTTTCGGAGCACACTCAAATTATCACATCTAAAGCACGAAGGACCATGTACAATCTACTTCACTCTATCAAATCTAAAGATCACAATATACTTATACACATGTTTAATACCTATATAAGAACCGGTTTAGAATTTGCCTCACCAATCTGGAACCCACACTTAAAAAAAGATATAATTAACATAGAAAAAATACAAAAATACTTCCTCAGGTCTATTTATGCAAGGAAGCATGGGCAGTCAAAAGGATTTAATTTCTCTAATATTCCAAAATACTCTAACCTACTGAAAATTTTTAAAGTCGAAACCTTAGAAATTAGGAGATATAAAATTGATCTAATTCTCTTTCATAAAATTATTTGGGGAAATATAAAAGTAGAACATAATTCATCTTTCTATTTCATCAACACTAAAACACGTGGGGAAGAATTTAAATTAAAAACACAAGCTTGCGCAACCACAATTAGATATAACTCCTTTTTTATCAGAACCGCTAGACTTTACTCTACATTACCGATAGAAATACGCAAAAATACTCCCATTAATTTTAAAAAACTATTGGATAATTTTGATTTGTTTTCACACATAACCTCCCTTAAAACTTAATTAAAGAATAGTTGAACTATTTATTTATATCAGATCATTTGTATTATAATTTATATATTATTGACCACATATTCTGTATTTTTTTTTTTTTTGATCGCGCGTCAAACATGACGTAATAAATTGAAATATATATATATTAAATTACAAATTTAAAAACTAATTCATTATATTTTTTATTTAATTTGGAATGCTAATTATTTGACTTTAAAGGAATGCTAATTAACAACAAAAAAATGTGCAGATAAAAATAAAAATGTACTCTCGCCGAAAAAAAAAATAAAATAGAAAAAAAGATGGAAGGAAAGGATAAAGTGCGCGACAATATTAGAATTAATTGAGCGAAAAAAAATTAAAAGAAAAAAAAAATTAAAAAAAGAATAGACGGGTTATTATAAATAATAATATTAATATACATATCTTGATGCCCTTATTTAAAAAAATGTCAAGAAAAAAAATATTTTTATTAATTTTTTATATCAATTTAATTTAAATAATTTCTTGTTTGTATCTGAAAAAAAGGATTAAAATTCCAAAAAATATTTTTAAAAAATTAAAAAGTGCAACTACATATTATAGTTTATTAGTCCAATAAAAATAATACAGGTCCAAATAAATTTACATAAGTGATTTCTATTCAAATAAAATATATTCCTCTAAAATATGTCATAATTTAACATAAAATTCATAAAAATTTCAAAAGTCTGAATGGACTAATGAATTTTAATTTGACTTAAATTTTTTGATTGGATCCATAAATATTTCTTAGTAAGCCAATAAATCTTGATTAGACACTCGTATATTCTTATTGGACTAATAAACAGAAATGAGCGTTAGGATGGGGAATGTTAGGGAATAATGGGGAACATTAGGGACGTTCCCCCATTAAAAATAAAGATATTTTTAACAATGATATTATTAGTTAACATTTTTAAAAAATATATGAAATATAATATTATAGTTAATAAAAAAGTTTTTAAAATTGTGTTTAGAAAATTAAGCTACTAAATTTCACATTTTTTTATAATTCGGAACACAAAAAAATATTTTTTAGAGTATTTAAGTGAATATAAAAAAAGGTTAAAAAAAGAAATATAATAATCTACATAGAAAAATTGAAAAAAAAGGAACGATTTGTCGGTCTTTTTTACTTTTTGGCTGTCATATACATACACACTCTACACTCCTCTACAAGTGTTTGGCCGGCTGTCAGATAAAAAAAGAGAAAGTGTATATAAAAGAAAAGGGAAAGAGAAGATCTCCTCTCTTTCAGTCAGTCAGTCAGTGTGGACAAATAAAAAAATGAAAGGAGAAAAGGAAAAGAGGAAAGAAAAAGATATATAAATTTATGAAAGGGATGTGTTGGAAAATGAATAATGGCGCACTTTTTTTGGGTGAAAAGTAAAAAAAGGGAAAAGGAAGGAAGAAGAAAAATCTTTTTCAGATGAATGCAAAAAATTAGAGAAAACAATATAAAACGATTGAGCATTTGATAAAAGAAAGAAAAATTATTTAAAAAAAAAAAAGGAAAAGAAAAAAATAAATGGCTGACTTATTGACAGACGATAAATATAAGCTAATAAGAATATTATTAAGTTGCTTCAAAATTAGTGGAAACTTTTGAGTTTAAAAGAAGCCTTTTCTCTTAAAATTTAAAACTAGACACTTTAAAACTTAAAATTGTTCAAAACAAAATTTCAAGCTTGTAAAACTTGTTTTATAATTATCCAACATGTTTCAAGTTTATACAAATTTTAAAGTTTAAATTCTTCACAAACTTGAATTATTCGAAAACTTAAATTTATTTTATAAAACTTGTTTGAAAACCCCAAAAACTTGGATAAAATACAAAACTTTAAAATTTAAGTATAAACTTAAAACATGCTGAATAAAACTTGAAACTCTAAGCAGAAAATAAAAATTGTTTCTAAAAACACTAAAAACTTGAATAAAATACAAAACTATAAACTTAAGCACAAACTTAAAACATGCTGGAATAATTCAAATTAAGTTTTACAAACTTGAAACTTTAATCAGAAACTTAAAACTTCCTTGTTTCAAAAATTTTTTAAAAATGTAACAAATTTCGCCTTATGAATAAATAAAAATTATCTTAAAATTTTTAAAACTTTTTCTTTCTTCCCCTTTATTACACCAGCTAAATAAATATACAATTATTAAGTACATTGTAAAAATTTATGATATAATTTTTTGGTTAGTTTTAAATTCATTTTTTTATCAAAAATTTTATTTAAATAGAGAGATAAGAGAGGAAAATATATAAAATTAATTTTATATTTATTTTTTATTGCCGAAAAAAAATTTTTTTTTAATTCTTACACATGATTAAAATTTAAATTAAAAAAAATAAATATATTTGATTATTAGTGTATTAAAAATAGAATTAAAATAAAATTAATTTTTTAACTGATAAAAAGATAACAAGGAATCTAAAAAAAATTTAAATGTTGCTATATTTAGGTGACTAATAGACACGAAAAAATATATAAAAAATTAAAAAAATTTTTAAAAATAAAAAAAATTAGAAAAATTAATTTAGAAGATGAGATTAAAAATACGCGCGAAAGGAAAAAACTACAAAATAAATTAAAAAAAATTTTTTTTAATGTAAATAAAAAATAATTTTGCAGGAAAAGAAGGCGGGGACTTATACGGATTAAAAAATTTGTTTTAAAAAATCTTAGAAAATTAAATTAAATGAGAAAAATAAAAAAATATTGCTAATAAAAAATTTTGTGAACAGACATTCTTGCTGGATACAAATTTGGATAAAGAAATTTAAAAAATTTGGACTTTAAGAACTCAAAAATGTATAGCACCCTTATTTGTTAAATGGATACGTTCCCTTGGTCTTTGAATAATTTTAACATTAGAGTGGATTTCATGAACCCAAAAAAATTAAAATGACTCGCAATAATGTCTGTCCAAATTAATAAAAAAAAATAAACTCTAAAATCCCCGTTAAACGGGCGGCGTTGGGCCCCAGTTGTGGGACGCCACAACTGGGGCGCGCCTATTTACAACTCCAAATAAAAGAGCTCTTTTTAATAAAAACTTTATTTAAATAAAAAGGTATGAAACAAAAATGGGTGGGAGACGGGGATGGAGAACCGGCCAAAGGTTCTCGAGACCAAAAACTTAAGACTGAACTGATTTGGCCAGTTCTCCATCCCCTTAAGTAAAGTCAAAAAAAGGGGTGTGACACTCCCCATCTGGGGGGGGGGGTATGCGGGCTCGGCTCGATCATTCTTAGTTTGTTCTCTTCGAGTGGTGACAAGTAGAAGTCGGCAAAATCGCATTCTCGGGATTTCTAGTGACAAGTCATTGACGGAAAGTCCGTTGACGAAAAATCCGTTGACGACAAGGAGGGGCGTTGAAGCGTACTTTTTTATTTTGGCGCTGAAGCGTCTATTTTATTTATTTTTTTCATTCTGTATTTTCGTTTTGTCAACTTTCACTGTGTCAACTTTTTTTATATTTAAACAGTTTTATTTTCCATTTTCCTCATTTTTCTCATTTTTTTAAAAATTTAATTTTTTCCTCAATTTTTTTTTGTTTTCAATTTTCTCCAAATTTTCCTCCACTTTTCAATTTTATTTTTGATTTCCGCTTTCGTTTTTCCTTTTTTCATCGCCCCTTCTCTATCCATTCGCATGTTGCATACTCTTATCAATTTACTCCTTAGTAATCGTTTTAAATGCTAGCCAGGTCTTTTGTTCTATAGCCCAACTTTTTGGTTTTATTGATTGTTCTGCGCGTTTGTTCTTTTTCTGTTTCACCAAAATTTCTCTAGTCTGTCTCTTCTAGTCTACTAGTTCCTCTGACTGTTCCGACCCACCTCTCCTTTCTAGTCAAGGCCAATCTTTTATTCGAACACTAGTCAATTTCCTTTCTTCTAATCACGGCTCTTAAATTCTAGTCAAATTTTATCTTTATGTTTGAACATTCTGGTCACAATTTGGATCAATTCAATGGCTATTGTTTAGGTCAGTTTTACTCTGTATTGCTCATTTTATTTTTTAAAATTAAGCCATAATAAAATTTTTTCTTTTCTTTTTAACATGGCGTCTACTGGCTGCAACAACAACAACAACAATCCACAACAACAGCAATTCCCATTCCAGAAACTGGTCCAGGCTTTTCAAAAATCTCGATCTCTATTCCTATCCCCTCAGTCGACAACAATAAATTCCAAGAATTTCCTTCTCCATCAATGCCAACAACAATATGCATATATTCCCGGCTAAGCTCACTTCAACTCCCAATAATTTTCATCATCCTCCAACAACATTCAACTACAGCTTGTATAAAACTGGTGTCGTGGGTTTAGCATTTTTTTTTTAATTTTTACGTCTTTTAACTTTTCCGAAATTTTTCCTGACTTTCCTCCCTTTCTGGCTTTTATTTATTTTTGATTTTGCACCTGCCAACTTTTGCTTTTGCTTATACTGCCAATAATTTTTCTTTTCTTTATTTTGCGCGCATCTTCTGCTATTTAATTCTCTGGATCGGGATGGTTCTTCTTTTGCTTCCTCTAAACGGGCCCGGCTTACTCCCAACTTCAGCTGCACCTGCCAACTTGTTTTGGGTTCTCCCCTCCAGTGTCCCATCTTCATTTTATTCAAACAATTTGCAAACTTTCACAAATTATTATTTATTTTTATTTTCTTCTTTCTCCTGGGCTTATACAACGGTAAGGTTAATCGACTTTTCTGATTTTCCTTCAACCTTCAGATGTGTTCCATTACTTACTTCCTTCTTTTCACACTTCTGATTTCGGTTTCCTTTGCTGAGCACTCGCATGATGTTGAACCATCTTCTGATGCCTCACCCGCATTAGGTTATATTTTGTATCGGGGTAGGGTAAAGGGAATGGGGATAAATACATTATCGGGGTTTCAAAAATAAAATCCCTTCCCAGAGGATAGCAAAAGATTTAATGGTTTAAGTTTTAAAAGAAATTTTGAAATGTTATTCCTTTGCTTCCCTTCTGGGGGGGGGGGGTACATTTGGTTATGTGGTGTGGTAATCTAGTCTACTTAAATTTAAAAATCCCAAAATATATTTTTATTTATTTTATTTATTTTTCTTTTAACAATTTGTCCCATCACCATCTTCTTCCTCCCCTCAATTCTCACTCTTCTTTATTTTCTGCCACTTTTCTTTCTCTTCCTCATCCAATTTTTCCTCCCATAATTTGCGCACTTTTCTCAATTCTTCATAAATTTTTAACGCCCGCGATTCATTCTCCCACAATTTCTGCGCCCAATCAAAATCCGGTTTCCCTTTCTGCTCCTCTCTCACTCGTTTTTCTTCCTCCACCTTTTTCTTCTCTTCCTCTTCTTCTCTTCTCTTTTGTTCTTCCTTCTCCTCTTCTGCTTTCAACGCCTCCAATTCCTCCATTAATTTCTTTTTCTTCTCTTCCAACGTGCTTCCACTATTCCCTTTTTCTTCCACAACTATTTTTATCGGCTCTCTTGTTGGGGTTATTCTCTTTCCACTTCCTCTCACATCTCTTTCCCAATTCCAACCTCTCTTTTCTCTCTCTCTTCCCCTTCCATAATTCTCCCCTATATTCGGCTTTCTGCTCCAATCTTTCGTAACCTTTTTCTTCCAGTCCTCTTCCACATCTCTTCTCAAATCCTTCAGTATATACGGGTTCTTTAGGGCGGCTTCCACTAATTCATCATATGTCGGGTCTCCTTTTCTTAATTCTGGTTTGCCCATAACTACAAACGCATCGTCAAAAGGTTCAACGCGTTTTGAATTATTTTCCGCGTATTTTTCCAACATTTTCTCGTTTATCTGGAGCCCAATTTCTCTTCTTCTATCATTCATTTCTCGGGTCCTTTTGCAATCATTTATCGGCGGCCACCCCCATGCTTCACTTTTCTCCCAAGCCTTTTCTTCCCTCATTCTTCTTCCATTTTCTTGCGTTTCCAAAGTCCGTTCTTGCCTAAACGATGATTGTAAGGATCTTTTTAACAGTGATATGGCCCCTTCCCTTTCTTTTCGGATTAGATTTTTTAATGAATGTCTTTTCTCCCTCTCATGTTTTCTCCGTTCAGATTCAGAGATTAAATAATTTTGATATTCTTTTTTATTTCTTTCTAGCGCTTTTTGTGTGGCTTTCTCTTTCATTGATTCCAATTTCATTTTCTCATCCCAGGTCATTTTTAGTGGGGTCCATTCTGATATATCTTCCAACCTGTTTGTATTTTGTTCCACCACTATTTCATCATCTCTAGCAAGTGATAAGGCCCGCTCCTCATTGATTGAAGACATAATAATATTAAGTAAATTTTTATTAAAGTGAATTTTTCTTGATCTGCAATTGTGAACAATTTTATTATTTAGTGAATTGAATGTTATTCTGTTGACTACAGGAACTTCGGGTTGTAAATTCGCGGGGCTATTGGTGTTTAAATCGCGCTCTTCCTCTTCCGATTCTATAATTTCTCCCACATTATCTGGTTCCTTTGGGTCAATATCCCTTCTGTATGGTTTACACTTATCCATATGTATGATTTTTCTCTCCCCACTTTCTGGGTCTTCCAAAACCAGGTTTGGCTTTTCAACTCTGATTATTTGTAAGGGTCCTCTAAATTTGAAGTCGAATTTGGTTCCTTTTTCTTCCCTTTTTACTAACACTAAATCCCCTTCATTCCAGTCTATTGTTTTAATTGATTTTTGAAGCCGCTTCATTTTCTCCACATTCAAGTCTAATTTATTTTTTACACGATTGTGCGCTTCTCGCATTCTTTCTTTAAGCTCGCGCGCATATATGGTCATGTTTTCATATTCTTTCTCGGGTTTATTCAAAGCATTTTCTGAAGGTAATCTCGCATTCCATCCATGGGCTATGAAGAAGGGTGTTTCTCCCACTTGTGAATTAATTGACGTGTTATACGCAAAGGCCAAAAGTGGTAATGTTTGGGGCCAATCTTTTCCTCGGGTAGTGGTAGAAATCATATCAGCTAAGGTTCGATTGTATCGCTCGCATTGTCCGTTAGCTGACTGGTGATAAGGGGTGGTGGTTTGTAATTTTATTCCAAACAATTCAGATACATCTTTAAAGATGGTGCTCAGGAATTGTGTGCCTTGGTCTGAAACCAAGCATTCCGGAACTCCAAATTTGGTTATTAGATGGGTTATTATTGCCTCCATTACTGTTCCCGCCAGTTGCTCTCGTAACGGGACTGGGATCATCATTTTTGAAAAAGAATCAACAATCATTAAAATATATTTGTATCCACTTTTTGCCATTGGGAGAGGGCCCATTAGATCGACATGCACTCTTTGAAATGGTCTCCCTGCGGGTTCAATAGGGCAAATGGGTTCCTTGCTTTGATGAAGGCCAATGATTTTTCTTCTCTGGCACGCGTCGCAATTTTTCACAAAGCTGCTAATTTCCTCAGACATTTTATCCCAAAACATACTTCTCTTAATTTTCTCAAGTGTGCGCTTTTCGCCTAAGTGTCCTCCCTGGATCGGATCTTGGTGGTACTCTGTCATTAGTCGTTTTCTAATCGATTCCGGAACCAATATTTTTAGTTCTCCTTTATCTTTTAACCATATTATGTCTCTCCATTCCCTCCATTTCTCGTTTTCCTTGTTTTCTCCCAACTTTTCTTTAATTTCTTGAATATATTTATCCTCATTTTGGGCTTGAAGCATTTCTTCGGCTGTTATCTTTTTAGCAATTTTTACCAAGTTTATTTCCTTTTGGTTCCTTTCTAAATTTCCATGGTCAATAAATCTACTTAAATGGTCGCAAAAGTGATTTTTCTTCCCCGGGCGGTAAATTATATCCACGTCATACGCCATTATTGAGATCTGATATTTCGCCAATCTTCCCTCCAAATCTTTTCTTCGAAACAATGACGTGAGTGCGGAGTTATCTGTAATTACTGTAGACTTCCCTGCGCCTTCTAAATAAGGGCGAAAATTTTTCAGCGACGCAACAATTGCCAAAGCCTCTAATTCCACCACCGCGTATCTTCTCTCATGTTTATTCAATTTCCTACTAAAATAAGCTATCGGGTGGAGGTTTTCATCTTTATTATTTAATTGTAATAAACATCCCGCAATTGCTACAATGCTTGCGTCTGTTTCTACAATAAATGGTTTGCCCAACTTCGGCGGCGCTAACACCGGTGCCGAAGTTAGCATTTTCTTCATAGCCTCTAATGCATTTTCATGTATTTCTCCCCATTCTTTAGTATTTTCTTTTTTAGTTAATTCATAAATTGGTCCCATGGTTTCCGCAAAATTCGGCGTAAATTTCCTAAAATAGCTCAACATTCCAATTAAGGATCTGAGTTCTGTCAATGTATTTGGCTTCTTTAACTGCATTATAGGTTCGAGGTCTTTTGGGTCAATTCTAATGCCTTTAGCTGAAATTAAGTGTCCCAAGTATCGTATTTCTGCCTGCCCAACTTTACATTTTTCTGGTTTTAGTTTTAATCCGGCTTCCTTCATAGTCTGTAAAAATGCTTGCAGATCATTTAAGTGGCTTCTTTCATCTTCAGATCCCAATATACAATCGTCTAAGTATACTAGGAAGCTTCGAGAGCATGCTTGCCTCACTTCCTCCATTGCTTTTTGGAACGTAGTTGGTGCGCCTGAAAGGCCAAATGGTACTCGCAAATACTCGAATAATCCACAATGACAGATAAATGCGCTCCTCTCTTCATGTCCCTTCGCTAATCTGATTTGATGGAAACCTGCCGATAAGTCAAATACCGAAAATATCTGTTTTCCCATTGCCGAGTCGAGTAAATCCTGTATTCTTGGGAGGAAATAGGTCTGCTTTTTGGTTATAGAATTTAAGCGTCGATAGTCCACACAGAATCGGTAACTTCCATCCGTTTTTCGGGCAAGAACAATTGGGGATGCCCATGCTGAGCTTGAGGGTCTGATTATATTTTGTTTCAAAAGGTTTTTAATCTGCTTTTCAATTTCCGTCTGTAAATGTAGTGGGTATCGGTAAGGTCTACTCTGAACTGGTCTGGCTCCATCAACTAGGTCAATTTTATGTACCGTCTTTCCTTTAAAATTTCCTATTTTTTCGTCATTTAACATGAATGCTTCTTTGTTTATTTCCAAAATTTGCTTTAATTCCAAAAGTCCCTTTTCACTCAAAATAGTTCCTTCCAACGAAATTCTCTCATAAATGGGTTTTTGTGGGGTCAGTAAAGGCTCATCGGGTAAACTTTTCATCCAATTAGCTTCGTCGGGTATCTGATCCACTTCCTCTTTAAACTTTTTCCACTCACTCTCATTCATACATCTCTCATCTTTTTCCATTACAGTCTCAATTTTTATTTCATTTCCAAGTGCTTCTAATGTTGCTAATTTTGAGTTCGCGTGCACTTTTATTTCCGAATTTCCATAATTTAATAGCCTAAGTGGAACAATTCTTTTTGCCATCGGTTTTACTAAACATTTTCCAACACGAAGTGGGAAGTATCGGTGCTCACTTTCTTCTGTTATATATTGGTCCTCAGGTCCCACACATCGATTTATTTTTCCCCACACTAGTGAATCTGATAACGCGGGGAGTATTTGTGTTTTTAGTAATTGAACTGCGATTGGCTTCCATTCCAAATTTACGGCTTGAACCATTGGCAAAATGACTCTTCCCAATTTTATTTTTCCCTCTTTAAAATCTAATCCTATCGAACAATCATCCTCCTGTCTATTTATTTCTTCCATCAAATCTGTTCCAATAATAGCACCGCCAGGACATCCATCGTTTTCAGAAATTAAAATTGGAAATTGAATTTTTAAATTGCCTATTTCAATCAATGTGTTAGATGATCCCAACAAATAAATAGGAGTTGAATTAGCTGCCTGCGCCTGCGGGAAATCTCCTTTAAGTATTGACATGTTACACGCATCTGCTATTTTTTTGCTCACATAGGTTATGTCTGCTCCAGTATCAAACAAAGCCCGGGTTTTCCTCCCATTCAGATTTATATTTATGTAACATCTTCTCTTTTTTGCCATTACTTGATATACTTTCGGAATGAAATCTAAAATATAGGCTTCTTCCTCAAGTACCTCTTCTGCCAGCGGCGCAGTAGGGGTCTGCCTTCTTTCAATAGCTGAAACCGTAATCCTTTGTCTACTTTGTCTGGGTCGTATTAGATTCAAGAATGTATTTGCAACTCTTATTCCTAATCGCATTCCATTTATTACCATCATAAAATAAATTTTTCCCTTCCAATAAATTACACAAACTCCAATCAAGAGCGCAATTCCTGCAATGACTGCAATTATCATTTTTATTGTTGATTTTATTCCAAACGGGTCCTCCCAAAATGTTTTTCCCTTTTCTAAGATTTCGGTTGATTTTGAAACAATAACATTTCCTTGGTCAATTACTGTTTGGATTGCTTTATTTCCATGGGCGAGAATGGCTTTAACGGTTCCCCGGGTTGAATTATTTTCTTCCAAAAATTCATCCTCAGTCATTTTCTCCTCCGGAAAAATCAGCTCTGGTCGATTCAATCTTTTTGTAAGGTCCTGGAAATTCTGATCCAGTCTGGTTTGGTCTGACTCAAATATACTTCCCAAATTAAATATCAGTGGGTTTTGTCTATTTATCCGTGGGCTACTTTGGAATGTGTGCATTATTTTCAATTCTTCTATTTTAGTATTATTTAAATCTTCCGCTGCGCCTATTTTATTTTTCTTCAAACAATTTATTTTAGTCCCTTCAGTCATTAAATCTCTACTCCCTGTTTTCAAAAAGTATCTTTTCTCCCCCACTATTACTGGCGTCTCCTTATAACACTCTCTCCCAATTGTTCTATTCCACTCTACCACCTCTGCCTTTACTTGCTTGCACTTATTTATCTGCCAGCGAATCTGACCCGTGGGTGTGTTTAAAAGGGCTGCTGTAATGTCATCTCTGTTGTACAGCGACCGAGCAGCTTGCTCTGGCATTTCCCTTGCTAAAGCTCGCGCAATCATCAATTGACTATTCCTATTGTGGCAGTCTGAAATCCATTTTTCCCGTGCCTCTAAAACTCTTTTCTGCTCATTTTTCCATTCCAAATAGTTGAGCCTAGAATTTGCGTGACTTTCTCCTTTGGGGTCCAGCCAGGGTTTTTCTGTCACTTCTCTTTTCATTACCAGTGTGGTTGTGGTTCTTTCTGTCGTCTCTACCAATTTCTCACTCACTGGCCTAATCTCTACACTTTTACTTGTACTTTTTGGTTTTGGGGTTGTAGGTTTTATTCTTACATTTCCTTTCAAATGCATTTGATTAATTGGGGGTTTTATCGTGGTTCTCATTTCAATTGTACTCTCCCTTACTCGAGTTGTGGGAATCGTGGTCCTTGACGTGATCCTCGGTGCCTCTGTTATTTTCTGTGTATACCAAAATCTCGCAGTTGTTCCAGCTGTCGTTGTTGAGATGGGCCTCCTTGTCGAGGTTATCATGGGTCTCCTGGTCGACGTAGTCGTCGACCTTCTGGTAGATGTCGTGGTTGGTCTCATCGTTGTGCTTCTAATCGTTATGGGTATGGGTCTTGTCCGGGTACTGGGAGGGGTAATTGGAAAGCTTCTAGTTGTGGCTTCACGAGTCATTGTCAAAGGAGGCGGTGTGACTTTCCAGATATTCGTCGAACTTATTGCTCTCGTCGTGCTTGTCCAAGTTTGGGTAGTAGTGGGTTGAATGGTCGTCTCCACAACTCTAGGTCGTGGGGTCGTTTCAAATAATTTTCTATTTTTTTTCAAAAATCCGCCCGTTGATTGTCTTTTCACTCTGGTATTATTTTCCTCCTTTTCTTTAATTATTTCTATATATACGTCATTTTCCATTCTAATACAATTTTCTGGCAAACCGTATAGATTTTCAGGCAGCGTCGCGTTTTTGTGATAAATAAATGAGTACTGCGTTTCATCTACAACTATAGCCTTTGGACTCCACACTTCGACATTTACAGGGCCTATTTTAAAATGAGTGTTCCAGTAAGTGGGGTCTGGGATTCTCCACATCAAAATTTCTTCAAAATCTAGATTTTTACTCCATCCCTCTGTCTCGTCCTCAATTCTACTGATTATAAACTCATCTCCCCAATTAGACACCAATTTTCTCCCTTCTAATATTGCAGCCGAACCTTCCTCCAACGTAACTCCTGTCACATTTTTACACCTAGTCCCAAAAATAGAGTATTCCTTTTCCCAATCTGTATATGTCTGCCACGTATTTTCCCCTCTTCTTTGTAACAACTGGTGGTCCCACGTATCCCAACATTCATCCTTCGAAATTTCTGAAAAATATATATTCGCGTCCTTTTCTTTCCGATAAATTCCAAAATAAGATTCCGTGCACATGCGGATATTCCACCTATGGCATCTGAAAATCGCAAATTTCTTCGGCAATCTGATTGGCACAAAAATATTAATTTTAGCTAATTCAGGAACATCTTCGAGTGGCATAGTGCAATTATGGTCTGCGGGAAAATCCATTATCACTCCCGAGGCCTCTGGGTAATCTCTGTTACATATTTGGAATTGAGCGTTCATCATTGGCATTAAAAGACATATTATCGTTAAAAGGCAAATATAAGGGAAGCTAGTTTCGCTGACTCTGTATCCCCCTCTTGAAAAATTTCCTCTTCCCCTAAAATTCGTTCCTCTCGTGTTAGTTATTGGCACCATGTTTGGGTTCCTGTTTTGTCCTGTGGGCCATCTATTTCCCCTCGCACTTCGAAAGTTTCTAGAATTGTCGGTTCCTCGGTATGTTTGATTCCAGGCTGACGCTCTATTAAACTGTCCTCTTCTCCACTCGCCACTATTTCCTCTATTTCCCCATCCTCTATTGTTAAAATTTGGCCTGTTTCCAAATTGTCCACTCTGCCTGTTTCTGTCATATGTCCCCTCTCGATTTCCATTCGCTCTTATTTCACTCACCTCCGCTAAGGTTGCTTTCACTTCTATTTCTTTTGTCCTTCGCCATATATCATCCTTCATTGTACTATTTAATTCTTCTACTCTGCGCGCCTGCGCCACTGCCTCTGCCAATGTAGGGGGCTGGTCCATAAAGATCACCTTTTCTTTTATCTCCGGCAGCAAACCCGCGCGAAAACGATCCCTGCACTGCTCATCCCGGAACCTTTTAGTCATCACTCCCAATTCTCCCTTCACATTATTAGATATTGCCACGTCAAGGTTTAGGCCAGCCAAATCCACATCCAGAGATGAATCCGGATAAGCTCTCTCCACTAAGTTGCGTAAGGCCTGGGCAAATTCCTCCACAGACTCTCCAACGTTCTGCCTCCTCTCAATCATTTTCAATCTAGCCACCTCCCTAGTAGAAATTCTCTTCAATCTGTTTGCTAGGCCTTCCACCAAATTTTTCCAGTTATTTTTCTCATCCTCCGGCATCCCTTCATACACCGCCAAAGCCGCTCCCCTCAAATAAATAGGCAATATCTGACAACATCTTGGAGGCTGCCAACCATGGCCAGTCGCCAATCTGTTGAAGGACTTCAAATAGGCCAAAAAATCATCACTTCCATCAAACGGCTTTGGGTAGGGCAAACCAGAAGAGCCAAGTTCCAAATTAAGATCCTCCAAGTTCCGCACTTTTGTTTGCAACAGATCCATTTTCAATCTTCTCTCTTCCTGCCTTTGGAGATATCTGTTGTATCTATCTTCTCTTTCACTCTTCTTTTTCAGCAAATCTTCTATGGGTGTTTCAGGTCCTTTTAATTCACTTGTTTCCAGTCTGTTTCGTAAAAATGGAATTTTTATCCTAAAATTAAACGCATTTTATTTAATATTCCTTATTTTATTGTCCCAAAATCTAGTCCAACCCTTAGTTAATTTAATGCTAGCATTTTAGCCCTCTAAGGGGACCTCAAGAATCGCCGGCCGGACCATAATTGAGGCGGTTGGGGATTTGGGACCTAATTTAATGGCCATATTTTTAGCTTTGGACGAAGTGAAATTCTACTCAAGGACCTGCACACCTGAACATCAGTGCCAATTTCACTGTTGGGGAATTGATTTATGGGCCGAACCGGTTTTTTGCGCGGAAACCGTTCCGACCCTTCAACTCTGCCAACCGGCCTCTACTTCCACTACCCCTACTTCTGTTCCTTCCATGGAACTTTGGGAGATGGCTCTACTAGCCTTGGTCCTTATTTCTACTATCCTCCTGGCTGTCCTTCTGGGCCTGGTTCTTAAATGGAATTTTACAAAGAAACGAGAGCAAGATTACCCGTTTATTTCCAAACCTTTTCGTTTTACCCTTAATAAATGAATTGTTTTTTGTTGAGGAGGAATAAATTGTTAATTGTTAGTCTTTTTTTTGACAATTTATCAAATTGGGGATGGGCATTACTCGGCAGAAGAGGAGGAGGGTGAGCGCGAAATTCGGGGAGAAAATGAAAAAATTTAAAAAAAATGAGCTGTTTAATGAAATAATTTAATTTATAAATGTTTATGTTCGGCCAACTTGATCACAAGATTTTTCGTTTAAAAATATTTACAACTTTAGGTAAAAATTTGGTTGATTAATTTGATTAATTATTTGGGCAAATAAATGTAAAAATTAGGCGTTTCAATCTCGGTGAAGGTAAAATATTTTATAAGAAATTTAATATTGGGGGGAAAATGACACATATAATTTAATTATTTTGATTGATGGAATTAGATTGGCCAAATAAGGAAAAATTTGGCCACTTGTTGTAATAATTTGTTTAACTAATTCGGCGAATTTTAGGCGTTGTTTATTAAAAGAATTTTTGTGGTAATGTTTTAATTGGTTAAAATATTGTGTTTTGATTGGATTTGGTTTTAAGGTTTGGGGAGATAAAATTTGAATTTTTTTGGATATGTATTTTTAAAGCGCTCTGGGAGCACCATCTAAAATCCCCGTTAAACGGGCGGCGTTGGGCCCCAGTTGTGGGACGCCACAACTGGGGCGCGCCTATTTACAACTCCAAATAAAAGAGCTCTTTTTAATAAAAACTTTATTTAAATAAAAAGGTATGAAACAAAAATGGGTGGGAGACGGGGATGGAGAACCGGCCAAAGGTTCTCGAGACCAAAAACTTAAGACTGAACTGATTTGGCCAGTTCTCCATCCCCTTAAGTAAAGTCAAAAAAAGGGGTGTGACATAAACCAACCTCTTCTTCCTTCGCAACAAATTTCCACATATTATCAAGTCTATTTTTTTGTTGACAATGAAAAATATTCCAAATTCCATCATTATTATTGCTCACCAGTTTTTTTTAACCATTTAATTTGTTGTTGTTGTTGAGAAGCCTTTCCAACAATCATCTTCTTTTAGTTCTCCATAATTTAAATTTTCTAATCTAAAATTCAAATTAATTTAAAAAATTCTCTCTCCTCTCAAAAAATATTTTAAAAGAAAATTCAAAATCTTTTAAAAAACACAAAAAATTTTTCAAAAATTTTTTTTAACTTTTCCTTTTTTATCAATTAACAACAACAGCACACACAATTAAATAACAATTTTTTAAAATAATATACTTTTCATTCTTCTCTCCTTCCTTTCAATAATTACTTCTTACTTTTCTTAACAGTAGTAAATGAATGTCTCGGCTCAGATTCTGAAGCTTTTGATTGTGAAGCAGAAGAATGACGACGTGCAGCTTTTTCAGCAATTTTCTCCTTAACAAAAAAAAATTTTTTTTTCTAGATACTTATAAACTATACGAGGTCCGACCCCATACACTAAAACCAAAAATAGTTGAGGAGGCAAGGACAATTACAGCAGGGATGTCACAGATTATCCGTAATCAGGTAATCGGTCTTTCGATATACCCACTCCGAAAAAAATTTTGAAAATCCGCCCAAACCTTTTTCTCAACCTGTGACACCCCTCATTTACTGAGAGAACCATTTTGCTTATAAATTAAAGTGGAATCAACTGGAATTTAAAAAATTTAAAACAAAAAAAATGGAATCGACTCTTCGAAGAATTTATATTTATGAGTAAGGCAGTAGGTTCTAGAAAAATTTTCGGATATTCGAAAACGAACGGAAGAATCGAAATGAAAAATTCCCGGTTTTTCGGTACTTATACATATTATCCTTAAAGTTTCTCAATTTTCACCAATAGTTTTAGGGATAGCCACAAAACCTAACAAAATTTCCTCAAAAAACTCATTTGTCTCCTACCAATAAAAACCCTTAAAATACCAAAAACCCAAACCTTTGCATATTTAGCCAAAGTTTGATGGTAAATTGCAGATTCTTCACGACGCTTTTGACGGCGCTTGTTTTTGAGAGCAATACGGCGGCGTTTGCGTTGAAGAGTTATTGGAGTTACCAAACGTTGAATTTTTGGCATTTTAACACGTGGCTTCTTTCCTAAAAAATTTTTTTTGAAATCCCTTCCTGGTCAAAAACTTTAAAAAAACCTTCTTTTGCCGGAAGTGTACGTCGAATAACATATTTACGAACATCATCTTCTTTGGTTAAATTGAAGAGACGACGAATTTTTGTTGCCCGTTTAGGTCCAAGACGGCGAGGAACAATTTTGTCAGTCAATCCTTCAATCTCATTATCTCCTAAATTATATGTTGAAATTTAAGTTGATTTCGAATGGATTCTTCCTAATGTTAATAGGGGTTTCCCAATAACAAATCAAAAGTGTAACAAGGCCTCAGCTACCCCAACCAGGCATCCTACAATGATTTCAACGTATTGTGTTTAGTCGTGTTTAATTTATTGATCAGGGATCTTATCGACAGGGTTTCTAACGACCAAATGGTTATCCGCAATTTGCAGTCATCAAATGATGTCAGGGAGTACAGCCCGGATTCCAATAAGCCTTACTTAACAATCAGGCATTGAAACCAAAATCAAAATAAAGGAAAGACGAAAACATAACGAGGAAATCCTCAACAAACAATAATTCATCTCTAAAAAAAGCCTACTCTAAAAAACCCCAACTCAAATCCCCATTAGACTCATCAAAAAAACCAAACCTTTCCGAACAATAATGCAAGCCAAAGCACTCAAGTTTGCATCAACAATACATCCTCTAACAGATTTTCGTTTACGTTCACCCTTTCTACGTTGACGATAACAAGATTGTCCTTTAGATAAAAGTAGACGAACACGTCCATTTGTAATAACTCCTTGCTTCATTGGAAATCCTTGTTTGTCATTCCCTCCAGTTATACGAAGAATATAACCCTTTAAATGATAAGAATAAGGAGTGAGGGGCAACTCGAAGAATTACAAATCACAAGTCAAGGAATTCCAAACCACGAAACAGACAAGTCAAGGAACGACAAGTCATAGAAAAAAAGTCAAGGAACGACCAACTCGTTCCATGAATTGGCTGTTCCTTGACCGGAATTTTCCTTGACCTGTGTGCTCCTTGGCTTGTCTGTTCCTTAGCTTGTCGGTTTCTTGAGTTGGCCTGTTCTTTGGTTTGTCTTTTCCTTGGCTTGTCCGTTCCTTGAGTTAGCCCGACACAAAAATTAGCAAACCCCTCCCCATGAAATTTAAAAAGAAAACCTTCCATTCATCACCCAAAGGGTCAGCTTCAACTTCCTGAGCCATACGCTTCTCAAAGAAGATTCGATATTTCTTCTCATCTTCCAACTCAAAAGTTTTTTGTGCGCCAGTTGCAGGATATGCAACGTTTAATTTCATTGTTTAAATCTCTAAAAAAATAATTTATTAAATAAGTAAGGTTGTCGGTTCTGGACCGAATCGAACCGAAGAAACGAGGATTTATCGGTTCGGTTCTTCGGTTCGGTTTCGGATATCCGAAAACTTTCCAGGACCGACAAACCTATAAGTGAGTAAAATAATAAAATAATAAGAAACTCCAAAAAATAACAAAAACAAAGATAAACCCAAAAAAACCAAAAATCCAACCCACAAACAAAAAAAGTCCCCCAAACCTAATCTCACAAGAAAATCTAAAAACCACGACATAATAGTACAACGCGTAAAACAAGACAAAATGGTAAAATAAAACAATTTAGAACTTAACGACATAATGGTACAACGGCTAAAATTCGACAAAATGGTACAACCACTTTTCTCTCACCGTCTCTCCTATACTCTTTTCTCCTCTATTTCTCTAACCCTTAAGAAATTAATGTTCTCTAAAAATTTAACATAAACACAACGCCAAAACCATAATATAGGCAAAAATATAAACTTAAAGCCCTCTACTCTTCCAAAAATCAATAAAACAAAGTTTATGCCTAAAGCACCCTCTTAAACTTAAAGTTTTTCAAGGTTATCTACTTAAAAATTTAGTATTTTTGTCGAGAGTTGAATGAATATACATGACTTTTCAATGGCCATGGCAATATGATTTTCCACCTTTTTTTACGTAAATTAATTTTTCTTTAAAAATTTCTTAAAATTTTTTTTCTTAGATTACAACCAAATTTACAAACAAGAGATAAACAATTAAAATCTTGGGGTAGACTTGTACTTGATTATTGTCAATTTAATAAAATTTATTCTGCCAATTTTGAAGAAATTTCAAATTCTGAACTTTTTAATAATCGACGACTTAATAGTTTGTTTTTTTTTCTTTTTTTTTAAATTTTCTTAAAAAATAACAGGGAAAAAGCCGAGGGTTCGAACCTTCACCCAGCCCAATTTTTAACAATTCTAATTTTTTGGTTTAGTGGGAAAATGTTAGGTTTACCCCTAGAATAGGTTGAGGGTTCGAACCCCACTAGCGGTAAACTATTTTCTAGTCAATTTAAATTCCTTTAAAAATTCTTAGGAATATTTCTAAACCTTTTACACATTAGAAAACATTTTTAAAACCCTTTTAAACCTCTAAAACCTCCCCTTTTATTTTTAAATAGGACGTTTAGACGATTTTGGCATTCGCGCAGTTTTTGATCATTTAGAAAATTTAAAACATATAGAGTGGTGTGATAAACAAAAAACTCGTTGTAATATTTATTGGAGACGTCCAGAAGAGTGGGCAATACAAATTTACGAGTGGGCAAATTCTATTGGTTTATTAAACAGTGTTGTTACTTTGTTTGAATTGACACAAGGGGAAGACGCTATTCAAGAATGTAAAAAAATTTTTTTCTTTTTTTAAATAAATTTTTTATTCAAAAACAATTAGGAAAAATCAGACGTGAAAAACTGAATTTTTTAACCAATTTTTACCATTTTTAAATTTTTGGTGTAGTGGGAAAATGTTGTGTTTACCCATTAGGAGGGGTGAGGGTTCGAACCCCTCCAACTTCCCAACAATTTTTCTTTCTCTTAAAATTTACTTAAACAATTTAGAAATATTTCTAAACCTTTTAAACATTAAAACAATTCCTTTTTCAGCCTTCTACGGTTTGGAGAAAGACATTTTATTAAAAGGCTTGACTCACTTGGAGAAACAAGGAAAAGCAGTTTTAATTGATATTGACGGAGAGAAAGGAGGAGTTAAATTTATTTAAAAAAATGGAGGAAGAAATAAAGAAGAACGAAGAAGCTGCTATTTTAGTGGATAATTGTAATAATAAAAAAGGTTTTTTGTCATTTTTAAAAATTTTTAAATTTTTGGTGTAGTGGGAAAATTTTGTGTTTACCCAGTGGGAAGGTTGAGGGTTCGAACCCCATCAGCGACAAAAAAATTTTTCCTTCTTAAATTTTTTCTTAAAAATTCCTAAAAAAAATTTTTTCTTTTTTTCTGCAGGTTCTCATTTTTTAAAATATAACAATTTTGTTGAAGAAGGCGATACAGTTATTATTTATGTTAATCCTGGTACTAAATATTCTATCGTTGTTAAAAGAGGCAAAACTATACACATGAAATATGGTGCTTTAAGACATGAATTTTTAATTGGAAAACGGTTAGAAAATTTTTTAAAAAAATTTATTTTCCCCAACCAATTTTTAACATTTTTGAATTTTTGTTGTAGTGGGAAAATGTTAGGTTTACCTAGTGGAAGGGTTGAGGGTTCGAACCCCGCGCTTGCTGTAAAAATTTTTTTTCTTCCTCTTTTAAATTTTTTCTTCTAGTTATGGAACACCAATATCTGCCACAGCCGGTTACGTTTACATTTTACGCCCTTCCCCGCATTTATGGACTCAAACATGTCCAAAACGTACCCAAATTTTGTATACTCCAGATATTGGAACAATAATTTTACTTTTGGATATTAAACCTGGTTCTATTGTTTGTGAGACGGGGACAGGTTTTTTTTCAATTTAAAAATTAATAGAAATATTTTTCAAAAAAGGAAGTGGATCTCTAACTCATGCTTTAGCAACAACTGTTGGACCGAAAGGAAAAGTCTATTCTTATGATATTGAGGCTGAACGTGTTGAGGCTGTTAAAGCAGAGATTGAGGTTTTTTAAGAAATAATTTTTTTGTAGAATATCCTCATGGCTGGCTTTACACTTTTTGGGAAGGTGGGCAATCCTTAACTGGGGCACCATCAAAATAATCGTCCGTGGGTTGAGAGTTAGAATTCCTCCAGGAAACCATTAAATTATATCCCCAAACTTGGGGGGCCATGCTAGCCCAAAATGCCCATTACACCTTCTCTCCCCTACCTTTTGGGGTCAGCAATTGGGGCTCCACCTAAAATAATCATACGAGTCTTATTTGTCACACTCATAAAAAAACTCTTCCTCTATAATTTAAAAATTTTCCAGACTCACGGACTTTCCTCAATCGTTTCCATAAATTGCCACAACAGTTGCTCCAACAATGGTTTCCCTCCTGAAATTTCTAATAAATGTGATGCTTTATTTCTTGATTTACCTTCTCCATGGCTGGCTGTACAAGCTTGTGTTGAAGCTTTAAATCCAAATAAATTTGGCCGTCTAGTTTCTTTTTCTCCATGTATTGAACAAGTCCAACAAATGGCACAAACATTAGAGAAGAATGGATTTATTAGTATCGAAACTATTGAAATTGTTCCAAGGAAATTAAAGGTTTGCCTTAGAGTTAAAAATTAAGAAGGTTCAGGTTTTGACTGGGATTAACCCCCGACCATTGGAGAGACGTTTTTGGGTTATCGGGGTCGTGGACTTATCTCTTCTCTCCAGAAGCCCACCTCTAACATAAGACGGGGACCGCAGTCTTTGGGCTCCTGACTCTCCTATAAGCAAGAATACCAGTCTTCGAGTTCTTAACTCTTCTATAAGCAAAAACCACGGTCCTCGGGCTCTCCTATAAGCAGGAATACCAATTCTCGGGCGCTTGACTCCTCTACTAGTCTAGAGCTTCAGTACTTGAGTTCTTGATTATAAGGGGATCAAAAACTCCATCAGATTGATCAATAAGGATTTTTATCCATAACCTTCCCTATGTCAAAACACCTTTAGAAACCTTTAATATTTAGGGGTTCCTTAAAAATTGGACATTTTGTCCCACTTTCCCTCCAAAATCAAGAATTTTCTTTATACAGGTTATCAATGTCGAATCTGAAACTTTGGCTGAAACAGCATTACTTGGATCCAATTTACCTATAAACTATAAAGGAATTGAGGAAAATACTTTGAATAAACAACAAAATAAAACTCGTAGAAATAATAAAAGAAAACGTCCAAAATGGGCAGAAGGAAATGATCAAGAAGAGACAAATGGAGAAGAAAATTCAAAAAAAGAAATTATATTTGATACAATTCCATTTCCAACAAATCAACCTACACATACAGGTTATTTAACTTCAGCTACTTTATTACCTAAACAACAACGTGCTTAGAGAAGTTGGGTTGTTTATAAGCTAACAATACGTGTTCAGTTAGCTGGTCCCCCTTTGCTTCTTCAAATTGTTCCCCTCCCCCCTTCGCTTCCACCCCATCCTTCCTTTTTTTTATTTTTAGTTATTCTACTTTGTTTTTTCTGCCTACCTATTTCAACACCCTAAACAACGTTTTTAAAGTTGTTCCCCCCATTTCACCTACATTTTTACTTATGTTAGTTGTTTTTTTGCCCACTCAACAAAATACACAATAAAATTTTAGTCTATCAAGTCTTGATGATTTTTCAAAATTTCTATCTGTCAGTTTCGATTAAAGTATTTCCGTGCCAAGTCCCTTAATTCCGAAAATCCGTCTTAATCCGCCCAAATTCGTCGATATCCTCTGATGTCCTTCTGGATTGATCCCAGTACAAGGTACGACTAGTACGAATTTTGGTACGGGCGTCCAAGAACTGTTAAATCCTAAACCTTTGTAAACCCCTTAACACTCTCAAATACGAGCTAGACTTTTTTAAAAACAATTATTTTAAAATTCAAATACCAAAAAAAATTAAAAGTGAGGTAAGTGACTTAATAAAAGGCCTCAAAAATTTTTTACAAAAATAAAATTCTTAAAAAAAATATACTTTTGACACCAAAATTTCATCTCAACTCTTCTCTTTTGTCACAATTTGAGTAACACTTGACTTGGTTTCAGTCTGTGCCCCAAAGCCCTGTACAATTTGTAGCCCAGCTTTCCTAGCCATCCTTCCAGCTATTGAACGAGGACCAAATTCATAAATTTGAAAACTTGCAAGTGTCGTGTGACCTAAAGCATGTAAAGCGTGATGGGTTGTTTGGGAAGCTTCTGGGCCGTAACTTGAAAATAATTTTTTTGGGAAAAATTTTTAAAATTAAAAAAAACCGTAAATTAACAGTTTGAACAGTTTCATCAGAAATACATCTAATTAGAGTCTTGGAAGCTTCTTCAAGCGAAATCCAAATTGTTGAGAATGCTGATAAAAATTTAAAAAAATTTGAAAAAAAAAATTTTTTTAAGAAAATTTTTCAAAAAGTGTCAAAATGTCAACTCCCCCGGATTTTTAAAAAATGTCAGATGTCAACTAGAGCTCGGGACCCCGTAGCTCCCGTCCCAGAATCCCGGGGTTTTTAGCGACAAACGGAATTACCGGAATTTACGGATTAATCCCGCGGGATCCCGCCCCGTTCAAAATTTTTAAACTCAATCCTGTTCCGGAATCCCGGGAATGCGATTTTACCGACCTCTAATGTCAACTATCTCAAAATTTTTTTAAATATGTCAAAGTGTCAACTAAAATTTTCTATGTCAGCAATTCCAAAAATTTTTTACTACTGTCAAGCTTGTCAGCTACTCCAAAAATTCTTTCAAATTATTCAAAAAAAAACCTGTAATTCCTCCCCCTACAACAGTAGCAGTTGACCTAAAAGCCCTTCCCCCAGTTCCATCTCCACTTAAACCATCTGCCACTTTTTGGCCTATAGCAACACCAACATCTCCAATTTTATCGAGAACAAAACGAGTAACTTTAGCAACAACTTTACTTCCTTTATGTAAAATTACAACACCATTTTGAATTAATGGATGAATATTTGTTGGTTGGGCTGTTGGTTCCTTAAAAATTAAAGGAAAATTTGTTCCTAAAATATTGGGCCTAAAGGAACAACAGCAGAAATGCCAAGAGGAAATTAAATTTTTTAGTTTCTCACAAAATATTCGGATTGGGTTTCGGATTTCGTTCCGAGTTTCGAATTTTAGATTGGGTTTCGGATTTCGTGTTTGGTGTTGAATTTCGAATTGGGGTTTGAATTTCGTAATTGGTTTCGAATGGCAAATCAGGTTTCGCATTTGAATAGGGTTTCGGATTTCGTGTAGGTTTCGAAAGTTCGTGAAGGATTTCGTATTTCGGATTTGCATTTCGAATAGAGTTTCGGATTTCCTGTCAGATTTAGAATCGCGTTTCGGCTTTCGCATCGGATTCCAGATTTCGTTTCGAAAAAAGACCAGAATTTCGTGTATCGAGTGACCCATCCTATCCCTAATACCACCACAAAAATAAAAAAAGAAACCAAATTAGCTCTATATTCTTCTCCTTTATCAGCCATATATTTTCCCGTTTTTGTAGCAGCACTAGTAGCCCCAACAGCCAATTTGTCCCCCACATCAATCAAAAATTTTGCTATTCTTTCAGAGGTTCGTTGTTTTTGTTCTTGTGACATATTTGAAATTACTTGGCTTTCTTTAATTGTTGAAAATTGGTTTAAGGCAAAAACAAATTCTTTTTCAAGTTGAGGAGAAATGTTGCGAGGTAAAATAATTCCAACAAACATTTGTGGGTGTTCTCTTGTTGGGTTTGGAAGGACATAAATACCTTTAAATTTAATAAAAAAACAGTTAACGGAAAAACAAAGTCATCCGAGGAAGATTTCTAAACAGTTTTAGGTATGGCATCGGGAACTAAATAGCTTTGGCTGGAGCTTCCCCGCCCAAATTCAAAAAATTCCCCAACCACCTTAAAGCAAATTCCCCAGCTTATGGTTGGAGCCAGAGTTGGTTTCAAAAAACATTCCGAGTCTGGGAGCTATATCGAGTCCCGCTCAACAGCCCCATAAAATGCCCAATACCCTATAATTGTTCACAAATCCCCGCCCAAATTCATACTACCTAACCTCCTCAAAGTTAAATTCCCCGCCATCCTAGGAAAGGGTACAGGACTACCATAAAATCCAAAATTTATTTTCCCCTTACAAACCCTCAAAAAAATAAAAATAATTAAAAAATAAAATACCCAATTCATTTTTCATAACAGTAGTAAGTTGAGGTCCACGTAAAGGATATACCCATGTTCCAACTTGAATGAATGCTGGAGGTAAAGGAGCACTTTTTGAGCAAGTTTCATCTTGTTTGAGTTCAATAAATATAGCGAGTGAAGACGGAGGTGTTGGAGCGTTTGTCTTGTCACCCTAGAAAAACATATTTATTGTTAGATAAGTAAATATTCTAATAAACGCCCATCCCTAACAGGAACTTATGCACTGTTAGAAGCTCACTTAATGAGTCTGTGGGCCTCGGTGATGTGGTTCTCAGTATGGTTGACCCATTTCCTCAATGGGTCTCTCATCGAGATCCTCAATGGGTACGTTGAGTGGGCTTCTAACGGGGCAAATGTTTCTATTGGAGATGCCACCTTTATTAGAACATTTACGGTAATTAAGCCTATTTAAAAAATTCAAATTTTCAGTTCAGGAGAGCGTAGTCCGCAAACATCCCACTCTTTTTTAAATAAACCCTAAGAGGGATGTCACGGGTACCCGAAACCCGGACTTTTTTTTGACCCGAAATCCGACCCGACTTTTTTTTCTCGATCCGTGACATCCCTGAACCCTGAAGACTGTCTTCCAGAACCAAAAATATTTCCCAAATTAGGGTATCGTGTTATCTCGCCAAAAGCTTGACTCGCCAAAGCTTGACTCGCCAAAAGCTTGTTTCGCCAAACCCCCAAAAGCTGTTGACTCGCCAAACCGTGGAAAAAAGCTTGTTTTGCCAAATAAATACCAAAACTTATTATTATTCAATTTGTTAATAAAACTGTGGAATTTTTTATTATTTACCTCGCGGCGGAATAACCTGTTGCTTTTAGCCTGTTGTTTTTAGTCTTCGCTGGAAAAACTGTTTTTGTGCCAGGCTGATTTTTGGGTTCAAAAATTCGATTATACAGATGATACCTCATTCGAAAGTACTCGACGAGCTGAGTCGAATGACACCAAAATCAGCTCGGTTGGATGATTCTGAACCGAATTATAACCAACTGAATCTTCGCTGGAAAAACTGTTTTTGTGCTGCTACGGAGGGTAGGCCGGGCATGGTCTTCGCTACACGATGGCCGTGCTTCGCTGCGGTCGTGCTCGCTTCGCTCGCGGCGACCGTAGCGAAGCGGCGGCCGTCGTTCCGCTCGACATGCCCGGCTTCCTCCGCAGCGGCAAAAACTTTTTTCCGCGTAGGCATTATGTGAGAGGTTTCCACACTTTGTATTATGAAGGATTTTGGAGGAGGATTATATTATACACAAAGAGGAGTTTTATAAAATTTTTCTACAGTTTGGCAATTCAACAGCTTTTGGGGGTTTGGCAATACAAGCTTTTTACCACGGTTTGGCAATTCAACAGCATTTGGGGGTTTGGCAAGACAAGCTTTTGGCGAGATAAAACGTGCCGCCAAATTAGACTACTAAAAATAACCTCAATAATAACCAATTGTACACCATCAGGTAACCAGTAATACAATTGAGCATTTGGTTCAAATGTTGTATTCAAATTCCCTCTAATCTCAGAAATTTTTTCTTTTGAGATTTCTTCGTTTTTTGTATTTTTGATTTCTTCAATTCTATTTTCAACCAATTCTTTAACTCTTGACAGGCCTTGGGAGGTTTTGGACAAGTTTTCTTTCTTCTCAGAATTTGATCCTTTTTCCAATTCAAATGCTTGTTGTGACAAGTCCAGACCTTTCTGGTACATTAACAAGGCGTTTTGCTGCAAAAATAGAATACATAGTAAGGGCGTATCTAGGAGTTCAGTGGGAGGGGAAAAACTGGAATGTGCGCCTAAAGCCACCTCGACGAGTAGCCCCTGGTCATTGGGATGCTCCCAAAAAACGGGCCCACCAATTTTATGAAATTAGTGACCGGTTAGATAAGTATCACCCCAAACCAATGGGATGTACCCAAATAACGGACCCGTTCGATTTTTTAGAAACTAGGGACCTGACTTCAGTCAAAATACTCAAAAAACCCCCTCAAAAATCCCGAGGCACCATATTATAGTAAAACAAAATTCAATAAACAACCTTATCGTTAACTTCATCGTAGCATAATCCTTGTTCAATAAGCGCATATGCTTCTGAGAACAAACAATCAACAGCATCAGAATTTGACATTTTTCGAATAATTAGACTGAAAATTCTGAAAAATAAAAATTTTTTTAACAAATTATAACTAAAAATAAACCAGTCAGTCCGTTAGCGACTTGAAAAGAAACTTTAACTTAAACACCTTAACCAACCTATGACTCATTCACATTCACGCTCCAAATTAAATTTTAGCAATTTCAAAATCTTAAACGGCCGCCTCCTTTTTTTCCTCTCAATTTTTAAAGAACCTCCTCCCACATCGACAAAATGTCAACGTACAAAATTGAATTAAATAAAAGGTAAGTAAATGTTAAAAACATTCTTCAATAAGATTAGACTTCAAAAAAACAAAAAAGTATTTTATTAAACTCAAAAAATAAATAAAGTATTTGATAATATTTTGTATAGTCAACCGGTATTTTTAGCGATCCTCCTCAAATCTCTTCTCAAAAAAGTCGACAACCAACAATGGCCAACGCTTCGAAACAACCCGCGATGGGAGAAATTCAGAGTAGTCCGTCCCAGCGTATTGAACACAATAGAAGATCTACAAAATTATATGGATTTAAATAAGTAAGGACATCGAACGGTTTCCTAACCCTCCCTTTCCCAGATTTTTTTATTGATGTACAAAATGGTCAGTCATTTCTTATTTGCTTAATTTCAAAAATTAACAAGTGGCATAAATTCAACTGTTAAATGTAAGGACACACTGGGGATTTGGCATTTCAAGTTTTCAGAGGTTTGGTATTATGACATAATTTCCTATTTGGCTTTTTGAAATTTGGCATTTAGACGGTTTTTCGGAGTTGAGAATTCTCATAAATATAAGTACTCTTAATTTAACCGGTTTTGAAAAAGGATGACTGAAAAGGTAAACCTATAAATCTTTACTCACCCGCAAGGGCATACATGAAATATAGGTCAAACTGTATTGCTCAGCGCATTCCCCTAATTTTCCTTCATCTCATTTTTATTATTCCCACTCTATTAATTAATACCTCATCATCCATTCGCGCAGAGCCAATAATTTCCTTCACAGGTCCTAAAGGCTTGGCATTGAGCATCCGCTTCTGAAAGCAGTTGAACTTCTCGATCAATTCCGGGCAATTCAAGTTCTCCTCCGGCTCCCTAAAAATTGATATTTAAATTAAAATTTTCCTTTTTAATTGCTAGAGGGTAAAAGTTTGGGTTGTGTGTGACACCTTTTTTCTCATTCTTTCATATCCTAGAAACTCAAAACACGAGCCACACATTGACTAATTCTCTTATGCGGGTTCGAACCTTCTGTGAGAAAATTGGGTAATAGTCGGTCTCTTACCCCAACCCCCTCTTTTTCTGACCATTTTTTTCATTTTTCCTTCCCTTTCTCCCTTATTTTTCATGAGGTAAGTATCAAAAAGGATTTATGAGATACCCTCACCAGTATACCCTCTTATCAGGTTCTATTTATTTACAAAATATTTACCAAGATTTTTCACTCTCCGGATGTCCTTTCCATTTCAAAAGATATTCAACTCGGCCATTATTCAACACGCGCTTATTGCAAATTGCCTCGACGACGTATTGCTTCTGAGGTTTTATAATCGGAATTGATCCTCCAGATGATGAACTATCCTCACGTTTCAGTCCCATATCGCTCACTTTATTGCAAATGTCCTAAATTAAAAATTTTTATTGTATAAGATTAATCAGGTTATCGGGTAACTTGATAATTTAAGGAGAGTTGGCTATCACCAAGATGTAAAGGAGTAAAGATATACAAAAGTTGGTAGTTGTGATATTATGATAAAATGATCGAAGATTATGCCTAAACGCGAATATCGATAAACAAAAGTTGCGAAATGAAATCAATAAGGGTCTTCATATGAGCAAGAATTTAATCAAAAATGAGTGGAGAAAGAAAAATAAGAATAAAAGAGTCAACCCTGAATACCTAAATCATTTTGATATCGGTGGATTTGAGGGAAAAGAGAAATATCAAAGATACCTGTGATAGGTTAATTACCCTACGTAATTTAATTTACCATAAATTATTACGGGAATAAAGATCTGTTCAAACGGAGCTACTTTATTAAAACTGAGTACTACTCTCCTCTTAGTAATTATCGATTAGTGAGAGTATGCAACAAAGGACAGACAATATTATCGTATTATTGCATACCCGCGCTACTCGTTAAAAACTACATACACTTCTGCATTATCGATTAGCGAGAGAGTATGCAATAATAGGAGAGAAAATGTTCTCATAGTATTGCATACTCTTTCGCTAATCGATAAAAAGACTATATACTCTCCACTTAGTAGTTATCGATTAGGAAAGAGTATGCAATAATAGGAGAGACAATGTTCTCGTAGTATCGCATACTCTCTCGCTAATCGATAAAAGTGACTACATTTCTCCACTTCTTAATTATCGATTGGCGAGAGAGTATGCGATAATAAGAGACTGTTCTCGTATTATTGCATACTCTCTCGCTAATCGATAAAGACTACATACTCTCCACATCTTAATTATGGATTAGTGGGAGAGTATGCAATAATCTCTCCTATACCCTCCTAATCGATAATATACACCCGCTGATCGATAGACTAAATACTCTCCACTTCTACTACGTTACTACATACTGTTGTAGAGTTACTTAGCCTTTTTATCGATTAGAAACAGTTTTTATCAATTAGCAAACTTTCGCGTTTCGCATTTTTCGGATATTTCGCATCTTTCAGCTCAAAAAGTTTCGCATTTCATGTTTCGCTTTTTATTTTAGATTTCGCCCAGCCATGCTAGGTACCCAAAATGTCTAGGTACTTGATGCCATAAAAAGTAGTAAGTATTTAGGCATTCAGGGTTGACTTTACAATGCATCAAAAACAATTCAGCACACCAAATAAAATATTAATTTAGAGTTTATTTCTCCGCATTAAGATAAAATGAATGCATAGTAATAAGCAGAATTGAATGCCACTGTGGGAACGTCACCATTTGAGTAAAATAGACCACCAATCAATATTATCGATTTTTCTAACAGAATAGAAAAGACAAGAATTGTGATGTCAAAATGGTAGCCTACGCTAAATAAAGAAAAGCACAGGTCAGAGAAAAGAAAATAGTTTTATGAATGTCGTAGAGACATGTCTACCTGCGGTGAGGAGCAGGCAGACGCAATAGGCGCGTAAGAAAAAGAAATACAACAGCAAGCACGCGTAATCCAGACAATGAAAGAAACAACACCTTACGTTATATCTAAATTAACTACTAATAGACCATTTTTAACCCAGACCATTTTTTACTGGAAACAAAAAATTAGCGAACCTACATAAACTAGTTATGTAGACATGTGTCCGCACTTGCAGAAAGAATATGAATGAATAAAAATAAACCAGCATAAGAGAAGTCAAATGCTGTGATGATCTGAAAAGTTGTCACTATTGTGAAATAAGAAAAGAATAAAGACAAATGCCCAGCTGCGTGGGGCTTGGAGCGAAACCTGCAATAACAAAAGACGCAACGTGCGCCTCCAAAAAATGAAAGTAATTGATAGTTATTGAAGACAAGCAACAAGCATAACACGTAATTCCTCAAGGAAATGTCTCTTTTGGATTACAAAATGGTCAAAGGCAATCAATGGGCAAGGATTAAATTCATTTATAAAAAAGCAAAAAATATGGTAACAGCGTCATTTTCCGTTTTTGTTTCTTTAAATTTGTTTTCAGATCAATGAATATTTTCAATCTTCCAAAGAGTGAAGAAGCTGCAATTCAAAAAAAACCGCTCAAATGGTCATGAAATGAAGTTAGTTTTTGAAAACAAGTTAGATGGCAATTAGGAGCCAAATGTACCACCGAGCTATAACTTCGTTCAAAATTATCGAATCCGGGATGCCCTGGTATGGTTCGATTCAGTTCAGCATTATTGTAAGGCCGGGTTCATCCTAAAATCACGTGAACAATAATGTCGCTCTAAACTTTGTGCCTAACGGAAGTTCCCAGAGAAAAGGCAAAACACGCCACAAACGGCCATTCCCAGAGAGTTATTAGCCGCCCATTATCTAAGCTAAACATCGCCACTAACCTATCCTTGGGAAAGCAATAAGGAAGTAAGCTGGCATTTATAAGCTTTAATGGAATAGGCAAAGGCAGATCACTTCTTCATTCATTCAACAAAGTTGCCGGCCGGCCAATCCATACTTGTAGGGAGAGCGCTCTCCCTATATTCCCCCACTGCGTGCGATTCACCTATTTCTATACTCTGCGGAGTTCACAAATGATTGCAAGCATGCGCGACTCTGCTTATAACAACTAAACAACGAGGCACTGGGTAACGGGACCAACCGCTTTACTTTATTTATTATATTTAATTTGTTTCGTAGTTTATTTCATTTATTATCTTGTCAACCAGCGTTCGGAGAACCACGTCGGGTAACCCCCCACAACCGGAAATTCATCCCACTGTAACTTTGTACAAAATGGTCAGAAAATTTTATAAAAAATATTTTAAGCTTTGCTCGATAAGAGCTTTCGATTGATATAACATTTGCCATATTTATTTTCATTTGCGGAAATTTTGTCGTATGAAAATATTGGCCGAAAAAATCACCAAAATTTTTAAAAAATCATAACTTTTTAATATTTTTAATATATTTTGCCCCATTTCTTAATATTTAAATAATTCCCTCATTCCGACTTTCAAATATTTCTCTTTAATCTTATTCAATTTGTTGCCCTTCATACATTCATTTTCCTTCTAGTTTTATCATCTTACCGCCCCTCCAACCCTATATATAGTTGTTCCAATTTACTTTATTTTCAGTGTTCTTCGGAGCCTCACTTGACCCTAATTTATAAGCTAACAGTATAAAAATTATATAAAAGCTTCAATTTATTTGAGTTTAGGGTCATTTTATCATTCTTTTTTATGCTTCTTGTTTTTTTCTTTAAATATACCACAAAAATCTTAACTTTTAATCAACTCCCAAATAAATTATTATTCAAATTTTTAGATTTAAGAATATTTTAATATTTAGTTATTCTTGCAGAATTATTAAGTCTAAGCTTTTGCATCCACAATTTTCAATATTAAATTTTTTCAGGTGGAGTTGAAAAAAAGTATTGGAAGACAGACATACATGTCAGTAAGAAATGCGAGGAATTTGTGGACACAAAATGAATAGTAGATTATCCTCATACTAAAAGGTAATCAAATTAGTAGGTAATTTGATAAATAAAAATGTATATTCTTGTTCACTTCAGCTTTTGCACCCAAAATTGAGGCATTTCATCATGAAGACCAAACTAGCTGAGGCTTGCAGCGTCCGTGCAAATCATATAATCAGGAATCAAGACGATGAGATAATTTAAATTTTTTATTTTATTCAATTGTTATATATTAATGTGTTAAATTATATTTTAATACGCACTTTTTATATTTTTCATAAGGTATACTCCCAAAATAATACATTTGTTGCCAGAGGCAGACAAAAGATAAATTTAAAAGCTTTATAGGAATTTAAATTTGAACCTTGAAGTAGTAAGACTGACATGAGAAAGTAGGAGCTAACGAAAGTTAGAAGGAAAACTGCCAGAAATATCAAGATCTTCCAGCACGATGCTCCACCCCAGTTAATATAAATCAATCTTTACGTCTTGTTTCATTTTTCACGTGTATTGGCTTCTGCTCCGAAGAGAACCCATCATCTTTCTTGTTTGTAATTTATGTTGGAAAATAAAGGATTTAACTGGGAAAATACCCCTTTCCCCTTCACAAATCCTGCGGAAATTAATAAGATTATGAAAGAAGCAAAAATCATCATTCATTCGCCGAATTAATAAGAATGAAAGGATATCAGGATTTATAACAGGAAATTTTTTAGATCATCCACATTTATAGAAAAATCTAAGAATTTATTATTGGAATTTCCGTTCCATACCCAAAATTTTTCTGCAGCTTTACACAATGGTATAAGCAGAAATGTTAAACTATCAAGTTACTTTGACGTATGTTACTTTATTATAACATTACATATAAGAAAACTTGGTAATAGTGTCGTTTCCAGGCCCCATTTTTTCTCCCCAATTTTTTGCCCTATGTTTGTACGGAATGGTCAAATTTTCTCCTTTCTTTCATCAAATTTGCCTTTCCATATTTTTCCTAAAAACAATCAAAAAGATTAATTTGTAATTTTTAAAAAAAGTATTAGAGTAATGAGAACAGTCATTTTCCCAATTACTAAAAATGGAAGACTGTTGTTGTGAGACGAAAATATGAAAGAGGCAGACAACCATCAAAGAAAGATGTATGGATGATTGGGGGCGTTGAGAGAAACACCAAGAGAAACACCAAGCTTTTTGATTGTTTTTAGGCAAAATATGGAAAGGCAAATTTGATGAAAGAAATGGGAAAATTTGACCATTCCGTACAAACATAGGGCAAAAAATTGGGGAGAAAAAATGGGGCCTGGAAACGACACTATTACCGAAAACTTTCTTATAAGATTATAGGAAAGCCCAGAGAATTTTGAAATTTACGGTCCCATTTACTTCCTCTTATTTTCCTTTTTTTAACCCTGGCAATTAAATTGATAAAAAGAGAATATAAGTGGAGGTCCAACAAAATTAAAATAAGAAAGCTAACGAGGTAAAACAAGAGACCATGAAGAAAAGAAAATGGGACCTAAAGTCCAAAATTTCTAAAACCCAACCCTAAAAATATTCCACCCAAATATCCCAAAATAAATTTAAAAAGTCCAAACCTCATCCGTTTCACAATTAAACTCATCAACCATATCAGTTTCATAATTGGACTCCCCACCATCCGTTTCATAAGTAGACTCCCCATCATCAGTTCCATCAGACTCCACCACCTCAACAATATCAGGCAATTCACCGCCGCTTGAAACCGATCCATCAGAAATTGACATTTTGAACGATTTTTAAATAATTTTCAGGAAATTTTAATTTAAATCTGTAACGAACAAATAAGTTTAGGTTTAACAAGGGCGTATAAAGAGGTAGGATTATGAGAAGGAAGATTGAGAATGTTTGATCACAAAGAGGACTTTCGAGGTTGGAAATTAAGTCGTCAAGAGCCCCAAGAAAAATACCAGTGGAAGGAAATGTTTGATCTAAAGGAGGAAAAACCCAAAAGACTGGATCTGGGGTAAAGGCTAGTCCACAAAATCATTTAAAAAATCAGTAGATCGGAGGTGTATCCAAATCTGGAATAAAGGTAAGCCCGCAAAATCCGAAAAAAATTCAATATTGACTCCCACGAGGAGTCAAATCAGGTAAAGGCAAGCCCTCAAAATTCCCCCCTCCCCTCGAATATTCCCAAAATGGGTAGGGATAAGCCACTTCCCCCACCTCTGTATACGTCCTGTTAAAAAAGCAAAGTGAAAATAAAAATTCAGATATTAAATTGAAAAATAACAAAACAACAAAACCAAAAAGTAAAATTTTTAGTCATAATTTTACATATAGAAAAAAATAAAATTTTAACACAAAAAAACCTATATTATCATTCAAAACAATTCAAAACTAAATATATTTCAAATAAGCATCCTTCAATTCATCCATTATTCCTCCTCTTTGAAACGCTGATTATAGACAGGAATCAATTTTGCAAAACGCTTCCAATCACAAATATAAACTGTCAGCAAAAAAAGCGAAGCTGAAAAAAGTGAATTATTAAATTACAAAATAAACAGAAAAAAAATGTTGGGGGATGAGTCATAGAATTATGAAGATGAGTCAGAAATGGCGGGAAGGTCGATAGAAGCGAGGCGACAATGGAGTCTGGAATCGAAAAATTATAGAACAAATAAGGGCAAATAGAGTAGGAAAAAGGCAAGAGTTTAGCCCTCAGGAGGTATCGATCCTGCAACCTCACTACAGTTATTGCCAAGAGCTTTTCTTTAAACATGTAAAGGTGTTCTGTCTACTGAAGCTTAAGCCCTCGCCCAATTTTATTCTGCCAAAACGGTTAACTTTTCTGCCAACAAGGCTGAAACCCCTACGTTTTGCCAACAAGTCTTATTGACAAAACGTAGACTTTACCCTTATTGGCCTAAAATACAACCTCTGAAACAACTCGGGGGGAGCCTTTCGTTTTCAAGGCCTTTAGCCTTATTGTCAAAATACAACCTCCTTGGAAGAACTCGGGGGAAGCCCCTTCCTCCCAAGGACACCAACCCTCCCCCATGTCTAACTTATTCCTAATCGTAAAAATAGTCATGCTATTTGCCTTAATCTTGTTCTAATACTATTGTCACATGTTGCAAATATGCCTTCTGTTAAAATCCGTTCAAATTCTTACAGAACGCACGTGAATTCATGAAAGTAACTATATTGCACTTAAGCAGTAAATAAATTGTAAAATTCATTTCAACAATTTATCCCCAACTTTTGTGCGAGTTTATAAGAAATTCTAGCCTAGAAAGGAGAAAAATTTAAAAGAAAACAGACCTCCATACGCTGCATAAGACGAATAGCTTTAAAAAATAAAATTTAATTTTACTCTAAAATTAGTCAAAAAATACAAAGATTTGTTGGTTGCAGCACGTTTCAAGAGAGGCTGCATTTTGACATATGGAAACATCAAAGTCTTTGAACGATTAAACATTTTTATCTGAAAAAAATTAAATTAAAACCGGAAACTAAATTGAGAAGAAAAAGTCGAAAAAATCGGAAAAAGCCTGAAAACGTCGGAAAAATGTCTGGAAAAACCGAAAAACGTCTGGAAAATGGAGAGTTAATAAGCTGAAGAAAAGAGAGATTAAAAACTGAAGAAATAGCACGTAAGTTAGAGAAAAATTGCAAACGCAAAATCTTTTTGTGTCGAATTTCAAAATGTCAACTATTTTAGGATTTTTCAGAATATCTAAAAGTTGGGAAGGACAAAACGTTCGAAGAGGGAAAATGTTCAGAATAGGCTTTCGCCTGCGGGATTTTTTAAAATTTTTTCGAAAAATTTTTGAAAATTTTCAGAAATTTTTTTGAATTTTTAACGTTTCTAGAGATTCTCTATAAATTCAATCAATTTATTTAAATGAAACGGAAACAAAACGACAGCGAATCTTCCTCAACTTCTCAACATCCTCAAGGTAAAACAACAAAAAAGGCAGAGATTGTAGACTTTGATGAAGCTTTTGGACTTCTTGAAGATCCATTGGAGGATATTGTGACAGAAACATTACAACCTGAGGTTTAATTTTTATTTTTTGCTTGTAAACTGTTAGATTTAATCGGGACAGCGATCGTGTCGGGGTTAGGAAGGGGTGTCATAAAAATTGGATTTAAGAGAGGCCTCAGTTCCTCAGTGGTTTATAGTTTATTCTTCTCTCTGGGAGTTTTCCTCTGTTTCTTCTGATTAACTAAAGATCTGAGTGAGTTGGTCTTCGGAGAAGGATTTGAGAAGGATCCTTGAGTGTCTCTCTCAGGTTCCTCTCAGGGTCCTCTCATGCTCCCCTCAAGATCCCTCATCCTCTCAAGAAGGATATGAGTCGTTTTTTCACTAAGAGTGACTCCAAGCTGTATTATAGGTTCCAAAGACTAGAACATAAAATTAGTTGAAACGGAAGTCCAACCCTTATGGTCGTTTCCCGGCTATCTTCCCCAAGTGCTTTTCCCAAGTGCTTTATTTTTGAACTTCCAATCAAGTTGTTGATTGTGTGAATCAATTTAAGAGATAATATCTTCAATCAAAAATTAACTCTTTAGGTCCCCCAACCTTCCGACATCCAAATTCAATCACCACTAGAACAACAACCAACATCTGTTCATTCAATCGAAGAGGAAAAATCGGCAAAAAAGGACGACGTCGACAACGCGGAAAAATGTGAAGAAATATTGAAGCAATTGATGCCGTCGACAAGTAAACAAAGAAAAAGTTTGGAAGAGGAAGATGATTTGTTGCCTCCTAAAAAGATTAATGAAGAGGATGAACTGGCAAGGCTTAAATTGCAGTTTGTTTTTTTTTATTTTTTAAATTATTTTTTAGGGGGCATCCCCCTTTTGGACCTACACCCTTAAGCCCTACGCTCGGAAGACCCACACCCGAAAGACTTCACTTTTAAAAGGTTATCGAGGGTTAAGGTGGAAAAGTTCCTACCTCTATGATCCAGTTCTATATTTTTGAACCTAGGATCCTGTTATGAGCGTGTACCTTAACTTTGGGCGAGTCTCTCTCCCCTTCAATCCTATCCCCTTGAATACCACCACATCCCTCGATATTCTCTTTCAAAGGTTTATGGTCTTCAGGGTCAATAGACACTGAGGATGTAAGTCTTCAGGGTGTAGGTTTCCAAGGAGGACTCGTTTTTCTCTTATTTCTTCTCCTTTTTAGAATCCTTCTCGCCAATTTTACCCAAGAACAGCTTGAACGTTATGAAACGATGAGACGTGCCAGTTTTCCCAAATCGGCAATTCGACGGGTTTCTTTTATCTTTCAAATTTAAAAATTAAATATTTTAGTTGATTAGCCAATTTGCTGGTGTTTCTGTTGGACAAAACGTGGTCATTGCGATTGCGGGTATGGCGAAGGTGTTCACTGGAGAGTTGATTGAAGAAGGTTATTTTTATTTTTTTCTGATTTTTTTGGTCCCACCAATCTCATCGAACCTTTCAAGTGGGTCATTGAAAGGGTCTTTGAGTTCCGCCAGTCTCTCAATGAACTTTTCCGGCTTGACATTTATTCTTCCTTATGCCTGCCTCTGACCTTCCAACGAAGCTAAAACAAACGGGACATGGTTTTTCGGGTTTCCTTGGAGTAATGGGCTTTTTATTGTCTACTGGGTTCCGCCAGTCTTGGTGAACTTTTTTTAGACAAAATAGAATAGGAGATTAGTGGGCCACGTAGATTTTTCTTATATCTACCTCCGTGCTTTCAATGAAAAAACAAACGGACATGGGTTCTTGGATAACTTCCTAATATTCTGGGGAATTATCTGGTAGAGGAACATTCTTTAGGGAAAAATATCCTTGTCATTGTCATAAGAATTTTTCGAATTAAAAAATTCTCTTATTTTCAGCACTAGACATCCAAAAAGCCGAGCGTGAAACCAACAAAGAAGCTTCAACATCCTCAGAGCCTTTAACACCTCGACATTTGCAATTGGCCCTAGACAAGCTTGACAAGCAAGGGAAGTTGTTTCCGGCAAGACCAAGAAGATGTACATTTTTAGAAAGAAGATTCTTTTGAGATAATTTTGATTTTTTGGAAGAAATTGTTTTATAAATTTTTAATTTTTAAATAAAAAAAATTTTTAAAGAAGCGTTGTAATAAGTTGAGTCAATTCAAGCAGAAATTCTGTATAAGCGGGAATTTTTGGGGAGTTTTAGGGGATTCTTTCACAGTTTGAGTGGGGACTTTCCAAGTCTGAGTTGGGGACTTTTGGGGATGTTCCAAGTTCTCCCAGCATTCCTGATTGGTATATCTTTCAGAATAAATTTATTTCAATTTTTCCTAACCAAAGATTTTTAAAATTCCGAAGGCCTTAAAATACCGATTTTCCTCATCTTTTTCGAGTTATCGACAAAATATCAACTAGTTTACACTTTGACATTTACCAAATGAAAATTAACATAACGAATTGCGTTAATTTTCCGTTCAAATTTAGTTGGCGTCACTTTTTTTCTGAAATCTGGATTTTCACAGATTTCTGTTAATCTCCGGAGATTACGCGTTTTTGGTGTTTTTTTTCATTTTTTCTATTATCTCATCTGTTTTTTTTTATTTTTTTTATTCGTTATTCGTTGACCCCATTGCTGCGCGCGCTTAAAATTGCTAAAAATAAATTTTTAAAATTTTTAAAAAGTCTAAATTTTTTTTAATTGAAGGCCAGTCCCGACATGGACCTGCTTCTGCTGGATGGCTGGCCGGTTAAATTTGTTTTTTTTGCCCTTTTTTTAATTTGAGTTTAAAATTTTTTAATATGTTAGGCGTCTTCTACCGTGCTCTACATGGTGGCCCTGTGTGGTGGCCTTGGCTGGATGGCCTCAACTGGATGGCTTCAACCAAACGGTGGGTTTTTTCCTAGTTTATTTGAAATTTTTAAATTTAAAAATGAAATTTTTTTATTTTTATGTTTGTTCTTCATGTGGTGGCCTTTGGAGAATATGCCTATGGTCTTCATGGTGGTGGTCTGGGGGCCTGTTTTTTTTATTAAAAAATTTTTTTTTATTTTTTTTAAAAAAGTTATGCTTGTGATGGTGGTGGCTTGGTGGCTCTCGTCATGCTCTTGGTGGTTGGTGGCTCTCGTCATGCTCTTAGTGGTTGGTGGCTCTCTTCATGCTCTTGGTTGCCTGCTGATGTGATGTTGGAATATGGTTGGGGTGTGGTTTTTTTATTAAAAAAATTAAAATAATAAAATTTATAATGGGAGGGGGTGATTTTCAGACAGGTCCGTTCTACTCCATGCACTGGTGGTGGCTCGTCTACATGCTCCTTCTCGTCTACATGGTCCTCCTGATCAACTCTTGGCCCGGTAAATCTTCAAATTTTTAAAACGAAAAATTGCTTGCTAAAAATGCGCGAGCGAATGCCCCCACTTCGCCCTTCATTTTCTTTGTTTTTTTGTCCTTGTCTTTTGTCTTTGTTTTTTTTCCAATTTTTCATGATTTAAAGAAATTTTTGAAAGTTTTAGCTCAACTAGTGGTATGGATGGTATGGACAAAGCTGAATGTGCTTCAATGGATGGAATCAGTTTTTGGAGGTTTTTGGTTGATTGGGGAAGGGGGGAAGTTTTATGGGGAAAAGCCTGTAGAAGGCTAGAGGGGTGATTATTGATTTTCGATACTTGAACGTCTCTCGTGTTTTTATCGATTTTATTTTTGGCATTCTGTTTATTGTCAATTCATCCCATTTAAATTAGGTACATTTGAGTCTTTCACCATTTGAGTCTTACGCAAATTCATCTTCAACAACTTTTTCTTCGCTTACCTTGACCCGTTTTTTTAACTCCGATCGAGATCATTTACGTTAATTTTGCGAGTATTTCCTTCCTTTTCATCATCTTTGATTGATTTTTAACTTTTGCATTTTTAATTACTTACTTTTTCAGATTTTAGCATTAACCTCTTTTAATTACTAAAATGACTACTCTCCTAATTACTCCAACCTTAAATTCTACTAATCAATTTGCTACCAGTTTTGCTCTTCATTTGCTCAAAGCTGATCGATCTACTAATGAGAACAGACAACTTTTTGCTTTGGTTTCGCCGAAAGATGGGACGAAGATTTCAAAATCGTTGAAACCTTATCTTGAAGGAGGTCAACTCAATATTCTGTTTGGCTCTTGTAATTCTCAAAAGATTGTTAAGAGAGTTGTCGAGGTTTATGAGGTTTGTGATTTAAGATGGGTATTGTCTAGGGTTCATAAAAGCTTTCGGGATTGGCTTGTTTGTCTTCTCTGGTTAGCCTTATGCCATAAGATTCAAGACCGTGTTACTTCAGGTTCCGTGGACGGGCCGTTGTCTTCCCTGTTTGTTTCTGGTTAGTTTTTGCCATATGATTCATGACCATGTACTTCAGATCCGGGGACGGCCTATTTGTCTTCTCTGGTTTCTCTGTTAGATAAGGTTCAAGACCGGGTACTTCATTGTCCGTATTTGGCCCGCTTGTCCTCTCTGGTTCCCTTTGTGGGATAAGATTCAAGGCCTGGTACTTCAGGTTCCGGGGACGGCCCGCTAGTTGTCTCCGGTTTCTCAGTCGATAGGATTCAAGACCGGGTACTTTAGTTTATTAGCTCCCTTTAGTTCTTTACTCACCTTAATCAGTATTCAAAAATATTTTTACAGATTCGCTCAGTTTTTGTCATAATAGACGATGAAAGCAACATTGCTGACGAGGAAAACAAACAAGGCCTAAAATCTCACTCTATCGCCTCAAAGACCCATTCATTCCTAACATCGTTGTGTTCGCTGCTTGACTGTTTTAGGCAAACTAGTGCAATTCCTTCAATTGTTGTTCTCTTCCATTCTTTTGGTACTGTGAAGGAGGAGTTTCTTCTTCCGCATCTTGGTATTTTTATTATTTTTTTATTTTATTATTCACCTCTGTTTCGCCATCTGTGTTTATATAGCTATGGAGAGCCCCATCTCCCTATTCCTCCAATTCGTCCAAATTTATTCATTGCCTTATGCTGAAACTTTTGGGGAGACTGTAGGGAATAGGGTTAATTTAATCTTGTTCATAATCCTTTTTTGTGAAAAAAATTGTCCACGTGAAGCCGTTGATTTTAGGATTAACAGTAGTGTTGCCGTTTCCGAACCGCGCCACGTTCGAGTCATTTTTTTGGGCTTTATTTTTATCGGGCCGGACCGGTCGAGTCTTTTGGGCCAAAATTCGAGGCCCGTTTGATCTTTCGAACTGATTCGGGCCGGCAGCTCTGGTTAACATGTTCAGGAACATATTTTTTTCATATTTTTGGATGTTGGGTGTCTTTTGGTTTCGTTGGGTAACTTTCCAATTCCTCCCTCACAACATCTCTTCTTATAGGTTGAAGGTTCAAATCCTTTTGGGGGTGTTATTATTTTTCTTGCACTATTTTTATATTCAATTTTTAACTAATTTTTTCTTGCAGATATTTGTCTACCTCTTCATCCAATTGTTCAATGTAAAACAGAAAAATCTGCTCGTTTTTCTTCTCTTCACGCTTTATGTCATGCTTTTGCTGTTAGCTACAAGATGAATATACAAATTGGACTTATTGGGGAGACAACTGGATTGATTTGTAATCGAAATGTATTTTTGGAGTTTGAATGTTTGTCAGGTCTTAAAAGTGAGGAAAAGTCGGAAATAAATTTTTTCGAACTTGGAAGAATTGATGGAGATGAAGAGGTTATTTTTTTTATTTTTTGGTCTACTTTACTTGAGTGCCAGTTCCAAAATCTTGGTTTATATATCCTTACACTTAGGCTCGTTAAGCTGACAATGAGTCGACTGGTACTTCTCACTAATGCCCGAATTGTGTGTGGGTCGCCCTTTGACTCGTCAAGTTGAGTTGACTGGTCCCCTTCTCTAATAACGGAATTGTCTTTGGGTCGAGATACAGTCCTTCTAACGTCACAAAACTATAGGGGGGACCAAGCTCATTTTTAGGTCTCTAAATATTTAAATATCGGAGAAAGGTTAATTCTAAGGTTCTTTCTCATAAGGTGAGAAAGAATTGTTTTTTCGGAACTGTCCACACTGGCTAAAGTTTAACCGAGCTTTTTTGGAACATTTTAACAAACTTTTTTCATTTATTTTTCAGATTTTTACTTTTACTCGTTTACTTTTATTTTCAAATGTTAAATTGGAAGAACAACAAAAACAACAAGCAATTCAATCGTTGTCTTCTCTTCAAAATGATTGTTCCATTTTAAATGAAAATACAAAATTTGCTTGGTCTAAAATGCCTTCTGAAGAGTTTAATGATGATAAAATTGAAAAAGAAATTTTTGAGAATTGGCCAAGTCATTTGGTGTTTTTTCAAAAGGAGAAAGGTTTTTTTATAAAAATTAAGGGAGAAAAGGATTCATTTTTTTAAATTTTTAGAGGACGAAAAATTTTTGGGGGAAGGCGGGCCGGCAAATTTGAAGAAGAATATTTGTTCAAATTTGTTTTCTCCTTGGCTTCTTAAACAAGTTTGTAGTGAATTTCGAATAAATTTTGTGGAGTTTCCTCAACAAAAAAGTTTTGAAAAAATGAAGATGAATATGGAAGAAGTAAAAAATCGAAAAGAAATTGTAGACTTTTTTGAGAAGAAATTGGAAAATTTAATAATGAAGATGGAAGGGTGAAGAGAAACTAAAAGGGAAGACAAAAATAAATATTTGGTGGTGGGAAAAACAAAATCAAAATAAATTTGCTGGTGATGGTTTTACTACTATAATTCTTCTAATTTTTGCTTGGTGATGGGTTTTGTTTTTTTGCTGAGGTTTTAACAGGTTTATAATATTTTTGTAATTTATTATTTTTTAATAATGTTAATTAGGTGAGCAAAAGATAAAGAAAAAATAAAAAAAATTTTAAACTTAAAATTCCTCTAGTTTTTTAATATTCTTCTCATATTTTTCCTCTTTATTTTCTCGAGATTTTTTCTCATTATTAATCATCACACTTCCGGAAAGTTTTTTTTTAATTTTCTTTTGCTCTTTTTGTTTTCTCTACTAATATTTAAGAGAGAAAAATATTTTCTATTTTGCTCTATTTTCTTCCTTCCAATATATTTGTGAATATAAATTCCTTCGTGTGGTAGTTTCTGCTGCTGGGAGTGAAATGAACGGGAAAAGGACTATTTTCTTACTCTTCTACCAACAACTTGTTGACCGATACACTCGTTTCTTTTCTTGTCATTTTCTTTGAAAGTTTAATTGAACTAATTGTTTGTGTGTTTGGAATTCTTCAATGTTGAGAGATTTTTGTTTTTTTTTCTGAACGACTTTTGACTGATTAAGTTTTTTTTGCTTTTTTTTTAAACGTATTTTGTGAATTTTCTTGAAGGTTTTGCTTTTCAACAAAGTTTTGCTTTCCAAAAAAATTTTTTTCTGTTGTCTTCATGTTTTTCTTTGTCTTCTAATCAATTTTCTCCTTTTAATCAGCCATTTTATAATTTTAATTTAACCATTTAAATCATCCATATCTTTAATTATCCATTTTTTTCTTTTATCTATCTACCTTCAAAAATTATTTTTTCCCACTTTAAAAAATAATTTTTAAAAATTATTTTTCTTCCAATTTACATTAACAAATGAACAGAAAAAACAATGTCCTTGCTTTTTCTTAAAAAATATTCTTACTAGATATTTTTCTACTTGAAAATTTCGCGCGCAAAGCTTAAAAAGTCAGCTTTAAAAGCAAATAAATTTCTTGTAAAAAGCTAAAAATAATAATTCGCACTCTACTTTGGTTATTTTTTCTTCTTCGTTTCTTCTTCTTTCGGAGAATAACTTTGTGTGTCGTTTGTCGCTATAAAACAGAATCAATATTGAATGAAGAAAAAATTTGAAGAGATTGGAATATATTGGACGAATGTATTTGTGTATGTGTGTGTAGTAGTGTGCGAAAATAAATATATTTGTAGGTTACAGAGAAAAATATTTTAGCTTTTTGAGTGTTTTGTGGGTGTGTGAATTTATTTTATTTTTGCTACAATTTTTGAAGTGATGATGAAGAATGAGGAGCGGAGTGAGTGATAACAGCCTTTGGGTTTTCTAATTGAAAAAATCTTGAAAAAAATGTTTTCTTGAAAAATTTTTTTGAGGTCCTTTAGAATTCTTGTAATTTTTGAATCTATGCTTTTGCTCCGATTCTCTTTGTTAACATTTTTTAATCTTTACAGAAAAACTTGTGAATCTTCTTTAAGTCTTTACATAAAATTTGCCTTTTCAAACAAAATTTTTTGCAAAAATTTTTTCACCTCTCATTGTCAGATTTTGACGTGCCACTCTTTTTAAACTCTTAAAGCATAAGCTTTTTTTTTAGCTGTTAACCTTTTTTTGCTAAAAAAAAATATAGGCTGTGGGGGAGATAGGTGGTGATGCTGGTGGTGTTAGTAAGGCATTATACACGGCGACTTTTTTTCTATTTTTTAGAAAGCGTGGCTGTTGTTGTGTGTGTGTTTATATTTATTTATTTTTTTCTATTTATTTATGTAAATATTTTTATTTTTCTATTTATTTTTTACAAACCTCGTCTCTCTAAAAATGCTTTTTCTCTCTTACGAAACCAAAAAAAAATTTTTTTGTTTGTCTAAACTTCAATTTAGCCAGTCAATCAGCCAGTCACTATTTTTTAAAAATTGTCTATTAGGTAGCTGTTTAATCATTTTTATTTTTAAAAAGCTATTTAAATTTTTTTTAATAATTTTGCTGTGAGATTTTATACAAAATTAGGAAAACGCATGCTTCTTCAAAATCGCTTTTATTATTAAAAATAATTATTTTGTGAAATCTTTAAGGTCTTCAAAAATATTCTTCTTTATCAAAAAAATAGTTTACTCGTCTAAAGGCCTAGAATGTAATTTTTTTTTAAAAATCTTTCACAATTCCTTCCTGATTTTCTATTTTAAAGGTGTCTTTAGAATATTTTTTTAAATCAGAATTTTGTTAAAGTCTCTTTGACCTTTTTTTTTATTGTTGATTCACTCATCTAAAGTCCTTCTTTAGCCTATTTTTTCTTTCAAAAAAATTTTTTTTCTTCAAAAAAATTTTTAAGATGACATTTCTTTATCTATTTATCATTCCTTTTAAAAATATTTTAATCTTTTTTTTCCTTTTTTTTATAAAAAATAATAATATTTTTATGTAATAATCGGAAATTAGTCTTCTTCCTCCCTTCTTCATAAATATTCTATTTAATAACAACAAATACTACTAACCACTGACTAAACTAATTCACAATTAAAATACTAATCCGCTTATAAATATGTGAGCGAATAAATGTGTGTGTTTGTGTGTATTTAAAAATATTTATTATTAGTGTGTTTATACTTGTGCAATATCTCCTCCTGTCTATTAAATATTTAAAAGCATTTTCTTTTATTTTCATTTTAATATTCGACATTTTCATTTAAAAAATTAATTTTCTCTCTGTTTTAAGATTCTTTAAAAATTGGTGTGTTTTTTTGATTATTTTTTTGTTTGATTCTTGTGTTGATAAAAAATGTGATAATAAAAATAAATATCTAACATAGCATCACACTTTTCTTTTTACTATTTTCTAAATTTGTTTTTATTTTAAACGTGTAAAAGTGCTCTGTTTGATAGTAAAAAATTAATTTTCTCTGTTTTAAGATTCTTTAATTGTGGTTGTGTTGGGTGTGTTTTCTCGTAAAAAATTTTTTTTCTCGTTACACACACACACACATTAATTATTTATCAGAGCAATTATAGGAGACTTGGTGGTGAATAAAACTAATATAACGTTTTAAATATAAAAGCGTTTAACTAATAGTAAAGAAAAATAGTAGTGCTGCTGCTCTTCTACTTGTGGGTTTAATGATCAATTTTGTTTGTAAAAATGAACAAAAATATTTTTTATTTTTCTCGCCCATTTCTCGTATTTATTTTTCATTATTTTATTATTTTTATATTTATTTTTCTTCTTTATTTGTCTTTTTATTAAATACAGTCGTCGACATAAAGATAGGGACAAGAGTAATTTAAATTTAAATTCTTAATTTTTCATTCAAAAAATACGTTCTATATATCAATCGAAAGCTCTATTCGTATCTCAGTTGACATGTTTCTGCATTTTTCATGAAATCGAAAATTGGTCGAGATAATCCGGATCTACCGGATATACCAAATCCCATATCCTCGGAAAAATTTTTCTGAAAAAATTTGACAAACCCATTTGATAAAGCATATTTTTGTGAGTATTTTCCACAAAACCGCTTAAAAATATCTTTGTCCGGTCCAGAGATATGATTTTTTGAAAATCGCATTTTTCGTCAATTTTTGCAAAAAATTCAATTTTTAAGGGAAAAATGCGATTTTCAAAAAATCATATCTCTAGACCGGACAAAGATATTTTTAAGCGGTTTTGTGGAAAATACTCACAAAAATATGCTTTATCAAATGGGTTTGTCAAATTTTTTCAGAAAAATTTTTCCGAGGATATGGGATTTGGTATATCCGGTAGATCCGGATTATCTCGACCAATTTTCGATTTCATGAAAAATGCAGAAACATGTCAACTGAGATACGAATAGAGCTTTCGATTGATATATAGAACGTATTTTTTGAATGAAAAATTAAGAATTTAAATTTAAATTACTCTTGTCCCTATCTTTATGTCGACTACTGTATGTGTGTGTGTGTATTTTTATGATTTTAATTTAATTTTTGTAGGGGTTTTAAAGAAAATTTCTGAAAAAATTTTTTTCTTCTTTTGAAAAATCAGCCATAAATGTCGGTCTTCAAAAAAATTTTTTAGAAAAATTTTTTCTTTTGTAAAATGTCACAATCAGTCTAAAAATCTGTCTAATCATCTATATTTTTCTTTTATTAATGATTTCTTTAAAAAAAATTTTTTTAGGAAAACTACCACAAGAATGAAAATTTAGAAAACTTATTTATCCAATTTTTTGTATGCTTGTGGGGCTAGGCTAATGGCACGCCGCTGCCGCCATATACACATTACTACATCAGACTAAATCAATATATTCAACAATTATATTTTATTATTGCGAAAGTGAAGCAAAAAAGCTTTTTTTCCTAGGTTTGGTTTTTTTAATTTTTTTTATTTTTTTTTATAATTTTCAATTGGGATTTGATTTTTTATGTTGGTTGAATTTTAGATTCTTAGGGTTTAGGTTATTAATTTTCTGAAAAAAATTTTTTTGAATTTTTTTTGGAAAGGGGGGGGGGGGTTTAATTGTGTTGTAAAAATTTTTAATGTTTGGTTCTTTAAGTTTTTGGATTAGTACTATAATTTTTTAAAAATAAAAAAAATATTTTTTTTTGATTTGGGGTTTTGGGGGTTCTTGTGGGTTATTTTGGAGGTTTTTTTTAATAATTTTTCAAGTGGGGGGTTTGTTTTTTTAGGTTTGTTGACATGAGATTTTAGATTCTGAGGTGTTTAATTTGTTTATTTTCTGAAATAAATTTATAATTTTTTTTTATGTTGGTTCTTTAAGTTTTTGGATTAGTTATTTAAAAAAAATTTTTTTATTTTTTTTGGGTTGAGTCTTTTAGGTTCGTAGGGTTATGTTGTGGGGATTTTTTTATTTTTTTTTCAAATTAATTTATTTTTTCTATTTCTTTCAGATGACTTTGTCACCAATTTTATCAATATTCTTCTTCTCCATCAGTCAATTCTCGACATTTATTTTTTGTTCATCACCATCTTCTCTTCGTTTAATTAGCCATAAAACAAATCCTGGTGTTGCTGCTGTTGTTGCTGCTTCAAAACAAAAAGAACACGAAGAAGAATTAATGGATGAATGGGCTCCCTATAGAATGGCTTTTTTATTAATTTTGGTGGCGTCGTCAGTAGCTTTATGGGCTTCTTATAAATTGTTATGGTATTTTTTATTTTATTATTTTTCAAAATTTTTGAGAAATTTTTTCTGTAAAACCTTTAGGATAGGCACCCTTTAAAATTAGATACTTTCCTAAAATTTAAAAAAAATATTTGATTTTTAATTTTGGTTGTGCATGTAAGTGGAAGAATGCTTAAATGATTTTTCTCTTATGAAATCCCCCCCCCCCTCTAACGGGATGAGGTCATATGGATACTCGAGTATAATTTCTATAATGGATGAAACTTAGAAAATAAAATCCTTAAAATATAAAATACGAGGGTGAGGTGTGAAATAGTCGGGAGTTATGTTTAGGATCGGGTTTTCAAAAGTTTCTTCAGATAGGATTTCGGATTTATGCTTGACTCATATTTTATTTCTGATTAACAGCCGGGCTATCAACTTGTTGATTATTAAAAAAATTTTTTTTAATTTCAAAACATTATTCTTTTAAAGTGAACATCCAGATGATAATGAAGAGTTACAGCAACGTGTAATTGCATACCAACCTTTACGTCAAAATTGTAATCAACTAGTTTTATCGCTTGAAGGAGGAGGTGAAGGAGGACATGTAGATGATGAACACAAACCTTTCAAAAATTCAATAAAAAATTCTTTATCATTTTCTTCTATATCTTCGTTTGATGATGAGAATGATTTGACTTGTCTTTTAGTTGGTAATGAGGAAATTGTAGGAACAAAATTTACAGCAACAGCAACAACTACAAGACTTAAAAAAGGTTTATTGTCAACTGGTAATATTTAAATGACTAAAAATAAGAATATTGAAAAATTGTGTAAGGTTTCTTTTTTTTAATTTTATAAATATTCCCGTAGTAGAGAAAAACAAAGCTCTGATATTGAACCTTTAAAAAAAAATTTTTTTTCATTTTTATTGGGCTACTAAGAGTTATTTTGATTTTTTAATTTAGAGTCCTCTTTTCTGAATTTAATATTTTTTCTCCATGGGCCAAGAGCTGAGAGTGAGATATTAAAGGATCTTTTTTCTGATATCATTTTTTCATATTGGAGTAGTTTATTAATCCTTTTAAGTCCTTGACTTTTTTCTGTCTCGGGACTAAAATTAATTAGTTTAAGGTGTCGCTTAAAAAATTAATGGATCGAGATCAAGGCTTTGTTGTTAAATTTCTAATTCCCTTTTAAATATCTAATTTAAATTTTTTAATATAAGTCTGTTTTTGTTCTCAAAATTGACCCCTTTCTCTTTTTATAAGTAATTAAATAATTATTTTTATATAAATAGGGGTTTTTTCGGTTTTTGTGTGAAATATCCAGAACATAAAATACTGAAAAATTTTTTTGTTTCCGAACCGAAGAGAAAAAGACCCCTATTTTATAAGCTTTTGCGTTCTCTCATCCCTCCTTTACTTTATCTCTCTCATTAAAAAGTTTCTGCGATATTCATATAAATAATTAAAAAATATATATATATATAATTATAAAGCGAAAGCATCTCAATTATTAATATATTATTATTACCATATTTTTTTCTAAAGCCAAGAATTGGAGACACAAAAATTTTTTATAGAATTTTTTTGTGAAATTTTTAAGGAAATAACAAAATATTTTGCCTAGTTTTTGGTCCAGAAAAAAAATTGTCTCTTCAATTCTTGGTTTAATTTCCCCCCTTTCTTCCCTTTTTTCCTTAAATTGTGCCACACGAAGGTTTTGTAATTTTTCGATCTAAAGTGCCTTGCTGATCTCTCAAAAGTTGAAAAGCAAAAACTAAATGAAAATGTTCTCTCTCTTTTTTTTTACTTTTTTATTAAATATATTTGGAGGAATTTCAACAAAAATTTTGTTTCTGTAAATTTTTTCAAGAAAAATAGAAAATTTATATCTAAAAAATTTTATAAATGTTGAAATTCCTTGTACTCTTGCAGGCAAACCTCGCTACTATATAATACGAACACCCCCTCTCTCAAAATTAGATATGTATGTACTTGTTAAATTTTAAGATATATATGTGAGGACTTGCTCATGGATGGGAGGGGTCCGCGGATTTTCAGAATCGATCAGATACGGATATGATGCTCCAAAGATTCTCCAAATATAGCGCGAGGTTTAAATGTATAAAATAGTTGTAGTTATTAGTATGGGAGAGGGTTATTAGTTTTTGGAGAAAATCTTTTTTTTTTTTTTCGAATATTTGGAAGTGAACAGAAAAACTGATGAAACAGATAACCCTCTCCGATATATCAAATAGAAAATTTGTAGAATTATTATATTTTTTTCTTTTTATTTTTTTTTGTACTTTTCCATAAAAACCAGGCTCGAGAAATTACAAAATAAAAATGAGCACACATCCATCCCCTCATCACCACCAAAAAATATATAACAACAAAAACAACATTAGACCTTCTTCAGCCTTTTAAATTCAAGTAAAAAAAACAAACAAAGAACATCAACCAACAACAACAAGAAAAACGATCTTCATATAAAGAATTTAAAAAATATAAAATATTTTTTTTTAAATAATATTTGTTGTTATGAATAAAATTTAAAATGAACTTTAATGGATGATTTTTTTAATAGAGTATTTTAAAATTACTTTTTTAAATATATTTTTTTTTATTTTTTGAGGACTTTTCGTGGCTTTAAAATTCTTCAGACTCTAGTGGAGTCAAAAAAGATTTTTAATTATGGGACTCTAATTGATGATAGGATTATGGGACTCTACTGGTTCTCAAAAAATTTTTAAGGACTCTAATTGATTTAAAGTTGACAGCTTTTTGAGACTCTAGTTGGGTCTCAAAAATTTTTCTTTTAATTTTTTTTAATTTTTTCGATTTTTTAAGTATGTATTTTCGGCGTACTCTTTAACTCTTCTTTTTTAATTAAATTTTCGGTGAAGATTTTTCTTCTAGGTTTGTTTCAAAAAAAAGTTTTTTTTTAATTTTTAACTAAACAAGCAATAATAATAACCCTTTTTAATGCTTTTCTTTTTTTAAGCTGCTTTAATTATTAAATTTATTCAAAAAAATGCTTTTAATTAATTTATTTCTTCAATTTTTTCAAAAATTTAATATTTTTTTGTGAACTAAAAACATGAAGATAAAAAGGAGAACGTTGAAGAAGAAGAAGAAGAAAATTTGGAAAATTTTGTGGTATTTGGCAATAAATAATGTATGATGAAGAAGAGGATAAATCTGGTGTGGTGTATAAATTGTGCAAAAGGACTATGGCATTGTTAGTTTAAAAAAATTTTTTCTTAAATTAAAGAAAAAATAATTTTTTTTGGATTGATTAAACTTGAAATTTCCGCTCTTTCCATGTCTGTAATTTTTGGTTACTCTTTTTTTTTTCTTGATTGGGATTATTTTGTATGATTTTTAGGTTTTTGAAGAATCTCAAATTTTTTTTTCTTGTCCATACTAAATTTTGCAAAAATTTTTTTATTTTTTTTTCTGTAAATGCCTTCGAAAAAAAGTAAATTTATAGCTTAATGTAAGCGAGGAATTTTTTTAGTTTAATCAATTCAAAAAAATTTTTTTTAATATTTTTTTTTGCTTCAAAATTTCTTTTAAAAATTTTTTTTCTCACTTTTTTTCTAAAAAATATTTTTAACCTTTTCTGAGTTTATTTTCAAAACAAAAAAACTCGTCATATTTTTACTAGAGGCATATTAATATATTTAAATATTTTTTTTCTTTATTTGGCCACCTTTTTTTCTTTTATTTTTTTCTAAAATTTTTTTTCCTTCCTCAATTTCCTCTATTTCTTTCATTTTTTCAGTCGAGGCTTTTTTTTGTCCATTTTACTTTTATTTTTTACATGCGTGTGGTCTCCTTCTACTTGCTTACTAGTACTTTTTTTACTATTTGTAACAGCTAGTAACCCCCCAAGTATAATATTTATAAATGTTTTGAGTTTGTTTGTGTGTTTGTTGGGGGGTTTTTAATTCTGGTTCATTGTTTCTAAACAATTCTGATGTTTTTCAAACAAATTTTTATGTTTTTCTAATGAATTCTGATGTTTTCCAATTTGTTTGCCAAACAAATTCTAATTTGTTTCCTCTATTTGTTTCTATAAAATTCTGATTTTTTTCCCAAGCAATTATGATGTTTTTGAAACAAATGTTTTCGTGTTTTTTCAAACAAATTCTGATGTTTCCCAGACAATTCTGATTTCTTTTCCCTATTTGTTTCTAAAAAATTCTGATTTTTCCTATGATGTTTTTCTAACAATTCTGATTTGTTTTTCTGACAAATTCTGATGTTTCCAATTTGTTTCCCAAACAATTCTGAATTTGTTTGTAAAAAATTCTGATTTTTATTAATTTATTTTTACCTACAAAAACATCATTTAAATTTATCTAATTATTTGTTTCTTCTTTACACCTTTTATTTCTTTCTAAAATTCTATACCAGTAATTTTTTAAAAAAATCCTTTTCCCCGCTCTCGATATGTACTTTTTGCTTCATCTATTTTTTAGATATACTACTACTTACCTATAGCTAGTTTTTTTAACTCAAAATTATTTTTATAAAAGATTGTGTGTGTATGTTTACACTTTTTTGACACTATTTGGGTGGTCTTTTTTGTTTTTGAGAGGGAAAAAAATATTTTTTTCCCTCACTATTATTTAAAAAACTTCCTTTTTTGTGTGTGAATATATGGTATTAATAGAGTAGTTTTTTTTGTTTAAAAAATAATTTTTTTAACGTTTGTTTAGTTGAAAAAAATTTTTGTTTGTGTGACGAGCTTTTTGCTGCTACCTTTTCTTTTAAACTTTTAAATTTTAATTTGTTTTGAAAAAATTAGAAACTTTGTTTTACCTGTTGTGTTTTACAAGTTTGTTTTGTTGTTTTTGTTTCTATTTAATTCTGATTTGTTTGTGATCCTTCTGCTGTGTTTTTATTTGATGTTTTTATAAAATTCTGATTTATAATTATTTTTAAGATGTTTGTTCTGATTTTTAAAAATGTTTGGGTGTTTTTCTTATTTGTTTTATTTTACAATGTTGTTTATTTAAAAATGTTTTGTCTATGTCTATGAGATGTTCTGATTTTGTTTGTTTTAATGTTTAATTTGTGTTGCCTGTTTTTTAAATGTTCTGGTTTCTTTTAGTTTTACAAGTGTTTTGTTTAATAGATGTTCTGATTTGTTTTAATGTTTTGTTTGATTTGTTGTGTTTATCAGAACATCTATTTATCAGAATATCTACGCACATAACATCTATTCTGATTTTAAATATCATTTAGTAATAATGTTTTTTTTGTTTGATGTTTTTAGACATTTAGAACAAATGGATGTTTATTTTTAGTAACTCTCAAAAGTTTGTTTTTCTTGTTTTTATTGGCAGAGCATTTTGTGCCATGGTGTTTTTATTACTTAATCTTTTATTATTAGTTGAGGATTATTTTTGTTTTTATAAAGTTTTTGTCAAATAATAATAAATTAAATATTTTTTACTATTTTTTGAATTTATTTTTCAAGAAATTAATTCAATTTTTTTCTAAAATTTTTATTTCTAAACCAGAAACTTTTTTCGTGTTTTTATTTAATTCTGATTTGTTTGTGATCCTTCTGCTGTGTTTTTCTTTGATGTTTTTATAAAATTCTGATTTATAATTATTTTCAAAATGTTTATTCTGATTTTTAAAAACAATATTTTTAATGTTTTTCTGAAATATTAAAATGTTTTTACGTTTTGTTGTCTCAAACAATCCATCATTCTCCCTCCTAACTTTGCACTTTTTGAATGTTTTTGTTAAAAAAACAACTTGGTATTAATAACCAGTTTTTTTTCTGAAAAACAACAAGCTTTTCCCCCAATTTTTATTTTCTTTTATTTTTCTTTTTATTTTTCCATCCATCAAAAAAAATTTTTTTTCAATTCTTTTCTTCAAAAATTGTAAAGAAAAAACGGCTGAAATGGATTTTTTGATTTTTCTTTTATTTTTTAAGAGCGGCTTTTTGGTTAAAAAACGAGGGCATCCGTTCCTATTTTTGTTAAATTGCGACGCGGAAAAAAAAATAAAAAAATGAATTAGTACACTTAATTTGTTGAGAAAAAAAAGCTGTAAGAGGAAGTGAAAAAAGCAGGTCAACCGAAAATAGAAACACGGACAAGTTTTGTTTTGTGTTTTTATTTTCTAGAGGATGTTGTGATGTTTTGTTTAAATGTTTTTATTTTTGTTTTTCTTATGTTTTTCTTAATGTTTTTCTTGTTTTCAAGTATATGTTTGGGTGTTTGTTTTGTTTAGTTTTCAATGTTTTTCTTAAAACCAGAGGAGTTTTTCTGGTTTTGTTTTTATTAAATTCTGATTTTTTGAATTAAATTCTGGGTTTTTATTAACTTCTGGTTTTGTTTTTGTCAAATTCTGATTTTGTTTATATTAAATTCTAGTTTTTGTTGTTATTTAATTTTGGTTTTGTTTTGATTAAATTCTGGTATTGTTTTTCTCAAATTCTGATTTTGTTCTTATTAAATTCTGATTTTGTTTTTATTAAATTCTGATTTTGTTCTTATTAAATTCTGATTTTGTTTTTATTAAATTCTGGTTTTGTTTATATTTTATTCTGATTTTATTAAATTCTGATTTATTTTCTCTTCTTTCTATGTTGTGTGTGTTTTACTTGTTTATTTCAAGTCTAGACTTATAAATTCCTCCATATTACTATTAGTGGACTTTAGTCTAAAACTAGTGGACATTTTCTTCAATTCTATTCTCGACACTCACATGACCACTACACACACAATTTTATTTATTTTTTAGTAATTTTTTCCTTCCATTTTTTCTCTCCTCTATTTTTTTTCTTCCCTCACATCTTCCCTCATTCGTAAAAAACAAACAGCAACCACCGGCTGGCACCAATATATAAAATAAAAGTAAAAAAGCGCAAGCGAACGAGTCTCTATTTTTTTTTAAATATTTTTTTAGTAAAAAAACATTTTTAAAAAGGGTGGGTACTTTATGGATATGTCACCCCCCCCTCCTATTTTGAGTCTCAGAGTTTTCCTTAAACGTAGAAAATGGTCAGAGATTATTTTCTTCTCCATGTCAATCATTTTTCTTTCTTCAAGCAAATGTGGTAAATGTATAAACGAAATGCATGAAATGTAAGTACAAAATATGTGAAAAGGCAAAATAAACAAGCAAAATACTTGAAGAAGAAAAAAATGATTGACATTGAGAAGAAAATAATCTCTGACCATTTTCTACGTTTAAGGAAAACTCTGAGACTCAAAATAAGGGGGGGGTGACATATCCATAAAGTACCAAAGGGTGAAAATAAATTGTTTTTATGAAGCTGAAGTTAAAAAAAATTTTTTTTTATTAAAATTCTTTGTATTTGGAGGGTAGTAATGGGGGTGGGGGGAACTTGAGGTTTATTTGGGAAACTTGGAATATTTTTGTAATTTTTTTTTGTAAAAATATTTTATATTAGAGTTTAATTTTAATTTTTTTAAATATTTTTTATTTAAACCTTAAATTTTTTCCTTTTTTAAATTTTATTTTATCTCATTTCCAAGCTAAACTTTGGAAAATTAAAAAAATTTCAAATGATTTGAACGAGGAATTTTTAAAAAATTGCTAGTTGGTGGGGGAAGGAATTCAGTTAATTTTTAGAGAAGGAAAAATTTAATTTCTTTTTTTTTGAGAAAGGTTAGGGTGAGGGGGGAAGGTAGGGAGGGGGGTCCGAAAAGCACAAAGAATATATTTTTAAAAAAGCGGATGGACACTAACTATTCACAACCATTTTTTGAGAGCTGCTATCCATCCAAGAAAAATAGATTAAATTTAAATAGGTCGAGCTAGTCGTTCTTTTTTTATAAAAAAAATTTTTTTTGTGTTCGTCGGTTGGCAGATTGCCCATTGTCTGGATTTATTTTGTGAGTGTGACTGGAAAAAATTGAGAAAAATGACCATTGCACACATAAAAAATTAAAAATAATGAGACAGCCAGACGAAATAAAAATAGAACGGAGGGAGGGATAGATAGACGAGGAAATTTATTTTTTAGTTTTTTTATATAAATTTATTGCTTTCGAGAGAGAGATAGATTAATGAGTGGATGATGAGAAATTTCGTAAAAAAAATAAATTTTTTTGAAATGAGCTGCTATAAGGATTGGTATAAGGATAAGGAGCTATAAGGATTAGACTTTTAACTATAGTTATCACTGCAATTCTAGTCTACAAGTTGTAGTATACATATCACTTTAACGTCAATTTTTTCCCTTAAGTTTGGTTAACTCTTCTCTCGCCTATTATATTTTTTTTATTATTAAAAAATTTTTTTTTTGTAAATTTTTCTTATTTTCCCAAGTAAAAAGCTAAGGATGGCACGAAGTTTTCTTCTCCTTTTATTTATTTTAAAAATTTTTTTCCAGTCGTTTTTTTGTTTATTAAAAATATATAGTCGATGACCATGGCTGTCTTTATAAAATAGGCAAGCAGTGTCCGCCCACTAATTTTTTTATTTTTATTTTTTTTTTCAATTTTTGCCTCTCGGATAGTGAATAGTAGAAAGGGAGAGAATATATTTTTAGTATTTAGTTTTAGTAAATATATTTTTTAGTTTTTAGTTTTATAGAGTACCCGATTAATCTAAATATTTGGTATTTTTTGGAAAATATTTTTAAATTTTAAAATAATTAAAAAATATTTTTTTGATTTTTATTGATGAAATTAAATTTAAAAAATTTTATTTTGTTAAAATTCATTTTTCTTATGGATTTTCTGTTATACTTTTCTTTGGGTCTTGTTACGTACCGCATTCTTGAGAAAAATATTAATTAAAAAAATTTTTTTTTCTAAAATTAATTATTTTTTTTATTATCGTTAGGATAGGAAAAAATACTTTTAAATTCAGAAAAAAAAATTTTTAAAAATTAAAAAAATTTTTTTTTATAATTAGTATCATACTTAAAATAATTTCTCTTATCTCTCTCGTTTCCTACAATATTAAAAAAATTAATTTTATTTATAATATAAAAAAATTTAAAAAAATAATAAATAAATAAAATGTGTGTCACAAGGCTAATTATTTATATTTGGCAACAAAATTATTTTTTTCCAAATATTTTTTAACAACAAAAAATAAAATGATAAGTAGCATGATGTGGTGGTTGTTGTTAACGTTAAGACCGCCTTAAATCAGAATGAAAAAGAAACAAAACAACAAAAACATACAACAAGGAAGGTGTTAATAAAAACTAGCCAATCAACATTATAGAAAAAAAGGCGGCCATTTAATAAAGAAAATTTTTTATCCCTAACATGTTAAAAATACTGTTTGTTTTATAATGTTAGAGAAAAAAAGTAAAAACATTGTTTCTCAACTTTGTTTTTCTCAACAACAAAATGTTTACAACAAATGGTTAGTTTTTGGTTATGTTTAGAAAAAATTCTGATCAGAAAATGTTTGTGTTTTTAAAAGTAGGAAATTTTTCAGAATTTATAGATGTTTATCAGAAAAACATCAAAGAATTTGTTTGATGTTGTTTGTTTGATGTTTGAATGTCAAAACATATTTTCCCAATTTGTTCAGAATATCAGAAAAACATCAAAACAACATGTTTTTCTGATTTTTATTTTGTTTTGTAAATATTCTGAAATTTTTCCTTTGTATTTTCTCAATGTTTTTTTTCTAACCAATCTGAACTTTTAAACAAAAAGTACATTTTGGTTACATATAGTAGCAGCGCCACGCCCTCCTTTATATTATTTTAAATTATCGGAAAAGCGACGCGCTTTGAGTGCTTCTATAAAAAATTTCTTTGTTCTTCTTTTTCTAATTTTTTTTTTAAATTTTGAACTGAAATATATATTTTTTTAAATATTTCTTTGTCTGTTTTTTATATTAATTTTTGGGACAAAGGGAAATTGGGTTTAAAAAATAATTTATTTAAATTAACATATATTATTTTTTTGTTAGCAATTTCAAACAATTTTAAAAAATTATTTTTCTCTATTTAATTTAAAAATTTTTTTAAACTTAATGTTTTAAATTTTTTATTTAACAATGTTTTTCTGATTTTTTCAAAACATTCAAAACATGTTTCAAAATATTTTTCTGATTCTTCACAACACAAATAATTCTGATGTTTTTCTTTTTTTCATGCAAAACACGTTATTCTGATTTTTGCTCAAAACATGTTTTCTGGTTTTCTTAGTTAAACTTGTGTTCTTGTTGTTTTGTAAATTTTTTTCTGTAAACATTTTCAGAATCTCATTTCAACATTGTTTCTACAACAATTTTAAATGTTTTCTGAATCCTTTGATGAAACAAACTTTTATATAGTCTGAAGCTTATTTTTGCTACATTCTTATTTTTTTTACTTTAAATTTTTTTCAAAATTTTTTTCTAAAGTTTTTTTTTCAATTTTCATATTTTCCAATATACACTCAAGTAATTTCATCTATTTTTTATTTTTAAAAAAAGTCTGTGCGCCACTAATCAATACTTTTAGTCGTCGTAGTCGTTAGTTAGTTTTGCTTCGAGGGGTGTATTTTTTGTCAGTGACATGACAGACTTTTCTCTTTAAAATGGATGAGAGAACACAAGCAAGGAAAAAACGGCTGTCAGCAAAAAAGGGCGAAAAAACAGCTCTAACTGCTATTTTTTTAAAGGCTTCTCTCTATATCGTAGTTTTTAAGAGTGTATAACCAGCCAGTTTTTATTTGTGTGTTTGTGTTTGTGTGTGACAAACAAGGAACCCCAACAACTAACCAACCAACCAACCCTCTCTCCAACCAACCACTATTAATAAAAAAATGGGGGAAAGCAGAGGAGGCAAGGTAGTTAAAGACGATGAAGACGGACGTCGACGACCTCTTCCTCCTTTTCTGTTTCTTCCTTCTACTACTTCTATTTTCTCTTGAAAAAATTTTTTTTTGTTATTTCCACCGTTCTTTCCACCATCCTTCTTTTTATATTTTTTTTATCTCCTCCCATTTTTTTGTTTGGGGGTTGGGAGGTTTTTTTTTCAATGAAACAAGAAGAGCTGCTTTTACTCTAGAGCTGCTGCTAGCCATTTTTTATTTTATTTTTTTGTTTTATTTTTTTCCTTTTTTTAAAAAAACTGGATAGTTAAAACAACTATTTTTTGAGTGGGGGATTTTTTGGTTTAAAGAAAAGTTCCGGGTTTATAATTTTTTTTCATTTTTTTTTGTAAAATTAATTAACCTTGGAAAATATATATAATTGGTTAATGAAGCAATAAATTTGATAATTTTTTTTATTTTATTAAATTTTTTTTTCTCTAGAGGAGAATATTTCTTTAATTGTTGCAACAACTTTAAAAAATATTTTTATTTATTTTTTCAAAAAAAATTTTTTTGAAAATTTTCTATTTTTATATTTTTATTTTATAAATTCATTCGTTCAATTACTTCCGTTCTTATTTATAGAAAAAAATTTTTTGACTATTAAAATATTTTTTTGGTTATCTAAAAATGTTTCCCCTATTAAAGCTTTTATAAAAATTGCCTTTTTTATTTTTTTCCTTATTTAAAAAAACAGCTAGTACATGGCTGGATATTAAAAAATGTTTTCTGTTCCAAAACCATTTAACCTTTAAAAAATTTTTTTAATTTTTTTGTTAATTTTTTATTTTTATACAAGACTAAAATGGATATATCAGGCATATTATTAAATATACTTAATAGTCTGCTGCCATATATAAAATATTAAAAAAAGGAATAAAATGCGCGAACATTTTCCAATTAATGCATTATTAATATTCTTCAACGGATAAAAGGAAATATATTTCCTTTCTGCTTTACAGTATTTTTTGCTTCTAAATTTTTAAAAACTAAAAGCAACACCTTGTGTCTGATACAATTTTCTTTTAAAACAAAAGAGAATTGTAAAAACTATAGAGAATTGTAAAAACACAAGAGAATTGTAAAACAAGTTGGAAAAACAAAAGAACAACAACATCGTACAATTAAACAACTTTCTTTTTACAAAACAGAATGTTTTTGTTGTTTCCAAACACTGTTTCTAATTTAAAGTTTTAAAACTTGTTAAAAACTTGTTGTTTTGTTGTCATTGTTGTTTTGTTTCAAGTTTGTTTTAATTTAATTGTTTGTTCTTTTGTTTTTCCAACTTGTTTTTACAATTCTCTTTTTCTTTTTACAATTCTCTTTTTAAGTTTTACAATACTCTCTTCTTTGTTTTTACAATTTTCATATTCAAAACAAACATTTAAGTTTTGCTTCAATAATAATATTATTATTATTTTACCCTTTATTTCCCTACTAATTTACATTTTATTTATTCATTTATTAATTAACATTCTTATTATTTTTTTGTAATTTCTTATATTAAAAACACTCACCATAATTTCTTCTTCCCTTCATTGCTTAGTTTTTTCCGTGCCATTGTTCGTGCCATTGCTTGTGTTTTTTTAATTTTTTTTACCTTTAAATAGGTAATAATAACCACTAACTAACCACGAACGTGTCTCTTTCTACTTTAATAATAATAATAATAATAATTTTGTTTTTTTTCTTCTTTCCTCTGCTGCCAGCCTTGATAAAAATATAAATAAATGTCTTGTGTCGCGCACACATAAATACAAAAAAGGAGGGGAAATAACCAACAACTTTTCCCTTTCCTTCTCTTAATTTTTTTTCCTTTTTATTGAAGCTTTCCTCTCCAATTTACCGTAGTTTTTTTTGAAAATATATTAGTGGTTGGGTGTTTATCACCGTTACACTTACCCCCTTTTACCACTACTGCTACTGCTACACGACTTTAATTATTTTTTTGTTTGTGCCCTCAATAATTTTTTAGATAAATATTTTTTTAAAGTTTGCCTTTTTTGTTTGTTTAAGCACTTTTTTGTTAAATTGTGAATTTTTTAAAATATTTTATCTTTGAGGTACTTAGTAGCTTTTAAAAATTTATCTGTCTCTCTCTCTTACAGCTTGTATTTTCTTTTTGTATTTTTGTATTTTTTTCGTATTTCAACTTTTTCTCTTTTGTATTTTTTAATTTGTTTTACAACTTATTTTTACAATTTGTACTTTTAATCCAACTTGTTTTACAACTTGTTCTTATTGAATGTTTTTCTGATGTTTTTCTTATGTTTTTTCAACTTGTTTTGCAACTTGTTTTTCGGCATGTTTTACAACTTGTTTTTAATTCAACTTGTTGCTTGTTTTTATCAAATGTTTTTTCAACTTGTTTTACAACTCTCTTTTATTTGTTTTAAAAACTTTCTTTCCAACATGTTTTACAATTTGTATTTTCTTTTGTTTTTTTTTCTGTAGTTTTTGCTGCGCCTAATTACCCTCTACTACTTAATATACATACTAATCTTTTGACCAAAAACTAAAGTTTATCTTTCTTTTTTAAAAAATTAATTTTTGAACTATTTTCATAGCATCAAATGTTTTTTACTACTTTAATTTATCAACAGTTGGGAGGAGTTTTTTTTTAAGTTTTACGTTTCTCTATTTTTTTTTCTAAATTTTTTGGAGATTTTTTTCTCTATACTTATATATTTTAAATCTCAAAAATCGTTTTTTTTTCTTCTGTTGATTCATTGTTGATTTTAACCTGAATCTGGGGGATTTTTAAAAAAATCTACAAAAAATTTTTTTGTCAACTATATAGCTAACTTGTAGCTCTTTTGATTCCTCCGCGTCGAAATCAACATGGAATCATTGAGAGAAAAAATTAACAAAATTCACAAATCCACCTCTATATTTGATTAGAAATTTATTTTTATTAATTTTCTGTTTAATTTTTATTTTTTTTAATTTTCATTCTATGGTCTATCTTTTCTCTTGCTATATTTTTAGTTTTATTAAAATAAAAATTTATCAGTTTTTGCGTGAATATTCGCAAAATTTTTCATTTTTGCTTCACATATTAAAAATGATAAAAAATATATAAAACTGGTTGTGTGATTAGAAAAATTTTGAAAAAAATATTTGGGGGGGGGGGAGAATATATTTTCTTTAAAGAAAAGTGATTTGGAGGGTAGGGGGAGCGGGAGGGGGAAGAGAAGGGAGGGGGTTGAGGAAGGGGAGGAGGAGGGATTGCTTGTTGCTTGTTCTCTCTTTATTTAATTTTTATAGCTATTTTTTCTAAATTATCATTTTTGGTTTAAAGACATACGAAAAAAAATTTTTTTTGTGGTGCGGAAGTATTTTTAATAGAGAGAGAAAATTTTTAAGGCTTTAGATTAAAGATTGAAAAATTTTTTAATTAGAGTTATCGAGAGAGGATAATTGTAAAATTGTGTGAAAATTAGTTAATTAAAAATATTTTGATTCAAATATAATTTTTTGTAATTTTATTTTTGTATTTTTTTACAGCAAACGATTTTTACCTGGAAGAAAATTTTCTTGAAAGTATTTTTTTCTCGGGTTTTAGGTTTTATTTTTATTAGTTTAATAGTTGCATTCTTTTTCTCTAATTTTTAAATACCCTTAGTTTTAGACCTTATACCTTTGCTTTTCGACACTTTTAAATTTATTTTTTTTTCTAAATTTTTATTAAATAATTTTTTTTTAATTTTGGTACAATTACAAATGTCATAAGGAAAGTGTATATATTTTTGACTTTTTTTAAAATAAGGTAATAAAAATTTTAAAATATTTTATTAGTGTCATGCATACATAAACATTTTTATATATAAACACCCAACAAGGCAACAAAATTAAATTTGTGTGTTTGTTGTTTTTATTGTTGTTTTTACAAAAACAAATGTGTGTGTGTTTCTTCTCTATTTTAAAATGTTTCTCTCTTTCTCTCTTTGTATTTTTTGTGTTTTTTTATTTAAATATATAAATTTAAACTTTTGAAACTCCGCCTACTTTTCTACCTCTTTAAATATTTTTTACTTCCTCAACTATTTTTTCATTAAAAATTTTTTAAATTTATTTATTATTAAAAATGTTTTAAAATTTAGTTAAGCACTAGATTATTTTTTGGCTTAATTTTCCTTGTATTTTTTTCTGTTTTTTTTTTTCTAATTTTTGTATTTTTGAGGTTTTTAATAAAAACACAACAACAATTAAGTTTATGTGTTTTTGTATTTTCGTATTTCTTTTCTTGGTGTTTATGTGTTTTTGTATTTTTTCCTTGTTGTTGTTGTTGTTTTAATTTTATGTTTTAATTGTTCGTGTTTTATTTTTGTTTTACTTGTTGTTTTTATTTGTTGTTTTTGTTGTTGTTTTGTTCTAATTTTTGTTGTTTTGATTTGTTTCTGTGTTTTTGGTATGTTGTTATTGTTTTTGTTTTAATCTGTTATATTTGTTGTTTTTGTTTTGTTGAGTGTTTGTGTTTTTCTTGTTGTTTTAATTGTTGTTTTTGCTGTTTTAATTGTTTTTTTATTGATGTTTTTGTTTTAATTTTAACTGCGCCGAAGTGGCATGACTTTTCTGTTCGTGTGGACGAAATGTCTATAAATTTTTTTTATAAATTTTGATTAAAAAATATTGCGAATTTTATTATCTATATATATTTATTAATTAATCTTTTCTTTCTCTTTATTTTTTTTAAATATTTTGTCAATTTTTTTATTTTCTTAAATCAAAAACCAACCAATCGCCCACCACTTGTGTGTATATCGGCTGCTCACAACTACATACACACACGCCTCTTTTTTTCCTTCATATATAAATTTTTTTTAAATTTTTCTCCTTTTTTCATTTCTTGTTTCTTTTTATTCGCTCTATCAACATTTATATATATTTTTTAATTGTTTAAAATTTTTATATATCTTTTTAGTCTATCAAGTATTTTTTAAATTTTTTATTTTTTAATAGATTGAAAATTTAATTTTTGATTTTTGTGTTATTTTGTTAAATTCTTTTTCCATTTTATTTTTATATATATATTTTTTTTTGCAATTTTAGTGTGTATTTTTGTGTTTTTTAATTTGCAACAAAAAAAATTTTTTTAATAGGTTGGAGAGAGTGGAGAGAGGGAGTATTTTTTGTAATGAACTCTGTTGGGACTTCAAGGGAAATTTTAAAAATTTTAAAAAGGGGAAATTTAAATTGTGATTTTAAATATTAAAAAAGATTGTGAGTGTGTAGAAAACGGATTTTGGAGAAAAAAATTTTTTTGGTTAATTTATATAAAATAATTTTTTTATTTTTATCATCAATCTTCTGTCTTTTTTTACCCCATCACCTCTCCTCCTCCTTCACCTCTCCCCATCTTCTCCTTCTTCATTTTCTTCTTTTTACCTTATTAAACCAATGAAAAAAAGGGACGAAAAAGTTAAGAGATTGTTGCACACCCCTCTAAAAAATTTTCTTTTTTTTCCTCCAATAAAAAAATTTTTTTTTCTTCATATTTTTTGTATACGGTCTTTTGGGCAGAGAATTGGGGGAGAAGATATCTAAAGAAGAAAAAAAAATTTTTAAGAAATAAAAAGAAAAAAAATAGGAATTTTTTCCAAGGACAAACAAAAATAAAAATGACAGAGAGAAAAGAGAGCCACTTGTTTTTTAAAAAAAATTTCTGTCACAAAATCTTTTAGTGATTTGACGAAAAAATAAAGCGACGATTGCTCTAGCTATATTGATGACTATAATTTATAAAAAGTTTGAGAAAAAAAAGTTGGGTTTAAAATATACTTTAAGTTCAAGCTTAATCTTTGAAAATGTGTTTTTTTGTTATTTTGATGTTTTTGTGTTTCTTTGTATTTCAAGTATATGTTTGGTTGATTCAACTTTAAGTTCAAGCTTAATTTTGGAATTGTATTTTTGTTAGGATGTTTTTGTGTTTGTGTTTTTACTTTGTTTTGTTTTGAATGTTTCTAAGTTTTGTTTTTAATTTAAGTTCAAGCTTAAGTTTGCAGATGTGTTTGTGTTTGTTAAATGTTTTTGTTTGTATTTTGTGAAAAATCTATTTTTATTAGTTTAATGTTTTTAAGTTTGTGTTTTTGTTTTATTTTGTTTTGAATGTTTCTGTGTTTTGTTTATTTATTTTTTAAGAGCAAGCTTAAGTTTTGGTAAATGTATTTTTGTTTGTTGGATGTTTGTGTTTTCGTTTTATTTTGTTTTGAATGTTTGTTTGTTTGTATTTTAAGTTCAAGTTTAAGTTTTTAGAAAATGTGTTTTGTTGTTTGAATTTTTTCATGTTTTTTTTGTTTTTAATTTTATTTTTAATGTTTTGAATTTTGTTTATTTGTATTTTTCTAATTCATTGATGTTTGTGTTTTTGTGTTTGTTTTGAATGTCTTTCAGGTTTTTTCTTGTTTGCATTTTTAATTCTATAATGTTTTTTTTTCAAATTTTTGTTGATATGGCAGAATGACCATGGGAGGGTAAAAATAAATAAATTGACCTTGATTAAGCGATTACATTAAAAATACCATATACATTTATAATTAAAAAAAAATGCGCGAAAAAACAAATTATCATTAAATAAAATTTTTGATCAAGGTTGTATTTCATATCATAAATATGTATATATTTATTTTTTAGTTTAGTGACTGTTTTATTTTACTATAAAACATTAATCAAAACTTGTGTTTTTTCTCCATTGGTTGTTGTATTTTCTTTTTTTTTTAGTTTGTTAGTTAGCCGAACATTTTATATTTTCTTTTAAGAACACTTAAACATGAAACACATCTTTTGTGTTTTATATGTGTTTTATAAACATATGCTAAATTTTAATTTTCCGGAAAACACACAAACATAAGACATAACACATGAAACACATAAACAAAATACACACATGAAACACATAAACAAAATACACACATGAAACACAAAGCACGAAACAAAAAAAAAGAGAAACACATTTTTTCATTGGTTTTAAACATTGTTTTTATCCTACCCAATGTTTTTGACAATTTTTATAACTACTCAAATTTTCAAGTTTATTTTTTTCCTATTTTTTAGTTAAAAAATATTTTTTTAAATAACTAAATTCTTAAGAAAACAAGCACAAATAGACAAAAAAATTTTTTAACCTAGTACAATTCAGCTGTTGTACTTTTAAAATTTTTTTAAAAGATTTTTTTCTATTTTTTCTTTTATTTTTTAACAGTAAGAAAAAGGAATATTTGGCATTGTAAATGTCATTTTAATAAATTTTTTATTTTTATTTTTTTTTATTTCGTGTAAATCTAAGAATTTTTGATTTTAATATGCGCTCTTCTAGAATTTTTTTAAATTCATATTATTTTTTAAATTAATGAGTAAATTCCTATTAAATTAAAAAATAAAAAAAAATATAGAGAGAAGAAAGTCATCAAATTGAAAAAAAACTTAAAAAAAAACAAAAACTTTTCTTAAATAAAAAATGTTTCCTCATTCGCTGCTACAGGCCGCGTCTTCTTTTGCTGCTAACAACACATGTTCGGTGCCACAATCAGGTTCTTCATCATCCTCTTCATCAGAATCTCCAAGGTCACAACATCATCAACAACATCACCATCAACAACAACATCATCATAATAATAAACAAAGACAACAAGCAATGTCTGCTGCTGAAGCTTTGCAAGCACAACTTTTGGAGCATCAACAACAACAACAGGTTGTTCTTTTTAATGTTTTTATTAAATTATGGTTTATTGAAAAATGTTTTTGCAATGTTTCTGATGGGTGTTTTAATTAATACATTTATTAAACAAACAAAACATCATTAAAAACATGTTTCTAAACAAGCATCTAAAACATTTTTCCAAACAAACATTTACAAAACATTTTTATATAAAAGTTTTTCTAAACAAATAGACAAAAACATTAAAACACTTTTCCAAACAAAACATCGTCTTAACAAAAACACAAACATAATCAAAACATTGTTTTTAACCAAACAAATAATTATTTTATAGCAACTTGCTGCAGCAGTAGGACAATTAAGTGGAGGTAGCAGTGTTATTAGTAGCAGCATTGGTCAATCAGCATCTTCTGTTGATGAAGCCGTTGTTTGTAGTTCTTCGGGTACAGGTGGTGGTGGTAGTGGAAATCAAAGAGAACCAAAACCATTTAAATGTCCTCATTGTCCAAAAGCTTTTGCTAATAATTCTTATTTGAGTCAACATATGCGAATTCATTTGGGTATTCGAGCTTTTGGTCCGTGCCAATTTTGTGGAAAGAAGGTTAATTGTTTAGATTTATTAAAAAAATTTTTTTCTCTCTAGTTTACACAACTTTCTCATTTGCAACAACATATACGTACACATACGGGTGAAAAACCTTATAAATGTAAATATGCTAATTGTGAGAAGGCGTTTTCTCAAGTTTGTTTGATTGTTTTTATTAATGAACAATGTTTTGTTTGGTTGTTTAAATTTACAAACAAGTTTGAACAGAACAATACACCTAAACAAAACATTTGTTTAGGTTTTTGTTTTTACAATTATTAAACAAAGTTGTTTTCAATGTTTATATGTACAATCAACTTGTTTGAAACAAACATTAACAAAACAAACATACAAAACATATAAACAAACAACCTTAAAACATAAACAAAACAAGTTGTTTATCTTTAAACAAACATAAACAATTGTTTTGTTCTTTTACAATTTAATTTAAAAACTTGTTTAAATAAACTTCAAACATAACCCTCCCTTTTTAAACAACTTAAACAAACATGCAAACAATGTTTTTAAGTTTTACAATTTGTAATTTTTTTTAGTTATCGAATTTACAATCCCATTCTCGTTGTCATCAATCTGATAGGCCATACAAGTGTAACAGGTTTTAAATGTTGTAAAACTTTAAAAACAATTTATTTCATTAAAGTTGTTACAAATGTTTTGCTGACGAACAAACACTTCTTGAACATATTCCACGACATAAGGAGAGCAAGCATCTTAAGGCAAGTGCGAAGGTGAATAATAATAAGTAAATATAAATATAAAATTTTTTTTTAATTTTTAAAATAATTTTGGGAAATTTTTTTTTGAATTTTATTAAAAAATTTTTTTTTCCTTTTTTTAAAGGTTCACATTTGTCCATTTTGTGGAAAATCTTATTCACAAGCCCTTTATCTTGACAAACACATGACTAAACATACTGATCGTAGGAGTGATATGCGATTTCCGTTTGTTTTCAAAAAAATTTTTTTGGTTAAAAAATTAATTTTTCTTGAAGAAAAAACGTTGGAAATGTTGGTTATTGTTCATCTTCAAATGGTTCTACTACAGCCGCTGCTGCGCAGCAACTGGCGGCTGCAGCAGGGAATGCTGCAATGATGGCTGTTTCTGGTTTAGATTCTGCTTTTGATCCTTTTGATGGGCTTGGACAACATTTGGGTCAATTGGGGTGTGGAAGTGGTGGAAATCAAAATAATAATAGTACTGCAAATGCTGCTGATCAACAACAACAGCAACAAGATTTTTCGCTTAGTAAGCAGTTTTGCTTCAAACTTTTGCTTCAAAAAAATTTTTTGCTTCAGAAATTTTTTTTTGCTTCAAAAAAAATTTTTTTTTCGCTTCAAAAACTTTTTTGCTTCAGAAATTTATTTTTTTATTTTTTAAGTAGCCGAGCAATTCCAAATGGCAGCAGCTAATGCAATGCAACAACAACAACAACATTCTGCTCAACAACAACAACAATCTCAGCAGCAACAACAACAACAATTAGCAGCAAGTACAGCAGCAGCTTTAAGTTCATATGGATGCTATCCATTTTCAGGAGGTACTAGTAGTAGTAGTAGTGGTGGAAATGCTGGGAACGGTGGGTGGTAAGAAAACAGTTGTTTTGGGGGGCTTTCTTTAAGAGAATTAAAAAAAGGAACAGAATCTTCTGAATTCAAAGAAAAAAGATTTTTTTGAGGAAATGTGTGGGTAAGGAGGATTGTTTCACTTTTTAAAATTAAGAAAAAAATTTTTTCCAAATCTTCAAAATTTTTTTGTATTTTTGCTTCAAGTATTTGCTTCAAGTATTTTTGCTTCAAGTATTTGCTTCAAGTTTTTCCTTCAAGTCCCTAAATGTTTAGAGAAAATTCTGTTTTCTTTTTTTTTTGAGTTTTCTGTTTCCAAAAATATTTTTCCAAAAAAATCTCTTCTCTTTACTATCCCTTTCCTTTACTCAATTTAATTAAAAAAAATTTTTTTTCTGCACTTAGGAAACTCAGGTAGCGCATCAACTAATAATGGAGCAATGGCAACAGCAAACGTGGTTAATCAAATGTCAATAGGAAATTCTGCTTTAAATTTTTTTCAACGTTCATTTCAACAAAATGGAGGGAGTACTGCTGCTTCCTCTATTGCTGCTGCTAGAGGGTAAAAAAGAATTTTTTTGAAATTTTTGAAAAATTTTTTTTTAAAGATTCAACATGATTACCCCATTAGAAAATATTAAACATTTTAATAGTAGTCAACAACAACAGGGAGGTAGTAGTGGTAGTGGAGGAGGGAATAGTGGTGGTCACCAATCATCTAATAATAATAGCAACAATTTTTAAACAAATTTTAGATAGAAAAATTTACTTAAAAAATTTATTTAAAATTTTTTGCCCAATTTTCTTGCCTAACAAAAAATCCTTAAGTTGCAAAAAAATTATTGAAATTATAATTTTGGCCAGTTTTTAAACTCACCTCCTTCCAAAAAATTTTTTATTATTACGCGTAGCTCTTTTTTTCCTTCTCAATATATTTACACTTCTATTTTATTATTTTAAACTTTTTCATTTTTTTTATCCGTCCACCAAAATGTTTGTGTGTCATTTTTAGATTTTTATTTATTATTTTTTTCTAGACTTGATTAACTGATTTGGACACTCTCATTTTTCTTTCCTTGATATTTCTTTTTTTTTAATTTTTTTCCTGCAAAGGTGGCTTCTCTCAAATCTTCTTTTCCTTCACTCTCGGTCGGTCTCTCTTTAAAAAATTATTTTTTCCTTTTTTGCCACAAAAAGCATTGTTATTCGTAAAATACATTGATATGTTCATCTTATTTTAATTTTTACTCTATTATCTCTGCTAACCTCTCTCTTCATTCCCAACTCTATATAGTATTGTTGCTTGTGTTTTACTTTTTAAATTGTTTTTAATTTTCCGGAAAATACATGTTTCTAAAACATCTTATAAAAACATTTCTAAAAACATGTTTTTTGTATTTTTCCGTAAACATTCAAACAAACATTTGTAAAAACATTTTCAGGAAAACACATCCGGAAAATACATGTTTCAAAAACATTTATAAAAACATTTTTAAAAACATGTTTTTGTATTTTTCCGGAAACATTAAAACAAACAAAACACTTTTTTGTGTTTTCCGGAACATACATTAGGAAAATACATGTTTTAAAGACATAAAAACATTTTTGAAAACACTTTTTTGTGTTTTCCGGAAAACACATTCTCCTTTAAAAACTCAACATTAAATGAATATTAAACACAAAATTTTTCTTTTGTATTTTTCTTTTTTCAACTTTGTATTTTTTCAATTCTCTCCTTTTCCTGTTAATTTTATTATATTTTATTCTATTTTATGGACGCCCATTATAATTTAATATTATTATATTTAATTGCGCAACATGTTTTACCTTTTATTTTATTTTTTTTTGTTTTCCGCCATTTTAATGTTTTTATTTTAATTAAAGATTAAATAGAGAAAAAAAATTTAATTTTTTAAAATTTTAATTAATCTGAATTAATGATATTTTGAAAAAAAGAAAAATTTATTATAAAATATTATTTTTTAATAGATTAATTAATAAAAATAATATTGTTGCAAGCAGAATTTTGTTGGGAATTGATTTGATGGATATGGAGCCTGATGATTGGGTGTTGCATCGGTCACCTAGACAGCTGCAGGCCTGTTGTAAAATTAAAAAAAATTTTTTTCAGAGAATTTTTTTTGATTTTCTGTGAGTGATTAAAAAATGGACCACTAGGCACGTTGTGAAGGACAAAAAAAATTATTTTACCAAAATTGGTTGAGAATCCATCAGACCCCCAGCACCACCACCAACAGAAGAAGAAGATCCAACACCTCCATGAAAATGTTCAACAGATCTTCCACCAATTTTATTATTTGAAGAAAGCCGGAATAATTCAGAAGCCAAAACTTCCCGGCACATATCAAATTCAGCAAAGAAAGCTATAGTTCTATTAATATAGCCATGTCTAGATAATGAATGGGCGCAGCCTCTCATCCACAAACGTTTTCCGGTTTTCCTTCCTAAGATTTGGGGAAAAATTTTAGGAAATTTTTTGGAAGATTTTTGAAATTTTTTGAAAATTTCGAAATTTTCAAAAAATTTCGGAAAAAAAATTTTTCAAAAAAAAAATTATTTTCCCCCTTACCCATAATAACAAATTCTTGGGCTAAAGAAAGGCAAATCCCTCGGCATGGAACTAATCCAATTCCATGTGTATTCATTGGTTGTTCATCACACTGTGCAGTAAAATTGCGTGGTTCGAAAAAGAAACTTGAAAGAAAATTAAAAAAAAATTTTTTGGAGAACCGATTTATTTAACAAACTTTCCTAGATCGCCTTCTTTGAATAATTGTTCATAGACGGCGGACATACAACTTCAAGGAAGGGGAGTTAGGTTAAAAAAATTTTAAGTGAAAATATTACGAATAGCATCGGTTATGCCTCTGTGTTTGATGAGCTGCTGCTAGTAAAAGTGCTGCTGATGCGTGCCCGGTTCCACCACTTCTGGAAGAACCTCCACCACCACCCATGTCGCGTTCTTCGTTGCGGCGGTGGAAAAAAAGTGTGGGGGCTCCGAGGGGGGTTTCTTCTAGAAAATTTTTGAATTTTTAAATATTTTTTAATAAATACCAGATAAGGTGTTAGTTATTGAGAAGGCAAAAATCAAATAAAATAATAAAAATAATCTGTCAGTAATTAAGGAAAATAATAATAGGGAGGATTTAATAGGTTTATTAATTTTGTTGTTATTAATGTTGTTTAATTGTGAAACAAACAATGTTTTAATAATTAAATGTGTTTGTTTAAGAAAATGTTGTAAACAATGTTTTAAACAATGTTTGTTTGGGAAAATGTTGTGTAAATAATGTTTTTGTTGTTGTTTTTGTTGTTGAAGCATTGATGTTTCCCATCAAAATTGATAGGAATGTTTTTAAAGATTACAAAACATTTTGTGTTTTTCTGAAATGTATTTCTGAATGTTTTAATGTTTTTCTGAATTTTTTTGTATGTTTGTGTTTTTCTGATATTGTTGTGTGTTTTTGTTTTTCTGATTGTTTGTGTTTTCTGAACTTGAATTTTATTTGATGTGTTTTCCGGAATTTTTGTGTTTTTCTGTATGTTTGTGTTTCCCAGAATTTATTATTGTGTGTTTTTTTGTTTTTCTGTTTTTCTGATTGTTTGTGTTTTCCGCAATTTTTGTGTTTTTCAATGTATTTTCTTTTTGTTTTTGATGTTTTTAAATAAGCAAGAGAATACAGAAAACGTAGTAAAATACTGAAAAATACAATGTTTTGATGTATATTAAATCTTAGGTTTATTTATAAAGGTTTTTTCGGCATTTTTTTAAGGTCATTTATCAAGCTAACTACTAGTTATTTATAACAGGAAAGAAAAATTGAAGGAAGAAAAATTTATTTATTTTTTGAAAAATTAAGGAATGTAAGTAAAAGTAAAAAGCAGAAAAAAATATTATTTTGAATGAATGTGCTTTTAATTGGAAGAAAAAAATTTTTTTCTTGTATAATTTTGAAGCAGAAGCAAAAAAAAACTTCATTTACTAAAAAAAATATTTTTTGCTTCAGGTAAAAATATTTTTTTTATTTTTTTCAAAAAAAAAAAAACAAAAAGCAAGCTTTTATACCTAAAAGTAAAAATTGGCAAAGGTAAAAAATAAATAAGTGAAATTGAGAGTAGGTATATTACATATTGTTTATGAACAAGGTAAACTAAGTAAGAGAGAAAATTTTATTAGGAAAAAAGATGAAGCATAAGGAAAAGAATATTTATTTAAGGAAGGATCAAATATCTCTTTATTCCAAACACCAGTCGTCAGTTTTTTCCCATTTTTAGGATAAGGAAAAAATTTTTTTAGAAAAAAATATAGTCAGGGATGAAGGGATGAAGCAAATTGATTGAGAAAAAAAATTAAAAAAAAATTTTTAGAAATTTTTTTAGAAATTTTTCTGGAAGGAATATTCGTGACAAATAACGCGTCGTCGATTTTTGGCACATTTTTGTGTGTCTTTTAAAAGAAGAAAAAAAATAAAGAGAGATTTTTGAACTGATGAGAGGGAAGACACACTTTAAATAAATATAAACATTTTAAAAAGCTTTTTGCTAATAGTTGGTATTTGACAAATTTATAAGTGCCTGGAAATTTTGGAAGAGTTTTGTAGAGGGGGGAGACTCTTGAAAGTTTTGCAATAAATATATTTTTAAGGGGATTATAAAAACATTTGTTTTTGGAATGTTTTAAACAAAAGAAACAATAGGGAAAGAGAAAAAATTAAAAATTGATTTGTAAAATGTTTGATGAAAATAAAACGTGTTTTTGAAGAGATTTGTAGAATTGTAAAACATGTTCCGGAATTTGTAAAATGTTTTCCGGAAATTAAAAGTTTTTTTAAACTTGAGCATGTTAAAAGCAAAGTTTGTTTATTATTTAAGTTTATTTATGTTAAAGAAATTTACAATTGTAAAACGTTATAATTGTAAAACATGTTCCGGAATTTATATAAGAGACTATAGAGAAAACATGTTCCGGAAATGTTTGTGTTTTCCGGAAATTACTAGAAGGAAGTTTGTCTAAAGTTTGTTAAAAATAATTGTAAAACATTCTAAACATGTTCTGCAATTGTAAAACATGTTTTGGAATTTGTTTATGTGTTTGTGTTTTGTGTGAATTTATTTGTGCGTTTTTCCGGAATTTATATAAGAGAATATAGAGAAACACTTACCTTTAGCTTTATTCAACTAAAAAACAGAGCGCCTTCCTGCAATTGACACAAGATAAATTATTTTGGTAATTCTTCGGTTGTCGCCCCCCCTTTTTTTATGTTCTATTTTTTTACATTTTCCATGAAATTTCTATGAACTTTTATATACATTCGAAAGAGCAGTTCGAGCTGAGTCGAACGGCACTAGAATCGTCGAAATCTGAATTAAATCAACATAGTTAGGAGCAATTGTTTTAATCCCTTTCAACATCGAAAAAAACATGTCCACAAAGGATTTAGCTTCATAATTCTGTTCAAAATTACCAAATCTAACCGATCATAGTACCAATCACCTCAGCTGAGATAGCTCTTTCGAATGATATGTAAATTATTATATGTCAAAGCAAAAAAGCTCAAAATGGTCAGGGAAGCATAAAAAAAAGAGGGGGGGGGGCGACAACCGAAGAATTACCATTATTTTTTGTTAGCGCATATAAAGGCTTATGTCTCCATTTGTCAATACAATTGTTAACTAGGATTATTTATTTTTATTTTGTTTATATATAATTTATTGGCCTTAAAAATACACACAAATGTTTTAAAGCATTTTTAAGAGAGAAAGAAAAATTAATTTAATTTTTGTCTAATATAAAGGCTAAATTTGATTAATTTTTCTTTTAAAAAATTTTATTTATATGCTGGGGTTTAATTATTATATCGGGTAAAAAAATTTTATTTTAGTATTATTTGAATGAAAATTAAAAGAAAATAAATTAAGGAGACAACATGCTTCAGGTTTTAATTAGAAACATGCTTCAAGTTGCTTCAAGTTTTTAATTTTATAATTATCAAGATGTTTGATTTAACAAAACATGTTGTTTTACAAACATTTGTAAAGTTTGTTTGTAAAACTTGAAATTGTAAAACTTGAGTTTAATTAAAATTGTATTTGTCTGTGTTTTCCGGAATTGTGTGTTTTCCGGAAATTATTAGGGATGTATTTATCTGTGTTTTTGCTGTATCCCTCCTAATCAAATAAACAAACTAAAAATAAATGTTGCATTCACATGCATTCACAGGCACATATATTTTGACCTCTTTCTATATTAAAAGGAATCCCGACCGTTATCAGAGTCTATCACAATTCCCGACCCTTATCTTAATATTTGTTATTCACTTGTTTTCGCCAATCTCGACTTATTAATGTCCCCTATAAATACTCATCCAAAATGGTCATTCAAATCTAATTAGAAGTGTTTTTATCAGGTCTGGCCAGACTCTTGTAATTGTCCCCTTTTCCCTCCCTTATGTATATATTTTAATTTGTAAATAGTTAGATGTAAATAAAGTTATTTAAAGAGTAGAATTTGTATAATCCTCGAAAGGCTTCGGAACCCAAACCCAACATTTGGTGCCACTTGTCCCGGGCAAGCCTTGTCGAGAGAAATGCGCATGAAATTAAAGCATAAAAAACGGAATTCCAGAAAAGTCGTAAATTAAATAATTAAATGTGCTGAAAGTAGAATAAAGAGATTAACAAATCCTCAAAAAATTGAGAGCTCGAGCTTAAACTCCTTAAATGATCTAAAATAAGAATTTTGCAAAAAGAGGTTAAATGAAGACAAAATTAGAACAAATTAGAATCGAAAGTTAAAAGTCGAAGAAAATAAAATTAAAATATTGAGCTAGAAGAATGTCATGAAATTTTTTTGTTTGGTTAAAAAGTGTTCTAAAGTTTAAAGTTTTAAAAAGTAGAAAAGATATGCTAACCGTTAGTTTTAAATCAAAATCAGAGAAACAAAGTAGCGCCGCGGTATTGAAAAATGCTCTTTGCTACCTCTTGATTATCTCTTTGCACATGTGAATAAAAGTTGTAGTACTGAAGGCAGGTGAAGCTAGGTGCACACTCTGTCGGCTAGGTGCCAGGTACTTAATATAATAATGAAAATCTGTACAGTAATAATAATAAATCAAGGCGGGTGCAGCTAGGTGCACACTCCGTCGGCTAGGTGCCTTGAGAAGGATATTAAGCGGGTAAAGCTGGGTGCATACGCCGCAGGCTTAAAAGCCAGATACTCCTTGAGATTTAAATATCTCGAAATTTTTTTTCAGTGAATATTTTGTATATGAAGATTTAAAACAACGGCAAGGTACAAAATTGAAGATAAATTTTTTTGATAATTTCTGAATGAAATGGAAAATTTGTAGAAGAGATTGAACGAAATGGAAAATGTAGAAAATACCATAGCTTAGGCTTCAAAATTGGTATCCAACGAAATTAAAGTGCAAAATTTCGTTGAGAAAGGAGAAAATTATTATATAATCAACAAAAGTAATCATGTAATGTTAGTTACCTATGAATAAGATATTAAAATATGAATTAAATTAAAAACTTGTTAGAAAGAAAAGTAAATAATAGTTCAGAAAGAACAATTTAATTCATTAGTTCAAAAAAAAACAGAAGCTATATTAAATAAATTGAGATAAAACGCTAAAATAAAAAATAACCTAAATTTGTCGAACATTTCTTAACAACATAAGAAATCTGGTCAGACCCACTTAAAATAGTAAGCGAGAATCAAATTTTAACCGTCAAATACACATTAAAAACTTAAACTGACGAGAATTGTAAAACAATTAGTATAACTTATGGAATAGTAAAACTTTCCGCTCTAAATAATTGACATTGCTAGGCTAAATTTGTGTTGAAAAAAAAAATATTTATTAGATAAAAGTAAAGGTTTAAATATTTATATGGAGGAAAAACAACAAACATTTAGAAATAGATTGTGGAAAATGACACAAATTTCAGAAAATTATGTTCAATTAAATATTTTTAGTTCAGAGGAAGAAAAATGGATATCCAGAGAATTTAAATGTTAAATTAATTTACAAATCGGTGGTTAGTTTACTTAAAATTAAATTTGAAGCTATCACTGATATTTTAACTCCTCTAAAATTAGTACAACATAATTATTTTAATTCGGCTGGAAGTGGGGATATAAATCAACCAGATTTACAAGTCTATACTGCTGGAAAACTTAATTTGCCATAAAAAATAAAAGGATTAAATAATCAAGATACCCTCCACTTGGAGGAATTTGTTTAGAAGATAGACAATTTCCAGATGCTGTTAATCATCCAAAAGTTTTTCCATCCATAATCATTTCACCAACAAATCTTACACTCGATTGAAAAAAAATGCGGAAACTTAAGCATATAGATAAACTTAAAATAAAGTAAAATACCCCTATAAAGAGAAATGGCAATAAAATTTTTTGAGATGTGAGAGAAAATGATATACTGATTAGAATCCAATTACAATACCATTAATACCGAGAATTCGCATAAAACTCCGGTCATGAAAAAAAAAATTATTTTTCTCAACTAATAACTTAAGCAAGCGTAAAATTTGAGCCCTCAGACAAAAAACACCAAACTGCGAATATTAGTTATATTAAACAGAACTAAATAAAATTTAGAAGAAAGCCAAAAATAAAAATAATTTAACAAATCCAATAGTTTCTAGTTTTCTCAAGTGAAAATAAATTTAGAATAGACTTTGGAGTTCATTTTTAAACACAATTGGAAGAAAGTCTTTAAAATTAAAAAAGGAGGTTTCGGAAAAAACTGCATTAAAAAAGCCTCTCCAATCTCCAAATTTTTGAGTAGAACTGAAAAAAATCACTAGACATGCTTTGATCACTATTATACAGGAAATGGATTTATTATAAGGAAGCAGAATGTAGAGAATTTATGTGAATCTGTAGACAATTAAAAGAAAAACAATTTCATTATAGGGGCGAACACAGAAAAAATATATTTGGACTTTTAATTAAATAATTCTCTTGATCCGATTATAATTCTCTTGATCCGATTATCACCCAACTGTTAGTATTGGGAATTCAGAAAAATATAAAAAGGTCATTGAAAAATAAGAGATAAGTGATCAAATTTTAACCGCAGATACATATTAAAATAAGTAACTTACCTTAAAGTATGCCATTGTTACAACTGTTAAAATACATAGAGCAGATGATAAACATATTTTAAAAGAATGTAAAAATACTCATAAAGAAAAGAGATGGAAACTAAATAAGATACATCCGAAGTAAGGATTTAAATAAAAAATGCCATGTGAGAGAATTGTCAATCAAGGCGAAATGACAATGTAGAAGATAATCAGTTCAGAAAATGATCCTCATTAAAAATATTAATCCTCAAACGAGAGTAGAGTTGAAAGTCATGCAAACCCACTAATTTAAAAAAAAAGGATGCTTAAACGATTTTAAAATATATATAAAATTAGGCTGTCAGATAAAATTCGGGCTCATTCAAAGACAGGCTAAATTAAAATTATAAAGAAGAAATTTTTCTATCACGAAATCAAATGATTTAACCGAGATGTTAAAACATAGCCCTGGACATAACAAATATTGGATTCCGGTTACTAGTTGCCTTTATCAATTTAAAAAAAAAAATATTAGGCAGCATTGAATAAACATTAAAAAAAATACAGAGATCGGAATAATTTAAAACAAAAACCCTCAGGTTCTTAATTGGAACTATAGAAGTAACTTTAAAAATAATTATTTCGTTGTTCAATAAAAAATACTTTGATGTAAAACCAAATCGCCGCACCTGCGAGCTTAAAAAAAATTCAACAAGCCTCGTTAATCAAATTTTAAAAGAGAATGGATATTAATCAGCAAATTAAATATTATTTTAAGTTATAACTGGTTCAGCCTAAAAGCTCACAAGGAGACTAAATAATTCCGAGTATTTTTCTTTCGAAAATTTATATGTAATTTTGCAGAGATACACAGTTCCCCGTATATCTTATAACAGGAGCTTCAAATATTGCTTAATCAGAATCTCTATGCAGAGTTGAGTAGTAACGCATTGACCAGTGCAAAAATAGAGACAACAAATATCTAGTGAAAAAATCCTAGATACATAAAGTAATCATTCAAATTGAAACTCTGAAAGACAGTAACATAACTCTTAAATCAAAAAATAATAAAGAAATTTGAATTACTTGCGAGAAAATAAAAAATTAAAAATTCGTGCAGATCTATAAGAGGCCTAATTAAAAAATCGGAAAAAAGAAATTTTAAGTTAGCGGCGGACACATCGGACACATTTAAAAATATATTCTGGCTTTTCAATAAAAATAAATAATTGAGAGTTACACATCCAAAAACCCCGTTTTGTCATCCAACTGGTATCGTGAATTCAGTAAAATATTATGTACAAAAAAGTCATTGAATAAAAGGGATAAAAGATACAATGAGATATTTCTAACGGGTCATCATATGTCTAGTAAATAAATAATACACAACTGGATATGCTAAGACACCGGCAAGGATAAATAACCATAAGTATCATCAACTGTACTATCAACTATGCTCACGCCGAGAAAAACACTAATTTCTTTACATAGTGAACTAGTTTGGGTCAGGAGTTTTTAGATAGCCGTCGATCATCAACTTGAGCCGGACTCAAAGCTGCACGAAGAGTAAAATAAAAAGAGTAATCCCTAAAAAATAGCAAAAGCCCATTCTAAAAAAAAAACAAGGACTTGACTAAAAAAAAAAAAAATTTTTTTTTAATAATGGAGAGGGAAGTACAAAACCGGGAACTAAAAAACCGAGAAACAAAAGCCGAGAAAAACTAGCAGAGAAAAATCCCCCACTTAAAATTGGGAGAATCGACAGAATCATCAGAAGGATACAACTTCCAGCAACGATAACAACACAATCTCCTGCAGTAAAATCAACTCACAAAACTGGAGTATCAGCTGAAGATTGGTCATCTATATATCAACAAAAAATTTGTTCTGCAACTTGAAAGACCCCACTAAATTGCTGCTTTTTGAATGAATTTAAATAAAATCGTTTAATTTATTTATGCTAATTATCCCAACTTTCCCTCACCTTGTTTTCAGTTTATTTTCCCAAAAATTTCTGTACCTATGTAAAATATCCCCTAAATAATCATTAGTTCTGTAATGTAATATTTCTTTCCTCATCAGTGTTTACTTAATTCGTCGGAGAACATGGAGGTAAAAGAAGTAAAACAAAAACACATTAGAAAGAGAATTAAAGCCTTTATAATAATTACTTAAATGTAGTAAAAATAAATCCGCTGCCGTCATAAAGACGAGAAACAATACTAAATTTAAAATATAATACAAAAAAAAATATTAAAATTTTAACGATAAAGCTCGGTCAGAAAAAATATAAAATTAAAAAAAAAAGTCAGGAAATATTTTTTAAAAAACCGTCGTTCATAATTGTACTATGAGAAAATAAAAATAATGCTTAGAGAATTAAAATTAAAAAAATATATATTTTAAAATAATCCTAAATTACCCTTATTAAAGGAAAATTAATGTGCCACCCGTTTAATCGGAGAAAAGTTAGTTTAAAGAAAAGCAGTTAATTAAAAAGGCAGCCTTAGCAAATTTCCCGAAAAGTAGAACGTGGACGTTCTTTTCGAAGGGGGAAGGAATGCTGTATCCCTCCTAATCAAATAAACAAACTAAAAATAAATGTTGCATTCACATGCATTCACAGGCACATATATTTTGACCTCTTTCTATATTAAAAGGAATCCCGACCGTTATCAGAGTCTATCACAATTCCCGACCCTTATCTTAATATTTGTTATTCACTTGTTTTCGCCAATCTCGACTTATTAATGTCCCCTATAAATACTCATCCAAAATGGTCATTCAAATCTAATTAGAAGTGTTTTTATCAGGTCTGGCCAGACTCTTGTAATTGTCCCCTTTTCCCTCCCTTATGTATATATTTTAATTTGTAAATAGTTAGATGTAAATAAAGTTATTTAAAGAGTAGAATTTGTATAATCCTCGAAAGGCTTCGGAACCCAAACCCAACAGTTTTCCGGAAAATAAATTATGTTTTTGTTTCAAGTATAATTTTATTTGTTTATTTTTAAGTTTGTCAAGTGTTTTATTTGTTGTTGTTGTGAAGTGTTTGAGGTTTAATTAATGTTTGAGTGTTTTATGAGAGAAGAAGAGAGAGAGAAGGTTAATTATAATAGAGAGATAATTAAAGTTCAATTAAATAATTTAAAGTTTGTTTCAAGTTTTTGCTTCATTTAAGGGAAAAGTTTTGTTTCAGAAAAATGTTTTTATGACCCTGCGCATTTTCTAACTAATATACTAACCTAGTCAAAAATAAAAGGAAATTTTTTTTCTATTTTTGCGCACTAATTTATGCAAAATTGTGTGTGTGTCCTTTTATAAAACACAAGAAAGTTTATGTAAAGTGGTTGGCTTTTTAACAAAGTTTTTTGTCTATAAAGTACTTTATATAGGTGGTCATGAATTATTAAAAACAAAAATAGTTTTGATTGATGAAGCCGTATATTAATAAATAGAGAGCAGAATTAGCATAAAAAATTAAATATTTTTTTAGCATGAAATAAATAAATTAATGAATAAAAAAGGGAAAATTTTTACGATTTTTGATAGTAAAAGACTCTTCTAAAATTTTTATTTTTCTAAAGAATAACTGTAGTTAGATCGGCCAATAGGTTTTAGACACACTTTTTAATGCTCTTTTGAATGAGCTATAGATCATCCAGATCGGACTTGAATTCATCGTGCTACACAAGTTTAAGGGTATTTGTTTCAGGTTTTTGTTTCAGGTTTTTGATTTTTTAAAATTTTCTTTTCCTTTTTTCAAAGGTTCTGTTCTTTGTTTAAAATCAATAGAAGTCATCGAATCTTTTTTTCAGTTCAAAAAAAATTAAAAAAATTTTTTCACGTGATTTTCCTTGAATTATAAAATGATCTGTCTAAAATTTTTTTCATGTCTGATCATTGACTTTTCTTTCTTCTATTAAAGCAATGAATTTAAAAAAAGACAAATGACGATTGAACTTTAGAGCTTTTACTTTTTTTTTGCTTCAATTTGTTCACTTAAAATTTTTTACTGTGTATTTAACAAAGTTAATTTTTTCGTCAGCAAACACACAGACAAACTTTTTGTTCTCTCACACTTTTAAATTTCAAATTTTTTTTAATTTTGAATCATTCATTGAACAACATCCAACAGCAGTAGGGGATGTTGTTCCAAAGACGGGGAAAATCAACCAGAGGGACTCAACTGGCCAGGGACTCAAACGGTGGGACTCAGAAACAAGACTTGAATGGTCGCGTTCCGAAATCTCTCGATCTTTCTTTATCAGACTCTAATGTCAATTTAGTAAATTTTCCAGTCCTCATCATTTCCGTACTCTACTATTCCCTTACTCTCTCTAGTCTTTATTTAAATTCTAAGCAAGAGACTGAAAAAGAATTTTTTAATCTGAGACTCTAACCTCCCTAGACTCTATTTTCCTAAAGTTTCTCGATTCTTCTATAATCTGACTCTAATGTCCATTAAATTTCTCCAGCCTCCTCATTTCCGTACTCTACTATCCCTATACTCTAGTGTCCACTTTCTTGTATTTTGTACTCTCTTCCCATAGTAGTTACACGCAATTTTGTCTAGGTATTTTTTCTCTTTTTCTTTATCATCCATTGTCTCTCATCAAAAAATCAATTTTATATATTTGTCCTTCTCTTAAGTTAAGGTTAATAGTGTTCGTTGTTCAAAAAAATTTTTATTGCATTTTAAAAAAGAATCTCTTCCCACTTTTTTTGACGAGAGATCATTAGGGGGAACATTTTTATAAAAATTTTTTGTTCTTTTCATTTTTATAAGAAGAAAGACTGGAGGAATTTACCTATTGTTAGTTTAGTTAGTTTAGAGATTTTTAAAGTTTTTAGGGAGGTCAAAAAAAGTCTTTAATTCATTCGCAGACTTTGTATTTTGTTGTGATTTTGTCAACAATTTTTTGTTTATTTATTGTTTATCTATTGTTTATTGAAATTCAGCGAGATTGGTTGTTTATTTTTTTGAAATATCGATTGAAGTTTGAACTTTGATCTTCGAATATGTCTCCTAGTTTAAGGCAAACTGACTTTTCCTACTAGTTTCGACATTTTTATTTTTCGGTTAATCGAATTCGACATTTTGAAATTCTCTTAATTTTACACTTTAAAGTTCCTCTACTTTCCTATAAAAGCCGATACCGAACTGCAAACTTTTTCTTTTTTCACGTAGAGTTAATCGTCTGTCTTTTAGGCGCGGTTCGTATTTTTTATTTTTCCTTACATTTTCGAAACTTGTGTCCCCTTTTTTCGTATTCGTGCTTACAATTTCTATTTAATGCAACTTAAAGTCCCATTTTACAGATTATAAAGACAAGTTTAACCTTGTGTGACTTTATCTTTATTCCTGTCTAAATCTAACAAATTGTAACAACAAATAAAAATGGGCGAGCAAGACAAAAAGAAAGCTGGCGGCGGCGATGGTGGCAAAAAGAAGGACGGCTTCGATGCCAAAAAGTTTGCGATTGATTTGGCTTCTGGAGGGACTGCCGCTGCGGTTTCTAAGACGGCTGTGGCGCCTATTGAGCGTGTCAAGTTGTTGCTACAGGTTTTCTTGAGTTCCTTTTAAATTTACCTTTCAATCATTTAAAGGTTCAAGACGCTTCTCAGCACATCGCTGCCGATAAACGCTATAAGGGAATAATTGATGTGCTTGTTCGTGTGCCCAAAGAACAGGGAGTCCTTGCTTTTTGGCGTGGTAATCTGGCTAACGTGATTCGTTACTTTCCAACGCAAGCTCTCAACTTTGCGTTCAAGGATACTTACAAAAGGATCTTCATGGAAGGGTATTTTTTAATGATGTTATGAGTTGCGAGAAAGTCTGGGGTTCGGGTCGGGGTTTTCTAACCTTTTTGAGATCGAGATTCTTGGGTGATGAAGGTTTGGTTATCAGATTAGGGGTACTCCGTTTTGTTCGGCTTTTAGCTAGGAAAGCCCTCTGCTTGACTCTGGTTGTGGGCCTCGCTTTGTCTTATGTAAAGAGTTTTATACATTTACTCTGCATTTTCTAGTGTTGATAAGAACAAACAGTTTGGCAAATTCTTTTTGATGAACTTGGCTTCTGGTGGTGCTGCTGGTGCTACTTCTTTGGCTTTTGTCTATCCTTTGGACTTTGCTCGTACTCGTTTGGCTGCGGACGTTGGAAAGTATAAAAAGCTGTCATGAATATTGATAGAAAGGCTTTTTTTTAAAATTTATTTTTAAGGGCCGGAGCTCGTGAGTTCAACGGACTTGCTGATTGTCTCGTCAAAATATTCAAATCTGATGGTCCTATTGGTTTGTATCGAGGATTCTTCGTCTCTGTTCAGGGCATTATCATCTATCGTGCGGCATATTTTGGCTGTTTTGACACTGCAAAGATGTATTTTGCTAAAGATGGACAGAAACTGAACTTCTTTGTGAGCTGGGCTATTGCTCAGGTTTTCATTTTTATCTTATTTCTTGTGGGTTTTAAGTTGGATTTGAATTTGAAACTAAGGGAGCTTGGTTACCTAAGCGTGAGTGTGTTCAAAGGTCTAGCTTCGTAAGGAGATAATTTGGTGTCGTCAAGGCTTTACGGGAGGGTCTCGTCTCATTCTTGGGGTGCTACAATTTGGTTTAACTTTGCCTTATGATCTGGAAACCTTTTGGGAGTTGGTTGGGTTCTTATTGATACAAGAATTCCTGAAACTTTCTTTTGCCTTGTTTTACCTTTCTCTTAACTTTAAGGTTGTTACCGTCTCTTCTGGAATTCTTTCCTATCCTTGGGACACCGTTCGTCGACGTATGATGATGCAATCTGGACGCAAGGATATTCTCTACAAGAGTATGTGTTTTCAGTCTATAAGTCTATTTAAACTTTTTAATTTAGACACTTTGGACTGCGCCATCAAGATCATCAAGAATGAGGGTCCTCAGGCTATGTTCAAAGGAGCGCTTTCCAATGTTTGACTTTTTCAAAATTTTCTTGAGATTTAAAAATCTTTTTTTAAAGGTCTTCCGTGGTACTGGTGGTGCATTAGTGCTCGCCTTCTACGAGGAGATTCAAAAGTATGTTCATCTAATCTAGAGAGAGGAAGAAGTAAAGGAGAAGGATATGAGAGGGATGGATATTAAATTTGTGTGTTTTGATGCTGCCCTTTTTTTCTCAAACAGGAAGTTTAAAAATTAAAAATAGGAAGGAAAAAATATTTTAAAAAAAGTTTTTTTTGTTTCCTTCAAAAATATTATTAAAAAAATTTGTTGTCTCTTCCCCCTTATTTTTCTATAAATAATACCTTTATATAGTTAATGTTTGTCTCTCTTCTCTAAAAAGAAAATTCTCTCTCAAAATATTTTTCTAAAAAATATTATTATTTGTTCTATTCCTCAAACTATTATAGAGACTTTTTTGAGAAAATAAATGGATTGTTAGGTTGTTTTTTTATTCTTTGTTTAAATTGAGGGTTTAATGAAACCATTTTGAATTTTTTAAAAAAAATTTTAAGTTTAAAGTAAGGAGAGTGGAAGGAGGATTTAGGAGATGGGCATGTGTGTGTATATAACAATGTATAAAGATTAAAAGATTTCTCGACAATTTTTTGAGAAAATAGAGAGTGCCAAAAATCAAGATGCTTGCCCATCCCCTTTGTATTTAAAATACTAATTTAATTGTTTGGATTTTAGCTTCTTAGAAAATTGTGATGAGATGAAGGTTTAAAATATAGCTGTTGTTGTTCACTTTGTTTTTTTAATTGAGAAGTTACCCTTGAATAGAGGAAGCTCTTACTGGCTACTTGAAAAAATTTTTAATGAAGGTTTAATTTTAACTTTTAATTTCTTTTTAGATTTTATTTCGATATTTCCTGTCCGATATAATTTTTTTTAATTCCGCCAAGCATGGAAAATATTTCTTCAAGTCAATTACCTCAAAGTATTTATGGGTCTACTTCAAAAGAAATAACAACAAAATTGCCTTCAAGTCAATATCAAAGCACAGAATGTATTTTATATGGAAGCATTACAAATTTGGAGAAGGGACAGTTTATTGAAAGATTAAAAGGTTTATGTGATCCTGGTGGACCTGTTGCTTTTTTTGAACATAATATGGTTTTTAAATTGAGTAAGAGAATTTTATTATTTATTTTTTGGGGGAAATGTGGGGTAAGGTAATGAATGCCTTTTTTGATAGGTTTGCTCCCTAATGATTTTTGGTCCCGCTAAATTTTTCAGAGAACCACCAAAGTTTTAGATCCAATAGGGATTGAAATTAGAACATTTCGCTGGGAAAAACAACCGCTGGACTTTCTCTTTACCGATTTTGCCTGTTTTTTTACTCCTATTTGGGAAGGAGAAAAGTGAGAAAACCCTTTCTCTCTAGTCCCTGGCTAAGCCCTTTCAAAGTTTAAAAATTATTTCCTATTTTTTAGAAACAGGCACAGATTCTCCAGTTCAAGTCCAAATGCGCCGTCGTTTTAAAACTGATAATCTTCATTGGCATTGTCGTTATATTGCTATACCTGAGACTGCTGTTAAAGATGTTATTGTTCGCAAAGTTATTGATTCTTTAATTTATTCAAATGATATGATGAGTTTTGTCAAGTCGTTGGGATTGAGGTTGTTTTTTAATTTTGGAATATTTTTAATTTTGGGACACGAAAAGTAAAATAGAAAATCAGAAAACATTCTGACGGAATTTTTATAAAACATTCTTTTTATAAAGACTTACTAAAAATTATCACACTTAACCAAAAATTAAAAAACCCGACAAATTTTAATTTAGAACTAAATCAAGGTTTTAGTTAAGTGGGATATTTTCTGAAATTATCCCTGAAAATTACAAGTTTGGTTGAAGAAAATTTTAGTATTATCCCACTTAACCAAAAACATCAAGTTTGCTCGAAAAAGTTTAATTTTAAAACAGAAACTAGGTCTTGGTTAAGTAGGATAATGTTTTGGTTAAGTAGGATAATAAAATCAGTATGTTTTTTGACGGTTTTTTGGCTTTTAAAAATTTCCGAGACACATGGAAATTTCTTAAATTAATTTACAAATTTCAATGTATAAAAATATTTTTTAGAATGGAATATGAATACATTGCTAATGGATTTCTTTTTACAAAACGAGATATTCGAGTATTATTTTCTACTTAAAAATTGAAAAAAAAATATTTTTTTTTGAGGTAATAATGTATCAAGTAATGTGTTCTGACACAATTGGAAATTACAACAAATTAAAACAATTTGGAGAGTCTTTTTTGGTTGAAGCTTCAATATTAGTTCCGGATGGACAACCTTATGATGGGGCAATAAAAAATTTGAAAGAATTTGCTGATCAATTACTTCCTATATGCAAATTGGAATATTTGGATTATATTAATAAATAAAAATTGGAGAAGAATTGAGGAGAAAATTAAAGGGTTTATTTTTTTAATTTAATTATTTTGGGTACTTTCCCTGACAAGAGGACATATCGGGATGGACATAACGGGGCGATCAGTTACTCTACTGGTTTCGGGACCTATGACCACTGGGTTTTAGGTAGCGCCCAATCTGTCCACCGACCAAAGTCTTTGTTTCTTCATTAGGAGGATCATTCTTCCATTTTTTAAATTATTATTTTTTAACAAAAATTAAACAAAATTAATTTAATAAAAAACATTCTCTTAAAAATATTTTTTGTTTCTTCAGGAATTCTTCTCTTGCTTGTTTTTAATCAAAAGCTTCATCCATTTCTTCTTCCAATTCTGTTTTTGTTATTTTTCCTTTTTTAAATTTTTTAAGCAATTTTTCGCCTTTTTGTAATTGTTCCCATTCTGGTTGTTTTCTCTTCCTTTTATTTGATGTTGGTTTTCCTGACGATTTTCCTCCTCCATTTTGACACGATTGCTTGTTGTTGTTATTATCTTCTACACTTGATTGATCTTCATCTTCGTCTTCATTGTTTGTGTTATTAAGCTCTTCCATACTTGTCATTTTTCCTGAAAATTTTTTTAATTTAAGGAAATCAAATAGTGTCGAGAACTTTTCCATGGTAGGATTTTTTCCTTTAGGGGATTTTTAAAAATATTAAAAATCAGAGAATATCTTGTCAATCTTACGAGTTCATTAAACTCAAATATTAATATTTAGAGATTGGGACGAAATATTTAGAGATCGGCCCCCGCCCCTGGCTATGGGTCAGCTAACAATAAGGGTTCGTTAAACTCTTAAGAATTAATATTTTTAAAAAGAAAAGTCCAAAAAAACCTTTTATCATTTTTCCACTTTTAAACTTTTGCTGCTTCTGTTGTCCTCCTCCATCTGCAGCCATTCTTCTCATTTTTCTTCTTTCATGTTTTTCCATTCTCTTTTTATTTTTTTCTTCCATTTCTAATCTCTTCTGTTCTAATTTATCATCTTTATATTTTATTTCATTAATTTTTATATCTAATCTTGACTGAAATTTTGTAATTACTTCTTGTCGTCCAACCAATTCACGAATTTTTGGAAAGCGTATAAGGCCAAAAGAATTTGCTAAACCAACAATATCCAAATCTTTTAAATTTTGAAAATTTAAAGAAAAATTTTAAAAAGAAAACCTTTAACTTTGCAAACAATTTGAGTGTCATGTCTGTTGTATGCTTCGATGAATGAAACAAACGCAGCAGTTCCAAGCTCGAGAAATTTTCTAGATAAAGGGAAATTAAAATTATATAAGAAATATATTTTATAGGTTGGCGTTTTCTTAAAAATTTTACACCCTAGTAGAATGGTTTTAGTGGGGTGGTCCCAAACTTTATAAGGAAAACTCTAAAAGATTTGGGTATTTCGATTAAAAAGAATTTTTTCTAGGGCTTTCTCTGTTATTGCCGAACTTTTCTAGATTTATGTTATTTTTTCTAATTAAAAAACCTGTCTTCACTAGCCATTTGTTGTATCTTTTCTTTAATTTTGAGTGCTTTCTCTTCAGTTAAACCTCCAAATTCACTTTCTTCTAAAACAACTTTTTCTTGATTTTCTAAAAATTGTATATAAGCAGATTCTTCATTGGTTAATAATATTAAGGATTTTCCAATTCTTCCCATTCTTCCAGCTCTCCCACTTCGATGAACATAAAGTTTTGATAATTTTGGAAAATCGTATTGTAGTACCCAGTCAATGTCTAATACATCAATTCCACGAGCTAAAACATCGGTTGAGAATAATATTGCTCTTTTTGTACTACGAAATACGTCTAACTGTTGAAAAAAGATTTTTTTAATTAATTATATAAGATGAATTTAAAATTTTGGGGACCCGAGCGGGTTCGAACCCGTGACCCCAGAGTATGCCTCAATATCTCGCATGGCGCGCTTAAAAATTTTTTCTGGGTCTCTCTGACCTTGTAGTATTTTGCCCGATCCAGCTCGTGTTAAAACATTGGGGGACCCGAACGGATTTGGACCGCTAAAACGGAAAGCGACCCCGGTTAAAAAAATTTATCTTACCACTTTTTGTCTTTTTCCTTCCATTTTTCTATGCATTTCCATTATAACTCTTTCATCATCTTCTAAAAGTGAACGTACAATTATTCCAAAATATTCACATTGTGCTGAATTTGAACAGAATACAAGTATCTTTTCGTTATGTTGAGATTTTAAAAATTTGATCAAAGCCAAAAATTTGAATTCTGCTGGGACACACTTAAGAAAAATTTTATTTATTTTACAAAAAAATCAGCACTTTTTGGATACCCCTCTCATTTCATAAAATGTACATAACAGTCGGACTTCCGTCTTTTTCTTCATTAATGTGTCTCATTTGAACAAGCCATAGTGAATTGAGGAAGGAAAAAAGTTTGACCATTATGTACACCTTAAGGAAAACTGAAACTCAGAAAAAAGAGTGAGGAGAGAATATCCAAAAAGAACGAGATAAGTTCAAACCGCATAGTAATTGATTAGTTCCTTTGGTGTAACAATAGAACCGTCTTCTTGTTTTATTTCTTTCTTTTCTTCCTCTTGATCATCTTCTTCACCTTCTTTTTCATCTTTATTCATTTGTATTATATTATCTGAACCAATAGTTAATTTTAACGGATTTCTAAGTCCAAAACGAGCTAATTCATTAACTTTTGTTTCAAATTTGTCGGCCATTTCTGTAGCAGAAAAAAGAGCAGAACGTCGCTGTTTGGGTAAAATTGATAGTACTGAACAAATGCTGGAGAAAAAAAATATTTTTAAATAATGACCTTATAAAAAATATTTAGTACCTTTAAGGAACATTTTTAAGGTTTTTGGAGATATGGGGAATTAACATTAATAAAGAAAAAATTCGAGGGACCCGAACGGGTTCGAACCCACGACCCCCCAGAAATGGAGTCCATTTTTATTTTTTATTAGCGATTTTCTTTTTAAAAAAAGTTTGTAAATGATTAAAGGGGCTATTTTAATGAAAATTTAAATCTCTGTCCTAATATCAAAAGAAAATTTTTTAAAACAAAAAAGAAAACCTTTTTCTTGTATCTTGATCCTTAAATTTATCTGCTTCATCAATTATCAAAACTTCCAAAAACTTTAAATATTCTTTTAATTGATTGTGCTGGCTAATAAATGAATCAAAACGTCCAGGTGTTGTAACAACAACACTAAATTAAATTTTGAAAAATTTTTTTAAATTTAAAAAAAACCAATTTCCTTTGAAATGATCAACGTCAGTCTTCATTCTCTTTTTTCGTGCTCCACTCGAACCAAATAAACGAATTATTTTAAATTTAAGTGTTGAACATATTGGTTTACATAATTGAAATATTTGATTAACTAATTCTCTGCTGGGAACAATAATTAGACCAATAATTTTGCATGGAGCTTCTTTGCTTTGTTCAATCTAAAAGAGAAAATTATAAGTTCCGTGAAATGAGGAGTTTGGTTAAGTGATTTCTAACTTTCTTGGGGTTAGACTGTTAAGTAAGGATGGTTTAAACCGTTAGAGTTGAACCACTTTTTTTTCTTGTTAAAACTTTTTGAATAAATTTTCCTAGCCTTATAACCCCACTAAAAATTTTTAAAAAAGATCTCTCAAATTGGGAAGTTTAGCTGAGTGGTAATCCTCTAGGTTTTCAATAGTTAAACATTAAAGGTTCGAGCCCTTTGTTGGTTAAACAATGTTCTGTCTTGTTAAAATTTTTTGAAGAAATATTCCCAGGCTTAAAAACACTTAAGAATCCCTCGAAAAAATTTTTTTAATTAAAAATGAAACCTTTTCCTTCTTTTTAAGCAAAATATGCATCATAGGTAATATAAAAGCCAAACTTTTACCAGAACCTGTAGGTGATTGAACAATACAATCAAAATTTGAAAGCATTTTTTCGATTGTACATTTCTTTGGGGAAAAAAATTTTTTATAAAATAAAATAAAAAAACCTGCACAGAAGTTAGTTGAGTATGTCCCAATCCTTTTTTAAAATAATTTTGAATTTGGGGATCTAAAAGTTGAAGTACTTCTTCTTGTTGTTGAATTTCTTGTTTACCATCAGTTGCAGCCATTTTTAAAGTAAAATTTTTTTTAATTTCTGAACTAAAAGATGAAAAAAATATTTAAATTGCTCTATGAACAATTTTTATTTTACTAATAGAAGTAAAAAATTTCCAATTATTTTATTAACGAAAAGAAAAATTTTTAAAGGGGCTTTTGTGGATGAGCGCCATTTTAAATTCATTAAATTTGGACATTTTGATGCATGGACATTTTGTATCTTGGACATTAAGAGAAACTCCGAAAAAATAGATTTTAGGATTTTAACATTTTGAGACAGTAAATGGCGCTAAAATAAAATTAAAAAAAATTTCAGCAAAAAGGCTAAAAAAAACCAAAAAAATCCTAAGGCTTCAAAACTATCATCTTTTACATATTAACAACAAAAAACCTATATACTCTAAAATATCTTCCTACAAAAAAATCATCAAATATATACTGGACCACCAGTCCCCTTATCCTTCTTATCCTTCGCGGCCTTATCCTTCTCAGGCCAAATCTTCTTCATATTATTAAAAGTATATTCTTTATCATTCATCTTCGTTTTAAGATCAGAAAAAAGAGACATTTTAAAAGTTGACGTCTGAATACATTCACACATGTCTGCATGCTCGTGTGGAGTCAATTGTTGTACAGGATGGTAATAGGCAGAATAAAGAAGCGAGTCTACAGCGGGAGGTGCACCTTCCTTTTTATCCGGTCCAAGATCGCACTAGAAAAAAATTTTTTTAATCAGTAAAGAATAGGGGTGGGACACCGAAACTGAAAATCAGGGATCGAAAAAATAGGGGTCGAAAAAAGGGCCATAGCCAGGATTTTTTCGAGGAGAGGGGAGTGGGCATGGGGACTTATCAGTTGTCACGTCCCTGGAAACCAGAACAGAAGACTGGGGATCGAAAAAATTAGGGGGCGAAAACAGGGCCATATCCAGGATTTTTTCGGTGGGAGGGGGCAGGGGGACTTGTCAGTTGTCACAGCCCTGGAACCAGAAATGAAAACCGGTGATAACAGAAAAACAGAGGACCAGTTAATACCCGGCTATGTCCAATCCTAATAAAGAAAATCAGTTTTCTCTGGTTATCTATACCCAAAAAAGGACCCTAAAACCTCAAAAAAAATAATTCTAAAAACCTGCACTTCCTTTGAATCCACAAACACCATTTTCTTCTTTTTAGCTTTTTTATCAGTTGTAACTTTGGTTAATGATAAATCCTCCATTTCCATTTTAATCGCAGTCTTAACATCTCCATCATTCTCTCCAATATCTGGAATTTCATCAACTATAACGATTGGTTTTGGTTCTATTTTTGGTTTTTCATTTTTCTTTTCTTCTTGTTTAACATCAATTGACGAATTTGTCTTTTTTGCTGACATTATTCTTCTAAAAATAAGGGGGAATTAGGTAAAAGTTGTCAAAAAAATTCTCAGATCAAGCAAAATAAATGATCGAAGATACAGTAAAAATAAAGAGATACTCGAACAAAAATTCAAAAAAAATTTTTTTTCAGAATGCCAACCTTTTCTTCTCAAAAATTCGAGAAAATTCCACAAAGTTGGAGAAAAATGACAATTTATCCCATTTTAAGTTTTTTTTTTCTTCGCGACAAAATGTCTGATTTACAAAACGCCACAAAGAAGAAAAATTTGTAAAATGTCACAAATTCTCCACTGACATTTTCGTATAAATTTGGTGTTTTGTAAAAAGTGAATATCAAAGTACAAGTTGGGAGCAAATTTTTTCTTGCAATTTGCTTCTATTTTTATTTGGTTTATCCATTTGTTTTGCTTAAATCATTTGATATTCTTTTTTTTACTTTAATTAATCTCCCCCTCTTCTTTTTTTAGATTTTACAAAGCAACTTTATATTCTCGATCTCTTTTTAATTATTTAATTCTGTTTTACAAGCAATATAATGGGCAAGGATTACTACAAGACTCTGGGAATTTCCAAAGGCGCTTCTGACGATGAAATTAAGAAGGCTTATAGAAAGATGGCGTTGAAATATCATCCGGATAAAAATAAAGAAGCTGGTGCTGAAGCTAAATTTAAGGTTTTTTTTGAGTTTTTTAAAGCTTGGTGGTTATCATGTTCCCGTAAAGGACTCGATTAGGAATTATTTCGAGGTTAAATTTTTGTTTACTGTGACTCCCTTTTTCATGCCCAAGCTTTCATTAGATATACAGAAGGGGGAGACCTTAAAAAATTTTTCTTTTTATTCTGAAGGAAGAGGTCTGACCCTTCAGTATATTCAAAGGTAAAAACCTAGCGAGAAAAAGGTGGACCTGTGAAAGACAAATTTTTTCGATCTCACCCCTTATTGCCAAAAACGATGTGAAATATAACATAAAGTTTTATGAAAACGTTTCGAGTCCCACACGGAATCTAGTCTCGTTTTCCTGTCTTTAAACATAAATAATTCTTAAAAATTTAATTTAGGAGATAGCTGAAGCATACGACGTCTTGTCTGATTCCAAAAAGAAGGAAGTTTACGATAAATTTGGTGAGGAAGGCCTGGCTAATGGTGGAGCCGGTGCTGGTCCTGCTGGAGCTGGCGGCGTTCCTGGAGGTTTCCATTATACATTTCAGTTAGTTTTTTTGATCGATTTTACAACTGATTTCTGTAAATTTCTTTAGGGGAGACCCTATGCGTATGTTCCAACAAGCTTTTGGAAATGGAATGTTCACTGAATTCACTTTTGGTGATAATGGCAATGCTGATGTATTTTTTATTTTTTTTAAATTTTCTGATTAAAATTTCAAAATTTAGGTAGTTTTTGGAGATGGTCTCTTTAGCGGTTTCCCTGGTGGTTTTGGAGGAATGGGTGGACATGGCGGTGGAATGCCTAGACGGCCTAAACAAGATACTGCAATAGTCCATGAATTGCCTGTTAGTCTAGAAGATTTGTGTAAAGGATGTACAAAAAAGATGAAAATTACGAGGTTTTTTGTTTGTTTTTAGCGGTTTGGACTGGAACACTGTGTCCAGTCTTTCGGTGCTTCACCGATTAGCATGTTTTTGGGTGAAACATCGAGTGATCTATTAGTGAATCAGGGTTTGTGTGAACCATCATCTTACCGGTTTTCGGTGTTTCATCGACTGACCTGTTTTGGGTCTAACATCGACTGACCATAATATTGTTCAGAAGCTCGGAGAATCAATAGTCGCTTACCGGTCAATTCAATCTTTATATGCCTGGGTTTTTTTAAATTCTTGTTGGTGTTTGATGTTTGACCGAAATAATTTGTCCGTTAGACTTTTTTGTTTCTTGTCGGTGTTTTAGTTAGACGGTGTTAGCCTAACATTAAATAAGAATTTTTAAAAAATTAATTTAAATAAGTTTCAATTTTTTCAGAAAAATTGTAAACCCAGATGGCACTTCTAGGACTGAAGACAAATATTTAACAATTAATGTCAAGCCTGGATGGAAGAATGGAACAAAAATAACTTTTCCAAAGGAAGGCGATGTTTATCCAAATCGTGTGCCGGCTGACATTATTTTTGTTATTAAAGACAAGCCACATCCAAAATTTAAACGTGAAGATTCGGACATTCGGTTAATTTGGATTTTTTTTATTTTTAATAATTTTTAAAAAATTTTAGTTATAAACACACAATTCCATTGAGAGATGCCCTCTGTGGTCTTTCTTTACGAATTCCTACATTGGAAGGTGATACAATTCCTTTGAAGATTGCAAATATAGTCAAGCCTGGGTCTACTCATCGGTATAAAATTTTTTATTTTTTGGTTAAAAATTTCCCGGATTTGGGGGATCTTTTGGTTTTAGAGGAGGATATTTTCTCAAGATTGTCCAATTTTAGATTGATTGGTATGATGTCTAAATACCGAATGTTGAAATATCAAACTCCTAAAAGCAGGCCCGTAACCAGCATTCCCCTCTCTCTTCCCCTGGTTATGGCCTTGCTTAAAAGACATGCCAGAATACCAAAATGTGGATTGTTAACAACCTTTAGCGTTGACCTTTGTCTGTTTTTACCTTTGATTTGAAATGACCTTTCAAGTGACTAGACCATACTAGTTATGTTTTTTCCACAGTTTGGTATTCTGGATGCTTTTGGGTGTTTGGTATTTCAACGTTTAGTATTAAGGCATGTTCCTGTCTGGATTTCAAGCATTTATTTGACTATCTAAAATCCATTTATTTAAATCCTTCATGAACTTAACATTAATTTTATTTTCTAGGGTCAGAGCTCGTGGCCTTCCAAATCCACGTACCAACATTCGTGGTGATTTAATTGTTGAATTTGATGTTCGCTTTCCTGATTCAATATCTCCAGCAGCAAAAGAACTTATTCAAAATGCTTTGCCGCCAAATTGAGAAGAAAAATTTAAAAGGAATAAAAAATATATGTAAAATGAATTTTTGTTTTATTTTTTTGAAAAAATTTTTTTATGTATTTGAAGTAAAATATGGACTATTTTTAAATGTTTTTCTATTTAAAAATGCTTTGCTAATGCATTTTAAATTATCTTTATTTTTGATTAGAGAAAATAATTTTATAATTTAGCAAGTTAAATCATAATACAATCGAATTTCAGTAGGATATCTCTCTCGAGGGACGAAATTTTAGAGGCGTTTTAGGGAGTTGGGTTGTTAGGGAGTGATATACCCTAATAGGAAGTGATATACGAACTAAAGAGATTATTGAGATTCGATTGTGTTTTTAACCCTTGCGGAACTTAAAAACCAAAATTTTTTAGAAAAATTTTTTCGGAAGACTTTTAATTTTTTATTAAAAAATTTTTTTCTTTTGTTTCAAGGACAAATTCAACTATTACATAGCTTTGTTTAATATTTGTGACTTTTATTATAATATTATTCTACTTTTGGCACACACACTCATTGAAAAATGGCTAAAGCAGCGGCAGTATACAATAGAGTAAGGTTATTTTTATTTGCATTTTTATTCTTTTATATTTTTTATATGCAGCTAGTTGTGTAGATATAAGTTTTTGCTAGTTTTGCTTTTTCTCTAGGGTGGGTAGGGTAGGCTTTTATAGGTGGACTTGGGGGAATTTACAAAAAAAATTTTAAAAAAATTCTTGGCTTAAGTGAACTTAGGATTTTGTTAAGTTGGGGGGGGGGCTTTACCAAAAGGGATTTTTAATTTTTTTTTTCTAGGCTTTCATAGGAAAATATTTTCTTTTTTTTTCTAGCGGTTCTAGGCTTTCATAGGTGAACTAGTCGATTTTACAAAAATTCTAAAAAAAATTTTTGTTTACTTTTTAAAAAATATTTTTCTTCTTTTCTATTAATAGCTAATCCCTCGTGTATTTTTTAAAAATTAAAAAAATTTTTTTTTGCTACGCATGACGCAGATTGTCCTTTCATAAAAAGGGTATTAAAAGAAACGCATTTTAGTTTAATGGTTTTAAAATGAACACACTTTTTTTATATTTTCTTTAAGTGGGGGAAAGAACTAAAATAAGAGAGAGAAATGTGGCAGCTTTTCTTAAGCTTTTTTTATTTTTTTTGAAAAAATCCTATGATTTTGTAGTGTCCTTATGATTAGCAAAATTGAGGGGAGAGGGGAGGTTATCAGCATAAGAATATTTATCTCGTGGATTTATTTTATTCTAAAAAAATTTTTAGAATAGTCTTGGGGAATTTTTAGGAGTGGTCCGCAAGTCTATTTTTCAAAAATAAAAAAATTTTTTTAAAGAAATATGAAATCAACTACCCCAACATGTTTACCTCATTCTGAAGCTTTTGTAGTTGGTGATCGTCAAAATTCCCCCGAAGATTTGGTTTTTGATCTTTTCAAAATCCCTCATCGAGATGAGGCACATGTGGGCAGACTTCTTTATGTAAGAAAAATTTTTTGATAATTTTTTAAAATTCATTTTTTAGACTCTCAGGGGCTTTGGACTTACTTCTGATGATCAACGGTAATTTTCAGAAAAAAATTTTCCTGAAAAATTTTCAAAAAATTCAAAAGAAATTTCCAAAAATTTTTTTCAGCCTAGCCCCAATGCTAGAAAAAATGCGGCAATGTTTGGATATTGAAAATAATGCAGAAGCAACAACAACTACTGTTGATGGAATGCACAAAGTAACCAATAAACATGGTGAGGAAGTCCATGGGGAAGAGCTTCATTTTGGTAGACATTTGGGCCGTGAACAATTTAAAGCGTTTGTTTTTATTTTTTGAATACTAAGTGTATACTTTAAAAGGGTTTTTGATTTGTAAATATGTTTGTAGAAACGGGTCTCACTTGGAATACCCCCAGAAATTTTAAACTGGTTGGCTTTTGTGTAGGTTAACTGCCTAACCGATACCCCTCTATTTGGGATCCTCTCAAAAAATTTTTAGAACTCCAAAGGATATACTTACAAAGGAGGCCTGACTTTAACGAGGTTTTCCGGTTGTATCTCACTTGTAGATACCTCTAAAAATTTTTAAATCTGGTTGGTCATAGTGTCTTCCTGCTTGTAAAAAATAATTTAAAAAATTTAAATTTAAATATTTTTTAGTTGTGTCCGTCCATGTATTGATCTGGTTTCACGTGCACTTCGTAATCAATTAATTATACCCAATTGGACAGAATTTACTGCTAAAATTAGAGAAATTTTTGAAGAGGTTCTTTTTAATTTTTTGGGTTCTTAAAAATGTTTCTTTTTTTTTCAGTGTCGGTCAGAGGAAGGTGGAGATGTTGCAACTTATATTCCTCAATTGGCTAGAGCAGATCCGAATCGTGTATAATAAAAAATTTTTATTCAAATTCTAGTCGGGCTTCACTCTTATAAACCTCCGAAATTAGGTTCTCCTCATATTGGGCTATGGTTTTTTAAATTTAGTTGACCTTTAGTTGGAGAGAGAGAGAGCTAGGAGTTGTCTGATGTAAGTAGAGTAAGTTGTAGAAAGGAGTTTCCGTGTGTGGAGGGTGTTGTGGAGGAGAGAGTTGCCTGGTTAAGGTGTGATATGGGTGAAATTGTTGGTGTAGAGGGAGGTGTTTGAGAATTTACACCTTACTATAAGATATGATTTTTCCGCCCCAAAAGGGTACCTATAGATAAATCTGCATTTAAAAAAAATTTCAATAATTTCCTCCTTTTTTTCAGTGGGGACTTTCAATTTGTACAATAGATGGACAACGCTTTTCTCTAGGCGATTCTCTTTTTCCTTGGTGTTTTCAATCAGTCTCCAAGGCATTCAATTATGCAATTGTTGCCTCAATTTTGGGTGATTATGTTCATTCTTTTGTTGGACATGAACCTTCTGGAAGGCTTTTTAATGAAATTTGTCTTGATTCTAGTGGAAAACCTCACAATCCAATGATTAATTCTGGGGCTATAATTGTCACGTCTTTAATGAAGAAAGGCTTGCCTATGGCTGATAGATACGATTTTGTATGATTTTTTCTTTAAATTTCTTTTTATAAATTTTTTTTATTAGGCATTGAATGAATATAAAAAGTTGGCTGGTGGAGGATATATTGGCTTCAACAATGCAACGTATTTATTTTTATTTTTGTGGCTTTTTAAGAACCGGACCGCGCTATAGGCTGGGGCTGAAAAATTCTTTTTTATTTTAATGGTTGGTGTCTTAAATAGGGAGGTATCGCTTGAGGGCTTTTCCCCTCTTCCACCGACCTGTCGGGGATCAATTCATTTCTAAAAAGGCGTATCCTTAAAAAACGTACCTGAAAAGCTTCCCCTTACCTTCTCTAACTTGTTGAAGATCAATTCCATATTTCTAAGGAACTATCTTAAATTGAGTTGTATTTTATTATGAGGATCGCCTCAGGATAATGAACAATTCCAGACTCCTTATAAACGTTTGTCAAATTAATTTAATTTTTTTCCAGATTTTTGTCAGAAAAGAAGACAGCAGATAGGAATTATGCATTATCCTACTATATGAAAGAAAATAAATGTTTTCCTTCTGATATAGAAAGTATTCGAGATGAATTGGATTTTTATTTTCAATTGTGTTCTTTGGAAACTAATTGCGAGGCTGCTGCTGTATTTTTTTAATTTAAAAATTTTTTTCCTTCGATTTTTTCAAGGTAATGGCTGCTACTTTAGCTAATGGAGGAGTTTGTTCATTAACTGACCAACCATGTATTCAAAGTCGGGCGTGTCGTGATGTTCTTTCTTTAATGTATTCCTGTGGAATGTATGATTATTCTGGACAATTTGCTTTTGATGTTGGGTTACCTGCAAAATCTGGTGTTTCTGGTGGAATGATTTTGGTTTTTTTTTAAATTTATTTTTTAATTAAAGTCGAGACCTCACTATAAGATGATCACATGCTCTAAAAGTTAAAATAGAGGGGGTGTTTACATTGGAGACAATATATAAGTTTAGAAATGTGATTTGATCTAAAGATAGGGATCAGTTTGTTCATTAACTGACCAACCATGTATTCAAAGTACCTTATGTTTAGACAGCCTCCAGTGTGGTCTCTCACATCAGATCCTTCCAAAACGTATCTTGAATCGAGTAATTCATACATGGGTATCTACTTAATACTGAAGTCGGACTGTTCCTCTTACCAAATAGGAAGTCTGTCTATTATGCTTATCCTAAGGGACAGCTTCCTCCAGTAGAGGGAGGGGGATCTCCCAAACCCTTCTTACAATGTTGTTCGACTTTTTCTCCCAATCTCTTTTATTTTTAAAGGTAATTCCAAATTTAATGGGTATTTGTTTATTTTCTCCTCGACTAGACAGAATGGGAAATACAACTAGAGGTGTTCTATTTTGTCAAAAATTGGTTGATATTTTTAATTTTCACAATTATGACTCGTTATTGCATGCTGATTCAAAGAAAATTGATCCTAGAAGGCGAATTGGAAATAAGGAAACTGACCTGGGCCCTATTTCAATTGTCCACAGATTCTGCGGTCTGCGTTCTGTGCACAGACCACAGAACCACAGAAATTCTGTTTCAATTATTCCACGGATTCTGCGGAAAAAGGAGTCCGCAGATTCTGTGGAAACATGCACAGATTCTGTGGAAACATCCACAGATTCTGCAAAACATCCAAAAACATGCAAAAACCACAGAATTCTATTTCAATTATTTTTCTGTGCACAGAAAAAAATCCACAGATCTGTGGCTTTTTTAGTCGATTCTGTGCATTTCTGTTTCAATTATTTCTGTGGTCTGCGGAAAATACACAGAATTCATTAAAAAATCCACCCTAAAATTTTTTCTGCGAATTTTCTGTGGAAAAACTTTAAAAATTTTTTTCTAGGCCTAGGCTTAACCAAATTTTAAAATTTTTAGATAACATTGAAGCTTGATTCATTCTCTATTTTTTGATATAAAAATTATAATTTTATTACTTAAAATTATTGCTTAAAATTAATTTTGAAAAAGGTACATCATTTTTTGTAATATTTTTTACTAAAATAAAAAAATTTAAGGAAAATGTTCTTCGATTTTGAAATATTTTACGATGGAGAAGACGAGCAAACGATTAAGCAGAACAAAATTTATAGGCCTAGAAAATATTTTGAAGAAGAAAATTTTAGAGAAAGATTCAGGCTTGATAGAGAACAATTTGAAGATTTTTTAAGTCAAATTTCAGCTTCATTAAAGCCAATTAATTCAACAAATCACGCAATGTCAGCTAAAGATAAACTTTTAACTGCACTTAGATTTTATGCAACTGGAAGTATATATGCTGTTATTGGTGATTCACATGGACCATCCAAATCATCAGTATGTAGATCCATAAGACAAGTTACAAGAGCAATAAATTTATACATGTTTCAAAGAAATGTTGGATATCCTGACAATTTTGGTAGTAAATTTAATAGTTTGCAAATTATTTAAAATTTAGCCAATACAACAACTGGTTTTTATGAAAAAGGAAAAATACCATCAATTTTTGGTTGTATAGATGGAACATTAATAAAAATATTAGCCCCTTCAAAATATGAGGAACAGTTTGTGGATCGTAAGAATGAACATTCTATTAACGTAATGCTTGTTTGTGGCCCAACTTTGAAATTTTATGATGCATCCGTTCGGTGGCCCGGGTCTACTCATGATTCCAGAGTTTTTAAAAACTCTCGCCTTTTCGAAAGATTATCAAGTGGTTGGAGGCCTTTTCATGGAGCATTTCTGTTAGGGGATTCTGGTATTTTAATTCTAAATGAGATATTAATATCCCTTTTTATTTTTAGGTTACCCCCTTCGTCAAATACCAATTGAAGAAACTCAAGATGATTTAGAAGGAAGAGAAAAAGGACTTGAAAAATTGAATCAAATTGTCGCAATATTTAATTAAGTTTTTCAAAAAATCAAAAAACAAACAAAATTTTGAAAAATCGAATAAATTTTGATAAATAAATTAAAGTTTAAAATATGTAGGCTCATCATAAATATTTGAAGGTTTTGATTTTTCTTCCAATTGAGCAATTTCAAGTTGAAGTTTTCTCTCCTTCAATTTTGCAACACGAGTCAAAACTTCCAAATATTCTTCTTTTTTCTTTTTATAAGTGTCAGTCTCATCTAAATTTAAAAGTTGAGAATATATAATTTTAGAATTTGTTTACCTTCAAACATTGCCTTTCTTTTGATGGATAATTTTGGAGTCAAAGTTGAAATATCATCAATAATTAAATCTTCATTTTCATCTTTTTTTTTATTATAAAACTCAAATTCATCAGTATTACTGCAATTGGCATCAGGTATTGTTAATCCAGCAACCACAGGAGAATCGACTCCAAGAATATCACCCATTATCATATCTAATTCATTTAAGCGAGTTTCACCACCGCTGCCAGTTGCTTTGTTTCTGTCAATTTTTGTCTAAAATATATATTTAAAAGATTTATTAAAGATAACAGCAAACTTTATACTCCTTAACAAGAGACGGCCATTTTGTGCCGCTCAGCCATTTGGCTTCGCGCCCTTTAGTCCACTCAGCACCCTTTGATTCACAAATTCTGAAAATTTTTTCCCAAGCATTCCTTTTTTCCTCATAAGTAATCTTGGTTGAAAATTTGCTAGATATTGTGGAGTAATTTTCTTTAATTAATAACAGCAATTCCTTCTTTTCTTGATTTTTTTTATCAGTCATTTCTAAAATTTATTTTAAAAATTAAATTAAAGATAAATAAAGGCTAATATAAACTGTTATTTTCAAAAACGCGGAAATAAAAAATTTGAATTTAGAAGGAAAAATACACAGAACCACAGAAAAATAATTGAAATAGAAATTCTGTGGATCAGTGGAAAAAATCCACAGATTTTTATATTTTCCACAGAAATTTTCATCCACAGAATCTGCGGAATGTTTCCACAGAATCAGTAGATGTTTCCGCAGAATCTGCGGGCACCACAGATTCTGTGCACACAGAATTTAATTGAAACAGAATTTCCACAGAATCTGTGTTCTGTGCACAGAATGCAGAATCTGCGGACAATTGAAATAGGCCCCTGGTTTTTTTTAATTTTTTTTTGAAATTTTTTAAAATTTTTAGGTTGTAAATTTATTATTTGCTTGTAAAAATGGCGACTTGGAGACTGTTAGAAAGTATATTTTTTTATTTTAGTCGAACCTCATTTTGGATACCCCCGCTTAAACTGACAAAACCGTACCTTATGATGAGCAGTAATTTAAATGGAGGGTATTGCTTACGAGGTTTCCTTCCTTCACCCATTGTTCAATTTAATAGCTGAAAAAATCTGGGTGTATCAAAATTAAAATTTTTTTTTGAAATTTGATTAAACATTAGATCAAGACACAGATCAAGGCACACCCTCCAATGTAAGGTACACTTCATTATAAGGTGTAATTTTTCCAGTCCTAAAGGGTGGGATATCTAAAAGTGAGTTTCGACTGTCTCTATTAATTCATCAAAAAATTTTTTCTTCCTTCAGACTTCACCTTCAAGGAATGAATTTAAATATTGTTGATTATGATGGACGTACAGCCCTCCATTTAGCTGCTTCTGAAGGACAAACAGTTATTTTAAGATTTCTTTTACAAATTGCAAAAGTTGACCAAACTATTCGTGATCGTTGGGGACGGACAGCTTTGGATGATGCTAGAACTTTTCATCGAACAGCTTGTATGGCTCTTTTATTGAAAGCAGCACAGAGGAAACAACAAAAAACACAACAATCAAAAAATACTACTAAAGGGTTTAAATTTTAAAATTTTAATAATTTTCTCTGACCATTATGAGTAGGGTTGCCAAAATGGCCCGACTCGGACCGAAAGATCGAGTCGGGCCTAGGATATTTGGCCCGAAAAAGACTCGTTTGACCCGACTCGATAAAAATGAGGCCCGAAAAAGACTCGTATGACCCGACTCGATAAAAATGAGGCCCGAAAAAGACTCGTATGACCCGACTCGATAAAAATGAAACCCGAATAAAATGACTCGGAAAAAACTGGCCCGACTCGAATGTCCTCGATAAATATTTCCTTTTGGATCTTCCTCTTTGATATTTCTTTTACTGAGTAAGTGAAATATATTTTCTTTCAGAACTAATTAAATGAGCGGTTAGTTGAGTGGTTAAGGCGCTGGATTTTATTTAAAGGATTGTTGGGTTCGAGTACTAATTATAGTTTGAGACTTATTTTCAGATTATTTTAACTTTTTTTAATACAAGAGACGATTTTAAATTTTTGATATTATTTTTTGAAATTCAAAACTCTAGATTTTTCAGCTTTAGCGCAAAAAATGGAAGAAATCTGGCTTAAGGACCTCCAAAATTCCCAAAATTTTCGCCTGCGGCGCAAAAAATGAAGAAGGCGTAAAAAAAGAAAGCGTCCCCCCCCCCCCGTGGCGCTGCCTCCCCGAAAATTTTCCCCGTGGCCCTCCTCCTCCCCCCCCCCCGTCGGGGAACAACCCTAGTGAAGAAGATTATGAAAAACAATGTTAATATGATTTATTTTTGATGACAAATAAGCAAAATTATTTTTGTTTTTTTGAATAAATCTTTTTGAAAAAAGGCCCGAAAAAGTCTCGATGCCCGACTCGATAAAAATTATGCCCGAAAAAGACTCGTATGACCCGACTCGATAAAAATGAGGCCCGAAAAAGACTCGTTTGACCCGACTCGATAAAAATGAGGCCCGAAAAAGACTCGTTTGACCCGACTCGATAAAAATGAAGCCCGAAAAAAATGACTCGACCGTCGGCCCGACTCGAAAACGGCAACCCTAATTATGAGTCATTGACAATGTGTAAATTTTTATAAGAAATGAGAGTAACTGAAAAAGTAAATTGTGGGAAAGATAGGGTAATTTAAGGAAATTTAAGTAACAGTAGAATGGCTAACTAAAAAATTTTTTTGGTCCTTATTGGAGTTGTGTTTCTTTAAATCCGTGCAATTTTTTGACCTCGAATCTTTCTTTTTTTGTTTTCTTAAAAGAATTGTTTTAAAGGGGTAAAGGATTGTTTTCAAGATTAGTTGAAGTTTAAAAATCTGTTAATTTTCTACACCAAAAAATTTTTTTGAGAAAAATTAAAAAGAATACGACTTGTGGACAAAAAGTTGTGGATTTTTGGAAATTTAAAAAAAAAGAAAAAAATTTTTCTTTCTTTAAAGTCTGATTGGATTAGTGGCAAACAACAATAATAATGGTAGTGGACATTTACCAATAACAACAAATACATCAACAACAATAGAAAGTAGTGGAGGTGAAGAAGAAGGAGAATTAGAGGAAGACGAGGATGAAGAATTGTTAAGGTCAGAAGAAGGAGGAAGTATGTGGGATGATGATCAACCTTTATCTACAAATAATAAACATCATAAAGGAGGAGGAATTGTTAGTGGAAGAAGTTCAAAAGCTGCAGCTACAGCAAAATGGATGATTGAACATTGTGTTGATAGACTTTCTTTGGGAGGTAATGATGAGGCTATGGAAAATGGTAAATAATTTTGAGAAGATTTTTTAAAGATTAAAAAATGTTAGGAGAAAAGAGTCGTCGTTTGGAAAATAAAAATGGTGGGGGTCATCAACATAAACAAGCAGCAATTATTGCTAGCAGTAAATTCCATACAAGTACGGGAGACTAATATTAAAATGTAAATAATAGGACTAATACATTCTATATAAAGACCTTAAATGCTCTAATTAAAGCCCTGGACTTGTATTTTTCAATTAGTCGCTTTTAGTGGGCTTGGGCTTCTATTAGAGATGGGCGTTTATTTTTCAATAGACTGACCTCCTTGGGTGGGCTTATTAAATACGGGCTTCTGTTAGTGTGTGGGTTTTAATTTTTCAATAGGCGTCGCATTGAGTAAGCTTATATTTTAGATACGGACTTCTAATAAAGAAGGGCTTAAGTTAGTGTATATTTAAGGTTTATTTTTTTAATATAAAAAAATTTTTTTAATGTAAAAAAATATAGAGATCTCAAAGTAAAATAATAAATAAAAATAAAATAAATATTTACACAAACTTTTTTGTTTCTTTTTAAACATTGTTGAACAAAGTTTCTTCATTTACTATTGTTTTCCATTCCCTCTTGAATGCCAAACTTTTCTGGGCTTTTTCGGCTTTTGAATGTTTTCCTCCTTTAGTCTTTTTAAGGAATCTTTCTTCGGCTTTACTTAAGAGAAAAATTTTAATTTTAGTCTAAAAATTCAAAAAAGTAACTATTTAACGTCGTCATTTAATTCATAATAATTATCCATATCAGTTAAGGAAATTGATCTTTTTGCCTTCATTTTTTTCAGATTTTTTGTTGTAAATTGACGTCAAAAATGTACAATAATAAGTTCAGAGATTTAATTAAATGCTGAAATGATTAAAAACCGATTTTTGGACAGAGGGTGGGCTAAGTTTTTAAATTTTAGTTTTGAGCAAAATTTGAAAATTAGCTAAATTTGGTTTACGATATTAATTTGAAAATTAAAAATGTTGGCATTATGTCTATTTCAGAATAAATGACATTTCATCCTTTTTTGCCTTACACATTCCGCCAAAAACACATTTTGCCAACATGGCTAAAAACTAACGTTTTGCCTATAATATTGTTGACAAAATGGGTATATTTACCCTTATTGGCAAAATATGTTTTGGCAAAATGTGAAGACTCGCTTTTTTCATTTATGAAGAAATACTTCGGTAAGAGAAAAAAAAACTTTTTTGTTGTTTTCCATTTCGCTTAATTGATTACTTTTCTTTTGTTTATTCTTTTACTTTCCCTTTATTATTTTCACTCTATTTCGTGATACCAGTCAGTTAATCTTTTGTTAATTTTTCAGATTTAGTATTACAAAGCAAAAGTTTAGATTTTTCAAAAAATGTCTTCGTCTGCAGCTGATTTGGCTAATGAATATGAACGGTTCTTTAATAGTTAATGTATCCAAATTTATTTGTTTTTTAGTGGTGAAATCGACGAAGTTCCAAAGGGTACCAAAGGAAAGCGTTCGAAGGCTGAACAGGTTTTTTGTTGTTTTTAAAGTTTGTTGGGTTTAGGGTGTAATCCATGGTCAGTTACTAGCACAAACTTTTGGGTTGGTTCATTGACCAATTTGAGTGAGCCTGATCACCTGTTGTTCACGGAAATTCATTCCCCCTCGGTCTTTGTTCTCGTTTAAACCATTGATAAAAATGTCATGAACTTTTGAGTTGATTCGTTGCCCAGATCCGGGTTTTGAATACTCATGGTACTCCAAAAAATATTCTAGGTTCTTGGTCATGAAGGGCTTGTTGTTTGATTTTTCCACAACCTCTTAATTCATTTTAAATGTATTGGAACTAACATTTAAATTTTAGGTTGAACATAAACATGCACATCCGGAAGGTGATACTCGCCGTATTGTTGGTATGATTTTTAAGTTTTTAATGCGTTAATTAAACTCTCCACTTCTCCAGAAAATGCCTCAAACGGTGAAGAGAAGCGCAAAGAGAAGGAACGCGAACGAACTACTTCAGGATCTTCAAAGAGTGAGAAGTAAATGTTTGGAAGAGGATAACAGGATGATGAACGATATTATATGTTAAAAAGAAATATCGTCTTTCTAGAGAAAATACATTTTCGTATTTTTCAAAATGTTGAAAAAAATTTATTTAAAAAATCTGGTAATTTTATTTGTAAATTATTTATAAATGTTTAACAGATTTTTTTGATTTTTGATGGGTTTTAGACCGATAAAATATTTTATTTAATTATGTTTGACTTGTGGGATATTTCAAGCAGTTTTTGTGACTTATTTATGCGGACTCATAATGGTCAGATTTAAAAAGGAAAATCATTCACGCTCTCAATATTTGCCTCTGACCATTATGAGACCTTTATGATTTGTTTGGATGACCTTTGTGCTTATGAGACCACGTAATATGTCCGTAAAAAATGGTTTGGAATAACCCACAAGTCCATTAGGTGTTCAATTTTTTTCAGAAAATTTCTCTTTACTATTTTTTGATAAAAAAATGGAAGAGGAAGTTTATTCAAATGATTGGTTTTTGGATGATATCAATTCAAGCTTAAACACAATTCTCGCCATGATTAAAACGGACACTCAACAATTACCTCATCTTGAGTTACTTGGACAAATTAGGCAGTGTTTGGAATGTTTGGCTTGTTCTTCCCCTGAAGAAATGGCTTCGCAAAGAGCGCGATTTGTTAGTCTTTCTTGGCCTGCCGATTTACGTGTTGTTCTTCAGAGGATTTTTAGAACGTTTGGAATACGTAAAATTTTCTTTTTAATGTACCCTTTTACTTTAACTTTATGCCTCATTTATTCGCAGGGCGTGGGGGACGCTGATCTACTTTGACCGAGTTGCGTTTGTGATTAAAGGTCGTATAACGAAATTAGAGTGAATATTAGTGATGAGCCCTCCCGAATTTTAAAAATTAAAGTCGGAACGCGGAAGGGGCAAAAAAGCAAATTCTGCAGAAGCAGCAGAAGGTAAGATGCTGAAACAAAAATACGGAATCGGAAGACAGCCCTTCCATTGTGAGTAGTAGCCCATCCCATCCTAGTAGTTTTGCGAATAAATGGGGTGGATAGTTGAAGACATTTAAAAAACATAAAAAATTTCAGCAGAAGATTATGTTCGATTGAGTTATGAAATGAGCAATTTTGCTTCTCAAACTCTTGGAAATGATTGGTTACGCTCCGATCTGAAATTTCTCAAACTTTTGGCTAGTCTATCGAGTGGACGTCTTCGAGTAATTTTGGATGAACCCGACAAGGTTTTTTTGATTTTTAAAATTTAAATTAAAAATTTTTTTGAGGTTGATATTGACCAACTTATTGCTTGTCTTCATTTACAAGAATTTTTTATTGGATGTGTGGAAGATGATGCAGATTGGCTTGGGGATGATGAGTAGGTTTTGTTTTTTTCAATACTCATTGAGATTAAATTTCGTTTTTGAAATTTTTAATGGTCTTGTTTTTCGTTAGGACAAACTTTTTTGGATGGCAAGGCCAAGAATTTTGAGTTTCTTTGGGTCTCTGATCTTTTCCTGGAACCTGCTTCCAGGAATCTAGGTTTGTATTTTTCTGGGTTTCCTAAGGAATTTGCTTTCTGGACTCAAAACCTAGGACCTAGTTTATACTATAAGCTGAACCTTGAGTCCGTTCCATGCCCAGGCATTTTAAAATTTTTTCACTACATTACAATCAAAATCTTCGTTTATATTTTATTATTTTTTAGCGCAACATTTTTAAGTAAAAGCTGCCAAGAAGCCTGTACATTTATATGTGAATATGTTATTGAATGTGACGAGCAATCTATTGATACTTCAAAAAATGCAAATTTATTTTTGGCCCTTTCTCATTATTTTTACGAATTTTTGAAAATTGGAGGAGCTCAAATATTGGAAAAAAATTTATTGGAAAAAGTGACGCCTTTATTTGACAAAATTTCGAGTAAGAGGTTTTTTAAATTAGATTTTTTTGTTTAATTATTTAATGGGGTCCTCGGGGGTTTCTATCTAGGGATTTAGTTATTTAATAGGGATTTTGGGAGTTGGAACTGTCCTAAAAATTCCAAAAAATCATCTTTAATGAGTGTACTTTTAAAACTGAGACTGGGCGGTTTTGGTCTCCGTTTTTTCGGCTATCGTCAATTTTTAACTCTCGGTTTCTGGGTTCGATTTGGTCAAACGTCCGCTAACAATCCTATATCCAATTTATTTATAGAAAATGACAATACAGAAAGTGAAGAAATGGAACAGATCCCAGTGAACTCTACTTGATTCTTTTATTTTAAAAGTTTTTTTAATAAAATTATATAATTTATATTCAAGTTTTTTACTTTTCCTCTTTTTATATTCGTAAATATGCGAATTTATTTTTTCAAACATTACTTTCTCAACATAATTTTTTTAAAACAATTTTTCAGCATCTTTGTGTTAGACAAGCGCTCTTTTGCTGATTGGCTACTTTATTTTGCACACACACAAACAATTTGAAAAATAAGAGCTGAAGGGCTGGTGTCCTTCACATTTCCCCCATTCAATCCCCCCTTAGCAAATATAATAAAGATTATTTTTCTCTGTTTTATACGACATATTGACTAGTGGGGGATGGATGGCTATTTAAAAATAATTTTTTTGAAAGACATTTTTGGCTTGTTATTGTGTGTAGGTTTTATAGTTGAGCAACTGTACATATGTGTGTGTGCAAAAAAAACAATATAAAAACTTTTTTTAGAGAAAAATTTTTTTTAAATATATGGATAACTTGACCATTTCTACAACAAATAAAAATGCTGGTAAACAAAGGGATGATGATGACACCAATAAATGCGTTTCTTCAACACTTTCTTTTATTTTAGACAAAATTTGTTCTTCATCAGAATTAAATACAACAATCAAATCTTCAAATCATTTACCTCTTCGATTTGTTGTGGCAACAGAAAATAATCAATATTTGGCAAGTGATAAAAATAAACAAGACTTGGAGGTTTTTTTATTCTATTAAGAATTGGAAAAAAATATTTTTTTAGTGTTCTGTTCCGTCAAATACGCCAACAGCGTGTGTTGCAAGTACTGCGGCGACGATTTGTTCTTTTCAGTCTGGTTCAAGCAAAAATAGGTTTTTTATTTCCTTTAAGATTTTCTAAGATAATTCTTTCAATAGTGGGATAAAATGTCATATGGCCCAAATTATTAAAATTCTTCCTTTTTTCCAGTTCTCTTACAACTACAAAAAATATCAATATAAATAATTCTCATCAAGTAACTTTACGAAAAATGAGTATACAACCTCCACCAGTTGCTAGAATCGCTCCAAAATCAGCAAAACCAAAATTAATTCCTATACATCACCAAGTAGTACCTTCTTCAAATAATGAGAATGGCAAAAATATTACTCAACAAATTCCTCAAGGTTTTTTATTTTTTATTAAAAATTTTTTTGGCATTTTTAGAGCAGTCAAAAATTTTTTGTAAAAATTTTTTGTGCTTTAAAAATGTCGAAAAATGTTAGGTGTTTGATTTTTTTCTCAAAATCGTTTTTGTCTAAAAAATAGGCGAAATCCATTTAAGGAATCTAATCCGCCCTAATATTTTTCCCTTTTTTAATTTTTTATTTATTCAGCAACAATGTCAGGAATTTCCCCCTATTCATTAAACACAGCTTCAACAAAAGCTTTAATACAAGAAAATAAAACAACAAAAACATCTTCAACAATTTTTTCTGCACCTTCAGTTAAAATAAATACATCAAAATTAGTTGAAATGTCTTCAAATCTTGGCGGTTCTTCTTCAAATAATTCATCAAATTCTTCATCTCCAATTATTATACAAACTTCAATTAATTCACAATCATCAAAAAATATTTCAACAACAACATGTGGGTCGTTAACAACAGCACCAAAAATTGTTTTTACTCTTAAACCTGCTCCAATTTCAAGTATTGTTGGTAGTGGTGGAATTATGGATAATAATAATAAAAGGTTTATATTTATACTTTTTGAACCTTATTAAATCGGGGAAACTTTCATAAAACATGATAATTTTAAAATTATCCCACTTAACCAAAGATTTCAATTTAGTCAAAACCGTAGTTTTGGTTAAGTGGGATAATTTTCTGAAAAATATTATCTTATTTTCAGAAAATTTTTAAAATTATTCCACTTAACTAATAACTTCAATGTTGTTGAGCGTAAAGTTTACTTGGCCTTTATGAATGAGGGTGGGAGCTGACTAACTAGGGATACCCCGTATTTAAGATACCGCTTCCTTATAAGATAAACTTTGTTTTTCCTCACGTTGGGTGTCTTCAAAGGAAGTTGGCCTAACTTGAAAACCCATTTTTACTTAAAAAATCAATTTAGCATTAGAACAACAATTTCTTCTTCATCAGCTTCTCCAGCAATAACCACACCAACATCAACAACTCAAATACAACCTCCACCTTTGTGTATAACTCCTCCAAAAAATAATAAAAAATCTCCAATAAAAAGGCCTAATCAATTAATTGCTACAACAACAACGTCAAATAATTCAAATTCATTTGAAGATTCATCAAAAATGTCTTGTTCTTCTTCAATTAATTGTAAGGAAATTTTTTTATTTCAACGAAATTTCAAAAAAAATTTTTTTAGCAAATCAATGTTCTTCATCTTCCCCTCTATTGGATTCTAACGATTTATTGACAAACACAGTAAATAAAGTTGCTTCTGGAGCAGATATTTCTCCAACAAACTTGGAAGAAGGTACTTCAACAAAAACATTAATGTCCTCAACTTCAACCTCATCAACAACAACAAATTTGCCATTAACTAAGCCAAAACAGCCAAAAAAGAAAGCTCCAATTAAACCAAAAATACTTGTTGATGAACAGAGGAAAAATCCTGTAAAAATACAGCCTGCAGTTGCTGTGCCTTGTATTTCTCCGCAAATTTTTGGAGCGAGTCCTCCACAGGTTTTTAATATTTTTAAAATTATTTCTTATATCTAAAATTAGTGGGTTAGTTTACGGCCGGGTTTTAAACAGAATTTTGTTGTTTCTTAATAAAAATTTGAGAACCTATAATTTTCTGAAGATGGGTCAGTTTAAAAAAAACTTTCTTTAAAATCGGTATTTGATTAAATGTAGCAGAATTTGCTACTTCTTATAATGCCAAAACATTGGATGTCAAACCCCAAAGAAGTTCCAGGCCATGTCCATTACCTTGACTAAATTATAAAAGCTGATTTAACTGAAAATTTGGTTATGAATTACCCTTCTCGAAACATAAAATTCATTTTTCTATTGTATTAGGCGCAGATTGCATCCATTCCAATGGAAAGTAGTGTTGTTGCTGATACAACACCAACCGCAGCAGCAATTTGTAATTCGAACGGTCAACAAACTTTTCCTTCGACAGGAATGTTGCTTCCTGCAAATTCTCAATTTGCCTTGGTATTTTTAACAAAAATTTTTTAATTAAAAAATTTTATTTTTAGGCGTCTAATGGAAATTTATTTTCTAATTATGGAACTAATTTTGTAATTAGACAGGTTTTTTCAGATTTTTTGTTAAGAAAAACTGAAATTTTATAAATTGTAGCAGCCATCTTCTGCTGTACCTATTGCAAATGTTTCTGGACAACAACAGCAACCACAACAACAATTTGTTCAACTAATGCCTCAACAAATATTTTTTTCTCCAGTTCAACAGATTGATTCATCAGGCCAATTAATTCAACAACAGCAACAAACATTGGAACAATCACAGCAACAACAAAATCAGCAGCAAATTCAGCAAGGTATATCATCATCACCAACAAAAGCTGTTGCTCCTCCTCAAACACTAACTACAGCAAATTTGATGACTGCAAGAAATTTATTTTTTCATACTGGAAATGGAATGTTTATGCGTATGAATTTTTGAAAAATTTTTTTTTTGAAATTCTTTAATCTTTTAAAGCTATTTCAAATCCAAATATCATTGGAATTCCTCAATCTCAACAACCACAGCAACAAACTTTTTTGCCTATAACTTCAACTAATTTAACTCCAATTTCTTCTGCTTCATCAAAATTTGTTGTTCTTGCATCAAAACCTTCAGGAGGAACAACACCAATGCCAAATATTTTACCTAAAATTTCATCAAGAGGGAGGACATCAACAACAACAGCAACAATTGTTTCTTCAATTACTACAAATACAACAGCAACACCATCATTGGAAACCACGGTTTTTAAATTAATTAAGTAATAAGGGGGGGGGGGGTGAATTTAAACTTTTCTTGGCCAGAAATTTTGTTGGCTTTTGTCAAGTTTGGAGTCGGATTCATTTAAATATCATGAGGTTTGGGAGATATGCCCGGTCCTATATTAAATTAGGGTCGGACCCTGCCCTTTTTTGAGTCAAAAATTTCAGCGGGGTTTGTCAATTTCGTTGTTGGGTTCAATAAAATCATCAATGTATAAAATTATCGCCTATTGATAAACGTTTTATGTTTTTAAAAATGAAGGTTTCTTCGACTCCTTCCATTCAACAAAGTCTTGTTAATAATGCCAATATCATGCTTACAAATCAACAACATGGCGAAAATATTTTTTATGGTAATAGTAGTCCACATGCGCAATATTTACATCAAGTATTTATGTTACAACAAAAACAACAACAAGGAAATTTATATATTTCTAATAATAATTCTGTTGATGTTGGCGAAAAGAAAATTGAATTAGGAAAAGGAGGACAACAACAAACAAAACCAACAAGAGTTAGGAAAAAGAAGGGAAGTGGTGATACTTTGACTGCCGACAATGGTAAATTTTTAATAAAAATTTTTTTGAAATTAAAAAAAATTTCACAAAGAAACTCAAAAACACCCTAAAATACCTCATTTTGATGGAACTATAATACTACACCAACAAGGTCAACAACATGGTCAACAGCAACAGGGATTTGATGAAGAAGAAAATGAACCTCCACCAGTGCTTTGTAGAGGAGGAGGTTTTTTTAAAAAAATTTTTAAATGATAAAAATTTTTTTCTTAAAGAAATTACTTCTGAACCTCCAAGTAGTGGTAGTGGCACAAAATCAATAGAAAATGTTTTTCAAAAAGAAGCAAAAATAATTCGTGAAAAAATGTTTGATTCAAATGGAAAGAAGTATGGGCCTCTTGTTCATGATATTGATGGTTTTAAAATTGAGGTTTTTTTGAAAGAATTTCATTTCATAGTTTATATTTCGAGATAAGGTTAAACACGAAAATTTAACACAAGGGCAGGAAATAAGCCTGCTACTGTTAATAAAACTACTATGGTTTCAGAGTCCCGGCTATTGTTTCTTTGTAGTTTTTGGCCCCAGCTTAAACGCCTCCTGGATCTTCCCTTCACTTTCTTTGAATAAGGTTAAGCGCAAAATCCAAGGCCATTAATTAAACCTGTTAAAGTTTACGATCTCCTCTTGCCGCCTTTCGTACTACCCCTCCTTACACTCAATTTTTTTAAATTTTTCTTTAAGAAAATTTTTTTAAAGGAAGATGTTGAGCCATTTCCTTGTGAACATCAAAAGTTGTTGGAAAAGTTGGTTATAGATGAAAATGTTATTAACCAAAGAAAAAATAAAAATGATGCCACAACAGCGACAACAAATGAAAATGGAAATGAAGGTTTCTTAATTATTTTTTTTCTGTAAAAGATTTCAAAATCGATTGATTTTATAAGTGGGGTAGAGAGGTTATTGAAATTATTGATTTTTTGAACGAGTATTGCCTATTTAAAATTGACTGATTATTCTTTTTCTTTGTTATCCTTGGCGTTTGACATTTTTAATTAATTTACAATCAAGAAATTTTTTTTAAATTTTTTGGGTAATTTTTAAGAACATTGGTCCCTGGAAAAAGTAAGCGAGGATCCGAAATCTGATTGTTCACTTTTTTAATCTTTGTTTTTTTACCGAAATTTTTCGTTATTTCTCCAGAAAAAGAAGAAAAATCATTATCAACGTCAAATAAAAATAATTCTTCCTCATCAGCTGAATCAAATACTAGTAGCAACAAATCAAAGAAACGACAAAGAAAACAATCTACATCATCTTCAGAAGGAGGTGTTGGAAAAGATAATTCTTCATCATTTTCAAAATCACCACCAAATAGAAAATTGAAGAAAATGTCATCATCAAAAGTTGAAGATAAACCAGCAAAACAAGGAAGACGTAGAGAATTAGAAAATCTTTTAAAAATGGATTTTGGACCAGGAAAGACACCTTTTCAAACATCAGATCCAGATGAATATGCTGAAGAAGTTTTGGGTGGAAGAAAAAGAACATTGGCTTTGGCTGCTGGTTTTTTTAAATTTTTTCTGAAAAGTTTCTAATTTTTTTAAATTTTAGAAGAAAAATCAGCAAGGAAGAGTTTGGATAGACCTGGCTCGTCGTCAAAAAAGCATGACAAGGAAAAGAGGTTTTTTTAATTTTTTAGTAATAGAAGGGGAGGGAGTTTTTTGGTTGATGTTGTCCGCCTCTCTTCCCCTCGATCTGGGTCCGGTCCCGGTTGTTAAAGGTGTCCAAGACACTCGGTCTTGAATAAGACTTCTTGAGCGTTTTCTCGGATTGTGCTTGGGTCTAAATTTGTCTATAATTCTTTTAGCTTCTTGTCTTAAGCCTTGGAAAATTTTTAGTGTTTTGGACAGCTCTAACATTTGTTTTTTCTCTCCCTTGATATTTGATAAAAAAATTTTTTTCATTTTTTTAGTTTTTCACTCACTTCAACAACTTCTGCAACTTCAAATGAGAAACCAGATAAAAGTGAACCAAGGCGTTCAGATGAATCACTTGAAGAAGGTTGTTGTTCATATTGCCGTCGGCGTTTTAGTGAAGTTGGAAGGGATAAAGAACATGAACAATATTGTAGTAAAGAATGTAGAAGAATGAAAAAATATGCAAAAAAGCAGCAGCAACAACAAAAGGCGGCATTATTATTAAATGAAGGAAATAATAAGGCTTCATCATCTTTAATTGGAAATGAAAAGTTTGTTTTTTTTAATTATGAAATTTAGAAGGACCTTACTATAAGATTTACCCATTTATTGGATCTTTGACTTAAGATACGGTTCTTTTAAATTTATCTGGACGGGGGAGAGGCCAAAGCGTTGCCTCCCTTTTCGGGATACCCCTCATTGTGTAGTATGATTTTTTCAAATCACATGGGATATCTAAAGATGAGGTTCAAATATATTGTAGAATACATTCGATATTAGATATACTAAGAACCGTTTTTTAAGATCAGTTGACATCTTAATGGGATGGGAAGACGGGGTATTTAAAGATGAGAGTTTGGTATTTCAAAGGCTTTTGGGGGGTTGGTGTTTCAAACTTTTGGTATTATAAAACGTTCCGAAGTTGGGAGAAGAATATATTTGATTAAAGATTTTTAAAAAATATTCTCCCTTATTTTTTAAAGAAATGCTTCTACAACTACTTCCCAAGAAATAAATAATTCAGCAACATCAAAAATACGTTCATCATCAATTCAATCACCACCCATCACAAATAATAATTCATCTACCCCAGATGCTAATAAAACAAAAACATCAACAGCAAAAATTATGACAAGTCCATTAGGTTCAGCATTTTCAACATTACAACCTCAAAGTATTGCTACAAATAATACAACAATTTTATCAAATAAATGGTCAGGAACAACAATACCAACAACAAATATGAATGAACAAATTGCTTGTCTTACAAAAGGATTTGAAGTATTTTTTTTTTGAAAATTAGAAAAAATTTTTTTGAAAATTAAAAAAAAATTTTTTTGAAATATTCTTTTTAAGGTTCAATCCTCTTCTTCATCTGGTGATGAACAACCACAAATACCACGTCCATATGGCGCTCCATTTAATTTTTTACCTACATCTCTATTTGCTTCACAGTTTCTTCCTCCTCAATCACAAGCATTTTTAAGTGGACAAGGTTTTTTTTGAAAAATTTTTTGGGAAGGGACGGACATATCGGAAAACATAAAACTTTTCTTCAATAGAATAAGGAGGTCAAGGCCCGTTGACCATAGGTCGTGAAACCAAGTAGAGTAGCTGTTCGTACATTGAAATATCCCGATATGTCCGTCCGAATATGTCCCTGTTTTTTTATTAAAAAATTTTTTTTTGTAGATTCAAACAATTTTCCATTTCTTCATTCTCAATCTCCTCCAACTCAAATTCCTTCACAACAATTAGTTATGACTCCAAATACAACAATAAATCCATTTTTTACTCCACAACAACAACTTTCTAGACAACAAAATTCGCATATATTTTTACAATCTCCAATAAATACACCTACACCTACTGGAAGTGGAGGAGGAAATGGTGGTGGTGGTGAAAAGAATGTTGAAATTGAAACATTGGTTGCAAAAAGTATTTTTACATGGACGGTAATTAATTTTTTTAAATGGTATTCTGAAAAGGGTGAAAAGATTTTTCGAATTCGGAAACTAAAAAAAAATATTCTAAAAACTAGATATCATCGAGAAAGGTTTGGAACATGATCTGGGGTCTTCTTAATTTTGTTCCATAGCCTAGACCCAGACAGGGTTAGGTTTTCTAGGAGAAGGTAGAGGTGGGTTTCCTAACATAAGCTTTTAACATCCGAATCAAGTCAATGGACTTGGAAATTATTTTTGGCCTTGTCCCAGACACTTTAAAATTAAAAAAAGGCTTTTTGATTAAAAATCTTTTTACTAACTAATAAAAACATTAACAAAAAATTATCTAATCTATCAAAAATCATTATTAACCTTCTCATTTCTTGATTTGTAATTGACATTGAATGGAATTGTTTTGTTATTCTGGCATGATTGACATTTTAAAACAATTGTTTTTTGTTTTGAAATTTGTTTAATCTTTAACGAAAAGAAATTTTTTCCACTTTCTGGTGCCAACCAACAATTGAAACATCTTAAAAAATTTTTTTTATAAATTCTTGGGGTAAAAAAACTCATACCTTTTACAATAATTTCTTTTAAAATTTTTATGCATTCTTATTTGATCACCAAAACAAAGTTCACGAACTTCTCGTAATGCTAATCTTGCTAATAAATTGTAGCTGTTATTTTCTTTCTTGTTGTTTTTATCGTTTTGTTTTTCTTCTTCTTCTTTTTGTTGTTGAACAGGAGATGTTGTTATTGAATTTAATAAATAAGCTGCTTGTTCAAGAAATGAATTTCGTAAAGTTTGGGCATTTATTTGTTTTGAAAATTGTTGTTTTTGGCTTTGCTTTTGTTGTTGATTTTGTTTTCTCATTTATTTATTTTCTCTAAAATTTCTAAAAAAATTTGGGAAAATTCATTAATAAGTTCCATACTCCGATTCGGACAAGCAATATGTGTCATTTGAAAAGAGCTCGCCGATCTGAGTCGAATGATAAGTTTCTTGACCATTACGAAACCATAACTCGACTCATATTTTAGTCCCGAGCCCAATTTTTTGGTGTCATTCGACTTAGCTCGTTGAGCTCTTTTAAATTCCATATTGATGGTCTGGATCGGATTATGAATTTTATGATAGAATTTTTACAATATTTTTTTAATTTTTTCAGTCAGAAGATGTTTCAAAATGGGTTAATTTTGTTACAAATTCTGAAAGTAATGGAGAACGTTTTATTCAACAAGAAATTGATGGAAGTTCATTAGTTTTATTAACTTGTGAACAATTACAGAATGAATTAAAATTAAAATTGGGACCAGCAGTAAAATTAAATAATGCTTTAAATGCATTAAAAGCAAGACAACCTTATATTTGAATTTTTAAAGAAGTTTAAGAAGGAAGAAAAATAATCTGGCATTTTTTAAACTAATTTTAATACCCAGAAATGAGAGAGGTTGATACAAAAACAAAATGAAAAATATTGATTTTATCGTGTTTTCTCGATTAATTCCCCTTGAAGAAACAAGTAACAACCCATCCGTGGGATGATGAATTATTCAAATTTTAAAATTTGAACGTGCAGAGGGGAGGGGGGGGGGGGGGTAAATAAGGGTGGGGAATTGTTTCAACCCATCTCTAATCTGGGGAATTAATTGAGAAAATACGTTATCTAACAAATATTCCTTCTATTTTTCAAGAAACTTGAATACGTTGGCATCGTTTTTAACTAATTTATTTAATGTCAATTTAAACTGATGCCACAAATTACTATATAATTTTTTAATGTATTTAATTATTCGATAAATGTCTAAACAAAACATGAGCTAATATTTGTTTTTGCTACGGCGCAATCGAATATTTTTTACTTTAATATAAAATTGATGGCAAATTTATTTTTAGCAAAATGTAAGAACTGGGAGCATGGCAGGTCAGTTAATCTAATTTCAAAATATAAACTTTCAAAATGGTAAATTGCAAAAGGGTAAATTTTGTAGCAATATTTTTCGTCCAATGTTGCGTCCTCTTTGCCGTTATGCGCACTTGAATGGAACTCCAGGAATTTACAATACTGTTCCGAATTGGAAGCCTGGACCTGGTTGGCGTCCACAGAGTCCACAAGGACCTTATCTTGTTGGCTGGGCTATGGGGGTGAATTTTTTGAATATTCTCTTAGTCTTTTCATTTTTTTAATTTTTAGTATTGGCATTATACTCGACCACACAATCTTCCATTACTTTTGGTTAAGGCGGCAGTCTACCTTGCTTCTGCTTTTTGGCTTCCATTTTTGTATTCTTTTAAATAAATTTTCTTTAAACTTTTTCAATTTTTTAGCGTTGTGGAATATCAATTGAAGAAGTCAAAGGCAGGAAGTTGAGAGCCAGCAACGTGCTCTATAGACGCTTGATAAGAAAAAATGTTTGGAAAATTGTCTAGGAACATATTAAAGGTTTAATTTTGTTTATAAAATTGTTTTTTTGGATGATTCTGATTAAAAAATGTTTTTAATGCCGGGATAAAAATAACTTTGTAGGCTATGGTTTAGTTAATAAGAAAAATTGGTTTCTCGATTCTTACGAGTCTGTACCAGGTGTCATGGTTTGAGTAAATGGTTGGCTCTTCAGAATTTTCTTCGTATCGGGTCGAAAAAACCCCGGGATTTTGGATCGGGTAGTTAGGGGGATTATGTGAACATTCCTGGTGTGACATCCCCCCCCTCCCCCAGAATTTATTCTATTTTGAGAAGTTTCAAATATGGAAGACTTGAATGATTTGTTACGATAAAAAAAAATTTTCCGTTGACGGGATTCGAACCTCGCTCATTCTCCACCAATAGAGTGAGGAATATCCCGCTAAACCATAATGGTAACTTATTAGTATGGGAAAATATTCGACGGAGACCTATATTAGAAACCCACCTATATTATAAACCAAGCCCAAGACTGATTGTGAGAACAACCAGTGTTTCTCTGGTTAGTCGACAAATAACAAAGACAGGAACCATGGAGCATTCGAGAGCTGGAACCGAGAGACCACTGTTTTCCTAGATTCGGGGACTGACATGAGCCGATTCCAGAAACCGTGGAACAGTGGAAAAATTTGAACCTGTAAGACAATGCTCCAACCAGGGATGTCTCTGGTTTCCCGGACTTCGGCCAACTGTTTTCCCGTCCCTTTGCTATCCCCGGTCCCTACAATAATTTTTTTTTAATTTTTTTATTTTTCAAGCCATTTCGTCATGTTGACAATATTGAATTGGAAAATGACAGCATTGTAAACGAATTTTTAAATTTTTGGCGTAATTCAAGTTGTCAACGTATTGGATTTTTAATTGGAAAATATGAACAATTTAGTGAAGTTCCATTGGGGATTAAAGCTGTTGTTTGTGCTATTTATGAACCTCTACAAAATTCAAATGAAAATTCTGTTGGATTTGAAATTAATGAAAATGGGGAAGAAAATGGTGTGGAGGAAAAGAAGAATTTAAATGTTAAAGTTGATCAACTTTGTTCTTGGTTGGGAATGAAACGTGTTGGTTGGATTTTTACTGATCTTTGTAGTGAATCGAGGACGTTGGGGACTGTTAAATGTATTAGAAATGAGGTTTTTCTTTTAATAAATAAATATCTGTAGGGGTTTTGGCGGGCTGTTTCTCCCATTTCATTAGACTTTTCTTATTGCTCGCATTTTTAAGAAAAATTATTGTTAACTTACCCAAGGAGGCATTGGCGGGTCGTGATAAGAGAAAACAGCCCAGTCTTAGGGAACCATAATCCCTGATTCGGCGGTGCTATTCGCTCCAGGGATGGGACGAGTTTCCCATAACCCGAACTTATTTTTCTACCATGAAACCCGATCCGGAGAAAATTTTGAAACCCCGAATCAAACCCTGACCCGCATGTTCTTTTTAACTTTGTGAGAATTTTTTTTTATTTTCAGGATTCATTTTTACTTTCTGCTTCTGAATGTATAACTGCTGGCAATTTACAATCACATTTTAAAAATGCTACAAATTATTGTGATACTGGCTATTTTGGTTCTAAATTTGTTACTGTTGTTGCATCAGGAAATTCTGTAAGGAGAAAATTTTTTTCATAAAAATTTTTTGAAGATTTTTTTCAAAATTTTCTCTAAAATTTATTCAAATGATTTTAAAAAATTTTAACAATTAAAAAAATTTTTTTCCTTTTTTCAAGTCAAAAGGCATCGATTTGCATGGATATCAGGTCTCTAATCAATGCACAGCAATGGTTGAAGCTAATATTTTGTGACCAATTGGTGAATTGAATTGGCTTGGGCTAGAGAGACGCCATTAAACGAGAAGCATTATATTACTTCTGTTCAATATACGGTTTTTTCTAATTTAATTTTTCTAAAAAATTTTTTTTAATTTCTAAGGAGAAAAATTAAAGAGGAGAGGAAGTTTTTCGTGATGGAAGGCCTATGCCTGTTGAATATTTACTTGTTGATGTGCCGTGTGGGGTTCGAAAAGTGCTGAATTATACATTTCCTCGTGGCCATCTTATCGGTATCATATGGTGAATTTGGACACAGAAGGGTTTTTATATTAGGGGGGAATCTCGGCAAAACTTGCGGTTTATAGTTGATATCAATTTTTATCTTTTTTTATTTTAGCTCAACAATCGTCAACAGCTACAGCTGTTTCGAAACGTTGGGTCACTCACTGTTGCAAATCAGAGAGTTTCTCACTGGTGCGTAACAGAGAGTTTTTACTCACTGTTGCAAATCAGAGAGTTTCTCACTGCTGCGTAACAGAGAGTTTATTACTCACTGTTGCAAATCAGAGAGTTTCTCACTGGTGCGTAACAGAGAGTTTATTACTCACTGTTGCAAATCAGAGAGTTTCTCACTGGTGCGTAACAGAGAGTTTTTACTCACTGTTGCAAATCAGAGAGTTTCTCACTGGTGCGTAACAGAGAGTTTATTACTCACTGTTGCAAATCAGAGAGTTTCTCACTGGTGCGTAACAGAGAGTTTTTACTCACTGTTGCAAATCAGAGAGTTTCTCACTGGTGCGTAACAGAGAGTTTTTACTCACTGTTGCAAATCAGAGAGTTTCTCACTGGTGCGTAACAGAGAGTTTATTACTCACTGTTGCAAATCAGAGAGTTTCTCACTGGTGCGTAACAGAGAGTTTTTACTCACTGTTGCAAATCAGAGAGTTTCTCACTGGTGCGTAACAGAGAGTTTTTACTCACTGTTGCAAATCAGAGAGTTTCTCACTGGTGCGTAACAGAGAGTTTTTACTCACTGTTGCAAATCAGAGAGTTTCTCACTGGTGCGTAACAGAGAGTTTTTACTCACTGTTGCAAATCAGAGAGTTTCTCACTGGTGCGTAACAGAGAGTTTTTACTCACTGTTGCAAATCAGAGAGTTTCTCACTGGTGCGTAACAGAGAGTTTATTACTCACTGTTGCAAATCAGAGAGTTTCTCACTGGTGCGTAACAGAGAGTTTTTACTCACTGTTGCAAATCAGAGAGTTTCTCACTGGTGCGTAACAGAGAGTTTATTACTCACTGTTGCAAATCAGAGAGTTTCTCACTGGTGCGTAACAGAGAGTTTTTACTCACTGTTGCAAATCAGAGAGTTTCTCACTGGTGCGTAACAGAGAGTTTTTACTTACTGTTGCAAATCAGAGAGTTTCTCACTGGTGCGTAACAGAGAGTTTGCAGTGATTTTCACAGCATATGGTTTGTTTTTTTTTATTTTGTAGTCACCCGCAAGTTTTGTCCGCAGAATTTCATCCCGAATTTTGTCTAACAAATTTCACCCCGAAGTCCCACGGACACCAAAAAGCCTCTCCATTGTAAATTTAACTCTCAATTAGTCAATTTGTGGAGCCTAAGCAGATATGATATAAGGGAATACCAGTTTAATAGAAAGAAAACGAAGAAATTTATTCATGCTAAGATGCTTAAAAATATTTTTTGTTTATTTTTGTTGTATAAAATTTGTTTGTTCTCCCGGCAGAATATTCTTTTTGTAAATTACAAAATGTAAATTTCAAAAAGTAAACTAGTTATAAATATTTTAAGATCCCAAAACATTTTCAAAATAGTAAATTTTCAAAATGGTAAATTTCAAAATGGTAAATTTAAAAATGTCAAATTTGACTTTTTTTTTCGAAATATTGGATTTGACCGATTTGTTTAATGGCATTTTTAAAATTATTTTTGAATTTTCTCTTTATTTTTTTATCAGCTCGTGTTGATCTATCGATTTACTCTATCCTTTATTTTGGGGGAGAGGAAATATCGATTTTTTCTTTATATGGCAATGAATCATTTTCATATAAAAAATTTTTTTATTTCTGTTGAGTAAACATTAAATTTTTTCAAATAATTAAAATTTAAAAGTTTCTATATTTATTCAGCATCTTTTTTTAGTTTCTCTTTTTAGTATAAACAGGTGGAACTGTTATTTTTGTTTAAATGTGCAATAAATACAACAACAGAAACAACAAATATTGAACAAACAAATATTTATATTTTAATTTATTTTAACAACAGCAAAAATTGCAATAAAAATTTATTTTTGAACTTTGAATTTTTGCAATATTCTCCTACAAAAATATGCAAGAAAAAGGAGTTGAAGAAGAATGGCCATGTATTGAATTAACTGAACCTAAATTTGGAATTTTATCGCAATTTACGAGGTTTTTTAATTAATTTTTTGGAGAATTTAATTTTTTTTAGTAGTGCAAGTGAAGCTGTCGCACACATTTTGGTTAAAGAATTGGTGGAAAAAGTTGATAAGCCATTGTCGACGTCATCAAGTCAAGACGATGCTTTTTCCACTGATTCAGATTTGGATTGGATTATGCAGGTCTTTTAATTTTTTTTGTTTTTTTCGACGGTTTCGGATTTTTAGGGTTTTTTCTAATTGAAAGTTTCGAGGTTGGTGTTTTAGATCCTAGTCTCTTCATTATTTCCATTCTGAGTTCAAAAGTACAGGGCCAGGGTTTTTCAGTCTTGAACGATTCGAGGACGTCCTTTTTTACGGGTCGTGATTTTTAGCCAAAAAATAGTTGGGAACCCAATTTCAATTTTTATGTCGGTGTCCAATCCAATTTGATTTCTCTTAATTTTTTATAGGTTACAAATCACAGTTTAACTCTTCCATTTATTCCAAATCAATGTTATGAAACTCTGCGTTCTGCTGTTCGTATTTATATTGCTTGGAGTTCGGCATTAACAACAGATTCTCCTCGTCAATATTGTCCCAAACAAATTTTGTTATATCCAGACAAATATTTTAAGTAGGTTTTTTTATAATTTTTTGGGGTTGTTTTTATTTTGTTTTGGAATTTAAATTGACCTTTAAATTAAAAATTTTCTTTTTGACAATCCGTGGTTGATTGGTTAGTGTTCTAGAGTTAGTGCTATGGGGTCTTGGGTTCGAGTCCGTTTGGTGTCGGATTTTAAGTTTAGTTAAAAAATGGAAAGATTTCCGATTAAAAAAAATTATTGCTAAAAGTTAACGTCAAAATTAATTTTTTAGAAAATTTCTCGAAGCATTTCGCCATATTTTTCAAGAAAAATCAACTTTCTCAACATCAGATAATCATTTAATTTTGAGTCGTCAAGGAACCCAAATTCAAACAATATTAACAGCAATTCGGCATTTAACAAATCATTCAAAAGATGAATATAAAGATGAAGTTTGGGCTCGTTGTTTATTATTTTTATTGAATGTGAATGATCAACTAATTACTATTGGATGTTGTAAATCTCAAGGTTTCTTTTGAATCTTTTGAAAAGGATGAGGGGTACCTTAAGATCAGTTTTTTAGTCGTCAAGATTAGGCATGGGTTTTTTTTCTGTATCCAGCCTCATGTCAGTTTGAATTTTCGGGGTCATATTTTCTATATCCTTGAAGCATTTTGGACTACTTTTCAACTTCATAGCCTGGGATATTGAACCTGGAGCTTAGGAAGATTTTTTGAAGTTCAAACTGGAAATGAACATAGAAAGATTAATTTTTCTTTGTCCTCCTTTTAATTGGACCCAGTTTAACCTTCCTGGGATTCTCCTAGGCTTCAGGCCAATATCCAAGGCAGGGGTTTCGAAAAGTAATCAAGGCCTAGGCTTTGGATAAAAACAAATAAAACATTTAAAATTTTTAAAGAATCGATTGGCTATTTAATGGCTAAAGATCTTTGTCAAAATCTCTTTGACTGCTGGTTAAAAGCCTCTCTAAATGATTGTATCCCTTCACCAGCGTATTGGACGACATTTTCTTGTCTTTCTAATAAATGTGGAGCTCAGGTTTTTTTATAAAATTTAATTTTTTATTTTTATAAATTTTTTCTAGATTCAATTTATTGAATGTTGGGCAAATTCAATACTTCATTCAACTTCTCTTTTGCTTAAACATTTGTTTGGACAACAACAACAGCAAATGGATGTACAAGAAGAAAATGTTGTTTTTGGTCTGTTTGAATTTTTTCTTTTTTTTAAAGTGATCTCCACTCCATGTGGAGTAAAAATCTAATTGAGGCTTAGGCCGGGTGTTTTCTGTGCCCATCCATGTCCAATCGCAGTCTTAATTTTTTACTTTTCCTAGGCTCCGATATCCAAAGCAATCGGTTCGAAAATTAATCCAGGTCTTGAACCTTGTTGATTAACAAGGCTTTTTATTCTTCATTTTTCCCAAGCTTAGGCCTATTTTGAATACTATTTATTACTTAAGAAGTTAATACCTTTATTTTTCTAAAGATGATGACAATATATTTGGACAATTTTCATCAACATTAATTTCAAATCCTGAAAGAATTTCAACATTAAAAAATGTTTGGCTAAATTTATTTATACTTCTTGGACGTCCAACAAAATTTATTGAACAAGGTTTTTTTTAATTTAAAAAGTTTTATTATATTTTTCTTTAGCACTTGCCTTGTTGGCTGAAAAATCTTGTCAACTTTCTTCTACTTCAATAAATTTTTTTGTTGAACAAATTAAACTTTCATTTTTCTTAATTATTTTTGGATTGAAAAAGATGGTTGATTTATTTTTTGGTATTTTTTTCTGATTTTTTTTGTTCAAAAAATTTTTCTTTAAAGGAGATGATATTTTGTTGGATTTTAATGAAAGTGAAGAATTGCATTCTTTATGGTTGGAAGCTGCTCTGGTTAATAATGCGAGTAATATAAAGGTTTGTTTTTTAATTTTAAAAATTATTTTTTTTTTTTTGGGAAAACGGGGTTTTGAAAAAATTTTCTGATTTTATTAAACAGAAATTTTTTCTGTTTTTCATTAATCAGAAAAATCAGGAATTTCCGGGCAAAATTTTTCTGACTGACAATGAGTTTGTTTTTATATGATTTTTCTATTTTTTCTGTTTCTGATTTTTCAAATTTTTGATTTTTCCTGATTTTTTTGATTAGAAATATTTAACCTCCCCCAAATTTTTTTAGCAAGAGCAGAGACTTACTTCTTCTGATTATCAAATGATGACTGTAACTTCAAATAGTAATACAGATACAAATACAGAAATGACAGCAATACAAATTTCTGGACAAGTTTTAGCTTCACAACATGTTTGGTTTATTCTTAAAAGTATTTCTTTAGAATTTTTTAAATTAATTTTTCATTTAAAAAAAGATAATCAATTAATTTTTGATGAAAAACAACTTTTAATAAATTTTAAAAGAACAAAATTATTAAAACCTTCATCAACTACTCTATTAAATTTATTTTTGGATTGGCTTTTTGATGCAGCTATTTTTCAAATAAATAATACTTTAATTAATGATGGGGCGGGTAAAGGAGGTTAGTTTTTTTTTAATTTTATTTTTAAAATTTGGGGAATTTTTGAATAATGTTTCTTATCTCTAAACAATTTATTTTTTTTTATTCAAAAAAATTTTTTTCTTGGTTAGGCAAAATTTTGTGTTTGTTCATTTTTAATTTTTAAGTAAATATTAAAAATATTCATAAATTTAGACAGATAAGATTGGGAGGGGGGAGGCTAGCCAAATTTTAGCAAAAAAAATTCAAAAAAGCTTTGTCAGTATTTTTTATTGTCCTACATCTCTTACTTGCTCAAAAAATTTTTTTTCTACACTCTTCTATTTTTAAATTTTTGATAAGCCTTTTATTAGTATTTTTTGATCATTTTTATTTGTTAGGTTATTTTACGACTATTTTTTTATTTTTAAAAATTCTAAACAAAATTATTACTATTAGTTGCGCAATTTTTTTCATTTTTGTTTGTTTTGTACTTTATTATTATATTTATTTTGTCTTCTCATTTTTTCCATCTTTTTCCTCCTTTATTACACGCCTGATCCTTCTCGTAAAAAATTTATTATTTTTTCCCCTTATGATTTATGCTCCGTAAACGTGTTGTTGTTGTTGCTTTTGTATGTGTTGTTTCTGTCTATACTTCCTCTTTAATTCCTCCTCTTTTTTTATATTTATACTAAAATCATTCGCGCGTGCTCACAAAATTTTTTTTTGAACACGAAAAACGGAAGGAAAAAAGGAGAAAATAGGGGAAAGGAGAAAAAGGTTTTTACGTTTTTTGTTGTGGTTTCCTCTTTAAAAAAAAATTTCGGGTCTTTTTTAATTGAAAAAAAAATTATTTTGCCACACAGCTAATATAGAATGATCTATTTTTTATATTTTTTGGGATTTTTATTTTTGGAAAATAGTTCTAAATAATTTTTTTTGTATTCCAAAAGTACCTCTATAAGTACACATATCCATTTTTATTTTCCATTCTATTTTTTATTTATTTTTCAAAATGCGCGAATGCTTGTTGAGAGATATCATTCACCTCCATTCACTCATTTTCCCTCATTTTCTCCCTTTTTCCTTTCCTATTTGTACAGGTTATTACTCTCTTTTTTGGATAGTTTTACAATAAAAATTTGAGGTGAGGGGAAAAGATTTTGTTGAGGTGGGGAGGGAGATAGTGTGAGATTTTATTTTTAGGTGGAAATAAAATTTAAAATAAAATGGCGGCGGGGCGCTGTCAAATAAAAATATTAAACGTGGATTTTTTTTCAAGTCAATAAAATTTTCTATTAAAATTTTAAAAATAATTTTTTTTGAATACATATTCGTATACATTTTTATTATTTTGGAACAACACCATATTTTTTCCTTTCTTTTTTCTTCTATTATTTTAATCAACTTTCCCTTATCAACTGTTATCAATTCATAACGAACAGCTCAAATTTTCTTGCTTTTAAATTAAGTCTCTTGCATAAGCCCCTAACACCAATTTCTAGCAATTAATCTCAAACCTCCTCAAAGCTTTCAAGAGTTTTTTCCTCTTACTTAAATCCCTACACTAATCTCTTGATCTAATGCTATAAACATTTTTTGCCTATTTTTTCCAATTATAATTTGTCATTTTATAATCAATCACTTGACACTTTTTTATTTTTTGCACTCGATTTTATATAAAATTTGGAGATATAATATTCAATAATAATATCCTTTATCTTCAGTCATTTATACTATTTAATATTTTTTAAAATTTATTTGTTTGTTCAGATTGTGGCCAAGCACTTGTCGTCGTCCCTCCTCCTCTTCCTTCTCAACCTCTTCTCCATCCTCCAGCTTCAAACAAATCCTTGTCTTCAGTAGGCGATAGCTGTACTACTACTACTAGCAGCACTGGTAGCAATAAGAGTAATAACGTTTCTACTAATAATTTTTCTAAACGACAATCAGCACCAATACCAATACATTTTCAACACCAACAACAACAGCAGCAGCAAATAATCTCTAATAGTGGTGGAATTAATAATAATAATACAACAATAACAACGACAACAACACTTAGGCGTTCTTTTGGTAAGAAATTCTTTTAGAAATAAAAAATTAAAAAACGTGGAAATTTTTTTTGATTATTTTGGTTATTTTACAAAATGTCAAAATTCATAACGTAACATACTCAAAATGTCAATTTTCTGATTAAAAAATTTTTTTAAGCAACTTCAATATCTCGTTCTTCCAACACTCAAAGTAGCAGTATGTTAAGTAGTAGTGGTGGAGGGGATTCTTATCATCAACAGCAACCTATTGCAACAACAACAACAAATTATTCTTCCCCAACAGAATTTCCAAGTATTGATGGAATATCTTCAGGAAGGTCAGCTGCCCTATGTGCACTTTGTAGAATTGTTTGTTCAAAACATACAAACGAACAATTGAGAGATGATCAATTGGCTAGGTTTTTTGCGTTGGCACATGAAGCTTTAATTTCGGTAAAAAAAATTTTTTGAGGTAGGATAAGGGAAGATATAAGGTGGGAAAAATTAGGAATTAAAGAGACGATTGGGGATTTAAGATTTACAAGAGGTCTTATCGGCCCGGTAACTTAATTGCGGTCTGCCTGCACGTTTCTCGCCGTCTTATTCTTACGTCTATAGATCCCAGGTTTATTCCTGCGTCCTAGGCTCGCAGGCTCGATTTTTGCTTCCATAGGGTCGCAAACTCGATTCCTGATCGGGACCTAAACTTAACTCTTTTACAATAAAATTTTTTTTAAATTTCAAACAGAATGACAGAATTCTTCTCAGTTCTTTCATCTTCTCTAGTGCTGACAATCTCTTTAAATTGGCATTGAAAGGTGTTCAAATTTTATTACCAAATTATTTGCGTGCAATAGAGCTTGTACATAATGAATCGCTTCAAATTTTGTAAATTTTCTTTATTTTTTACTTAAAAAATTATTTTCTTTAATTTTTAAGACTTCATCCTTCTATAAGTCAAATAGAAATGCGTGCAGCTTGTTTAAGAGCACTTGCTTCAATATTACCTTGGCCTTCATTATTTGGTTATGCTAATATTCTTGGTATTTATTTTTGTGGTAATTTTGGTTTTGATCCGTCTATTTTTTCTTGAAATCTACACAACGGCCAGGACTTTCTTCTTCAATTCCACTCATTTTTCCATGTTAACAACCATTCAGAAAATTAAAATTTATTCATTACGTTTACATGTATGAGAAACATGATGACAAAAATTATGAAAACCCACAAATAAATCGAGTGGTGTTTAGGAAACATAAACCATTATGTACATTTTAAGAAAAAATACAAATGGGGGAGGGTTGGCATTTTTATTTTTCTTGTCTATTTTTGTTTATCTTTTTTTAAAGGTAACAACAATCAAAATTCTTCATCTCCCATTAATTCTACTTCACAAAAAATTAATAAACGTCAAGAAGGTTCATTTTCTTCATCTTCATCATCTAATTTATTGGAATCATTTTCTCGTTATATTGATATTCGTGAACCAATTCAACGTGTACTTTATTACTCTCTTCGACAAGAAACGGATCCTTTTAATATTCAATATGCACTTGGACTTGCAGCTATTTTCTGTGTTGAGGTAGCAGAACCTGAATTGAAAAGAGCAGCAATGTTGAAAGTTTGGAAGAATGAAAACAACAACAAAGAAAGAAAGGATGAAGCTGAACTTTGTAAAGAAACTGTTGAAGGTTTGCTTTTTTTTAAGTCCTCCCTATCAGGGATGGGGTTTCGACTCGAAATCCAAAACTCAATCTGAACAAAATTTTCAAAACTCGACCGAAATCCAACCCGACCTTTTTTATCTACCCGACTCATCCCTGTTGGGCAGACCTCCCAAACAGCGACCAAAATCATAATTTTAAAAACTTATTATAGGGGATATCGAGAAGTCTATCTGTAATTTTATTTAACATTTTTTTAAATTTTTTCAGCTCCATTTTCTACTTCTCTTGTTCGATCATTTATAAGTGCAATTTGTGATAATTTATGTAAACCATTATGGGCAAATGAAACACTTTGTTGTTTGGCAGCATTTGATTGTCTAAATTCTTTTTGTTCTCTTCCACAATCTGTTTTGTTTTCTAAAGGTTTTTTTCTAAAAATTATTTCTTATTTAATTTTTTCATAAAAAGGCGAACTTTCAACCGGCTCTTTAATTGTAACATCTCTTTGCCGTTTTATTGAACAACAATTAAAAAAACCTCCACCTCTTCATTCAAAGGATATGCATTCAACTGTTGTCGCGGCTTATTTTTGTATGAGTGTGTGGTTTTGTTCAGCTCCTAAACTTGCACGTATTGAATCATGTTTGGATACTGTTGCATTTGCTATTGAATTGGGAATGACGGGAGGGCATAAATTGGTATTTTATTTATACTTTTTTTTGTAAATTAAATCGGGCTTCATATAGGATTAAGGTCTATCAGTAGAAAATTTTTTAGAAGGATCGAAAGATCAACTGGGGGAAGGGAGAAGAATTGTTGTGTTTGCATTTTGCATTAAATCTTTTGCCCATTCTTGTGGTGTCCAAAATGTCAACAGGAAGGAAAACAGCATTTCAGTGTTGACATTTTGGATTAACTTTTCTTCCTTTTTTGGTGTCCAAAATGTCAACAGGAAGGAAAACAGCATTTCAGTGTTGACAATTTGGATTGCGTCCACTCTTCCTTTCCTCTTTATTTGCGACCGGTTAATCCTTGCCTTTAGCAAAGATTATAATGGGGAAAGGAAGAATCAAAGGGAAGGGAGAATTTCTTTTAGTGAGGGTATTAAGATTTAACTTTTTCATATTTTTTCAAGACTCCAGAACAATACAAACCAGCAAGTCAACGTGTTCATGATGCAGCGCAATCTTTATTACATTCCTTATTTTCTACAAAAATTCCAACAACTAAAACATCAACTACAAATTTTGTAATAAAAAAATTTTCTTCTTCAATAAACGAATTGGTGTTAATTAAAAAATTTGGATTAAAACTTGACAAATTTGAACATTTTTTATTACGTCAACAAAATGTTTTAATTTCACTTTATGAAGCACAAAATATTCCAACTTTATCAAAAGGTTTTCTTTTATTATTTAGGCTTCAATATTTTTTATAATATTTTTAGGTCTTCCTTGTGTAATTGCTATATTTCGTACACCATTTAATTCTCCATGGGCAAGTTTGTTTAGACTTATGCCGAAAGCGCCTCCTAACCGAAAGAAGACATGCAAGCAGAATAATACTGGTTTGTTGCTTTTTTTGTTGGATTTGGTAGGTTGAGTATAGCGAGTTCTTCCGCGTATTCGGAACCAAAAAAGTCATCCCGAAATTTTCAGTTCAGTTATCATTTCCGGTTCTGGATGCCCGGAGATTTCCAGGAACCCTAGTTGAGTCGTATATTTTTGTTAATTATTGTAGCCATATTTCTTCTGGGGTTATCTGGTTTAGTTTTAACACGTTATTCTGACAATGAGGCTTGAACCTAATTTAGAACCTGGGTCTCTCGTTGAAATACGAGACTTTCGTTAAGTCTTCATTTTCCTTTGAAGGAAGTTAAATTAGAATATTTATAGTAGTTGTCAGTCATCAACAACATCAACAATTAATTAAACAACAAACACAAACAAATTCCGAAACCTGTAAAATTCGTGATAGTGAACAACAACAACCTTCTAGTGACCTTTTAAGTATACAAACAAAAAATATTTCGGATTGTAATGGAGGTGGTGGTGGAAATACTGCAACAAATACATCAGTTGCTTCGACTACAAGTAGTGGAGTTTCTTCTTCAGCTCCTCCTCCAAATATTACAACAACAACAGCAACAAAACAATTTAAAATACCAAAAGAAGCGTTTGAGCCAGAATGTGAATAGTTGAGAATTTTACTTTTTTTTAAATTTTTCTATCAAAAATTTTCTTTTTTATAGCGACAAAAAATTCCCAAAATTGGAGCCTGTTCCACCACAAGTTTTGGCAATACAATCACAACTTGAACAAGTTCAAGCTCGTTTAGCTGCTGGTAATGGAGCTCCAATTGGTGACCGTAATACTAGAAATGTTTGGATTAACAATTCTTTGGGTCCTTTACTTACAAAACCTCCTGTACCTGAAAGGTTTTTTTGCAAAATTTTTGAAATAAAAATTAAAAAAATTTTTTTCAGTCCTGTTTCTCATTGTAATTCTCTTCGAGTTTTTCTTTATGATTTGGGATTGATCAATCGAACATCTTATCTTAATGAACTGACACCTTTGGATAGCTCATCATAGTTTGTTTTGTTTTTTGTTTATATTTACGGACTTCACTATGAGATACTCTCACGAATTGAGTAAATACTTACAATTAACATATACCTTCTTAAAATTTGTTTTCGGAATAGGGATCTGACTCCTAATAAGTTTTAATTTTTTCAACCCCATGTGGATATTTTATACTTATTGTTACTTATTGTGTGGTCTGACAAGTGACTCACAGTATAAAATTTCCTTTGTGAGGATTCTTTCGTTAAAAAAAAATTTTTTTCGCAGTGATATTTTCTACGATTCTCTTTATACAACAGTAGATCAACATCCTGTTCATTTAACTGAAACTGTTTCTATTTTTTATGTAAAAGAAGGACAAAAATGTATTGAAGATATTTTACAAAATAATGTACAAGTTTTTTTAAATTATTTTTTGAACTGTAAAAAATTTATTTTTAGATTGATCTAAGGCAAACAAGTGCTGAATATTGTCGATTATTAAGTGAATTGGGAAAAGCTTTGGAAATGAGAGAAAAAATTCAAAAAAGTATTTACTTTTAAATATACCTTAAATGCTCTAAATAAGACTTGGGCTTTCCTTAGAAACTAGGCTTGTATACTTTACAATTTGGCTCCTTGGGTGGGGGTTTTGATGGATGGTCTCCTTCTACATAGGTCTCATGGGTGGAATTTGTTATTAGATGAATCTCTTCGGGTGGGCTAAAGGACTGGCTTATACTAGAGCATTTATGTAATTATTAAGTAAATATTTTTCTCTTAGATGGAGGCACATTTTCAACAAATACATCAACAAATAAAAATGAAAAACGAGAAGCTTCTTCTGCTGAAAATTTTGTATTTGATGGTATTGACTATTGTTTAAACTGGAAAGATGACCATGTTGATATTTCTTTTGTAACACCAACTGGACGAACAATAACAACAAATGCTTCAACAGTAAATGGAGCAAATGGATCATCCAAAGCAGCATCAAGTGTTCGAAGAACTGCAACTTTACGACCTTCTTCTATTGATAGTGTTCAACAACAATTTAGTGGGTTTTTTGAATTTAAATTTACCTGTTTATTGCACTTTTTTGTTTTTTGTTTGTTTTTACACTTTCACTGCTTTTGCTTTACACTAATGTAAGGTTGGTGGATTCTGTGGAAAATCGGATATCCATATCCGATTTCCAAGCCATAAATTTCCGGATATATGGTCTTTTTTGGATTTGGATCTGCCAACCTTATGCTCTATTAATGCACTCTTTGCTTTATATATTTAATTTTCCTTTTTCCTTCCTTTTCCTTTTTCGAGGAAACAACCTCAGGGATGGGCTTTTTATAATTTTTTTCAGAATTTTCTTTCTTTTCTGGAACATTTTTTAAAAACTAAAACACGCTTATATTTTAGGCTTAAATGCTAATAACGATATTAACACAAAAAATAATACTGATAACATTATGGGGGAATATTGTATAGATAAACTATCTTATAATAATCACATGAATATTAAAAATATTAATGAATATTATTACAATAAACAACCTTTAATAAACAATATCATGAATAACAATAAATTTGATGAAAAAGAAGATATCCAAAAGGATGAAAAATATTATTCGACCCTTTTGGGCGATGAATACGAATTTTTTAAAAAGCGTGCAATGCTTATATGGGCTCAAAGTATTGATGAAATTAATGCAATGGAAAGAGATTTGATTATTTCTGGAACAGAAAATCAGCAGATTGATGATAGTTTAGATGAAAAGGATAAGGAAGAGGAAGAAGAGCCTTGTATTATGCCATCATCTATAGCTGCATCAGCAGCAACCCCAACACCTTTACCTATTCGTTCTGCTCGTTTTTCAACGTCTAAACCTCTTAGTTTGGAAAAACAACGACGACTTTCTTTAATTTCTGCTCATAATTCATCCAAAGGGTCAGCTGAAAGTGGTGGAAGTTTATGTTGCAAGAATATTGCAATGATTAAGGTTTAAGAGATTTCTATATGAAATTCCTCGACTTTTTTAGGCGGAAGACGAAGAAATGATGGGCGTAGAACAACGCATACGTGCTTCTTCGTCCAATTCTGCTGCTTCTATTCAAGTTAGAAAACATGCTGTTACAGCTCAAAGACGTACAAGTATTCAAAGTGCTAGACATCGACGTTATAATTTAGGAAAGATTGATCTTAGAGACATTAACAACATTCATAGTAGTCCTCCAGCAAGTCCGCCACCAATGTCTCATGGACGTCGAACTTCTACAGTTTTTAGAGAAATTCTGCTTGGGAATTTACGTATTGAAGATGTTACATTTTCTGATAAAGCTTCAACTACAGCAACAGCTGGTTCTTCTACAACACATACTCCTACAAATATGTCTCCAGTAGATTCTAATAGTGGTAGTGCAAATAATTTTAGTCATTTGGAGACGTCCTCAGTAGCATCAACATCTACTTCATCAAATAATTATTTTACTAGGTAAAGTTACATACTTCGTTTATCATTATTTAAAAAAATTCGAAAAAATCTTTAAAAAATTTTTTATAGTGAGAAAAAATCGTCTTCCCCAACTTCAAGTAAACAACAAATACCAACATTAATTAAACCACCATTAGAACGTAATGATTCTATAGCTTCAACATCAACAACAACATCTACATTTTCTTATATAAAATCATTATTTTTTCGGAGAACAAGTAAAGTAACAACATCACAAAATTCTCAAGCTTCTTCGGAGTGTGGAAGAAGAAAATCTTCTCTTGCAAAGGTTATTGATGAAGAATTGGAAGATTTGAGGGAAGAGGAAGAAAATGAAAAGAAAAAGAGTATTGGTGATAGAAGAGGGGAAAAGGAAGGAATTATAAGAAGTGATAAATTGGTGGAGAAGGATGTAACGAGGGGTTTGTTTAAAAAAATTTTTTTGAATAGTAAATCTTTAAAAAAATTTAAAAATCATAATTTTAATATAATGGGGAAGGAAGATTATTTTTTTATTGCCACTAATTGTTTTTTATTGCACGCTTATTTGTATGTAGCTAGTGCTTGTTTTTTGCTTTATTAACTGACACTAACAATATTTTTTATAGCCTTGTCTCGTCTTTTTTTTTATTAATTTCTAAGCTAAATATTTTTAGTTTGAGTTTTAAAATTTTAGAATCATTTGCTTCTTCCAACGGCAACCCTTCAAGAATTAAAGATACAGGAGGACATAATGTAATGTCATCTGCACCTACAACATATCCACCACAAGCTTCCTCGTAAAACATTTTTTAATTCTTAAAAATTACACAAATCATCTTTTACCAGGATTCAATCTAATAATCGAACATTAAGTTCTGCTTCAGTTGGAAATGAATCCTCCACAGTTAATTCAACTAATACAACAGCTACAACAAATATTGAACATTTACAACAACAACAGAAAGCAACTACAAATTTACAAAAATGGTCAAAGCGTTCTGCTGATTTGAGGATTTTTATTGTTTGGTTAGAAAGATTAGAAGATTTGTCAACCTTTCCAATTGGTTTGATGTTTTTTTTAATTAGTTGAATAAATTGCTTCTGGTCTAGTTTAACTCCAATGGACCTTTATTAGTCCAGTAAAGCCTTATGAGTCCAATAAAAATTTTTAAGTTCAGACAGAGGTTTATAAGTCCTATGAAACAATATCTGCCAGAGCTCGTTCCTAATCCGTTCTTAAATTCAAATGTCCTTGCTTCTGTAACCTACTACATGTGTTCGTTAGGTACACTTTACTAATGTAATGAATTTTTATGGACGTAGAGTAATCTATTCATATTTTAATCGGACTCATGAAGGTTCATTGAACTTATAACGCTTCATTGGATTCATAAACTAGGCTAGAACCCTAATTTTTTACCTTCTTAAATTTTTAAGCTGAAATGTTTCCATTTACAACAAATGATATAAACACTCTTAAACATTCAACAACAACAATTTTAAATTCAAATATCCAAACACAACATCAGCAACAACAACAAACAATAGACCATTTAGTTTTTTATATTTACCCATTTGAGAGAGGATTAAGAAGAATACAAATTGCTGGTATTTGGACTAAACAAGGACGTCCTGGACCTTTACATAATGGAACTGTTGTATCTACTAGATCTTTACCTTTATTATTAAAACAAACAATATGTAATGTAGCAAGAAGAAAAGCTGCTGAAATTGACAAGTAAAGAAAATTTTTTTAAATGTGGGACGGAGTGAGGTTGGGATGAATTGGGATTCTTGTTAGTGGGACGAGTCGTGGTTTTTGTTCGGTGGGACGAATCGAACATTTTTGTTCAGTGGGGCGAATCGTGGATTTTAATTTTAAAAAATATTTTCTAACTTTAAAGTTATCAAATGACTCATCTAAAAAGAAAACAAGCTATTGCTGAATTTGGTCGTCGTTTTGCAACTCGTCAAGATTATACTGAATTTGTTGAACATTTACTTGAAGATAATTCTGCTTCGTTTAGTGGGACTGTGTTTCCTCCATGATGTTTTTTGTTGCTGCTACTGGGGGTAAGTTTGTATTTTAAAAAAATTTGGTGAAGGGGTATGCCTTAAACTATTTTATTCAATACTATCGGACTTCACTTATGGGTACGTTCTTATAACCTGAATAATCTTACGATCAAAAATGTCACCGGGAAGGAGAGCAGCAATTGAGTGTTGACGTTTTTCTCTTTTTTCCTCCTTTCTTTTAGAACCCAAAAGATCACTGGAAAGGAGAGCAGCATTTGACCGTTGACATTTTGGATTAGGCCTTTTCTTTCCTGTTCCTTCAAGTTTGTCGGTCAATCTTTGCCTGTGGCAACGATTAGTTAACTCTTGATTTCTTCCTACCTTTGATTCACATAAGTGAGGTCCGACTGTATCTATTAATTTTATTTAAAAATTATTTTAAAAATTTTAATCGTTTGTTGTTTGTCCTTTGTCTTTTAAATTATAAACGCCTCATATATTTTTTATGTGATCATAATTTGTATATTGTTTTTTATTTTTTTAACCAAAAATATTCACTTAATAATTAAAAGCCACAGCTACTCAAAAATTTATTATTCTGTTATTTTTATTATTGTTCTGATCTTCTTTTCTTTTTTCTGATTTCTTTGCTTATATTATTTTAAATTTCATATGCCTTTCTCTAATCCTCTAGTGCATATTTTTTCAACTTTTAAAATTTTCAAATTTTTAATTTTTTCTCTCTCTACTTTTTTTTCTCTACAAAATTTTGTCTTTTAAATATTTCGTATTTTTTTCAATTTTTATCAAACAAATTTTTTTAATTTCTCTCTCTGTTGTATCTAAAGCTCAAACTCTTTGTGTATCTAGTATTTTAATTAATTTATTTTATTTTTTTTAATTTTGTTTTCGGTGTTTTTTAAATCCTTTTCTCTCTCTCTCTTAATTTGCCACGAACATTCTAAATTTTATTTATTTAATATTTTTTATATTTTATTATTTATTTTTTCTCCCCTTAAAAAGCGCAATTTTTTATTATTAAAAAAAGTATTTTTAAATATAAAAATGTTAATTATATATTTTATACATATTTTTTAATATATAAAATTATAAAATTCAGGTGTTTTTCGTTTGAATATTCGTTTGATTTTCGTTTAAAAAAATCTATCTTGGTCTATGTTTAAAAATAAAATTTATTTGCGTATCTATAGTATTGTCCATAACTTGATCATGTGTTAATCCTTCTTTACGTACATAACCAGTTTCGCCAATAATTGGTGAAACTAGACGGGAACACATTTTGAGACCAATCTTAAGAGATTTTTTATGATTTAAAAAGGAAGGAGGGATAATTAAGTACCAAAAATAATTAAATTACCTTTTCATCAGATGTCGAAAATATACTAAAAATATTTGTTCCTTCATAACCCTTTAATTTATTTATATCAGATAGAAATTCAGATTCACAATGTAGACCATTCTTTTTATTACATGTTCCAACAGGAATTGGTACAAGACAAGGCAATGCCCCATTATTTGTTCCAGCAACACTTAAAAATGTATCTACATGTTCAGTGAGTGGAGGGCCTAATAATTCGCGTGTGTCAACACAAGTTCCGCCAAGGATTGCCTGAAATGTTTTTTGGTGGGTTTATATTTTTAATATTTTTTAAGTAGAGATTGGACCGAGACGGGCTCTCAATCAATCAATTTTCGAGAATCAAGATTTTTTCGAGTCAATTTTTGTACGACCCTCTCAGTTCAATCTCTATGTACTTTTCTGGCTATCGGTGATCCCATAGAGTATGCTATAACATCCACTTTTTTGTTTGTATATTCTCGGACTGCGATTAACATGCTTCTGGAAAATAGGCAAATTTTTATGATTTTTTTTGGATTTTTTTATATTTTCTCTTTTTGGATTTAAGTCAGATTTTTTATGGTGTTTATTTTTAGCCTATAATTTTTTTATTTTTTTCTGGATTTTAAAAATTTTTATTTTTATAATTTTTTAGATTTTTACGTTAGAAAAAAATTTCTACCTAATTTGTTTAACATAAGCACATCTAAGTTCTACCAAACCAACGGGTGTAGTCCCTCCATCACCCCAAGTAGTCCCAAAAACTTGAAAACCTTGAGAACGAAGTTTTTCGATTATTCCCTTTTTTTAAAAATTTCTAAAATATTTTTTTGATTTTTTTACGTTAAATCGAGTAATTTTATTTGTAATTCAATGAACAATAACAACAGCTTCTTCATTTCCTACGGGACCTCCACCTGTACTTGCATCATTACCCAAATCTCTCCTTTCTAGTTGATTTACTATTGGTAGTCCATATCTTTTTTTTGTATTGAAATTTTTTAAAAAACTTCTGAAATTTTTTTAAAATTTTTTCTCACCTGTTATGAACAAAAGCTCTAAAATCCGGATTAAATTCACAATTGTAAAAGGGTAACAAAAATAAAATCAATAAAATTTTTACAAAAATGGATATAAATTGAAAAAAGATGTTAATTTTTGCGCGCATTTAGTATATATTTTTTGAAGGGATATTTACATAAGAAAAATGTTTTTTGTTGGTTATATCTTTGGTTATATATTTTGTCTTTTTTTATAGCCTTGTAGTGTGAGAAAAACTAGTTTAGAAAGCCTTTTTTTAATTTTATCATAATTTGATAAAAAAAATTATTAATACGAGAATAAGTGTAGGGAAAAAAAGAGAAAATAATGGTAGCTAATTTTTTGTAAATTTTTTTCGAGAGTTTCTTTTTTATTTTTGAATTTTAAAATTTAAAAGTTGTATTTACAAACAAGAAAGTATCTGAATGTTATAGCATATTCTCGAAATCATAGCAGCAAAAAATGAGTTCCATTTTAATTTTTTTTTCAATCGTCTTCCCCATCTCGAGTTCCGTTTGGTTTTACGTTTTATAATCTCAAACGGCTCGGGACTACAGGGTAAACGACTGAAAATCCTAATAAATAAATTTAGGGGAAGGATTTTTGTGAGGATTTTTGGTGAATTGCTTTTTAGAATATTTTTGTCTGGTTTTTAAAAATGGGAGAGAGGGAAGGAGGAGGTTAAGGGGTTAAGGGGATTTTTTCTTCTACATTTTTTTTTGAAAATAATGGGTAGATCAGAAAAAATGTGGTTTTTTTTAAATGTGTCGTTATTTTCATCTGACTAAAAAGAGGAGGAAGGTCGTATTTTGCCGCCAAAGAAGAAGAATAAAAATAAAAAAAATAAGAGAACAACAGCAACAAGACCAAGACGGACAACAACAATAAAAACACATAAATTTTGGCTAAAAAAAAAGAATTTTATTATTTTTTCTCTGTTGAGAGAAAATAGGCAAAGAGTATAAGGATTGTTCTTTTTGGGGGATTTAAAAAAAAGATTTGGGAGAGAAAAAAATTTTTTGAATTGGATTTATGATTAGAAGATCCCTCCCTCATCCCTCTCGTCTCTCTGATAAAAGATTAAAAATAATTTTTTATATTTAGTTAAATAACTTCTGTTTCTTTTATTAGATTGTCGAATTTTTCCATTGTCACTTTTTTTTTAAATTCGGCCATTAATGCCATGGCTCGCTAAATTCGAAATAGTCCTATCCCTACCAAATTTAATTTTAAATTTATTACAGAATTTTTTCTCAGTTCCTCTCAACGCTAATATGTAAAACAATAACAACAAAATTTTTTAATTAGCAAACAACAACAAAAGCAAAATAAAAGATCAACAACAATGAACATCAACAGAAAAAAATTATTTTTTTGCTTCAATTTGTATTTAATTTTGCTGCCGATTTTTATTGTTTAATTATTATTGCCAAGCAAAACTACAACAACAACAAAAACAATAAGAAAATGGAAAAACAAAGGAAACGGGCAAAATACGTCTGTTTTTGATTTTTAAATAATTATAAACTTTTGTTGTGTAACCACTGGGAAGACCTCTTTTAACTGGGGGTCAATAAAGGAAAAATACCTTAATTTTAATTTATTTTTTTAATTTATTTTTGGTATTTTTTCCTTCTAAAACATTTTTGATATTTTTTTCTTTTAATGTTCCTTTTCTAAAAAATTTTTTTATTGGCCTTGCTCTCGTCACTCAAAAATTAACACAACCTTCTCTCTAGCCGGTTCCACCAATTTACCTTTTCTTGCAAAAAAGAAAATTAAAAAATAAAAATTTTTATGCGCAATCGAACCGAACGACCTCTAATATAAAATTTCTTTTTTTCTAAACATATAGGTAAGCGAAGGGAGGGGGAACAATAGCTAATTATTTTAGTTTTAATTATTTTTTAGGTAAGCGGTAGTGGGACAATTGTTTTGATTATTTTTAAATATTTTTAATATATAAAGTGAGTCAGGTTCAAAAAAATATTTTTATTATTTTTAAGAATTTTTTTACTATTTTTTTGTTTCCTACTAAAAATAATAATAATAGAAACTAAAAAATTTATAATATTGGTTTCAGTTTTAAAAATAATAAATGGGCTTTAAAGGCGTTAATTAAAAAAGCTTCCTCTCACCTTTTTAGTAAAAGCAATATTTCATTAAAAATATTTTTTTGAAAAAAACAATTGGGAGAAAATAGGCTAAAAATGAATAAAATTAATATTTTATTCTGTTGGTCGATTAAAAAAATTAAACAAAAAATTTTTTTCAGGCTTCACATCACCAAGTTATTATTATTTCCAAATGCTTGGACAACATTATTTTCAAAATTTATTTTCAAATTTTCAATATGTTGTCCAACCCTTATTATTTTTTACAATTATTCCTTTAATTGATTCTCGAAATGCTAGAGGTCATTTTTTTAATTTAAAAATTTTTTTAATTTTAAATTTTTTAATTAAAGATTATGATGGTTTTCTAGCTCCGGATTCACTTAAACCAATTTCTTGGTATTTTTAAATTTTTAAATGACTGTCAAAAATTTTTTTCTTCTAGGCTTTTGGGTGTTTGGCGTTCAGAACATGATGGAAAGGCGGTAAAAAATTATAAAAAAAAATTTTAAAGAAATTATTTTGAGAAAATAAACCCTCAATATAGGAGGGGGTTTATTGTGTATTTGTACCCCATGTATTTGTACTTTAAAAAAATATTTTTAAAGATGTTCCCCACAATTCCAAAATTTACTTATGGTGAAGAAATCTCTATTAGCCTAACAAATCCAAAATTGCATGCTGAACCAGCTTTTAATTATACGTAAATTTTTTTTAAATTTTTTCTTAATTAAAAAATTTTTTTGAATAGTGCCTTTGCTTGGTCAGCCCATGACAGAGACGAATTACACAGTGAAAATGGTTACATAACCGTTTATTCTGGTGGTACACGTGTAGCCCTAACTACTGTTATGAATAATGGTGAGAAGAAATTTTCAAAAAATTTTTTTAACCTTCAAAAAATTTTAAAGGCTTTGTAACAGTCGAAGAAGGCCCAGTCTCCAATTTCCGCATCCGTTTTAAATTGGTGGATATTGGCAGAATTAGTTTTTCGCGTGATTTGCCAGTTCACGACCTGGTTAGAGAATGGTCTTTAATTGATGGACATCATTTGGAGGCTAGATTGGATATGGAAACGGTAAAAATTTAAAAAATTCTGGGGAAAATTTTTAATTATTTTCAAGTTAACCCACGGGATGCGTGAACACACCACTATAATTTACACAAAAATATTTCCATAAAAAATTTTTTTTCTGATTTTAAAAAAAATGTAGAATGTGAAATACTGGTAATTTATAAAATTAGAGAAAAAAATAGATTAAAAGAAAATTAAAAAAAATTTTAGTGTGATTTTGTGGTCTGTGTTTGTAAGTCAAGAAAGAAAATGAGTGTCGGAGTTAGGGCTACCCGCAAATCGAAAAAATATTTTTTTGTTAAGAGTTTTCGGACTCCAAAATTAATTTTAGGATAAGTTTAGGACCTCTTACCAATTAATTTTTTTAGAAAATTTTTTCAATTAATTTTTAGAAAATGCGGATAGCCCTAAAATAAGATTGAAAATATATATAAATTAAGCACCGTGTCTGAGGAGTTTTTTTTTTGAGAGAAAGTCTGTTTGTTTTTTCCCGATTGTCTTGATTTTGTGTTGATTTGCCTTTGTTTAATCACTCTACTTCTCAATATTTCTTCTATTTTCTTCCTTTTATTACTTATTATTCTTGTTGTGTAATGGTCTAAATGCTCTAGGAGATGAGGATATGGATGAGGAAAGTGGATGGGGAGGGGTTACTTGTTGTTGTTGGTTTTGTTGACAAGAAGTGTTTCCTTTAAATCAAAAGTCTTGATTCCTTTTTTAAGTTTCAAAAAATTACCGTTTAGATTCTGAATAGTATAACCCAGAATTGACTGGACAGAATGGCGCACATTTATTGGAGGATTTTTTGATGGGGATTTGTTAATGTTTTGCGAATGTTTTTGTGGATGTTGTTGTTGTTGTAGTGGTATTAATGAGTAATTTAAGGAGGAATTCAAAGGAGAATTGTTTAAAAATAATTCTGTTGGCGTTGTAAATATATGGGTTTGTTGATTTTGTAATGTTTGTTGGAGAGATTGTTGTTGTTGTATTGGCCAACAATAAAATGTTTGTTGAGTTGAGGAAGAAGGAAAACTTGAAGGTAACAAAAATATTTGTTGTTGAGGTTGAGGAAGAGAATAAACATTATTTAATTGTTGTGGACGTAAAGGACGAGGTTTTGGCAAAACAAAATTTTCGTCGTTTTCATTGTGTTCCTCTTCTTGTTGTTGACAAGTTACTCGATTCATTTTGCGACGTTTTACGGAATTTTTAATTCCAATGTCTTCACTTGAAGGAGATGTTAGTGTTGGGATTGAACAAGTGTTGTTGTTGTTGTTGCTTTCTTGTTCAATTTTCATCTTTTTTATTATTTTTTTGTTCTTTTTATTCTCCTCATTAAACTCTTCTTTAAAATATTTGGGGGAATTTGAAGTTCCAACAACATCTGGAGAAGGAATTGGTGGATGAGTGATGGAAGGATGAGATGTGGAAGAAGGAATTGAAGAAGAAGAAACACTTGAAACAACAGCTATTCTTGTACGAGCTCGAGAAAGGAATTCACTCATGCGCAATGCTGAGTTGGTAGGTTCTGCTAAAATTGAAATATTTTTTTTTAAATTCAATTTTATAAAATGGGAGGAAGGATTTTTTTGCGTGCCATCTCTTTGGAAATTAATTAAAACTTTAAATTTCCGCCAAAATATACCTCTAAAATTGAGATTTAGTATGCATACATCGTGGCCGAATGGTTAAGGGTCTCGATTACTAAACTTAACTGCCTGGGTTCGAACCCGATTGGTTCCTTCCTTTTTAATTTCTCCTATTTTTTCCTTTAAATTGAATTTAAAAATTTATATTTTTATTTCAAAAAATTTTAAATAATAAAACAAACCATCAGGTTCAGGTCCGCAATACACAAAGAGTGGAATCTTCTTTGTTCCAAACAAATGATGTTTCTTCTCAACTAAACTCATCATTGCCAGAACGTTCGCTTTAAATTTTTAAAATTAATAATTTTAAACAATTTAATTAAAAATTTACCAATGTCGTATAGACGTCGACATCTTGAACGTGAAGGAGGTTCGTAACCTTCAGAATCCAAATCTTTGATTAACATTGTGCTAAAAAATAAATTGTAAAAATACAGACTCGAGGCATATTTTGGGCCATAACTTTTTTGATTCTTAGCCATTTTAAATAATTATTGTATGAATCGAAAGCCCTTGATTTGAGGATTATTTTAGCTAACAGGTTTGAATTAATCAAAACATCCTACAAAAAATTATGGTCCAATAAAGATCAAAAATCACTACTCTTTTCGACCCCAAAGGGGTATCCTACTATTAAAATTTATTTTCTGACTATTTTAAAAATTTATTTTAGCTTTTTACCTACCTAACAACATCTAGACTAACAGCTCTATTTGGATTACAAAGCAACACCATCAAAAATCTTCTACATAACTGAGCCAAAGAATTCTTTCCACATCTATCTCTACTTGTTAAAGGTCCAAAAGCAGAATCCTCCTCCTCATCTTCCGGCAATTCTTCTGTTGAATGCTTCTCCTCTTTCAATTTTATCTTTTCTTCAGTAAAATTGAGATTAAAATTTGTTGTGAAACTACACATTGCCTTCTCTACTTTTGCTATTTTTATTGGTAATTCTCCTTTTTGGGCATCCCTTTGCAAAGCAAACATTAATTCTGGCAATCTATCAAGTCCGTGCCATTTATAAAATGATTTGTTTGTTTTTTGCATAACTTCTAAGGCTTCCATTACGTTTACCTTTAAGTTTAAAAATATTTTTGGGATTTTTTGGAGTTAAATATCACATAGTTGGACCTCTCTAAGAAGGTTGGCACCCCCTCACCTAAAGGAGACTCCCTCCCATTTAAGAGATACATGTCTTAAATCTGGTTGACCACTGAGTGGTGGGGAGATGCCTAAAACGATACTCCCTCTAAATAATACTCTCCCTCAAGATACAATGTTTCCAGCTCCCATGGGTGAATCTAATAAGAGATCCAACTGTAACTGTAAATTCCCTTACAATATCATAGATTCTTCTCTTCTCAACGTTCATACTTCTAGCAACACTTTCCAAGTGTACATCTCGCCCCTGTGCTGCTTCCAAAGATACACGCTCAAGAAATGGAGCACACAATTTTCCCAATGATTTTTCTTTTCTGGAGGGTCCTCTACGAATCTGTGATGTTGATGAAGTTTCTGAAATGCTTTCAGTTACTTTATTTCTTTATTATGTATAATTTTTCCTAAATGTTATGTCCACAGATGTCTGATTCCCAAATGTCTTAAATGTTTCCCTATGTTCCCTTTTGTCGTTCCTTACTACGTTCCCTTTTGTCGACCCTTCCCTGTGTTCCATTTTGTCGTATTGGAATATTAATTTCATTGGTCCCAAAAGATCACCTCCTTAATATCAAATTTCAAGAATACTTTATAGTCCCAAAAGATCACTTCCTTAACAATAAATCTTAGGATCAACATTCTATAACCTAGAAAAAAATATTCATTACCTTCAATTCCATCTCCTTTGATTGTTCTAATATTTTCTTCTTTAATTTTAATTTTAGCTTGTCTAATATTAAAACAATTTTCTTTATTTTCTTCATCAAAATCGCCACAAACGTCTACAAATTTATTTTCTTCATTCATTTTTTAAATAATTTAAGAAAGTCTAAAAAAGTCTAAAGAAAATTTAAAGTTCGAATGTGAAAAAATGAGGGAAATTTCGGTAAAGAATAAAGAAAAATGGATAAATCATTTTTTGTAACGCGCGAATAAAAGAAGAAAAAAATACAAATTTACATTTGAAAAATTAAAAAAATAGATTAAAGAAGGAAGAAAAAAGGCTGTCTTTTGCAAATAATTTTAAAAATTCCAAAACTTATAGGGGATCCTGCAAAATCTTTTCGGAATTTATTTGAGTTCCGCTTGAGTCAACGATCTAGGCCCTGTGCGCAATAACGTGAGACTATTTTAGTCTTGCAAAAAATTTCCCCCAAATCCTTTTTAAGGAAGACCCTCCAACCAATTCAACTTACAAAAGAACATACAAATAAATTAACAAATTATTAAATTAATTAGAAAGTGTGTTTATTGCCTCAGGCAATCTCTCTAATTGTCACAAAAAGGTGTTATAAAACAATCCTGTTAAATATCCTTGTAAAATGAGGGAAAATGGAGCGTCCATTTTGACAAGAAAGAAAAGGTTTTATATATTTTTGAAGTTATAATGCGCAATGAGAGAGAATGGAAGAAAAATGAAGGAGGAAAGGTTCTTTCTCTTTTTACTGAAGAGCGCGCGACAGAAGGACGAACAGAGCTTGGAGGGATATATAGGAGGAAGGACAGGTGAAGAAAGTAGGAAGGAAAAATGAAGGAGAATGGACTGTAAGGCTTTTTGGGAAGAGGAGGAGATGGTAGAAGAAGAGGAAATGGTAGCTAAAAATGTGCTCTGTTGTCCATTCTCTATATATCCCCTCCCTCCTCTTCATCAACTCCTCCATTATCTCATTTTTCTAAAACAAATATATTCATTTCCTCCAAAAAATGCCATTCTTCCCTCCCCTTCTGCCGAAGCTTCCTTCTCCCCCATGGCGCCAAACCCCTCTTCCCCCTTCCTCCCATTGATCATCCCCCCACTTTCTCTCATTTTCACATTTTCCCTCATTTTTGTTGTTCGATGGCGTCGTTTTTCTGCCATAAATGACCAACTGTTGTTGAGGGTTTTTGTGTGCCAACAACCCCATACCGTGACGACCCTGAAAATTTTTTTGTTGAGATGATTGCGCCATTAAGGAAAAAAGGGGAAGGAAAACAAGGTTTTCGCACATCTTATCAGTTTTTTTGGGTTATTTTTAGAAGGGAGGATTTTTTATTTATTTTTTTCCCAATTTAATGATGACCCCTTCGGTGTTTTTTTAGATTTTAGAAGGGAAAAAACTTATCAGTAAAATATTAAAAATAAGAGAATTTACTATATTTTTAGTAAAAGATAAGCTTCCCCCGGGGGACTACATCCCCGGCATGGGGAATTACCTAACCGACAAATTAAGGTATAGGTAAATAAAGAGAAACTTGGCAAATCTATGGAGGTCGTATTTGATTCTAATTCTAACTGAAAGACTTTTAAGAGATAATAGGACTAGTTTATTATTAAGTAAAATTAAGCCTATGTTACGATACCAGAAATGAAGGAAAATATTTTTTGTGGGTATTGCCTGAGGCAATATTTGTTGCCTTGGTGAGGATATACAGTATCCCCTCTATAGCTTAAATATTCCAGAATAGTTGGGCCATTTACTATAAATTTTTTTATTTTCATTCCTTCCTTTTAATTAAACAATCCACAGGTAAAAATGCCGCCAAAATTTTTTTTCAAAAAAGTGCCGACATTTTTATGTCTTTGTATTCGAGAATTTCTTGTGTTTGTTGCTTTATTTACAATTATTGCGCAATACAATTTCTCGAATAATCCGGTCATTTTTGTGATTTTTCTTTTTTTCTTGTTTACCGCTTCTATTTTCTCACACCTTTAAATTCCCCGAGAGCGGTAATCGCGCGCGGCTATCTTTAAATAAAAGGAGAGTTTAAGAAGGTAAGGAGAAGATCTGAAGGAAAAACCGGAAAAGGGTAGAGATAATATAGGTCATTTATTAAATTTAAAAATTTTTTAAGGATTTTGTCTATAATTTAGTTTCCTCAGAAGATAATCTCTCTCTTCAAACGGTCAAAAAATTTAAACAGAAAATTCAGAAAAAACCGACTTTTTAGCGGAAATAGGAAGAAAATAGAGGAAAGGATTGAACGTTTGTAAAGGGCAGGTGGGCAAAAAAGAAATTTTTTAGAAGAATTTAAAGTAAAATATAAATGAAATTTTTAATAATTTTTGAAAAAATAAATTCTTAAGACTTAAAAAACAAAATGAAGGAAAGTTAGGGTAAATTCTCATTAATTTGGGATTTTAGAAGGCATTTTATGTATATAAAAAATCTAAATATCCTTATTAAACCATTAACTATAAACCTATTTTCCTCCAGAACTCAAAACCCCATCCATTATATTACACAATTTTGTGTTCTGCTTATGGCACACATCAACTTAATGCAAAAAAATAATGAAAATGATCGATGGTATTAAATAAAAAATAATAATTAAGGCAAAATAGAGGTACATCAATCAGTTTAGGAGTTATAAATAGTAGTGGGAAACAGAATTCTAGCAAATAAAAATTTAAAAATGCAAAAAAGATTGATTAAAAGTTGTAAAACATGTTAATATACTTTAAAAAACAAGTAAAAAGTATCAGGGCCCCAAAGGGGTTCGAACCGCTACGATTAAAAAACTCGAATCAAACTCGCTAACCACTCGGCCACAATACAACTTTAGAAGAATTGAATAAAGCTTATATAGAAAATAATAATTAAAGGCTAACATTTGAGGAATAAAACAGACTAGAATTAAAGGAATTTAAAAGGAAATTTAAGAAAACAAAAATAAACTAAAATTTTTGAAGAAAATAAAAATAAAATATTTATTTGCAAAGAAATTGCCATCTTTTTCTTATCGGCACATTTAGATCGCCTTTAAAATGAATGCGGCGTTCTCCGGCGCGTTAGAGGCAGATGTGAAAATAAAAATGAGAAGACAAGGAAGGAAAAAATGGGCGGGAGATTGGATAGAAAAATAGGCAAAAATCAGGGAAGAGAAGAAAAAAATGCCAAAAAGAGAAGTGGCACACATTGAAAAAAAAATATTTTTGCGCGCCATTTGTGCCGTAGATTTTTTTGCTTCTTCCATTTTATTGTCCTCTTCTTCACAAAAATATTCATCTTTTTTCTAGTCATCTTTTTTGGCGTCGCTTTTTGTGTCGAACAACAAGGTTGATGACAACTGTTTTGGAGAATAAAAACATATCGGCTGTCAGCAAAACTCTCAAAAAATATTTTTGATGGCATTTATTTTTTTAATTTTATGCCGCTTTTCTCATTTTTCATATTTTAAAGAAGGGGAAATACTAGAAAATGTTGAAAAATGAATTGTCAAAAGCCGCTTATTCTTTAATGTGCCGAAAACTTAAAACAGGAAAAAAACAAGGCGCGGAAAAATATTTTTTGATGAGAGAAAAATCCAAATTGAAACAGCATTAGAAATCAATCGAAAATAGAGAAAAGGGGGTCGCGGGTTCGAACCCGTCCCGGGTGATTTATTTTTAATTCTCTTCCCTCATCCACTGGTAGTCTAAAAATTGTTTAATGAACAGTGAAGGGTGCGAAAACCCTCTTGGGGGAAAATACCTTTTCTTTTTGTCAGATACAAAATAAAAAAATAAAAAAAGTTAAACGTATTTTCATTTTTAATTCATTAATAATCGGCAACCTGAATTCAAACAAAAGATTGGAGTTCTTCAAGATATTTTCTGCTGATTCTTGTTCTTCTAAAGCATACCCATTAAATAGACGGTCTTCCCGCAACAATTCACCGGCCTAAAAAATGATCTTGAAACCACAGTAAATAATTCAAAATAACCTCTTAAAAATTTTCAAGGCTTCTGGATACTCTCAAAGCTGAAAATTAATTAATTAAAAAAATTTTAAACTTAAAAACAACCTATAAAAAGATCAACTATTCAAAACAAGCAAATCAATGCATCTAACCAATGGACATCTGCTGTACGTCTTCTCGTTTGACAAGAACTTGGCCACCGTTTAATTGGCTTTAACGTTGGGAACGGATAAACTTATTTAAGGGAGAAACTTTGCGGACAAAACTTGCGAATTTAATAAAGTAAAAAAGCTAACCATGTAGACGAGAGCATTGGAGTTTAATCGTTGCACTGTTGGAGTGAAGCCATTGCCCATATTTCGCCGAAGCTAACATGGGGCTTTTGCCCATATTTCGCCGAAGCTAACATGGGGCTTTTGCCCATATTTCGCCGAAGCTAACATGGGGCTTTTGCCCATATTTCGCCGAAGCTAACATGGGGCTTTTGCCCATATTTCGCCGAAGCTAACATGGGGCTTTTGCCCATATTTCGCCGAAGCTAACATGGGACTTTTGCCCATATACCGCCGAAGCGATACATTGGGACTTTTGTTGTTGCTGCTGTTGTTGTTGCTGTTGTTGTTGTTGCTGCTGTTGTTGTTGTTGCTGAAGTGAAGTACTGAAAAAGATTGGCTACATTTTTCAAAAATTGAAAAAAGCAAGTCTTGTCCGCAAGTCATTATAACCTCCCCCTCAAAAAGGTTAATCCCCTAAAAAGAGAAAAGCCATCATTCTGTTGTAGAACATCTTTGCTATAAATGGACAACAAAGGAAAATCAATAACCCTGAAAATCAATAATCACGGAATGCCAAAATAATCGCCAACGAGTATTATTTAAAAATTTACTTTATTTCTCTAGAAAACACTATTTCGTGGAGAACTTCAAAATGTAAACTCAAGCTATTTCAAAGTGTAAAAAATTAAAATATACAAAAACAATCTAGTCACTCTCCTAAAATTTTTTATATTTGACAATTTTCAAGTAAAATTTTATAATTTTCAGGGATTTATGTTGCCATCAACAAGTTGGGATTATGCACGTAAATTCTGTGTTTTTCTTGGTGGAGCTATTGTTGGCACGACTGTTATATTTAAAATTTACAATCCATTTGCTCTAATGAAAGCAGAAATTGAAGAAGGAAGTGCTGATATTTTAAAAGAATATACGCCTAGATATGAAGAATTGAGGAAACAATTGGCAAGAGAAGTTGCAAAAATTGAAGAAAGGAAGAAAATTGCTTCTAAACTTGGTGTTAATGATACAGTCGTCGACATAAAGATAGGGACAAGAGTAATTTAAATGCAAATTAACTATTTTTCAGTCAAAAAATACGTTCTATATATCAATCGAAAGCTCTATTCGTATCTCGGTTGACATGTTTCTGCATTTTTCATGAAATTGAAAATTGACCGAGATAATCCGGATCTACCGGATATACCAAATCCTATATCCTCGGAAAAATTTTTCGGAACAAATTTAACAAACCCATTTGATAAAGCATATTTTTGTGAGTATTTATCACAAAACCGCTCTGAAATATCTTTTTCCGGACCAGAGATATGATTTTTTGAAAATGGCATTTTTAGCCTATTTTTGCAAAAAATTCAATTTTTAAGGGAAAAATGCCATTTTCAAAAAATCATATCTCTGGTCCGGAAAAAGATATTTCTAAGCGGTTTTGTGGAAAATACTCACAAAAATATGCTTTATCATTTGGGTTTGTTAAATTTGTTCCGAAAAATTTTTCCGAGGATATAGGATTTGGTATATCCGGTAGATCCGGATTATCTCGGTCAATTTTCAATTTCATGAAAAATGCAGAAACATGTCAACCGAGATACGAATAGAGCTTTCGATTGATATATAGAACGTATTTTTTGACTGAAAAATAGTTAATTTGCATTTAAATTACTCTTGTCCCTATCTTTATGTCCACTACTGTAGATAGTATTTATTTATTTATTTATTTATTTTTAATAAATGAATATTAGAGCTTTAATTTGTTTTTTAATTTATTTGGAAGGTTAAACATTCAGAAGATTTTTGATGTTTTTCTGAGTGTTCTTTTTCTAATATTTTTAATTTTTCTCTTAATTTATTTTTTAAACAATTTTTTAGTCTTATAGAGGCGGTAAACAACCCTTCATGAACTTTTGAAGAATTGAATGCGAAAACATTTACTTCGTCTACCCATCAAATTGTCAACAACAACAATCACTTTTCGCGGCAAATCTAAACTTTTGGCAATGCAAAATCCCTTCGAAGTGCCTACTTACCAAGTTGGAAACCAAACTTATCGTCGAAATTGTCCTCTTGAAATGGTAAATACAACAAATCCAGCAGCTGTTTCCTCCCAAAAATTTAATGAAATGGAAGAGGAGGAAGAAAGAAGTTGTGAAATGATTGAAGAAACCACCAGCAGCACTTTATTGGAAATTAGAGAAGAACCAGGTTTATTTTATATTTTGAAGGAGTTTTCTTATTGAAGATGGATATATAAAAAATAGTTTTTTTAATTGACAGCCGCTCTTTTTTTCTTGATTAAGAGTTTATATCCAAAAATCCATGTTTTTTCTTCTTTCTCGTAACGTTTTTATTTTGTTCACATGCTTGATTGATCCTTCTCATCTCTTTTTTAGTATAGTTTTGAGGGAACAACAAAGAGAGAGAGAGATATTTTCGATACCCTTTGAATTTTTATAAGGCCTTTTTGAGGGACTTTTTCAAATTTATTTTTAAAAAATTTCAAATTTAAATTTAGGAGAAACACAATCTGCAGCATTTGGTTCAGGATTATTCAAAAAGAAGGTGGATCATCTAGAAGAAAAAATGCAGGGGAAAGGTAAGAAATTCTTTTTTGGAATTGCTAGATGAAAAAAATTCTGTTCTTTAGTGGATGAGCAAATGCAAGAGAATAGCTCGGAAAAATCGAGATTAGCGGTGGCTGATGCTGAGGAGAATAAGAATGATGATTCCAAGGTTGTTTAAAGGATGCTTTTTTAATTATTTTTTATTTTACAAATTGCTGATTTTTTAACAATTTTTATTTTTTTAAATTTTCTTTACATGTTTATTTTGTTCTGCTACTGTCTGTAGTCAGTTCAGTGTCCCTAATCAGTTTTATATGTAGTATTTCGAATTGAAACTTGAAGAGAGAATCCTCTAGTATTTGCAACAAAACAAGCTAGCTGTCACACCTAACTGACTTTTTCGCACTGAACTGACCTCGACTCTAACTGTTTAGTGTCTCTTCATTTCCCACACTCTTTCTGCATTTATTGATTTTTACTCGACAGCCATTGTTTAGACACGTAAAACATGTACTGGTTATAGAAAAATAATTAATTTTTCTTGTGGCAGTTTAGTGAAAATGCTTTTCTCTGACCGCTACATGTTTTTTTGTGTGTTGTTACTTCATGTGTTCCCAATATCCCCAATTAAAAACTAGAAATCCGTAAATCGGTTTTAAAACCGCTATATCTTTTTACCATTTAAGAATATTAGTTTCAGAATTCAAAAATCTGCGGTATTTGGCATAATGCAAAGCATTGAGAATAAATGACACTTCATCCCAAAAATCAATAATCGATTTTTGATTTTTCATTGGAGTTCTCTGTTGTCCATCTTTACCAAAGATGTTCTAAACAGAATGCGTGGCTTTTCTTTTGTGGGGATTAACCTTTTTAGTGGGAGGGGGTAGTAATGACTTGCGGACAAGACTTGCTTTTTTTCAATTTTTGAAAAATTTATCCATTTTTTTTAGTTCTTCAGCAGCAGCAACAACAACAAAAGTCCTAGGCAGCAAAAGTCCCATTCGCTTCGGCGATTCTGGGCAGCCAAAGTCCCATTCGCTTCGGCGATTCTGGGCAGCCAAAGTCCCATTCGCTTCGGCGATTCTGGGCAGCCAAAGTCCCATTCGCTTCGGCGATTCTGGGCAGCCAAAGTCCCATTCGCTTCGGCGATTCTGGGCAGCCAAAGTCCCATTCGCTTCGGCGATTCTGGGCAGCCAAAGTCCCATTCGCTTCGGCGATTCTGGGCAGCCAAAGTCCCATTCGCTTCGGCGATTCTGGGCAGCCAAAGTCCCATTCGCTTCGGCGATTCTGGGCAAGCTTCAACTATACAATTCCAATGCTCTCGTCAACATGGTTAGCTTTTTTTACTTTATTAAATTCGCAAGTTTTGTCCGCAAAGTTTCTCCCATTCATAAGTTTATCCTTTCTCAATGTTAAAGCCAATTAAACGGTGGCCAAGTTCTTGGTAAACGAGAAGACGTACAGCAAATGTTCCATTGGTTAGATGCAATGATTTGTTTGTTTTGAACGGTTGATCTTTTGATAGGTTGTTTTTATTTTTAAGAGTTTTTCATTTACTTAATTTTCAGCTTTGAGTGTGTGTCCAGATGCTGTTAAAAAATTTTAAAGAGGTTATTTTTAATTATTTCTATGGTTTCAAGATTATTTTTTAGGGCAGTGAATTGTTGCGGGAAGGACGTCTATTTGATGAGAATGCTTTGGAAGAACAAGAATCAGCAGAAAAAATGACCGAAGAACTGCAATCTTTTATTAAAATTCAGCAAATTAGGTTTGAAGATTAATTGATTGGTTTGATTATTTGGTTTCCATAATTTTTCGCGTTTATTAATTCAGGTTTTGCCCCTTTTTAAAACTTACTAATTTAAAAAAGTCCCCGTTATCAATGTTTAAATCTCCGTCCAGTTGCTTTCCTTGGGTATTGTGAGTTGTCGAGGGTTTTGTTGGCCCACCAGATTTCACGATTATACAACATTAGAAAGAGCTGGGCGAGTTGACTTGAGCGGGGGAAGAAGGCGGATGGACGTACAGGGACCGAGTTTTATAGACTCCTGAAAACAAAAGTAGCTGATTTTGGGATGAAAAATTCGAAAATGCAAATAATAGCCAAAGGGATCTTTTTATTCTCAAGATCGAACCAAATAAACCTTCCTTTTCTTTTTAAGATTTCCAAGCTTAGGGGTTTTCAAACAACATAAATTCCAGACATTTTTATTTCTTTAACGATTTATTTTTTCAGTTTAAAAACGTATAAACGAGGAACAAATGGTCAAACACGGACAAGAATTGACTGCCTACAAAGACAAACACAACATCTGGACGTTGAGCAATAAAGAACCAATGGAATTACAAAAGAAGGAAGTGCTTGGGAAAGGAAACGAAAACATAGTTTTTTTTTATTTTTTTTTTGTTTACTTAGATACAGTCGAAATATCAATCAAACTGTTGGAAAATCTTCGACATTTTCTCAAAAATGAAAAGAAAATTTACAGATTAATTGTCAAATTCCCAATTTCGACTGTATTACAATTGTCGAGTTTTATATAATTTTTCTTATTTTTTAGCCAGATTTTTATTTGTTTGAATAAATAAAAATGAATTTGTTGTTGTTGAATTACCATTTTTCATTAAACTATCGAGGACTTTAAATTTAAATCGACTTCTAAAAGAATTTAACGTGAAACCCTAATTAAATTCCAAATAGACCATTTTTCATGTTGTTAGACTCTTGTATCCCTTTTTGTATTGAGTACTACTCTTGCTCCTTTTTAAGTAAGTTGGAATGTAGCAAGTAGAGAAAGAAAATGTTTGAGGGAGTTGATAAGTTGGGATGTAATGCTAAAAATAAATGACATTTTGTCCCAAAAGTTAGAGAAATTCTATAAAACATATAGTGTAGCTAGAGAAAAAAATAAATATCAAATGTTTAGGCCGGTTCAGTGCTGAATTCAGAGAGTGCAAAGTTACTGTATTTGAAATATAATTTTTGATAAGAATTTAAAAAATATTTATGTTTGCCTATTTTTGGGCTTTTAAAAGCCATGCAACGGATATTACTCGCATAGCCTTCGAAATTATCAATTTCTTACGATTTCTTGCTGCGCCAGTCTTTTAACCTCTGTTTGGCTTTTCCGGTCTCTTGGTGCAACGTTCTTTTACTTATCCGATCTTCTAACCCTTTTTTTGCCGTTTCTGTCTTTTAGTGCAAGGTCTTTTTATTAACCGATCTTCCAACCCTTTTATGGTGTTCCGGTCTTTTAGTGCAACGATCTTTTTACTACCGATCTTCTGACCCAGTTTGACCGTTCGGTCTTTTAGTGACCGGTCATTTATTAATCGGCCTTTTAAATAGGATATAAATATTTATAAAAAATTGAACAATAGAATTAATTCTCCTTGTATAAATTATTATTTTGTTTATAAGGACAACAAGGGAGTCTCTATAAACATGACACCCAAAAATGACCTCTCCAAAAATGACACATCTCAAAATGTCCAACTGAGTAAAAATAATCAATCGAAATGTAAATATAAAAACCGGAGAAATCTTACATGGACACTAAATTCTTAGGATCTTACATCCTAGAAAAATCTTAAAAACCTTTAACATGGCGTTTGAAAGATAATAATGAACAAACATAAATATTTTTTAAATTCTTATCAAAAATTATATTTCAAATACAGTAACTTTGCACTCTCTGAATTCAGCACTGAACCGGCCTAAACATTTGATATTTATTTTTTTCTCTAGCTACACTATATGTTTTATAGAATTTCTCTAACTCTTGGGACAAAATGTCATTTATTTTTAGCATTACATCCCAACTTCTCAACTCCCTCAAACATTTTCTTTCTCTACTTGCTACATTCCAACTTACTTAAAAAGGAGCAAGAGTAGTACTCAATACAAAAAGGGATACAAGAGTCTAACAACATGAAAAATGGTCTATTTGGAATTTAATTAGGGTTTCACGTTAAATTCTTTTAGAAGTCCATTTAAATTTAAAGTCCTCGATAGTTTAATAAAAAATGGTAATTCAACAACAATAAATTCATTTTTATTTATTCAAAAAAATAAAAATTTGGCTAAAAACAAGCAAAATTAAAATAATTGTATAGTCAAAATTATAGATTTGAAAATAAACCGCCAATTTTTCTTCATTTTTGAGAAATGTCGAAGATTTTTTTAAAAACAAGCAAAATTAAAAATATCGACTATATTTAATTAAAAACAAAAAAGATTTGAAAAAAACTATGTTTTCGTTTCCATATTCGTTCATAAATCCAAGTACTTTAATGCCAACACTTTGCTTTTTTTATAATCAAGTTCGTCCATACGTTCTTAGACTGAAATAAATCTTCAAATAAAAAAAAGGCCAGGAATTTGTTGTTGAAGTTGATGACAAGGCTTGTGTAGTAAGTACTAAAAATAAGAAAAAATGGAAAAATTGGAAAGAATGCCTAAAAGTCGGAAAGGATAAGTCGAAAAGGGGAAGCTGAACAGAATACCGATAGAAAAAAGTGAAAAAATGTCTAAAAAGGAATAATGGACAGTAACGAAAAACTGAAGAATGTTGTGACTTATAGGGAGTTTTTGGTGTCACACCCGATTTTACAAATGAGGATTCGAAGGCACGGGGGAAGAGGCGAACGGACGTTTAGAGGACCGAATTCACTTCCCAAATTTCAGGGGGGGGGGGCTATAGCCCCAGAAGCTCCCCCTGGCTACACCCTTGACTTATTGGATGGCCCAAACCATTTAACCCAAATCGACTCATGTCAGCTAGACAAGCTTTTTTAATGACTTATAATTTGTCGAAATCGGATAGGCAAACAAAAACCTCCCTACAAGGCACAATACACAAGGGAAGCAACTGGACGGAGATTTAAACATCCATAAGAGAGAATAAATTATAAGATCCAAAAAGGGACAAAACTTGAAAAATATTAATTAGGGAAACCAAATAATCAAACCAATCAATCAATTTTCAAACCTAATTTGCTGCTATTCTAACAAAAGATTGCGGCTCTTCAGTCATTTTTCTGCTAATTCTTGTTCTTCTAAAACATACTCATCAAAAAGATTGTCTTCCCGCAACAATTCACTGCCCTAAAAAATAATATTGAAACTTTAGTAAATAATTAAAAATAACCTCTTAAAAGTTTCCAAGGCTTCTGGATACTCTCTCAAAGCTGAAAATTAAGTAATTAAAAAACCTTTAAACATAAAAACAACCTATCAAAAGATCAACCATTCAAAACAAGCAATCAATCAGTACATCTAACCAATGGAACATTTGCTGAGCGTCTTCTCATTTGTTAAGAACTTGGCCACTATTTAAATGGCTTCAACATAGAGAAAGGATAAACTTATTTAGGGGAGAAACCTTGCGGACAAAACTTGCGAATTTAATAAAGTAAAAAAGCTAACCATGTAGACGAGAGCATTGGAGTTTAATTGTTGCACTGTTGAAGTGAAGCCATCGCCCAAATATCTCCGAAGAGACTCTGGGGCTTTTGCCCAAATATCTCCGAAGAGACTCTGGGGCTTTTGCCCAAATATCTCCGAAGAGACTCTGGGGCTTTTGCCCAAATATCGCCGAAGCGACTCTGGGGCTTTTGCCCAAATATCGCCGAAGCGACTCTGGGGCTTTTGCCCAAATATCTCCGAAGAGACTCTGGGGCTTTTGCCCAAATATCTCCGAAGAGACTCTGGGGCTTTTGCCCAAATATCGCCGAAGCGACTCTGGGGCTTTTGTGGGTACCCTTTGTTGTTGTTGCTGCTGCTGAAGTTGTTTGTTGCTGCTGCTGAAGAACTGAAAAAATTGGATGCATTTTTCAAAAATTGAAAAAAAGCAAGTCATGTCCGCAAGTCATACTCCCCCGACCCCTCAAAGGTTAATCCCAAAAAAAGGAAATGCTACTCTTTCTGTTGTAGAACATCTTTGCACAAATACAGCAGAGGAAAATCAATAATCCTTAAAATCAATAATAACGGAATGCCAAAATAATCGCCAACAGAGTATTATTTAAAAATTTACTTTGTTTCTCTAGAAAACACTATTTCGCGAAGAACTTCAAAATGTAAACTCAAGGTATTTCAAAGTGTAAAAAATTAAAATATACAAAAACAATCTAGTCACTCTCCCAGAATTTTTTATATTTGACAATTTTTAAGAATAAATCATAATTTTCAGAGATTTAGATGTTGCCATCAACAAGTTGGGATTATGCACGAAAATTTTGTGTTTTTCTTGGTGGAGCTATTGTTGGCACGACTGTTATATTTAAAATTTACAATCCATTTGCTCTAATGAAAGCAGAAATTGAAGAAGGAAGAGCTGATATTTTAAAAGAATATACGCCTAGATATGAAGAATTGAGGAAACAATTGGCAGGAGAAGTTGCAAAAATTGAAGAAAGGAAGAAAATTGCTTCTAAACTTGGTGTTAATGATAGATAGTATTTATTTATTTATTTTTAATAAATGAATATTAGAGCTTTAATTTGTTTTTTAATTTATTTGGAAGGTTAAACGGTAATAGTGTCGTTTCCAGTCCCCCTTTTTTCCTCCCCAAGTTTTTTCCTCTATATGAACAGAATGGTCATACTTTTTTCTTTCTTCCATCCCAGTTAGCCTCTCTTTTCTTGCCTCAGACAATCAGAAATGATTATTTTTTGGCATTTAAAAAATAAGATTAGTGACAAGAGTCATTTTCTTAGTTAAAAGTCTGCCCATTCTGTTCAAATATAGGAAAAACTTCGGGAGGAAAAAGGGGGGACTGGAAACGACACTATTACCGGTTAAACATTCATAAGATTTTTGATGTTTTTCTGAGTGTCCTTTTTCTAATATTTTTAATTTTTCTCTTAATTTATTTTTTAAACAATTTTTTAGTCTTATAGAGGCGGTAAACAACCCTTCATGAACTTTTGAAGAATTGAATGCGAAAACATTTACTTCGTCTACCCATCAAATTGTCAACAACAACAATCACTTTTCGCGGCAAATCTAAACTTTTGGCAATGCAAAATCCCTTCGAAGTGCCTACTTACCAAGTTGGAAACCAAACTTATCGTCGAAATTGTCCTCTTGAAATGGTAAATACAACAAATCCAGCAGCTGTTTCCGCCCAAAAATTTAATGAAATGGAAGAAGAGGAGGAGAGAAGTTGTGAAATGATTGAAGAAGCAACTACCAACACTTTATTGGAAATTAGAGAAGAACAAGGTTGATTTTATATTTTGAAGGATTTTTCTTATTAGAGATTGTACTGATGATTCGGTCCTAAGTCCGGGTCCAGCCAAAAGATTTTCCCAGGATTACCGTGTTTCCTATCTCTTATGCGCGTATTTTAAGAACCTTTGTACCTTCTTCTGAAGATTTGACTGTTGGATATTGCCCATAAGTTCAGATCCAACTGGACTTTTTCCCAGAACTTTCCTTGCTACTTACCTCTTAAGGAATATTTCTAATACTTTTTTATTACAGAAAAGCCAAGTCATTCAAAAGACGTCTTCCCTCCAAAAGAAGAATCGTCTTCAACACCAACAGATCAACCAGAACATTTAAATAAAAAAATTATTGGCCCAACACCTCCAAAAAAGATACAAATTGAAATATTAGAAGAACAACAGACAATAATAAAAAATAATAAGGAAACTTTAATTATTGAAAAAGAAGAAAAACAACAAATTAAATTAATTGATTCTATTAAATATGATACAAAAGATTCTTTATATTATGACAGGTTTGTTTTTTAAATTTTTAAAATTATTTTTTTGAAAATTTTTTCTTAATTAGAATTCAAATACCTGGTGCTCTTATTGGTTTAATTAAAGGCAAAGAAGGTTATAAACAAAGAGTAATGGAAAAAGAATTTGGCTGCAAAATACATTACCCCAAGAAGAAAGAAAAAGTTCATGGAAAAATGACTGAAATTAGTTTGGAGTTTTTAAAATAAATTCTTTTTCAAACAGAAAATTTTCAAATTTTTAAAATAATTTTACTTAGAAATTACCTCTCCACAATCAGCCGAAAATGTTCTGAAATGTCGAAATGCGTTAGAAGTAGCTGTTGAAAAGGCTCGCAAACAGGCAATGCCCACACATTTTGTTTCTGTCCCCGTTGGATTGACTAGTGTTAAAATAAGGGAGCAATACCAAAATTTTGTTCACAGCATTCGTGCAGATGAGGATTTGCCGGTTTTTTTTCTTTTCAAAATAAAAAATTAATTTTAAATTTGTTAGGAAGATTGTAGAAATCCAGACCTTTTTATAACTCCAAGCAAGCTTCATTTGACTCTCTGTGTTCTTAGATTATTTACAGAGGAAGATGTCAACTCTGCCAAACAGTTTTTGGATGAATTGTTTCAATCAGAAGCCGTCAAGTAAATTTTCTTGGAAAAATTTAAAAAAATAATTTTAAGAGAAATTTTTACAAATTCTGACCTTGAACATATTCAACTTGAATTTACTGAACTTGAACATTTTGAAGATAGACCTACAGACAAAATTGCTGTTCTTTTTGCCAAATGTGTTTCTGAAAGGTTTTTACTTTTTTTAATTTTAAAATATTTTTTTCTTTTTTAGACTCCAAAAATTGGCCAATATTGTTGAAGAATCTCTCTCAGCTTCCTTTTTAACCGAAAAACGAAAATCCAAAGAAGTTGTGTTGCACATGACGATGATGAATACAAAATATTTACGAGAGGTTTAAATTTTGTAATTTTCTAAAAATAGTCCTAATTAAATTTTTTTAAGAAAAAGAGGTCCTTTTTGAATGTATCCAAACTTTTGGAAAAATTTGGCAAATTAAATTTTGACCCTGTCAATGTTACAGAGGTTTCTTTAAAATTTTAAAGTTTTTTTTTTAATTTTTTCTTTTTAAAAATTAGCTTCATCTTTGCGAAATGAGCAGCTTAACTGATGCTGAATTGGCCCTTGAGACGTATAAATGTATACATCAATTACAATTTCCAACCAAATAAAAGTTTGAAAATATTTTCTGTTTTGTTTTTCTTTAAATAGTTTTAATAAACAGAAAAAAACTAGTTGAAGAATGTTTTTTGACAAAATTTTATTTTAAGAATTATTTTCAAGTTGGTGTTTTTGGGGTACTTTGTCGTTTCTCTTCCTCTGTCTCTTTTTCTTCAGTCTCTTCTTCCTCCTCCTCACCCTCTTCTTTTTTCTCTTCTTCATGTTCTTCTTCCTCCCCATTTCTTTCTGATTCTTCTAAATTTTTTTTTGAAATTTTTCATTAAAAAATAATCATTAACCTTCCTCTACTGGTGTAGCTGCAGTTTCCTCATTATGTTCTTCTTTCTCCTCTTCAGGAGGTTCAGAAGTTTCTTCCTTTAAAAAGAAATATTGTTGATTTTTATTTATCGTCAATTGCCTAATATAAACTCACCCAAGAAGACCCATCGAAAAATATAAGCCCACTCTCTAATAGAAACCCACTCAAGTGGAAAAATATAAGCCTAGGGCTTATATCAGAGCTTTACGTTAAATATTAAAACCTAACCTCAGCCTTTTCTTCTTCCTCCACCTTTTCCTCTTCTTCATCATGCTGTTCATGTTCTATCACCTCTACTTCTGTTGTTCCCTCTGGTGATTTTACCTCTCCATTTTGATTATTCACCTCTGATTCTTCCTCATTCGCTGCCTCATCCACATTATTATCTGCTGTTGGGGGTGCAGCAGGTTCTTCTGGAGTTGGAGGAGCCTTTTCTTTTACTTAAAAATCAAACACAATTTAAATTTCCCACATTTTAAAAACCCTTTTTCTTGCTAAGCTTCTTTGTCCTTTGTTTTGGTGCTGATGCCGTCTTTTCACTTGTTCTTTCAATACTTCTTGTTTGCCTTGTAGCAGAATATGAAGAGCCCAAAGAATTATTTTCTTGTGTAGATCTAGAGGCACTGTCACGGCGGGGACGGCGTAATGAACCTCCGCTCTGTCCTAGTCGATTTACTCCTGGTTGACCATATGCTGCTGGTGTAAATGTGCCAGAGGAGGCGACATATTCCTTTGAATTGGATGAAAATGGCTCGATCCCAAAAAAAATTAAAAAATACCCCATTATGTTCCAACTCCTCTGCTGAAGTTATTTGAGTTCCATCAGTGGTAAATAAACGTTTTGCTCCCAATACCAACCCAATTCTTTCACTAATAGAATCTAGTAACGTGTTGATGTCTTGGCCTTGTTTGTAATTTAGTACAACCTGTTTGAACCAATTGAAATTTTTTTAAGTAAGAAAATCCTCTCACATTTAAACCCTTGTGATGAGCATCACCATTTCTGTAAATTTTGACACGTCTAGCTCTGCCAGGTACAAGTCTTGTATAATTACTAGTCATTTTTCAACATTGCACCAGGGAGAAATTAACAATGAGATCCTTTCTAGATATCCGATTCTCCTTATATTATTTCCCCCAGAAAAATGTTTTAATTTCCTCCTAATTTTCTTGTGGATATTTTAGCTTGTCAAAAAAAACTTAAAAAAAATTTCTTCCCTAAAAAATAAACTTTAAACAATTTATTTTTCGTTTAAAAAAGAAAAATGTTCTCCTTCCTATTTATTACCAACTTTAAACACAACATCCCTTTAAACTTGGAAGGATTAACGAAGGGGAAAACGGCGAGAAAAAAAACAAGTCTGGGGAAGGGCCGAAATAAACAAAAAAAATTTTTTGGACGAAATGAGTGTTGAAAAAAATTTTTTTAAAGAATATGGGTGGTCTAGAAAAAAATAAATTTTCAAGTTAAAATTTCCAAACTTAAAGGCAATCGTTCAGTCAGAAGGAAAGGCAATCATTAGACAATCATTTAGAGATTGCTCCTTTTACCACACGGAAATTTTTTTTTAAATATTTGCATGGTTTAAAAGAAGAATGTGTGACAACAAAATTGAAAGAATTTTTTAATATCATTTTTTGTTAACTATTGTTTTAAAAAAGAATGGGTAAAGATATATGTATAATGCCTTAAAATGTATGCGGAAATTACGTTTTGAGAGGCATTTCGTTTCCAAGGGGAAAGGAAGAAAAATAATAAAAGAAGACAACAAAATTAAAACCTTTCGGAATAATAAAAATATTTTTTTGTAATTTATGAGTCAATAAACATCTTTAAAAAAATTTTTTTGTTGACCAGTCTACTCTGCTCTGCTATATCCTGGATCAACCCAGAGAATCTAACCCTAAAATAAAAGAGGTACTCTTGTGTTATATGCCCCCTTTTTTAGCTCCGTTTCCCATTTTACAAATTGTAAATACTTTTCCGGAATTTAATAATATATTTACAAATTGTAAAAACTTTTCCGGAATTTAATAATATATTTACAAATTGTAAAAACTTTTCCGGAATCTAATAATATATTTACAAATTGTAAAAACTTTTCCGGGATTTAATAATAGATTTTACAAATTGTAAAAACTTTTCCGGACATTAATAAAATATTTTACAAATTGTAAAAACTTTTCCGGACATTAATAAAATATTTTACAAATTGTAAAAACTTTTCCGGACATTAATAAAATATTTTACAAATTGTAAAAACTTTTCCGGACATTAATAAAATATTTTACAAATTGTAAAAACTTTTCCGGACATTAATAAAATATTTTACAAATTGTAAAAACCTTTCCAGAATTTAATAAAATATTTTACAAATTGTAAAAACTTTTCCGGAGATTAATAAAATATTTTACAAATTGTAAAAACTTTTCCGAACATTAATAAAATATTTTACAAATTGTAAAAACCTTTCCGGAATTTAATATATCATTAATATTCCGGAATTTAATATTTCATTAATATATCAATTTAATATCATCCCTTCAATCAATTCTAACAAAGGAAATACTTGCGCCAATTTTACAATTGAATTAATAAATAATTTCAAAATAAGGGTTTCTCTTTTCAGTATTGCCCAACGGCTAACCTCTCGCTTAAAAAGGAAAAGCTCATCCATGTTATTATTCCCCCTATGTTATTTATACTTTTGTCGCACGCATGCAAAAGAATAATGAGAGAATTTAGAGAGAAGGTGGCTGGTTGTTTTGTTATTATTAGCCAGTAGGGTGGACTGGCCAACAAAGAATTTATTTTTAGAGCGGTACAAAAAAGTGGCATTTATGTTTTTAGAGAGGATATTAGATAGATATACTAATTTGGCACAAAGTTTGGGATATAATTGAGAGTTCGTTCACATGAGTTAAACTTATTTGATAGAGTTTTGGATCTTTCATAAGGCTTATAAATAAAACAATAGACAAAAAGACTGATAAAATTTGATAAATGAAGGAACGGAAAATGACAAGAGTTGTAAGACAAATAAACAATAAAAGAGCAAAACAAAATTGGAAAATAAATTAGAAAAACTATACTAATCCCCTCCCAAACAAAAACTTGTTTTTCGAAGTTTATTAAATATTAAGGCTAAAACTATAAATCCCCTCCACCACTATAACCTAAATATATACAAATCCCCCTAACAACCGCGCAAATATTTCTTTGTTTTTAGTATAAACAAAAGAGAGAAAAAGAAAGCCAAATAAGGGGAAAATATTAAATAGAAATTGTGAAATAATTTTATTTTTTAATAAAATTTTGATTAAATTATAGGGAAAATTAATTGGACCACACCTAAAGTTGGAGCTAAAAAATTTTTTTAAAGAAATTGTGTCCTATAAGTCAATATAAATTGAAAAGCCCAAAGAATATATTTTTTTGAGCAGATATATTTTAAAAAAATTAACAAAAAAATAACAGATGTTCTTGAATATTAGAATATTTTTAGAATATTTTTTTATTTTCCTAATGCCACCCCCACTAATTAAAAATTTTTGAAAAAAAATCTTGAAAAAAATTCCCAAGAGAAAAAGTTGATTTACTTGACGTGCTGTTGTTTTATAAATCTTCTCCCATCGTATTTGTTGAAGATGTAATTAATGTTGAACAGCTACTACTTCCTCCCCCTCCTTCATTATTATTAGGTTGCAGAAGTTGTTGTCTACTGCCGCTATTTAAGGCACGATAACCATTTTGTTGTTTTGTTGTTGAATATTGTAAAGGTAAAGGGGCTGGAGCTGTTCTTCCTGTTGCAATTTGTTCCAAACTAAAAGACACTTATAAAAATTTCAAAAAAAAATTTTAACCTATTCGAAGTTTTTCCATATAAAGACAATTGTCGACTGTCGTTATTGTTGGCACCTCCATTTCCATTATAAGGAAAAATACCGCTAGGAGATGGAGGTAAAGCACCACTAATTGATTGAGACATTAAACGATGACATGGATCTTCTATTTCACGACGATTCCAACCAAGTTGTTGTTGATTTTGTTGTTGTCGATAAGGTGATAAAGAATATGGAGATGTTTGAAATTGTTGTTGTAAATTTTCGTTATTATTAATTGGACAAAATGCATGAAAAGAATGTTGCATTGGGGATGTTGGTGAAAATGCTGAACAGGAAGGAGTTGAAGAGTTTGTATTGAAACTTATTGATGGAGGTTGTAACGAGTTGTTGTTTATTGCACAAGAACGATTGGGGGAAGATCTATGAAGGAAAAAAGAGCAAATGAATTATCGTTTGTATACTCAAATTTTTGACCTCCCAAAAATCAGCTTGGCCCCCTCCCCGTTTTTTTCAATTTTTGGGGACCTGTATTTCGGTCCACATGCTTTTTTGCACCCTGGGACTTTTGAATTTTAAAGGCGTTTGAACGGGCAACTGGGTAAAGTATATTCAATTAAATTTTTTAAACAAACAATTGAAACGCTCCAGGTCCAGAAATTAAAAATTCCATTCTTCTATCTGTTGAGGTATTATTCTTTTGTTGTTGTCGCAATTCACGAACACTCAAATTTGATGGTTGTCCTTTAGTTGTTTTTAAATCAATATTAACATAAGCATGTGTATTTAGACGTTTTTGATCACGTGGAGGAGGTGGTGGGGGAGGACAATTATTATTATTTGATAAAGTTGAGGGAGAACAAGCAGCACAAGAATGGGTTAAACTAAAAATTATTTTTGTAATTTTCCAATTTTTAAAAATTAACCTTTGGTTATTGTAATCAGAAGTTGACTGGACTGGTGGTGGAACTGGAACACGAAGGGGTAATGTCCCACGTTGTTGTTGTAGATTGGAAGACAGATGCCTCCCAGGACCAAGAAGTCGACGTCTTCCGCCAGTGCTAGCAGAATCTTCATTATTGCCCAAAACATGTTCCATTCTTAAAAATTTTTTTAGAATGATTATAAGCAAAAAAGACTTAAACTAACACAATTTCTCCTCTCTCCAATTGTTGCTGACTTGCCCAAGGACTGCCTCCATTTGTTATTGAACCATTTGCATCAAGTGCAGAATGAAATGAAGCATCCATTAGACAAGAACCTGATGCTGATATAGCCAATGAATGATGCATTTGTGAAGGAATTGAAGGGGTTATATAACTTGAAATTTATTGAAGATTAGAGAAAATTAGAAAACCTCACCCATGCTGTTGTTGTTGAAGAATATGTTGATTAAGTGTTGAACTACTTGTGTTCCCATTTATTGCATGTGGACGCATTGTACGGTGAGGATGAATAGCAGTTCCATGTTCAATATTTGAAACGACCGATCTTGGCCTCTCTACTCTATTTGTACAACAATTGGCCCCAGCAACCGTTGTAGAAACTGCTGAAATGACTGAAGGGCACGAAGGAGAAGCATTTTGTTGTGCGCGTCGAACTTCTTGATATAAGGCTGTATAAGGAGGTGGAGCAGTCGGCACAGTAGGTGTAGGGACATTGCAAGGTGACGGGGCGCCTTACAATGAGAATTAAGAAATAAAAAATTAACAAAAACCTTCACTAGAAAATCTTTGAACAGGATGAATACGTTGAGATGCCAATGGGGCTGGAACTAATGAATTCACTCTGACTGGAGTATTATTATTAGTATTTGATGCTGCGCTTCCAAGACGAGAATAACGCGCATATTCTTCAATTTTTATTTTGCTTTGCACCATCTATAAAAATATTTAGGTATAATTCAAATAATCTTTTCTTACATGAAATATTCTTTCTGCCTGATGTGATTGGAATGTATGTAATCCTTCTCCTGTTGCACAACGCCTTCCACTTTCAAAAAAGAAAACTCCAGAACAAGTATATCCATAACGTCGTAAATGTGCCAAAGACCAACATTGAAAATGGCTACTTCCACGCATAAAAAGTATTTCATCGTCATTAACTTTAAGCCAGCCAGGAATGAATTTATTTTTCTTTTTAATAAATACACGGAATGCTGTAGGATCTTAAAAATGAAAATAAGTTAAAAATTAAGTGAAAGTGCCCTACCATTAGAAAGATTTTCTGGGCGAAAAAATCGCCCTCCTTGATGATGATGTTCACTTGCACTATTTCCCATTTTTTGGATTAAAGGTCAATAATAAAAATTAAAAATCATATCTAGAAAAAATTTTCTTAGCAGGCAAATTTGCCTAATTTTTTAAAAATTCAGAGAAATAATGAGAAAAGGGAAAGAGAATTAGTTGAAGGAGAGAGTGCCCTTTTGGAGCCTCTTAACCTTTAAAAATAAAAGAAAAGTTTTTTGGCTATTATTTTTAGTGTAGTATTTTTGTGTTTGTGTGGACGTCCGAATAATTACTTTCTATATTATTTAAGTGGACAACACAACAAATAAAAAATAATAATAAATGCTTCTGTTGTTGTTTTGTTGTTACAATCAATCTACTCTTTTTCGACTGCTTCTTTTATTTTCCTCTCTCAAAGTAACAAAAAGGACCTCATTTTAGTCAAAAAGACTGGCGGCTAGATCGAGATTGTGCTCTCATTATTCCCTTATCTAAATTCAACAAAAGGCGCTTAAAATCACTGAAAAATTAAAGTCAATTAGAGTTCTGGAATCTAATAATAAGTGTCAAACAAGAAAAGAGGCTCGATGGGTACACCTCACTGCTCCGCAAGAAAATAGAGTTAAAAGAGGCTCGATGACCTTCAAAGATAAGACGGCTCCCATACTCTAATAACATTTTTTGTAATAAGTTAAAAAGAAGAATAGGAGGACAAATGATTCATTAGATTTAATCGATTTAATGAGAATGAGGAAAAATAAAAATAGGATAAAAATCAGAAGACAAAAGAGAGTCAAAGTATCGGACAGCTGTCCAAAAAAATCTTTTTTCTGTTTTAATTTTCAGCCCCCTTTTTTGCAACTAAACGGTCGCTTTATTTCCCTCATTCATTACATAATCTTGTTTAATGAAATGAGGGAAAGGAGAATTGAGTCTAAAAGGAATTAAAGATTTAAAGAAAAAGGAGAGAAAAAGTCCAAGGGTTTTGGACTCTAAAAATATTTTCTAAAAAAATTTATAAAAAAGTTAAGATTATTTATATATCTAATACCCTCTCCAAGTGCTTAAAAAAGTATCTCTTTTAAAATTAATTACCAAGGACCCAATTTCTTTGCTCAAAACTCTCTCAGGTATTTTAACGTAATAAATGTGATTTTGTCGAAAAAATCTGTTTTTGAAAAAGGCAAACCAAAAATATTCTTTTTAATTAATTAATCTAAAAAGAGGGATTTTTTGTCCTTATTTTCGGGATATTTTCGAAAAAGAATTTTATTTGAAAATTTTAATCAAAAAATTTTTCCATAAAAAATCTAATTTTAAAAAGGATATAAATTAAAAACAAAAATTACCACTACATCACATTAATTAAAAATATCTTCTTTGATTAAAAAAGAAATGGAGAATCAACAACAGAAGCACCAACGGCTATTCCACCTTCATTAACGTTTTCTAATTTTGTTCGAAGTATATGGCCACCAACTGAATTTAATTTAACTTTCTCTTCTTTTCCACCAATTCCAATTAAAGAACCATAAATTCCAAGTTCACTAACTACATTTTGTAATTTTTTAGAATTGTCATCATCAAATGGGCGAATTAAGCAATTCTAAAAAATTTTGGTAATTGTGGATTATCCCTAACCATTTTTGCGGTCTCAAAACGGTCAGATACAGAATATTAAAGCAAATCATTCCAACTCCTAATATTTCCCCTGAGAATACATCACCTTTTGATTGAATAGAGAGAGAGAAAGTATTGATGTTCTGACCACTATGAACCCTTACAAGTCCACAAAAAATGGATTATCCACAATAACCGAACATTCTTGAAATTATTCATAAAATATTGAAAAATTTGCCCAAACCTTAACAATTAAAGGCCGAATTCTTTGCATTAAAATATGTGAAGCACGCGTCTCAAAAGTAAAACTTGACAATTTTTCAGTTATTTCTTTGTCAAAATAATTCCCTCCTCCTCCTTCCAATTGAGGTTTTAAGACATATTTTTGTGGATTTTGTACAGCATCCTTTAAAAATTAAATAAAAAATTTAAAAAATCCAAAACCTTTATAATTTCTTGTGTCTCATCATCATCGCGTTCAAGTCCCCACAATGAAGCGAATGTTGAACGAACATTTTCCAAATCATTTGGGCAAGCCAAGTATTTTTCCAATATACCAGAGCAACTCAAAACCTACAAACAATTTTTTAAATTCGAAAAAATATTTTTAAAAAACCTGCTGAATTTTCTTTGTATTAGCCATTTGTAATCCAATCCAAGGGCATTTCTGAAAATATAAAAAATAATTTTCTTGGATGGTAAACGTCTTTCTAAAGTTTCTACTATTAACATTTTTTAATTTTTTATTTATACAATAGCTGTAGAACGTTCCATCAAAAGTCGAGCATTCCAGGCGTTTTCAGAAACATAATCTTCAGGTAAATATCCAGTACGAAAGTAAACAATCCCAACAGTTTTATCGCCAAGAAGAAGATTAAAAGTTTTTTCGTCCAGCACAAGTCTTAAAAATATGAGGCCTTAATTTTTAAAATATCTAAAAAAATAGGTATTTATGATAAGAGATGTCAAAAACCAAAAATTTCCCAAGACTAAAATCAATAGAGGACCACAATACCCGAAAAAACCCAAAAAAAAGCCCTCAAAACCAAGACAGGACCACAGGACCAAAACTTCACCCCAAGGCCTAAAACCCCTAAGCAAAGTCTTGAGTCAAGATTTAAAACATAATCTTGGAAACTAAAAAGAACCTTTCAGCACACTCCACAAAAGTCAATCGAATAATAATCATTTTCCCTTCTGAAAGTTCTTCCAATCCATATTCAATAGCGCGTTGATCAAATTGATTTTGACTATTTTTTTCAACGACCATTAATAAAACCGCATGAGGGTTAGACAAAAGTTTCCTAATTTAAATTTACAAAAAGTAAAATAAATCAAAATAAACCAAGCATTGTAAAGTCCATCACAGAGTGTTTTAATTGGTTCATTTAACGGTATAACATCATTATTTGGCACATTCGCTCCCATTTTCTTAAATACACGTCGATGAAGTTTAGTTGTCTTTTCAGCAAGTCCACCCATACTGACCGCTATATTGTTTACTTCAATCTTGAAAATTTTTAACGAATCAAAAATTTAAAAAATAAAAACCTGTTTTAACTGAAATTTATCAAAGTTTATTCCATTTTCTGTAAGTATTCCATCATAATGGCACATATAATCAGCTCTTTGAGTGAGTAAAGTAATTGGTTGTTTTATACCTTCTTTGTAAACAACATCAAGAATTGACATTAAACGACGAGTAAATTCATCCGATTTTATAACTTGTTGATGTGCTTGTTTTAAAAATTCATAATCCCATGAGACTTTAAAATAAAGAAGATTTAAGGCCTGAAATTAATAAAAAAGTAAGCAATGGAAAAATTCAAGTTCATTCCCCCTCCTTTCCTTCTTCAAAGTCTGACCATTTTTAATACTTTGAAGAAGGAAAAAGGAGAGGAACGAACCTGAATTCTACCCAAGCAATAAACAATGGTAAAATTTGCCCATTAGAAAGTGTGAAACATTAAAAAAAATCATCGACTCGTAAATTTGTGGAACTCAACCGGTTTCTCATTCAGTTATAAAATAAACCTATTTATTTTTTAAACTCTAACCTTTTGTACAGACAATGCTTGATCAAATAATCTTCTCGGAAAAGGCGACGGAAGAAGAGAAAATGGTGCAATTTGGCAAATGTCACTTCTAAAAAATTAATTTAAAAATCAAAATTTTTGTTTAAATAACCTGTCTTTATGTTCCTTTGTTCTAAAAATTAATCCATTACAATGTGCCCAATCCATTGCATCTTCAATTATTGATGGTAATTGTTGATAATTTTTAAAAAAAAGTTCTGATATGTAATTAATATCTTGTTGTTTGATAAGTGAAGTCATTGAATAAAAATAAGTAAAAAATTTTAAGTAGTCAAAGACTAATCTAAAAATTTTTTAACTAGATTAAATTTTAAAAATTTGCAAAAAAAGTAAAATCTTTCGATTAAAAAATAAAAAATTTTTATAAAAAAAAGACCAAAATGCAAAATTTTTATTAAAAACAAGAACCAAATAAAAAACAAAAAACCATTTTTCATTATACTCTCCCTTGTTTAATTTACCTTAAAATTACTACTATCAAAATTTACAAAAAACACGGCAATGCTCGATTGTTTTATGATTCATTTTGCGCATTGCACTACCTTTCTCCCTTATTTTTTGAGTGTTTTTTTCATTTTTTGACAACCACTTCTTCTTTACGTCCTTCCCCATCCCCTCCCCATTGAATTTTGCATTCATTCACTACTTATAAATTTCCCTTTTCTTTCAATTGACTAGATACACACACTGCCAGCGTATATATTTTATCGTCATTTCGTTCATTATTTTACTCCCCCCCCTTCTTTTTATTTTTAATTCATACGCATTTATCTCCGTTTTTGTTGTTGTTCATTGTCCGGTTCTTTTTATTAACTAGCACTTGTATATTTTAACTACTTTTATTAGTACTGCCACAACCACTACTTGTTGTATATTCGCTCCCAGACAATGGTCGTAATCGCCTCAATCAGCGGCAACAATTTTATCGGAGATGACGGCAATGGTGGAAGTTGTTATAGGGCATCAACTGGTGGTGGTAGTGCAAGTTCTGAAGCGCCAGACTTTTTGTCTGACGGCAATGAACAAAGTTAGTTGCAAATTTTATTTCACGTTTTTAACAATTATTTCTGAAAATTCTTGTTAAAATAATTTTTAAAATATAAAATGGATTACCCTTTAGTGGGAATTGACTGTTATGGAATGGACAGAGATGTGTTGAACGACTTCGCAAAGTATTATAATAATGCTCATCTGAGTGATTTAACACTGGTTGTTGGCGAGGAAATGTTAGTGTAAAAAGTGCTCTTTTAAAAAATATTTAGAAGCATAAAAATACCCAATTTAAATCCTATCTTCTAGATATCCCGCACATCGGCTTATTCTCTGCAGAAGCAGCGAAGTTTTTGACAGAATGCTCAGTCAGAAATGGCATGGCGAAAAACGGGTAATTTTTTTAAAGTTGTTGGTCCTTCTAATCCATGCATTAGGAAATTGAATTGACAGAAGAACCTCAATGTCAAGCTGTTTTTGGCCAATTTTTGCGTTTTCAATACTGCAACCATGTTGTCTTAAATTCAGAAAATGCTTTGCCTATTCTAATATTGGCTGATAAATATAATGTCACATGTCTTAAAAAAGTAATTAAATTTATAAAAAAAATTTTAAAAGCATTCTCCAAAAGATTTGTATTGAATTCGCCATTAAATATGTATTACCTGACATGAAGTTAAAAGAACTTTTCCACTTTTGGTTTAATTATTCAACAAAAGCTTTTCACCAATCATTGATCAAAGTTTGCATTGAAATTCTTGCCAAAGAGTTCAAGCAGTTAATGACCAGTGCTGAATGGGAAAGGGAGTGGCTGGATTTGGACAGAGACCAGCTTGTTGAGTTTTTGAGATCAAACGAACTCGTTGTTCCAAATGAATATTTTGTTTGGGAGAGCGTTCTTAAATGGGTATTATTTCTAAACAAAAAATATCAAACCAAAAATTCAGTTGAACGCGCCAGCACATCCAGAGAGAAGAGGAAATACTTGTGCACCCCTGCTTGCCCAAATCTTGCCCTATATTAGGTTTTAATATTTTAAGATAAACCTCTTAGAAATTGTTGATTTACAGGTTTCCATTTATGACAGCTGAACAGCTATACGCAATAGAAGTTGAAGAACCATTAATTGTCAAGCTGCACGAAAAGCTTTTTAGGCCTTATACACATCTTGCCTTCAAGTTTATTTCACTTCCACTTGCCAGTCGAGTTAAATTAATAAAGTAGAAATATTTTAAAAAATCTGAAAACTCAAAAATTCTTTTCCAGTACTTCCAATGATACAAACGGCACACAATTTCTGCTTAGAAATTATACCGATATTCAATGGGATAAGAAAATGTATATAACATCAGAACAGCTTCGCTTAAAAAATCACGACCATACTTTTAAAGTTACCTATAATCGTTTTTTAAACCCTAATCTTTTCAGATTTTCACCAAATCATCTTCTTTAACTTTGCCTAGATGGGAATGGAAATTAGACTTTCAAATTGTACAAAATTTGTCATGTGTTAACGACGAGCTTCGAGTTACCCTTACCGCCGTGGATGTTGATCACACTGGCCGATCCGTTGAATATATGCTAATGATTTGCAGTGAAAGAAAAGTTTTGAGAACAATTACTGACAAAAAATTCTTTTCAAAATCGAGGTAACGAACTTTGATACCTCTTCCTGAAAACTGCCCCTATCCCAAAAATGAAACCTTGTCCAATTCTATACTCTTTACAGATATAGCCAAGAACTGGATATTCGAGGCAAACTTGAAGCTAACGAACTGCTTGATACCAACTCAGCTTTGTTACGCAATGATAAAGCCCTTCAACTTCAATTACTTCTTCGACCTATCATTTAAAAGAATTTTTCTGTTCAAAAACTTGTCGCATAACTACCCTACTTTAGACTATAGAATTCTCTACCCAAAAAATTAGAAACGAAAAATATCATTTCTTTATCTTCACTTATTTTCTAAACTTTAACTTTAAATTGTACATTTTAAATGTGATTTTAAATAAAGTTTTAATACTTGTATGCATATAAGGTAAATTTAAAAATCCTGATAACTTCGAAATAGTTTAGGTTTGAACAGGTGGCCCCCCATCGTGATCATCACCGCCACCACCGCCTTCAGGTTTTTGAGCTTTTCCTTTGTGACCGCGGCAATGGTCGCTTTCACAATCCTTTAATTTATAACTTTATAAACTCAAAGGGGAATTTCCGAGGAATTTTCCTTTTAAAGGGAAGCCCATAATGAAGCCTCTCAAAATCTTTTAAAAATAAGTTTTACCTCATCCGAGCTATCAGAATCATTCCAATCTCGTTTCTTCTTAAAAATACAACAACATTTTGATTTCCGTTTCCCCAAGTTTTCGTTGTCCACTGTATCCTCAGTCCACTGAACTCTAGGCGAATTTCTTTCTGTTGTGTTCTCCGATGTTGATGGTTGTTCTAATCTCAGTAGCAAGTGATTGCCATTTTCCTACAAATAAAAATTTGGTTTTTAACGTAAAATTAAAAATTAACCGTATTATCCTCAGGTTGATTAACTTGAGTGATTGTAGTTGTCCCAGAGCCTCGCGATTCAACATCGGTTCTTGCAGAATTATTATCATGTCTTGGGCTCGAAGATTGCATATTCTAACAGATGTTGAACAAATTATTAAAAATAGAATTAATTAAGCAAAAATCTGAAAAAGCGGAAAACAAATTAGATGTCTGTCAATTAAATGTCGAAAATTAGACGTGAAGAAATCAAATGTCAACTTTTGTTCACCTTGATTTTTTTCTTTGTGTATTTTAATTTTCGATATTTTGAAAAATTTCCTGTGAAACCTTCGAAATGTAAAATAGGAGATAAAATGTCATTTAATCAACATTATTCTCTAACTGTCTCCTCTTTTTACACACTATCTATGGGATAAAATGTCATTTTCAATTTACTTTCTATCTTTAACAAAACTACTCCTTTTATGTACTATCTCTCAAAGAGTGGATTATAGAGTCTAACTATAGCTTATCACCAAAAAGCTTCTAATCCCAACTTTCCACTACAGAGCTAGTCAAATCCCTTCAATAATGAAAAACAACAGGCTTGTGGAATTGCTCAACTCATTACTTTCAAAAATACCCAAATTTGAAGATGTATTTGACGAGGTTTTCCTAAATATTTTAATTTAACTTTAGACTTATTTGGTACTAATTTAGTTTCCCCCCCCCCCCAGTCAGTTTTTTCGAAAAATATGTAAAAATGGTCAGTCTGAACAACAATTGTAGAACCCATCGAGCTTTGTCAAATGACACCAAAATCAACAAAATCTGACTTGATTGGACCGAAATACAGTTCCCTAAACCACAGGGGCACAAAATCATAAAGACGAAAATCTATACAAATGATAGCTCATTCGAAAGAGCTCGTCGAGCTGAGTCGAATGAGACCAAAATCAACGAAATCCGACTTGATTTGACAAAGTTATGACATAAGTCGTTGACTCCGGCAAGTCTGAATAATGTCATAACTTTGTCAAATCAAGTCCAATTTCGTTGATTTTGGTCTCATTCGACTCAGCTCGACGAGCTCTTTCGAATGAGCTATCATTTGGGTAAACTTTTTTTATTTCGAAAAATCACCCCCATGGTTGTTCAATTTTCAGGGGTCTGTATTTTGGTCAAATCAAGTCGGATTTTGTTGATTTTGGTGTCATTCGACTCAGCTCGATGGGTTCTACAATTGTTGTTCAGACTGACCATTTTTACATATTTTACGAAAAAACTGACTGGGGGGGGGAACTAAATAAGTACCGACTTATTTCAGAAGAGCTTCTATCGCCTTGTTTATCTTGTAATTGCAGCTTCAATTCTTTTTGTTTTTCTAATGGTTAAGGTTAGTAGACTTTCTCTTTCCTATCCAAATTCTTAATAAATTAGGTATTCAAAGTCCGAGTTCGTGAATATCCCTTCAATTTACCCGAACGTGCAGGGTGGCGCGATTGGAAACCAGCAAATCCTTTCCATTTCCCATGGCAGCAACAAAAGGCTAGAAAACGGCATTCAAAAGGAAGAAGACGAATTCGAAGTGATGAATAGAATAAGCTGGTTTAAATTAGTCAACAATTTTTTTCTTAATTTTCTTATTTTTCAAATTCAAAGCGATCTCTCATTAACCCTTATGATTTTCTCACATATAAATATTTTTAGAACTTTCTTCCAAAATTTTTAGTAAAATTAAGCTCGAACCATACCAGGCACCCTCCCACTACCATCCCCCGATAATCTTGAATGAAGTTACAGCTCTGCGGTACATTGAGCTCGACTGTACGTTGATCTGCTCCCCGAAAACACAGCAGTAGAATCCACCAACTTCCTATACAAATTCCCATATCCCACTGTAAATTCCCATATAAAAGCCATCTCTTTTTTACTCCCACTTAACAAATATCAATTATCTTCTCTCTCGTCATATTACAATGCAACAGCTTTTCGTCCTTTTCAAACTTCTACTGGTGCTCGCATTTTCGTCTGTTTTTTCGGCGGTTTTATTGATGGCGATATGCTGCGGTAAATCAAAGAAGAATAAGAAATCTACTTCTTCACTGAAGAGTGAAATTCGGCAACCGGAGTCAGCGATGATCGCGGGAAAAGAAGCGGCGGCGTCAGAAACGGCTATTCCACCGTCAACAAGAGAAAAGGTGTTTTTTTATAATTTTTTCAAAAAAATTTTTTCAAAAATTTTCAGATTTCTGGTAATAAAAGTGTAATCTCGACAAATACCCCAGCTGAAAAAACTACTCAGAAAGCTCCAACAGCGACTGGCGCGCCACAAGAAGGTGTTAAGTCAAAAGCAAAGCCTACAACAACTGCTCCTCTTCCTCCTGCTTCTCCTCTTCAACCATCACCACTTAAACCTACACCAGGAAAAACTACTAAAGCTACAAAAACATCAAAGAAAGGCAAAGGATTAGGCAAGATTGCAGAAGTTGGTGGTAAAAAATCTTCTGCTCCAAGTCCAACACCACCGACTACGCCTCCTCCTGTTGCGGGTTCAGACGTTATATCATTGATTCCAATGTCTCCATCAACTCCTACTTCGGTGCCAACAATTTCTTCGAAAGAGAGTGGAACTAGTGGTACATCTAAATTGATTACGGGTAAGCTTTTGGAGTTTTTAAAATTTTTTAAAAATTTTTCTTTATTTTGTAGAAACGGCTACAACAGCCACTAGTGATCCAGCTCCCAGTTCCAACATAATCGAGGATATTGACGATAGTGTCAGTGAAAAGAGTGCCAGCAAAAAGAGTGCCAAAAGGAAGAAAAGTGCAGCTATCAGAGCGCATGAGGACGGGCCTGAGGACGAGATGACGGGTAAACCTCTTTGACCTTTTCTGGTTCACTTGTCCAACTGCTTTTACCCATTTTTACAGATCCCGGATCCTATCACACGCTCGCGGATCTAAGCGCCGAGAAAGTATTCCAACAGAGGGAATAATCAAACGGAGATAGCATAAACAAGAAGATGAGTGCAGTGACACAATATATAAATATTACTTGATTCTTGTCTCTATATATTTGTTTTCCTTGTTTTGTATATATAAATAATACACTCACATGTAATTGTTGTAAAATAAAAATAAAGAATCCCCATGTTTGAATTTGCTTAAATCGTAAAATCTTGAATTTGACTCTCTCCCCGTACAATTTTTCGAAACTAGATTCATCTTCAAGTTAATGAATCCCCCTGAAGTCCTATAACTTTTGAAAGGGAATATCGAAGGACTAAGGAGGGCTCAGAGATGTTCTGTTCTATAGTTTAGAACCAATGGTCCGGTATTGCCTCTCTATCCCCTTAATCCCTCTAAATCTATTATTTATATCCCCTTAATCCCTCCAAATCCCTCAATATTCTTTTTCAAGGGTGTATGTCCTCGGTGTTGAACCCATTAAAATGTTTTTCAAGCTTATGGTACCTAAAAATAAATACAAAGCAACTTTAAGCTACAACCAACTATCGCTACAATAACTTACTCTACCACCTCTATTTTTAATTAAGACTTCAAATAAATCCCATTAAAATTCTCTCTCGTGTTTACCGCCCTTAAATTACAATTACATATATAATATTTACATTATTAAGGGGAGGTAGATTGTTGAGAGAGGAAATATATTGGCAGTCATATCAACTTACCTATTTATATATTTACTAAAAACCTGGCCCAGCTTTGTCCAGTCAATCTCCCGCACACAGAACAAAAAATCTTTCCCCTTTTCCATTCTCCGCCCAATTTTTATAATTTTGAAAATTCTCACTAATTGGCCAATCATTCCCAAAAACTCCTTAAATCCGCTAAAGAAATCCCTTAAAACACACTCATGTCACTACCATCCTTAGGCTTTAGTGTTGATAGTATACTTGCATTCAACAACAACATCAAAAGAGAAAAAGCACTAAAGAAACAATTTAAACGGAAAAGTTGTTCAAAACGTTCAACTACAAATTTTGATAACCCTCAAAATATCTTCAACAAGGAAGATGAGAAACAACAAGAACAGAACCTACAAGAACCACCAATTTCTCCTTCAATATCGGCAGCACAATTATGCTTTTCACATTGGGCTACAACATATTTAGAACAGAATAACGGTAGTCCCTCAACAACAAAAAATGACAGCAATTTGCAACAATCAACACAAACAACAAATGCTTTTGACCCTCTAATTTTACAGACACGTAAGATTGGAATATTAAAAAAACTCGAAATGCAAGTTTAAACTATAGCGTTAGCATTGACAATGGGATCAGGCTTTCCTCTATTCCAACAAATGCAAAAAACAAAAAGAATCAGGTAAGGGAAATAAACATGATTTGAATTACCATGGGTAATTATTGTTTCAATCTTTCGCTAAAGGGAAATTAATAGAAAGGGAGTAATTAATAGAAATTAATAGAAAGGGAGTAATTAAATTAATAGAAAGGGAGTAATTAACTATTTCTAAGAGGGTAACTATTCTTTTAACCTCTGGCTGGAGGGGGGAATTATTTAAGTAAATATGGTAACCCCTTCAAACATCACAAATTTAGAACAGCATTCTCTCCCCAACAATTATCACACCTCGAACACGCATTCAAAAACAACAAATATATTGTTGGATCAGAAAGAAAACAACTTGCAAAACAATTATTACTTTCAGAAACACAGGTTACATTCCCTTTCAATTTACCCTCAAAAAATTTTATTATTCATATACGCCATTTTTTGCCAAATACAAATTGGCCTTCCATTAAAGCACAAATTGGCTATCAATTACATAAACATTTTCGGCATAAAAAAGATTGAAAAAGGCCTCAGAAAAGGGGAAAAAAGGAGAATTATTTCCCGCTAAAAGGCCAACATTTTTAGACATTATTAAAAATACACACACTAATAGAATACCAACTAAAATCAGTTTTGTATTACACAAACACACACAATTAAACATTAAAAAGAAAACAAGGCAATATCTCAATTATCCCCGAGAGTTAAATTTAAAACATAAAACTACCTATTTGTGCCTAATATTATGCAAACAACACACACAAAAATTTCACTTAATACCGACAATTTTTACCCTTAATTGGGTATTGGAATTTGGCTATAAAAAATAGCGTCAAATTTCATAAAATTCAAAAATACCTCTAAAATTCTGATTTTCACCTTTATAATTGCCAGGTGAAAGTTTGGTTCCAAAATAGACGAACAAAATCAAAAAGAATTGCTGACGGGTTCTCCAATTCAGAAATGCCTGCAGAATTTTCTCCAACAATGGAAGATGTTTGAGGAATTTTCTGGAGGATTTTTTTGAATTTTCGGCCATCTTTTAATTTTCTCCACAAGCAAACTCTCTCTAAACACAAATAAAAACTAAATTAAACACAACCTAGTCTACAGTAACGCATAAAAAATCTTTCCACTCTTCACAAAAAATTTTTTCAGCATTATTTGCGCGCATCTTATAAATATTTATACTCAATTTATTAGTAATTTGATTCCCTCTTAGCCCTTTCTTATAGTAAATGACAGGATTAGCTCTACAATAAGTGGAAATACGTCTTAAAAGTTGCGAATAAAAATACTTAACAAGAGCTACCAAACTTTAAAAATATTAAAAAAACCTTAAAACTTTTTAAAAAACCTTGCAAAACTTTCAGATTACTTAACCATTCAATCTTAACCTTCAATTTTCAATCTCCATTTCAGTTTTAATCTTCACATGTCCATCACCTTTCAAGCTTCATAATTGGGTATCTGTTATCAGGGGTCGGTCGGAAATTTTTTTTTAAATTTCCGATTTCAGATAAACCATTCCGAGTCCCAACAGTTTCGTATTTCCGACCGACCCCTGTTCTCTTACAAATTAGAATCCCTCAAAACCTTTCAAAAAATGTAAACAAATAAAAAAAGTATTTTCGTATAAAATTAAATTAATTTTTAAAATAATTAAAACCAATCATCATTTTTTAAAATTTTATACAAATTGCTACACGCATTTTAAAATAATAATACAAATGATTGAGAGAAATCAAAATACACATATTCTTTTTTCTAAAGCTTTAAAAAAAGCTTACCGTTAATTTAAATATTTTTTTAACTTTTTACCTATGAAATTTTTAACAAATTTGCCAACTAAAAAATTTAAATACTAAAGCAAAGATAAACAAAAAAAATATTTTTTGAACAATTAACAGAGAGAGTTAAATTGCCAAAAATATTTTTTTAAAACGTGTCATTTTTGTATTTTGCAACAATTGATAAAACAAAAACAACATAAAAAACAAAAAAATAAAGGTTGAATTTCTGTATATTTAAAAAATTATTTTAAGAGAGCACACCTAAGAAAATCAAGGCCCGGGAGGTTTTGAAGTTTAAATAAAACCAAGGAGGTTCAGATCCAAATACTTGGGGTCCAAATATCCTCTAGGGCCAATTAACCTCCCAAGCTTTGACCTTCTGGCTCAATCCCATTTTTAAAAATTAAGGCTTTAAGTTTACTAAAATTAAAATTTCGGTCAAAACCTAACAGAAATTCAACTCGAAATCAAAGAGGTCAATTGATTGAACTATATATTTTTAAAATATATACTTATAAATATTTAAATAAAAAAGGGAATTTTCTTTTAGAAAAAAATTTCTTTTGCGAACAGGAAAAACAAATCAACCACTAAATAAATTAAAAAATAAAATTAATAGATAGAGATTGATAGAGAATGCAACAAAAAAAACTAAAATTTTGCGAGGAGTGTCAGGAAATTAAAAACAAAGATGGGGAATATTTTTATAGATGTGTTTTTAATTTATGAATTAACAGCGGTATTTAGGGTTGTCGGTTCATGGAAAATTTTCGGATATTCGGAACCTAACCGAAATAATTTTCGCATATCTGGAACCGAACTGAAGAACCAAAGCGAAGAAAACCTCAGATCCTCGATAAATCTCATTTATCTCTACCACTGTTTATTTTCCTAGAGGTCACATATTACATCTTCAAACAGATAAAAGAGAGAGATGCTTTCTCATCAATTAAAAAATATTTTTTATAAAAAAATTAAACTCGTATAAATAACTTAAATATTTTTTGACTAAAACTAAGAATTAAATATATATTCGGGAGGTTTTAATTTACCCAAAAAACTAAACAAAAAACCTCTAGACTTTTCTTCTAACAAAAAAATTTTTTTCTATTGAGCTAGAACAGACATTCCTCCTCCACTATTAGCACCATTAGTAGTATTACTACCATCACTAGTAGATGAAGCCATAGATTTACAAACAATGTTTCCACTATTATTAGTTGATAAATTGTCTTTATAAATGCCCAAGTAAGACCTTTAAAAAATTTTAAAAATAAAATATGAACTTAAAAAAATAAAGAAAACCGTTTAAATTCATCATTAGTTGCTACATCAAAAGAATTTGTTGATGTTGTTGTCTCCGATTCATCAGAATTACAACGACGAGTTGCACGACTACGCGCTTTCTTTTCATTTTTCTTTCGTTGACTAAAGAAAAAAAGATTTTTTTAAATTAAATTTTTAAAATTTACCCAAGAATAGAAGAAGTTGAACGATAAACTCTTGCTTGTACTTGTTCAGAAAATGAAACACGCTTTTGCTGTTTTTGTTGTTGTTGATTTATTTCATTTTTATTAATATTGCCAGAAGAGCAGTAAAAACAATCAGCAATTCCACTGTCTATTTCTTCTTCTTCTTAAATAAAATTAAAAATTAAAACAAAAAAAAAGTAAAAATAAAGAATAGATACGACAAATAATAACCTAGCAGAAAAAAAATCATTCAAGAAAATTACCACTTTGGTGTAGTGGGAAAATTTTAAGTTAACATACTTGGGAGTAATTGGTTCGATTCCGTTTAGAGAAAACAATTTTATTTTTGCTTTATTTCAAATACACGACAAATAATAACCTAGCAGAAAAAAAATCATTCAAGAAAATTACCATTTTGGTGTAGTGGGTAAAATCTCTACCTAACCTACTAGGGGTAGAAGGTTCGATCCCCTTCAGAGAGAAATGATCTTAAATTAAAAGCCATTCCACCTATTTCAATTTTTTACAAGTATTTATTTAAAAAATAATTAAAAATTCAAACAAACCAATAGTTCCATTAGAAGAGGATGTTGAGGTAGAAAAGTCTGTTGGAGAAGAAGAAACATTATTGGTTTTGTTGCTGTTTGAAAATAAATTATATTTGTACAAAGGTGGTGATCGTTGACGTTGTTCATCTTGATGGTCTTCAGAAATTGAACGGAATGGAACAAATCTTTAAAAGAATTCTTTTAAATTAATTTTTCCAGGTAATAAATTGGGTTATTCAGTACTTAAGGGGATAAACGAGGGAAAAACTGAGGAGAACCACGACGTCCCTTCGGCGAAATATCCAGCAACAAAATGTAAAGGTTCACCAGTAAACCGTAATAAAAAGTTAGAAAGGAAGCTCACTACCCCTTTACATTAAAAAATAAAAAAAACCTCGAAAACATTCCTCCTTTCCTCTGATTTGAATAACCCAAAGGTGATGGCATTGTTGTCGTTAATGAAGGATTTGAAGCACCAATTGACGATTGTTGCTTCTTTTTTAAAATGCTTTTTAAAGGAGGCATTGTTGCTGAACGTGGAGGTAAACCATCACCTTCTCCTTTTCTTTTTTCTCCAATTCCAGAGTTAAATTTTTGTAGTAAAAGTGATGTTGTTGATGACTGATCCAGTCGATTATAACTCTAAAATTTTACAGGATTTTTCAAAAATATTTTTATTTTTCTTAAAAAACCCCCCTCAATTCTCCCTCTAATCCTTTCTATAAATCCGATTATAAAGTTTTTTTCTCCACTTTCTATTTTTAATTTTCCCTTTTACTTAAATGCTCTCAAAAATATTTTTCCTTAAAATCCCTCTTACTTTATAACCTTCCAAAAATAAACTTTTACTCCCAAAAAAATATAATAAAATATTTAAAGATATAAAATCTCTCCTTAAATTCCTTTTATAAAGCTTTTAAATACACACGCGCACATTACTTTTAGAAAAACAAAAATAATAAATTCCATAAAAGGAATTTTATTTATTATGAGGCTAAAAATGGAGTATAAATTATTTAAAAATCCCCTCTCTCAATTTGTTAAATAACTACTTAAAAGGAATTTTTTTATCTCCATGTGCAATAGCTAAAGAGGGAAAATACCTTCTTAATAAGCTAATCCTCTCTCCCCCACTTAATTTTTTATTTACAAAATTTTTGTAAATAAATTTATTTTTTATTTACAAAAACAAAAATCACGTCACCTAAAATTTCCTTTGCTAAAATTTTTTCCGAAAAACCCTAAAAAATTTTCAAAAAAAAATCTAAAAAATAAAAATCTCCCAAAAATTCTGTCTAAATATCTAATAAATAAAAAAATAAAATAAAAACCTTTCCAATCGGAGGATTTTGCAACTCAAAAGGTTTGTTGTTGACATCTCCTCCCTTTCCTCTATTTGTTTTACACTCTCCTTCTTCATTTATATGAGCACCTGGCAGTAAAGACAAAGCCTCAATTAAAGAAGAAAATCCTCCACCATCACATTTATTTGTTGTTGTCGTTGTAGTAAAATTAAAAACACGTCCTCCTCTAGCCTTGGGAAGTGTTTGGGATTCAAAAGGACCCAAAGGATTTGGTAAAGAATTTCTATGTTGTCGATTGAGTTGGCAAAATGGGCCATTAGTCCCACCACCAAAAAGTAAAAATTCATCAGCACAAGAACCTGGAGAAGCTACGCCCGAGTCAATTGAAGATGCTGGTGACGATGCTGATGTTGATGATTGTTGTGATGTTTGCGGGGGTGGTGGAACAACAATTGAATTTGGAGTTGGAATTTTTTTGTTCTTTACGTCCACAACTTCTTTTTTGCCTTCTTCAAAAATTGAAATTAAATTTAAAAAAAAAATTAATTTAAAATTTACCTCCTTCAAATATTGGTTTAGCAATTAATACATGCAATGCTTGTTTTCTATTTTCAATACTTGAAGCAAATGAAGGCAAAGCATTTGGTGGGGTTGGAGAAACAGTAAATCTTGAAGAAGATGGTGGGCGAATATTTTGTTGGTGATGATGAGAGGTCTGTTGTTGCTCCTCCTCAATTATTGGACCCTTAAAATAACAAAAATTGGCGTTGGTAAAGTTTATACGCCCAATGAACCTTTGCGAGTCTAAAAAAACTTTATAAAGTCCATTGAAGTTATAAACTTTCAGTTGGACTCATTGGGGTCGTAAAACTTTACTGGACTCATTGGACACACCTGGCTTGGTAATGGATACGAATATGGATAAAGATAAGTTCAAAATACCCGCGGATATCCGGATACGGATACCAAAATCCATGTTCATTACCAAGTCGTGGACACACACACACTACCCAGCCCCAAAAATTTCCCAAAAAAATAAATCAAAATAAACCGAAAATTGAATATGTACAGCCTCATCAGACCGAAATACAGTTCTTAATTGACGAAGTTGTTGTGGCTGTCGCCGTTCAGAATCAATAGGAGAATCATCAGAAATTAAAGAATTTTCTAATTCAGTACGTAAAGCATGAATATGTTGAATACTTTCAAGTTGACATTCAGCATACATTTGATGGGAATTTTGTTGTTGTTGAAATAAGAAAATACTAGCTATAGTCAATATATTTTTGGTCTGAAAAAATTTAAAAAATATTTTTTTAATTGAAAATTATATAAAAATAGGTATGTAATGAAAACGCGGTCTTAAAAATCAAAAAATAAGTAATCTTTTTAATAGATAAAATTGTTAAAATTCTTGGTCATAAAAATAAAACGATTTTAAACAAATAATATTTAAATATTTCTATTTAAAGAAAGGCTAAAAATACCTACAAATATCGTTTTTTTCTTGAAAAAAACAATTAAAAATTTGTCTGATTAAAAAGAAATTCAAAAGATTTTTTTAAAAAAACTATAAAAAAATTATCTGTCTACAAATTTTAAATAAAAATTTCTTTTCATTAAAAATGACTAAAAAAATTTTTTTAAGCGTTTGTGTAAACGCCTCTCTCAACTAAAACAGTTTCCGGCTTAAAATACATACTATTTGTATTAAAGCTTTAACGGGGAATAAAACAACTACTATGCCCTTTCCTCCCCTTTAACCATTTTATTATTTATTAAAAAAATACTAATATGTTGAAAACAACAACTGTGACACATATTGTGTGTGTGTTTTATACAAGTTGTTTTTGAAAAATAAAAAAAACTAGGGAAAGATTTGTGTGTGTGTGTTGAGCTCTCCCTCTAATAACGATTTTAACCAGAGTATGATTGTGCTCAACCTTGAAGAGAATATATTTGCAAGCGAAAAATAAATTATTATAGAGAGGTGATCGACAAAAAATATTCAAAAAAAATTTACGAGAAAATTCTAGAAAATATAGAAGGATGTAGAAAAAATTTCAGAGTAATTAGCAACCACGACAATCGGATTTTTATTTTAAAAAAGAGGAAAGGAACAAAGAAGGAAGGAACCCTGATGGCTTTGAGACTTTCAGTGTTTTCACGACTACAACTCCTTGAATACCTAAAATTCTCGAATTTTGGGATCTATTAGAAAAAACACTCAAAAAAATATACACCCAAAATTTCAAAGCTTTTAGACAGTTACAAAAAAATTTTAAAACTATTTTTGTTGAAACGACAACCATTTTTTATAAAATGACCTAGCAGAAGGAAAAATAGAAGAATAATAGAAGAAATATTAGAATTGTAAATGATAATCGGATTTTTTCAGAGGTGAAATTAAAAAATAGAATAAAATTTTCACTGAATAGTCAAATGATTAATTTCCTTTAAAAATCCCCATTTTTAAATTATAAGAAAGATGCCGCGCTCAAATGCACTCGGAAATATTTACTCACACAAAAATAAAAATAATAAACAAGGAAGAAAAAATATTTTCCCCCTTATTTTGGGAAACAATGTACTTTTTTCCTTTGAAAAATCGCTTTTTAAAGCTTCCTCTATTTTAGAGACACGTAAGCTTAACACATCACATTTACAAATATATGTCACATTTGATCATTAGTTTTTTCTTCAACAAAACCCTTCCCCTTCCCCTCCAAATAAGAGATCTATACTAAAACAAAAAAAACATATGATCAACAAAAAAAAAGTCTGCGAAAAAAATTTTTTTAAATGCTTCCTGATTGTCTCCCAGATTTTTTAAAATGCCCCTCTAAGACTAAATACTAAAATTGTTTAAAAATAACCTTTAATGTACTCCTAAAACAAAAAAATATGTAAAAGGGAAGAGTAATGTGATCCTCCAGCGCCCTTTGTTGTTGTCCATCTTCCTCTTTTTTCTCGTTGCTTTCTTCTATGGAAATAAAAAAAAATTTTCGAGGGTAAAGGAGGGCCTCCGGCGCCATATTGTCGGAGTATATTTTTACTTCACACACAGACAAACATTCTCTTCCCCATATTTTTTTACACTCATCAAAAATTCAAATAAACAACATACTGAAAATAAAGATAAGCCGTGTAAAAGTACTTGGAAATTAAAACTAATGTTAATATTTTTAGTAGTATTTCTATAAATAAATTTAGAAAAATTATCAGAAAACGTTAATTAAATTTATTTTTAAGACTGAGGAAGAAAGACCTACACCCCAGAAGAAAGGGCCCTCGACATCCCCTTTCAAAAGTTGTTGGTCTACAGAGTCAATAGGCATTTAGGTAGAGGTCTTCGTGGTGTTAGTCCTCAGAGGTGATCTCAAAAAATCCAAAACAAATTCTTTAATGACCCAAACGATCCCAAATAGTACGTAGAAAAATATTAGATTTTAAATAAAAATTAGACAGAAAAACAAACAAATAGGTACAATATTAACAAACAAAATATCGAGAAAGAAGAATTAAAAATTAAAATCCGATTAAGTGGCGGCAAAATGCTCAACAAAATTTTTACGGAAAATATTGAGAGGAAGTAAAAAATTATTTTTAAATTTTTTGTTTATTCTAAAAAAATTTTTAAGAGCCTCTTAAATTAAGATCCCCAAGAAAACTTTTTTTTTAAATTCAAGTTCAAATAAAGCAAAGGAAAATAATTCTTAAAAATCAAGTTTTTCCAAAAGGGTCGTTCACCAAGGTTGTCGGATCCGGAAAAAATAAACACAAAATTTTTCATTGAAATTTAGAAAAGCCAGTTTGTCTGAAATAAATTTTCCTTGCTTTATAAATTATCAAAGGAAGGTGTTTTAGTAAAAATAGGGGCGGAGTTAAAAAAAATAATAAAATGAAAATTTTTTGTTTTTTGATAAGATTGGAGAGGGGAGGAGGAAAAATTATTGAAAGAATAATCGAGGGCTACTAAACAAGCATTCATTAAAGCTTTCAATAAAGCTTTTCATTAAAGCTTTTGTCAGCAAATCATGTAAAAAGATTGATAAAGAGAGGAGGATTTAAAGTAAGGAAGGAGAGATGATTGAAAAACAAGCGTCTTTAAAAAACAAAGGAAAAATAAAAAAATAATTAATCGAATCCAAATAAAAAAGTTTACAAGAAAGAATTGCCAGGAAAAAAATTAAAAATGCAGCACAAAATTTAAAAACATTTTGTTTACACAAAAATAAATTTTTTCAAAGTTTTAACAAAAAACCTTTTTATTTTCAATTTTAGTCATATTTTTATATTGTCAATTTGCCCAAAACTTTTTCCACGTAAATAAAACACCTTTTTTCCTCAAACAAAATTTTTAATTTTTTTCCAGTTTTTGCATTTTTAATGTGAAAAATAAAAAAAAATAATTTTTATTTATGCAAAGGCTTTTGGTTGGTTAAAATGTAAAATTCAACAAAAAAAATAAAATTTGTGTGAGTATGCGTGTACTCAATTTTCATAAGTAGCAAGCCTTTACATAAACAAAATTGAACAAAAATAAAGGAGGAAAAATGTTATTGAGGCAATTCAACTGAGTCCCGACTTAACGGCAGTCCCGGCTCTACAAGTCAAGAATGGTGGGATAATTTTTAATGTTTTTTGGTACCGTTGGATAGAGCATTAAATGGATTACAAGATGACAAAAAATAAAAAAATTCTATTGGTTGTGAAAAAAGTTATGAGTTTAATGCCCTATCTATTGGTACCAAGAACATAAATAAGTGACCAACTCTTCAAAAGTTATAGGGTCCGGGACTTGCTTAAGTAGGGACTCAGTTGAGGTGTACCAAAATTTTATTTTAATTTTTCCCTCCCCCAGATCTCTTCTTCCCCTCCTATTTTTAATAAAAATTTTTAGTAAAAAAAGGTAGATGGAGGTAAAAAATAAAGAGTTTTTTTAGTTAGTTTAGTAGGAGTGTGGCAGCAACGATTACCTCTCCCTACTCCTGTTGTTGTGTGTGCTGTCACAAGATGATGCAATCTTCTCCTTTGCAGCACACAAATAAATAAATATATTTATTTACAGGCGGTCGAAAATTGAGGAGGAGAAAAGATGAATGTGAAGATTTTTTGCAGAAACTTGAAAGGAAGAAAATAGAGAAAAATATAATTGATGAGTAGAGAAAAAGAGGAAGAAGAAAAAATATTATAACCCATCTTATTCAAAAAAATTTGTTATCTGTGTTTTTTAAAGAAAAATGTTGGGGGAACGTTAGATCAAAGATTAAGGATAGAAAATTTAGAAAATAAATTTAAAAAATTTTTAAGGTCTTTATCATTTTTATAAACGAAAATTCTTTATAAAAAACCTTAAATTATTTTTCTCTTCATGGCCCAAAAAAATTTTTTAATGGTTATCAACCAACAAACATTCTCGCTCTCTCTCAAGACAACCCCACATCACACCACATCATTTTACACACAAAAATAAAATTAAATAAAATTTATGAGTATACCGGTAGCAATAAAAGAAGAAAAAAACCCTCTTTTTGCAAGCATAACTCTATTTTTAAGCATTTTTAATCTTCAAAAAATAAATTAATTAACTCTCCCTCTCAAGCTAAAAAATTATAAAAAACTACAACTTTTTTGGATTTTCTTATTATTTTTAAACCAAAAAAATATAGCAGCTGATATAAATATATAAAATGTGCAAAAATGAGAGAAAATGTCAACTAAACATTAAAAAAATGAGAGAGAATGAATGAGGAAAAATGAAAAAAGAAAATGCTGCCGAAAATAATAAAAAAAGTGGTTGAGGGAAACTTGCTAGTTACTGAAGGGCATTTTATATAGAAGGATGGATGCGGCCCCAACAAACTGTGAAGAGAAAAAAAAGAAAAATTTTTACAGGAGCGAGCAACAAAATAGACCAAGGATCGAATATGTGACAACCCTCTACATCCGTTATCCTCTTCTATAAATATATTCCCTAGTGTGTATTTGGCCAAAAAGCACGAGATTTATATGAAGAAAAAAAAGATATATCAAATGTTTATAGAATAGTTTATAGAAGATAAAATGAGTCCACCCCTGAAGACCTACATCCAATTAATGCCGTTTAACTCTGAAGACCTCCAATCTTTAAAAGGGAATATCAAAAGTGAATGTCGATGAATTTAGAGGGATTAGGAGGATATGGATCAATTTGGTGTGATTGAAGGGGATAGACTAACTGAGAGTTATAGTACACGCTCACGATACCGCCCCATTAGTTCCAAAAGGCAGAACTGGATACTACTTATGCGCATAGAGCCGGGTATAATCCCTCTATATTTCATTTTAAAAGTTTTAAGTCGTCAGGGCTGACCCCGATCATTTTTATTTAAAAAATTTTCTGACAATTAACATTAAAAAATTTATTGAAAATTCATTCTTCCCCTTGTATATCCCCAAAAAACTAATTTTATTTGCCACCTACCTACACCTCATTATAAAAATCTATAATTCTATAATAAAGCTTTCATCCCCTTAAATAAAGTATTTTAAGAGAGAAGCTAAAAAAGAAAAATACAAGTGTGAAGAAAAAAAATTTTTTCGCGCGTGCATGTCCTCCCACCCTTGCCACTTAAATTTTTCTTATAAACAATACACTCAATTCTACCCAACCTAGCATTATAGAATACTTGTTTTATTTTTGAGAGAGGGTTTTCACGTAAATAAAAAATAAAGTAATAAAATTGAGAAAAGATAAACAACTGAATGAGGGAGATAAAATAATAAACAAAAAATATTTTTTAAGTGACCTAGGAAGGTAATAGAATAGGAGAAGGAATCATCAAATCCTAGCTTTTGTTTACTTTTTGTACTTATATTTTTTCTTTCAACTATTTAATAATTCTATATTTAATACATTCCCCAAGGAAAATCAACAAATCTGTTCAGAATCATCAAATCTAGGCAATCTTGGTATCGTTCGACCCCCCATATCAACAAAAAAGCCCTAAATGGTCAGGGATTCCAGAGAAGAGGTGGGAGTTCGGAATCGAAGAACCGAAGGTCCCCAGATATCCAAAATATTCCAGGAACTTCTTTTTATTACCCTAAATTTTCCAATAAAATAGATAAACAACAAGTGAACATTGATGATTAAAGGATAATTAGAAAATAAAATATTCAACAAAAATGAGTACTTTGTTGATATAGCTTTTGTTTATTGAAAAAATTTTTTTGTTTATTAAAAAATTAGTATAATAAAAAATTCCCACATTGTATAAAAAATTTGAACTTATGTATAAAGAATAAAGCTAAAATGCAAACAATTGAGACAATACGCCCTCTCTAAAAAATAAATATTTCCCCCTTTACTTAATTCTAGTAGCTTCTAGTAGCTATATTCCCCCAACACTTTCTCCTTCTTCCCTCTAAACTTTGTCACCCAAACAAAATTTTTTTTTAAAAAACTTAAATTAAATATTCTAGCATAAACAAACATAAAAAATTCTTTAGACTAAAGATTTTTGCCAAAACTTTGTTTAAATTATTTATAAAAATGCACTTTTTTTTCAACTATTTAATAATTCTAGATTAAATAATACAATCAGTCAACGCAAGCGGAATTGTACAAAGTATATAGAGAATATATAATTGATGGTTTTGAGTAGATTCAACCATTAAAAATAAATATATACGAAAGTGTTGGTGAAGAAAAAAAAGAAAAATAAATTTGTGGGAAAATTCGGAGGGAAGAAAAAAAAGAGGAGAAGGATTTATGGCCACAAAAAATATAGCGGCCAAAAGCCAACCCTCCAAACAGCTACCAAAAGCCACAAAAAGTGAGAGCGCTATGAATAGTAATTTTAATTTTAGAGAGAAAATTTGAGAATATTTTAAATGAATAAATTTTCAGTGTTTTTAAAAAATTAAAAAATTTTGCCGGACTTTAAAAATATGTTTTGTGAACATTTTTTTACGTTTCCGGCTGACAAAAAAATGTCTTTTTTTAATAAAGACAAAAAAGATAAAAGAAAAAAATACGAGCAGCTGGCAGCAATTTAAAAAAAGAGAGGAGAATGGGGACGCAGAAATGCACACATGCACGCCAAATTTGTTCGTAGCAAATAAAAAGACGTAAACAACATTTTGCTACGAATATAAGATGGGCAAAAGAAAAAATTTTTTTCGTCTTATAATAACCCCCTTTTTATTCTATAAAAACGAAAAAATTACCCCCTTAATTTTCCCACTTTCCTCCTCCCCTCCACTACTAACTGCTCACTTCAAAAAAAATTTTTTTCTACACGTTCTTGTGAGAATAAAAAAATATAATACTCCCCCATAAATTTCTAAAAGTGACAAAAAAAATATTCTACGCCGTCGCGAGTGAAAAAATAAAATTGAAAAGATAAAAATTAAATTGCTTTTTAGTGATAAATTTGTTTATTATGCAAAGAGAAAAAAGTGAAAACAAAATTTAATGAACCGGGAAAAAAGTAGGAAAAGCAATAGAAAGGAAAAAAATTAAAAATTAGAAAAATTTTTAGAAAAAGAATAGGAGGGAAAATTCAAAAATTAAAAAAAAAATCAACACAATTTTAGAACATTTTTCACTTTTCCTTCTTTACAACTTTACTTAAAAATTATTTGGGTAAGAAGAAAAAAAGAGAACAAAAAACGAAAAAATAAAGTAATATATTCGCTTGGCCAATCCAATAAAGTCACGAGACATATAAATATAATTTTCGTCCGCGAATTTTAAATTGGCCTTAAAAGGAGTGTGTGGAGGGCAAAGAAAGATATGGGGGGAAACAGGAAAGGAGTAGAAGAAATGTGTGAGTGTTTTTTTTGTGTGTTTGTTTGCCCTATTTCAAATATACACACTTTTTATTTAATGGTAAAATTAATGAATATAAGGGGGAGATAAACAAGGAATAAAATGAATAAAATAAAATTACTAGTGAATCTTCAGAATCTGTGGAATATTCTGATAAAAGTGAGTTAGAAGATGTTATTTTAGAAGAATCATATCAAAGAATTGAAGATCAATTACTTGGTCAATCAATTGTTGCGAAGGTTTAGAAAATAATTTTTTGAAAATGACAAATGAAGTCGAAATATTGGAGAGGTATTAAATTTAAAATAAATTATTTTGGCTTTAAAAAAATTTATTTTCACTCACGTAAACATAAAATAAAGCAAATTCCTTTTTCTTTCTTTCCCCCTACCCCGAGTACTCTCAAAACATTGTTTTGCTTCATCTTGGGAGAAGTAAACACACTCACACATATAAACAAATAAAACCAAATCCAATGAGAAATTCAAAAAAATTATACAAAAATAAATTGAGAGAAATTTTATATGGAAAGAATAATAACAGCATTTATTTTTGTTTGTGGCAGTAATTTAATAATAAATATTATAAAGTCAAAAAATATTTTTGGAAGAGGAATGAAGATTATAAAGTGAAAATAGAGAATTATAAAAATATTAAACAAAAATTTTTTAATATTTCCCCCTACTAAAAATAGAATTTTAAACAAAAAACATTAAAATCGTGGCAAATAAAGGGAGAATTTTTAAAGGCCATTAATCGGAAGAATTATTGAAAAAAAATTTTTGATTGAAAAAAGGTCCAAAAATTATTTTTAAATCATAATAGAATTTTGATAAAAATGATGGATTATGTGTTCAGATTTATTTAAAAATTTTAAATTGTTCGAAAAAAGAATAAAGAACGAAACGACAAAAGAACTGACAGATTTGGTATTTTATGTGAAGATTAGAATATATTCTTTTTTATAAAAAATACAAAATTTTAAAGAATATTTACAAGTAACGATGTTTGATCACCTAAATATACATAGCTACAGATAAGAGACAAACAACCAGTTGTTAATTAAAAGAAAAGGAAAATTAATTATATTCACTATAATTATCTATAAAGTCAGTTTTGTTTATATACGCGCTCATTAAAAATAAGAAAGGATATAAAAATTCTATGATCAAAAATAGCAATGATCTTTTGTAAAAATTGATAGCTTTAATGACGACAAAAACTAAAGATGTTTTTTTGCATTTTATGACCCATTTTCACGTTTGCGAAGAAAAATTAGTACAGATGAGATGATGAATGATGAAGGTAAAAAGGCCCTAAGGCAAAAATTTGTGACGTAATATTGTATACAAATGTCTAGTTTCTTCTAGAATAATCGCGCGTCGATTTGAAAGAATTAACGCAATTTTTAAAAGATCAACCACATGGAAAATGGTAGAATATTCGAGAAAAACTACGATTCAAGCAATAAAGAGAAAAATTATTTATGACATTAGAGAATGAATGAGATGAATGAAAAGCAGCCCCCATACCCTCCTGGCTGCGGGCCTGGTGAAAGACAAAGACAGATAGAATTGGGCCCGCTTACCCTTCCATCCCACCCCAATTTCATATATAAACCTGTACTCCTTTATACATTGGACATGTCAAAAAATTGACGTAACACCACCAGTCTAACAAAAGATTGGAGTTCTCCAGTGATTTTTTCTGCTGATTCTTGTTCTTCTAAAGCATAATCATCAAATAGACGGTTTTCCCGCAACAATTCACCAGCCTACAAAATGATCTTGAAATCATAGTAAATAATTAAAAATAACCTCTTAAAAATTTTTCCAGCTTCTGGATACTCTCTCAAAGCTGAAAATTAAGTAATTGAAAAGCTCTTAAAAATAACCTATCAAAAGAGCAACCATTCAAAACAAACAAATCATTGCATCTAACCGATGGACAGCGAAAAGTTAAAATTATAAAGAAAATACAAATGCAATGTTAAAGCATTTAGAGAAAAAAAACTAAGAACAAAAGAAAATAAAGCAATAAATTTATAACACCAGGAAATCAACAAAGACTAAAAGTTCAAAACAACAAAGACTGAAATTTTAAATCAAACAAAATAAAATCAAAAAATAAAAGCAACATTAAAAGCAACATAAATTCATTAAATTAAATCAAAAATTGAAATTAAACCCAAAAGTTTCCTCATTCTGCGTATCCTTATTATGAGTTGTCTCTCCACGAGCTGGCGAATTAAAATTGAACCCAAAAGAAAAGTTTGATGTAACACCACCAGCTGGAATAATATCATCACCTTCTTCATTACCACCAGTTTGAAAGACATCAATTCCATTAAAATGCATCAGAAGATCATCCTCTTGTTCAATCACAATATTAGCTTGCTCATCATTTGTCCCAGTTTGTATAATATCCGTAACAGACTGAAAAAAGGAAGAAAACTAATTAAAAATTAAAAATAAAATCAAACTCTATTTGGCGTATTCCTGTGTTTTTCAATTGGATCAGGAGTAAATTTCGATCTCTGAGTAGCTTTCGAAAGATCAGCCGTTGCAGGAGATTGATTGATGACTACAGGCGATCGATTAACAGTAATTGCAGGCGAATGGTTTGTAACAGCAGAATGATTGACAACACGTTCAACATTAGATTCTGGAGCCTTCTCAACAACTTCCTGGACAGTAACAACATCAATTTCCTCGTCTTGATTAATCCCCGGAACCTTTTGAATTGCCTCATGCTCCAAACTTTTTGTCTTTTCCAAAAGCTGTAAATAAAATAAAAAATATTCCTTCAATTTTTTATAAAATCATACCGTTTCCTGAATTTTCAGCTCATTCTTCATTGCATTATCCATTTGTCTCGTCTTATGCAAATAATTCGCCAACGTAACACAAAAATTTTTGAATGGAAGCTGTTTGTGTTTTGCCAATAAATCCTCACGTTCAGAAATAAGTCCATCAGTACGAGAAATTTCATTCTGAAGACGAGCAAGTTCTGTTTCGTGTTGTTTTAATTCTCCCAAAATTGCCTGTTTTTCAGGAAGCCATGGAGCGCGAGCCCTTTGACTATGAAAATCTTCCTTGATCAAATTTAATTCACAAAGTTCCGAGGACAGATCCGCCTGAAAGTACAAATCAAAAGAGATTAATCTCAAATACTAACCGCACTATTACTATCAACAAGCTTTTTAAATTCGCCCATAACAGTCCGCTTACGTTTCAGTTCGGTTTCAACACTAAAAAAGAGGTTTAAATGTAAAATCTAATTCAAAAAGCATACTTATGTTCATGACACACAGCATAATAACGAGCCTTTTCCAAAACCTCAATTTGTTTCTTTTGAGCTTCCATTTTATCCTTCTCCTCTTTTCTTAAACGACGAAGATGTTCCAATTTCTCGCTCATTTCTAAAATAATTGAATCAGCTAAAAGTAGTTAACAATTCTCTTACTTTGTTCAACAATAGTTGCAAATGAAACTTTGGCACGCAAAACTTCCTCATTTTCAACTAAGAATATATTCAGATAAAAAAAGTATATTCAAACAAAAATTACCCAAGTTTTGAATCGTTTTGACAATCTCCTCACTCTGACCTTGATCTTGACTCATTTTTTTTTATCAGAAGTTGCAATTAAATTTAATAAACACCTTAAAATTATCAAAAAATAGGAAGAATTTGAACAAAAAGTTTAACGCCTAACGAAAAAAGAAAACAAAAAATTACAAAAAACCAAAACTATTTAAAGACAAGCTGACTGTTTGCCAACGGACATTTTGCCCAGGAACATTTCGTCAAAGGACATTTTGCCAGGAAACAATTCGTCAACGTACATTTCGCCAAAATTTTTCGTCAGGATTAGAAAGGTAAAATTAAGGAATCCTTTCATTTCTCGAATGTTTTTAACGAGCGAAAAATTTTTATTCAAAGATTAAACGTTTAGAAATAATATAAAGAGTTGAATTATTGAGGCATCAGTGTAATTTATATTCCTTTTAGAAATTTTTACAAAATAAAAAAAATTATTGCACTGGCCCCGTTGGCTAGAATATCGCTTAAATTTACAGTCATCTGTCATTTTTTGAATTTTTAATTTAGATTTTATTGTGTTTATAAGCGATATCCTTTCCGCATCATATACATATTTGATTTTTGTTAATTTAATAGAAATACACAATACATTAAAAAATTATATATAAGCAACAATTTTTGTGCCGACTAGAATTAAATAAATTCGTTTGTCTTGTGCAATAAGAAAAAAATAAAAATAATAATCATTTTTTAGGAATAAAAAAAGAAAAAAATTAAATATGTAATTGCGTCCTTATATTAGTAAAAGAGGGAAAAGAGATTCCCAAGACTTTGCGTCTCAGTTATTTTTTATTTTTATACCAAAGCACCATTCTTGTATTATTCTTTTCTAGACAGTATGAAGAAACTCTAATTTGTCAGTAGGTATCAAACCATTTCGTAGAACTAATTTTCCATCTTCAGAACCAAGACGAACACATCGTGAATATGGGCCGCGTACTGAAATAACTCCAATTTGTTCTCCTTTAAAAGCATTCAAAAGCGTTCCTTTTTTTGTTATATTCTTTGGCTCATCTTCAGAAACATTTTCTTTAACATTACAAATATGCATTGGCGTTGATCGCCTTGAACTACTCCGTGAATGATAAACATGAAGATAATAAGATGTGGCATTTGATTTGCTTCGCGAACTTTAAATTAAAAAAGTTTTAACATGAAAAAATTAAAAAAACCTGAGCACTGGAATCATTGATCTTCGCTTTTTTGGAACTGACGCATTTATTTTTTCACCTTCCCCTGCGAATGAAATTTTGTTTTTATCGTTTGACAATTAAAAAAAAACCTTTGTTTATCTGATTTTGCGAAGATTTATCATCCTTGACCGCAACATTATTTGAATTCAATGTTATCCTTGATGGTAATGACGAGCTTTTTGGAACACGTGAATCACTTGGTAATTTTGCCGCAACACTATCAACAGCAACATTTCTTTCACAAACTCCCAAAGATGATGTTGTCACTAATGGACGGCGTTTTTTATTAAATTTTTTATTTGACGACAATGATCTCCTTCTATTGCAAAGATTGAGCACTGACAATAACTCTAGATAGTCAATAAAACGAGCAAAAAGGCATCTATATGAAGTGTTGGCTCCAAGAAGAAAAGAAGTTTCTACATAAAATTTGCGTAATTGATGTTCCTTCAGCACAATATAAGAAAACCTGAAGAAAAAAAAATATTCAAAAAAAAGTCTACAGAAATTAAATTTGGACAACTTGAATCTTATTGGGGACAAAAAGTTCCCCAGGCTTCAAAGAAAATAAAAAATTACCAGCAATCAACAGAATGAAGCGCAATTAATCCTTGAAAGAAATGACTGACAAGAGAATTTTTTGGCTTCTCTGAAACCTCGAGCTCTTCACATAATTGAAAAATCGACGCTGTGACAGGCCCTAAACAAATTTCTAAATTGATGAATTGAAAAAAAATAATAAACCTTTCCCCGTTAATTGTTTAATAACATCCCATGGTTGAATATTTGAATGAAGACCATCTACAAATAAAGCCTCTAATGCTGCCAACAATACCTAAAAATTTGTTGGTTAAAATACTAACTAAACCCAGAAAAATAACCACAGATGTAGGGGCTCCTCGAACTTGTTCTCCAACACCAGCGACGACGCGCTCAACAATTCCACGTTTTTGCTCATAAATCGGCAAGCCAATAATAGCCAGTTCGCGTTGATGAAGACGTTTAAGTGTATAATTTTCATGTGAAGTTGAAGAACTTCCAATAGGATAAGAAGAGAAAAACAAATCATCAGTAACAGTTGAAGCCAAACAAGTGTTGCTTCTCAAACGATGACGTTGTGGATTAAATGTTGCGATTGAACTTTTGACACAAGCCTCATTATCGCAACAGCAACACCCATTTTTGCTTTGTTTATGATTCAACAATTTTTGCCATTTATTTTCATAAAATCTTCTTCCAGAACCCATTGTTGAGGCATGGCAACAGTAACAACGTCGCTTATCAATGTTATTATCAGTAACACCAAGAAGGAAACTGTTGGTTTTAAAAAAGGAGCAGGCATCGACTACGTGTCTAAAAAAATTTAAATTAGCTCTTATTCATTACACAAAAAATGAACCTTGGTAAGAGTACAGAGAGTGAATGCCAATCTTCGATATGTGAAGGTCCTACAAATATAAAATTAATCAATTAAAAAGAAAAAGTGTAACAAACCTTCCGAATGTGAAGATCCTAATCCAGAATCAGGTGCTACATCCTCGCAAACATCATCTCTGCCAGCTTCAAAAAGCATCTTTTCTGATGGATAACATTCTAAAACAGCGCCAAGATTTCCTTCTTTTGCTTGTTTCAATAGATCATCGAAAGAAGCTGTAGCGGCAATTGTTGAAGAATTTGTAATTGAAGGAACCTTAAAAAAGAAATTTTCCAAGGTGTAACTAAAAAAATAATCGTCGGATCATGAGACTAGATCACGACTAATTTCCTCACAGAACTAGAAAAAGTTACCTTATATGACAATGCAATAAATTGTAAATCTGGCGCAGTTTTGCTTGGAGAAAGATCTGCAAAGGTTCTAGGCATTTCCTTTTTAGTATTGTTTGCCGACGATGTTAATGCCAATGAAGTAGTTTGACGATTGGGTAATTGTTGTTTTTTTGTGTCCTCGAATTTTAGAAGTTTGTTTGCAGCTTGAAGATTTTGCTTGATGTTATCTTGCTCCATTTGTTTTGTGTTATTTGGAGTAAATCCAATCTCTTAAAAGAAAAAATAATAATCGAAATAATCTTAAAATCAAACCATTATGATTCATGTCAATATAGCGTCCATCACCAAGGTAAAATTCAGAATACCCATTGTTTACATCCTCATTTCCATCATCATTAAAATCAATTTTTGCTTGTGTTCTTCGTGAACTTTGAGAGGGAGCAACTGCTGGTGAAGAGTCTACTTTGACGAAAGCATTATTCTTACTTTGTTCGTGGTTTCTTCCACTAGCTTTAGAGTGCAAAACGGGCAAACTAAAATTGATTTTGTTATAAATTTTGATAAAAAATTATTTAACCTGTTAACTTTGTCAGAATCAAAAGCTAGCGGTCGCGAAAGTTGTTCATTAGATTCTGATCCTGCCGCTTCAAAATTACAACCAATTCTTCCCCAGGTTATTGCTGATGGTTTTTTATTATTAGAATTCCTGTAGATTTGTGAAAAGCTTGTGCTGCCGTTGTTATTATTGAATATTTCATCTAATATTTTATCTCGCCATTTTTCACTGCCAATCTTCCTCCTTTCATTGATTTTTGCTGTATCTTCATCATCAACAGAATTTAATCGTTCTAACAATCTCAAACTTGGATGATGTTGATTATACGTTGTCTAAAAAATAATACTATTGAAAAAAACTAATTTCATCGCTAACCTGTTCGCCTTCTTTTCCCCGAAAACATCGAAGAGCTTTCCGTGTTTGCAATGCTGTTGGACTTGCACTTGCATTTGTCATAAAGCTTGCTCCAATACCACTTGTTGTCCACTGCCCACTATCATCCTCAAAAGTTAATTTGTAGTCATTTTGTTTATTATTTTCACATCTCATTCTAAGCATTTCAATATCCAAAGAATCAGTTGAGACAAGCCGTGGATCACCACCCATAACACTACCAAATAACGCGCTCGTCGTATTGCCGCAATCTTCCATTGTCGACGTTCCAAAGTCTAAATGCGCAACGCGCTCATCAATATTCGGGGGCCAAAAATTGGAATTGTTGTTATCTGTTGTTGTAGCTGTTGTTGATAATAATTTTAGGTTGTAAAGATCACCCATTGAATAAATTAAATTTAGCTGAAAAATCAATAATTCAAAATCTATATTTTTGTAAACAAATTATTATTTGGAATTTAAACGAAAGCTCTCCCTTTGTTTTTGACTAGTGAATGAAGCTACTAAATTTTGAGAAAAGGAGGCTGTCTAACCGAGCATGTGTGCCTCTAAAAAGAAGGAATTTGTGAGTTACAAGGATTGTTCACTATTTAACAGCGAGTTGCAAAATGAGGAGAAAAGATGGACTGGTGACCTCCTTTCCTATAGCGCTTAATCCTTTATGGGTAAGCGAGAATCGACAGCTGGAATTTAGTACTACATACTACTCACAAACAAATGCCTTAACAGAGTATAAAAGGGGGATATGGATTTTAGAAGAAGCGTCTTAAAGCGTTTCATTCATTTTTAACCAAAGTAGAGAACAAAAAAAGTGAAATGTTTATGACAGAGAATGTAAAACTCGGGCGATATAGTGTGGTAAAAATTAGGAGAAACTCATGCGTGCGTCGCTCAATAAATTATATAAAAATGAGCGGAAAATATTTATGTGAAAGGATAAACAAAGGGACCATATCAATTTTCATTACAAACCTTGTCCAAAATTAGTGTAGATATTTCTTCAATAATTTTTACCTAAATAGAATTTAAAAGAAAATTATTCGTCAAATTAATTTTAAAAAATTCAAGTCAAAATCGATGGTAGCGAATTTTTCAGAATTAAATTTACCAAAAAATTTCGAGTTTTATTTAAAAATAAATGATGAATACAGGAAAGATATTTCAGGAGATCTTAATAAAGCTAATGATAAAATTATTAATGAAATATAAATTTTGATTGAAGGAATTCTATTAATACCACTGATTCCTCTATTTAGTTGCATTTCTTCTTTAACATCTTCCATTGAAATCTCTTGTCCATAATTAACTGTAGTTGAACGACCGTCGGGGCAAATACGGGACCTCTGTTCTAAGTAGAACGTATAGAAAAATATAAGAAACTTAAATAAACCTCCAGTAATTCCAGCTACCGCTTGAGCTTCCTCCAGCAATCTACAAAGTTTTCCGTGCACATCTACATAAATACGATGACTCGTGCCAGTAGCAATTTCCTCGCTTAGAATCAAAGATCTAAAGAGATTAATTGACAAAGTTATATAAAACAAAAATTATACTTTCTCGTTATCCGATTATATTTTGGCCAAAATTCTACAGGTTCCCTAAAAACAAATATTTCAAACTTTATACTATAAAGATTAAACAAACCCAGTTCGCGCAAAATGTCCCCAAAACTCCATAATTTTTGTAGAAAATGATATTTCCAATTCCAATTCTGACGGATCGTAAAGGTGAGGGCTTCTCAAAGGCAATCCGAACACATATTCTAATATAAAATTTTTAACTATTGAATGACAAAAATTTAAAACAAGTAATACCAATTTCGTAGCCATGCATTGCTCCCATCCATTGTGGCCAAGGATTTGCCTATAATTTGAATTAATCAAAATATTAAAAAAATAAACCGATGATCGCCTCGTGAAATAAAAACTGTAGACAGAACCATACAATTCATCAGAGCTAAATATTTTAAATAAATTAATTTAGCATTTTTCAAACAAACACAATATCAGCAAACTCAATACTATCACAAGTGAAGAAACTAAATTTTAAATTAAAAAAAAAAACAAAAAATCCAAGTTTACTTACTAATCACCCAGAAAACGTGCAACACCATCCCGCCATATTTGTTCTTGCTTATCTGTAGGCAGATGTGAATATGCGTGCATAAGTGCATGACGTACCAACTTACAAAAAAATAAAAAATTTTTTTTCATTATTTACTTACTGCTGACTTACATTTGAATTGCCAAAATAAGGAAGAAATGCATCAAAAGCTTTGCTGTAATCTGCTCTAATTATTAGAAAAATCTTTAAAAAATTATTTTTAAATCTTACTCAGTTATCAATGCCTGGTTTATATGATCCTCAGGAGATATTGTATGGTTAAAGCCAAACCCGTTTTTTTGTAAACAATAGGGCAACCTACACAAAAAAGGTTAAAATTTAAAAGCTCATGGTAACAAGAAAACCAACCAGTAAGTTCCTTCATCTCGTACAGTCCCCTAAACATTCAAAAACATTAAAAATAAAAAAATAAAAAAAAATACCACAAGAATGCTAACATCACGTTTGAAATCTTTTCGGCGCAATTTGTCGAAGACATTACCACGAAAGAAGTGCGTATCTTCATCTTTTAAAAATAAAAAATAACCAAAGAATAAACAATAAAATTGAACCTATTGGAACAAATGCAAAATCCATTGGGAGGCTTAACGATTGAGAAACAGCATCACCAGCCCGTTGAATAATTGCTGTTGGTACACGTTTTATACATTCCACTATATTCTGCATCCTATTAAAATAAAAAAATTTTAAGTTTAAAAATTATTTTTACGCTTTAGTAGAGTTATTTCCATTGCTGCAATTCAAATGATGCGCCAATTGCAGAGAAAGTTGAAGGATGGAAGCTTTTGGCTTTGTAGCCCAATTATTAATGATTGACCCACTTTGTGCAATAATGCGCGAAAAAAGAGAATAACTACAGAAAATTTAAAACAATATTCTATCAAAAAAACCTTCCATCAGCAAACATATGTGCCATTGCTGAAGCACTACCCGCACTCTCACCTATGATGTAAGATTATTACACGTGAAAAATTATAAAATTACCGAAAAGAGTAACACGCCGAGGATCGCCACCAAAATGGGCAATATGTTCATGTATCCATTTCAAAGCCATTTGTTGGTCCTGTAGTCCCATATTGCCAGGAACTGATGTATCATCCCCAAAATACAAAAATCCAAAAGGGCCTAACCGATAATTGATATTGATAACAACTGAAAATTTCGGCTTAAAATTACTGAGTGTGAATAAAAGTACCTGCACGCTCTTGAACAGCCAAAACTCGCCCATCGTATAAATCAAGAGAAGGAGAGCCCGAGTAAAATCCACCTCCATAAATCCACACAAGAACTAAAATAAAAAATCTGAAAGATTAAAGGCTAAAAAGGTAAATAACATCTAATTAAATATATACACACCAGTGCCATCGTGATGCTCAGGAACCCAAATATTCATAGCAAGGCAATCCTCGTCAATATCGTTAGGCGGATTCCACATTTCTGCACCAGGAAAATCTGGAAACATAGTATCTGAAATTAAAAAAATATTTACGAATAAAGGAAAAAATTATGAAAACCTCTGGAAAAGAAACATGTTCTAGCTGGTTTATCTGCTCGGAATTCTCCTTCCCAAGGTTCAATCTGAAATAAAATCATCACTTTAATCAAATTTTGTTGAGATATTAGTAAAGAGTTTTTGTAAACTGACCATTTCAGGAAGCCCAAATCGACCTGAACCAGTTGGCCTGAAAATTTGAATATTACTTTAAAATGCTTCTAGCAAACCTTTTTGCATACGGAACGCCCAGAAACGTATGGACAGATTTTCCATCAAACTTCTATAAAATAGATTTAGATAAAAAAAAAATATTTTTGAATAAATATTGAAGATAAGGGTGCTATTTCTGCGGACTTATTTTGCGGACTTTTCCTTTCTTTCTTTTTTAATGTTTTGGTTGTTTTGCTTGTAGCAACTAACTGTCAAAGGATTAATTTTTATGCCAATTTGAAAAATATGTGTTCACCATTAATTTGAACATTATAAACGATGATGAATGAATTTCAACTATGGATCACTGATCTCGGAATGCTTCATAGAAAAAGAATATGTGATTGTGGATCAAAATGCGGGTAATTTCAAACCCCTCCATTATTTTTATTACCTAAGATTGTATAAAATGGTCAGATTTCCTTCTTCCTCTCTTTCCTCTATTTGAGCTTGGCATATTCAAACCAGAAACATTGTTAAAGAGAATAATAAAATTAATTGAGTTGTTCAATATTGAGTTCAATTTTTTTTTCAGTTGTTAAATTAGTTTTAAATATAAGTAAGAATGTAATGTTTTTACACAGAAATTCATAATGTTATGGACTAAATCAATTTTATTTAATTCTTTTTTTGTTTAACATCGTTTTCGGAGGCAAAAAATAAGTGTATGACTATAAAATTAATCTTCTCTTTATCAATGTCTCTTGTTTGAATATGCCACAGGGCAAATAGAGGAAGGAGGGGAAGAAGAAAATTTGACCTTTATGTACAATCTTAGGTAAGAAAAATAATAGGGTGGAGGGCCTTTGACAGTTAGTTGCTACAAGTAAAACATGTAAAGGAAAGGAAAAGTCCGCAAAATAAGTCCGCAGAAATAGCACCCTTATCTTCAGTAGTACCATTAAAAAGTACTCAAAACCTGTTTAAACCCAATAATTTTTCCTAAAGTAGTTTGAATTAGAACATCCGTTAGAGCAACAGGTGAAGATCGTCCATGAACAGAAGAGCAATAAACAATTAGGCAGAAAAAACAACAAAATAAAAAAGTAAGGCAAGAATGTGAAGAAAATTTAAAATAAAGACGAAGAAGTTCACTTGTGTTGATAGAAAAAGCTGTTGTTTTTCTTCTTCGTTTACGCATAATTCACCTAAAAAAGTTAAAATAAAAAAAGTAGATTAATTCATTAAAAAAATTTTTTTAACGTGCGAAAGGGCGGCAATACTAGCGGTGTCCTTTTAATGAAAAAAATAATGGCGCTGAGGACAAATAAATAAAAAAAGCAAAAAGAGAATAGAGTTCTTCTACCCCATTGTATATGAGGTAGAGCAGAATTGATGTTGCCCTCAGAAAGAGCTTTGTGGGGTGAATTACTTCTCTAATTGGCGTAAAAATTCAATGTGCTGTCAGTGCACGACTCGTAAAAAATCCACTTTATATTGCCCATGCATGACAATAATACAATTAAAAAGTGCGCAATTTTATTATTTTAATAAAAAAAGGAAAATCCGTTATCGGAAGTATTAAAGTAAGTAATCTAGAAAGGCAGATTTAAGCATTTAGAAAAATTGTTGGAGAAAGAATTATGTAAATGGATATAGAGTAAATGTAATTGGTTGGAGTAAAATGAATTTAGTTAATTGCTTTTTTGTTAAGCAAGAAAAGAGAAAACATTAAAAAATACAAATAAAGACCAAGGATTTAATTTAGCACAAATAATAGAGTAGAATGGATACTAATTTGAAAAATCAAAAGAATGATGGTTTAAAAAAGAAAGATAAACTTTTAAAAATGTTTAAGATTAATGAAAACTTTGCAAAAATTTAAATTGTAAAAAGTTTAAACAAAAACATTCACCGTCTAATAAGGCAAATGGAATAGACTTGACGTAAGCAATGCCAAAAACATAAAATATGAAAAATTCATTTACAACTTTTTTAAAAGAAAAGAAAGGAATGAATGCTTTTGTTTTAGACAAGTTTCCAAAAAATATTGGAATTTATTGTAAAAGTTAAATCGTGGCTTTTTAATTCTGGATTATTTACTAGTAAAATGACATTTTTGTTGTCAATAAATAAGAGTGAAAAATGAAAAATGGAAGAAAGAAATGAAAAATGATGACAAGTGTCCAATATTTTTTTTAACTTGTATAAAAATGAGCAAAGAATGTCGATTAAAAAGAAAACTAAACATTAAAGAAGACATTTGAACTTTAAAATTCGAAATTCCCATATTAAATAAATTTAAGATGTTTATTTTTTGTTCGCTAGTTTAAAAAATACACGGATATTTGTGGGAAAAGCATATAATCTTTCTAAAAAATAAAGACGAGAATGGAAGCTCTAATTTCAATTTGTGCATAACGCAAACGATTTTCTCAAAAAAACTATTGATCTCTGACAATTTCAAACATTCAGGTTAGAATAAGAGTTCGAAACAAATAAAGAGTAAAGTTAGCTAAAAACTTATTCTTTCAAAAAAGAATCCTGGACAATAAATGAAACCATTCTTAACAGTTTCCGCTGCCCACTGAGAAAATTTCAAAGGCATAAACAGAGGGCGCAGTTTTATAAATTTTAAAAAATACCAAATTGCGGAAGAAAAAACTCCTCCTTCACAGTACCAAAAGAATGGAAGAGAACAACAATTGAAGGAATTGCATTAGTTTGCCTAAGACAGTCAAGAAGCGAACACAAAGATGTTAGGAATGAATGCTGCTTGTTTTCCTCGTCTGCAATGTTACCTTCCTCGTCTATTATGACAAAAACTGAGCGTATCTGTAAAAAATAATTTTAAGGACTAAGATGAATAGAGGAACAAGGGAAGCTAATCAACTAAAGTAAACGGTCTTGAGGCTATCTTACTGAGAAACTACAGAAGACAAACGGCCAATTACGGACCCTGAAGTACCCGGTCTTAAACCTATCTAACAGAGAAACATGAGAAAAATGGGCCATCACGGAACCCGAAGTAACACTGTCTTGAATCTTATCTAACAGAGAAACCAGAGAGAGAAACAAACGGGCCGTCCCCGGAAAATAAAGTACACGGTCTTGAATCTTATCCCACAAAGAGAACCAGAGAGGACAAACTGGCCAATTACGGACCCTGAAGTATCACGGTCTTGAATCTTATCTCACGGAGAACCTAGAGAGGGGTCCACGGAATCTGAAGTACTCGATCTTGAATTTTGTGTCATAAGGCTAGCAAGATAACCAGAGACAAACGGGGCAATCCCAGAAGCTTTTATTGACTCTGAACAATACCCAAACTTAAATCACAAACCTCATTAACCTCGACAACTTTCTTAACAATCTTTTGAGAATTAGCAGAGCCAAACAAAATATTGAGTTGACCTCCCTCAAGATAAGATTCCAGTGATTTTGAAATCTTCGTTCCATCTTTAGGCGAAACCAAAGCAAAGAGTTGTCTGTTCTCATTAGTAGATCGACCAGCTTTCAGTAAATGAAGAGCAAAACTGGTAGCAACTTGATTAGTTGAATTTAAAGTTGGAGTAATTAGGAGAGTAGTCATTTTAGTAGTTAAAAGATAGTTAATGTTAAAATCTGAAAAAGTATTCAATTAAACATGCGAAAGATTAAAAATCAATCAAATTCTGTTGAAAAAGAAGGAAATACGCGCAAAATTAAAACAAATGATCTCGATCGGAGTTAAAAAATGGGTTAAGGTAAATGAAGAAAAAGTTGTTGAAGATGAATGTGTGCAAGACTCAAATGGTGTAAGACTCAAATGTACCTAATTTAAATGGGATGAATTGACATTAAACAGAATGCCAAAAATAAAATCGATAAAAACACGGCAGAGAGATCGGTAACGAAAATCAATAAACGACCCCTCTGCCCTCTCCAGGCTTTTCCCCACAAAACTTCCCCCCCTCCCAAATGAACTAAAAACCTCCAAAAACTGATTCCATCCATTGAAGCACATTCTGCTTTGTCCATACCATCCATACCACTGGTTGAGCTAAAACTTTCAAAAAATCGTGAAATCAAGAAAATTGAAAAAAACAAAGACAAAAGAGACAAGGACAAAAAAACAAGAAAATGAAGAAAGGGTGGGGTCATTCGCTCGCACATTTTTAGCATTGCAATTTTTCATTTAAAAAATTTGAAGATTTACCGGGCCAAGGGTTGATCAGGAAGAGCATGTAGACGAGGACGAGCATGTAGACGAGCCACCACCACCAGTGCATGGAGTAGAATGGACCTGGCTGAAAATCACCCCCTCCCATTATAAATTTTATTATTTTTTTTTAATTTTTAATAAAAAACCACACCCCGACCATATTCCACCATCACCACCAAGAGCATGAAGAGAGCCACCAACCGCCACCACAAGCATGAAGAGAGCCACCACCACCAAAAGCATGTTGAGAGCCACCAAACCACCACCACAAGCATGAAGAGAGCCACCAACCACCAAAAGCATGTTGAGAGCCACCAAACCACCACCAGAAGCAAAACTTTTTAAAAAAATTAAAAAAAAATTTTTTTTATTAAAAAAACAGGCCACCAGACCACCACCATGAAGGCCATCAGCATATTCTCCAAAGGCCACCACACGAAGAACAAACATAAAAATAAAAAAATTTCATTTTTAAATTAAAAAGTTCAAAATAAACTAGGAAAAAACCCACCGTTTGGATGAAGCCATCCAGTCAGGGCCACCACATACCACCATGTAGAGCACGGTCGAAGGCGCCTAACAAATTAAAAAAATTTCAAACTCAAATTAAAAAAACAAAAAAAAAACAAATTTAACCGGCCAGCCATCCAGAAGAAGCATGTGCAGACGTCGGGACTGGCCTTCAATTTGAAAAAATTTAGATTTTTTAAAAAATTTTTAAAAAATTTTTTAGCAATTTTTAAGCGCGCGCAGCATTGGGGTCAACGAATAAACGAATAAAAATTAAAAAACAGATGATATAAATGAAAAAATGAAAAAAAAATAACAAAAAAGCGTAATCTCCGGAGAATAACGAAAATCGATACAAATCCAGATTTCGGAAAAAAGTGACGCCAAAAACATTTGAACATAAAATTTGCGCAACAATACAAAATTAACTTTGTTAAATTTCATCTTGGTAAATGTTAAAGTGTCAACTATTGTTATTTTGTCGATTACTCAAAACAATTGAAAAATCAGATTTTTCATAGCCTAAAAAATTTAAAAATTTAGATTTCAACGTGTGAAAATGTTTTTTGGAAGGAAATATTCCAGCGAATGCTAGTGCTATACAGGAAAAACCTGAATTTTTATTTTAGACACAATCTCAGCTTGAATTTGATCAACTTATCACAATTAATGTTCTACTTTCATTTTATATTTTTCAATCTTCTTGCTTTCAACTCAGGTATTTTTCAAATTTATCTAAAGACGAGGTTATTTTCTTACTTTGATTTACCTATTTATTTAAGCTTTAATTTTAGTATTTTGCCTTAATATATATCTCGATACCTATGAACAACTCAGTTATAAACCTGTTCAATTTCGACGTAGCCGTGAATTAAACAGTCATTCTACTACGGATGTTAAATTCAGATCTCATACATACAACAGGTTTCTTTTATATACTATTTGTTAATTTCTGACCCACCCTTTCATTTTCTAGAACATTTCATTTAAAACTCCAACCATTAATTTTTAATAAAAATGTATTTGATGATAGCCATATCATTGATGTCGACGGTATTTATCATTCTAATGTGATCAGGCCTTCTGACTTCATTTATGAAGGATATCTTGATGGTATTTTTTACTTTAGTGATTTAATTTAGGCTAATTTTTATCACAATCTTAAAGGTGACCCAAATTCATTAGTTTATGGGACAATGCTAGATGGCATATTTGATGGTTATATAACAACCGGTGATGGAAAAACATTTACTGTCGAAAAAGCAAATAGATATTTTGACGTTGGTCAACGGCCAATTCATTTCCATTCAATTGTATACGCAGACGAGCACATTACTCATAATCGTTTTATAAAGAAGGACCCCAATAACGGTTTATTTTTGAAGATTTTTAAGCTTTAGCGTTTTACTTGGGTTATTTTGTGTAGATATGTGATTCCTTAACGTATCTAAAAATGTTTATTTCTCTAGGCGCTCATTACAGCTGTGCGCTGACAAAGAAACTACACCAAGATATGAGAAAATTTCAACAATCAGCAATTGTCGACGATGATTATATTCTCACCGAGAATAATTTGAATAATCTGACTATCCTTGATCTTGAGTTTGAACGAATGCATAATAGTTTTAATCAAAGGTTTCTTAGTTGATTTTGCATTTATTAAGTTTTTTTAGGTATTATACAGCTAATAGAACAAAGCGTTCAATAAAAACCGATTGGAAAGATGTTGGCGGTCGAAGGTTTTTAAATTATATTCGTATCCAGTTTATTCTTAATTTCAGAGTTTATGAGGCGCGTACATGTACTATATACCTCCAAGCTGATCACAAATTATATGAGCACATCTATAACAAGGAAGGAAATGGTGATCATATCAGGTTATATTTTTAGCTTTATTTGTAATGGTCCGTATTTTAGAACTCGTGAGGAGATTGTTGCTCTCCTTTACACTCATATCAAGGCGGTTAATCAAATTTACGAAAGTACCAATTTCAATGGAATTCATGGGATCAATTTTGCAATCAAGCGAACTACAATTTATACACCATCCACATGCAAGGGCGAAAGAGCAGCAACTACAGGAAATCCTTTTTGTGAGGAGAATGTTGACGTGTCAAACTACTTGAATATGAATTCACAAAAAGACCATAGCGCTTTTTGTCTGGCTTATTCCTTAACTTATCGTGATTTTATTGGTGGAACTTTGGGTTTAGCATGGGTCGCATCACCTTCTCAAAGTATTATTTTTTCTTAAAGGTTATACTCGAATTTCCTTTTAGGTACGGCTGGTGGAATCTGCCAAAAATACCAACGCTATAACGAGCACCAACGTGGCGGTGTTAGCCGTTCATTGAATACAGGGATCATAACATTAGTCAATTATGGTAATCGAGTTCCTCCTCGTGTTTCACAGTTAACACTAGCTCACGAGATTGGTCACAATTTTGGTTCACCTGTATGTTTAATATCGATTTTTTCAATTTTATTTCTTTTAGCATGATTTTCCATTAGAGTGTCAGCCTGGTCTTCCTGACGGAAATTTCATTATGTTTGCTTCAGCAACCTCTGGTTTCTCTTTTTTATCTACTATATTTAGGACTATATTCTATTTAGGTGACAAGCCTAATAACTCAAAATTTTCACAATGTTCAATTGCAAATATTAGTGAAGTGTTATTTGAGGTTCTTGGACAGGTTTAATTACATTTTAACTTGATTAATCATTCTTATAATTTAATTTCCAGAGTCCGAAAGCTTTCACACTTGGAAGAAAAAAGAATTGTTTTACGGATCGTAAGTTCAAAATTTTTCTTATCTTTTATGACTCTGATTTTTCCAAACAGAGTTGAAATCATTCTGTGGCAATCAAATCAAAGAAGATGACGAGCAATGTGATTGTGGTTTTACAGCTTTAGATTGTCAGGAGATGGGAGACCGATGTTGTACGCCGAGAGAGGGTGCTACTGAGTTAGTTTAAAATTTATTAATTAATATCTGTACTGATTTAAACATTTCATGTCTACAATGTGTCGCAGAAAGCCTGGCAAACTTTGCAGTCCTTCTGAAGGATTATGCTGTAATCCTGACAATTGCTCATTTTATGCTGGTGGTGATCGTCGTCCTTGTCGTGTAATTTACATATTTTTTATTTTCATACATTATTCCCACTTTTAGGAAGATTCGGAGTGTCAACATCGTCAATTTTGTGATGGTTCTAGAGCTAGTTGTCCACCTAGCAATCACAAGCCTAACGGAAAGCCATGTCAAGATAGCACAAAGGTATTTAGTTATGACTAGTTATATTTTCAAAATCTTAATTCAGGTTTGTCATCAAGGAAGCTGTAATGGTTCATTATGTGCGCATTATAATTTGCGAGATTGTTTCTTGACTGAAGGCAGGCCAGAAGACCTTTGTCAGCTTGCTTGTGAGAAGAATGGAGGTTATTTTTATTTATAAGTGAATTTGTTAATAATTATTTTAGTTTGTCTTCCTTCTGTGAGTCTTCCAGAGTTGGCGCTCGCGAATTTATCACAGGAGGGTCGAAGTGCCGGCTTCTTACTTCTTCCTCCAGGCTCGCCATGCAATAATTATTTGGTATGTATTTAAATTTTTATTAAGTTATTTTATTAATCTTATTTAAGGGTTATTGCGATATATTCCGAAAATGTCGTTCCGTCGATTCAAATGGGCCTTTAGCACGTTTGAAGAATTTACTTTTCAATCGTGAAGCTATAAAGGAGTTTACTCAACTTGTCAAGGTTTTTTTACTGTTAATATTTTTAATCTATCAACTAAAGGAAAACTGGTGGGGCTGCGTATTTGTAGGAATCGTTGTTCTCATGTTCATGGCATTATTTGTCAAATGTTGCGCAGGTTTCTTTAAGTAATGTTATTGATACTTTTTATCATATTTTAGTGCACACACCAAGTACAAATCCAAACAAGTTGCCCCCTGCGAATTTTTCGGACACTTTACGTCATCCTGGCACTCTATTGGTAACAATTATTTTGAAATTTTTCATATTTTATTTTTCTTTTAGCGCCGTGGTCACGGTGGAGTACCTAATAATCGACCTGCGGTGTCTCATAATCGGCCTGTCCCTCAACGCAATGAACGAGAGAGACCATCACGCTCAACAAACAATCACTCACGTTCAGCTCCAACGAATTCCAGAGGTGACCTTGTTCCTCGTTCCGTGGTTGCTGTTCCTGAAGTTGCGAATGTTACTTCTAGAAGTTCTGCTTTGGTTGCAGAAACTCCTTTGATTCAGTCAAATTCAGTAAGAAAAGATTTTCAGTGCTTTTAACGCAATAATACTTTTCTAGATTGCCGTACCTCCTGCAGATCCTCCACCTCCTTATGAATTGACTGATCCCACGCCTTCAATTAGTGCTCAAGTGCCAATTTCGACCAATCAAACTGCTTCACCTTCAAGCACACAACCTGTAAATTCGTTAGAAGGCTGCTCTATTATAAATCAATGCGAACCTTTGCCAATACGTTTGCCTACTGCACCTCCTCCAGTTTTAACTACAGGTTGTTCAGTCCTCCCTCTCATTCCAGGTCCTCCAATAAATAGTGATAGCCAATGTGGCCCTAGGCCCGGGCGTCGAAAACCTAAACCGTTACCGCAGCAGATTAAACAACGAAAGAAGGAATCAGTGCCACTATCCAACGATAAACGTTATAAAAGGCAAGCCAAATAAATTCAAGATTGTCTTTCATCTTTTCTTGATGAAATTTGAGGCTTATAACTTTTAAATCTTGTCAAGTTACTTAGGATAGAACTTTAAAAGTCTGGAATTTTTATTTTCAGATAGAAAAGTTGTAAGCTTTAAATTTTCATGCCACTTGCCTTTCCTGCCACTTTATTAATAAGCAATAATATTACAACAATTTCGAACAAAAAGACATTATTTAATGTTTGTTTTATTGTTGCCATCCTTGTTTTTATTTTTGTAAATTACAATTTACAATGCTCACTTAAACGATGAGTTTTTATAATTTATTGTTATAATCTCATTTAAACCAAAAACCATTCTTATGCCTAAAACGGATTATTAATTCCAGTTCTTTCTTACCTATACAATTTGTATATTTTTTTTTAATTTTCGCACATTCTTAATTTGTGAATCTGCAAAATGACCATTTTATAAAATATATTGCATTTATATCATGTACCTTAAGTATCTTTTTGTATAAATCTGTATATTATTTTGTGACTACAATTGAAGTTCTTTTGCTTCTAAATATTTTTAAAATTCATTAATTAATATTTTATCATTTTTTTTAGATTTTAGACATCAAAACTTTTAGAAACAACAAATAAATAATGGTTAATCCAAAAGGTTATCGTCGTGGAACTCGTTATATGTTTGCTCGACCTTTCCGTCGACATGGAATTGAGCCACTCTCTACATTCTATAGAGTTTATAAGCGTGGAGACATTGTTACTGTTAAGGGAAATGGAGCTTTTCAGAAGGGAATGCCTCATAAAGCATATCATGGAAAAACAGGTCGGGGATTTTTTAAATTTATCAAATTACTTTTATTTATATTTGTAGGCAAAGTTTTCAACGTGACTAAACATGCGCTCGGCGTTATTGTCAACAAACGTGTTAGGTATTCCTTTAATTTGTATGATTAATTATTTCTATAATTAAGGAATCGCATCATTCCAAAGCGTATTAATGTTCGTGTGGAGCATGTTAAGCCGTCTGGCTCGCGTTCCGAGTTTTTGAAACGATGCAAGGAGAATGACCAACAGAAGCGTGATTTTAAAGAAGGAAAGGCTAAATTTGTTCCGCTTAAACGTCAGTTTAAAAATTAATTTTAAAAATAAATAAATCAAAAATTTCTTAGGTAAACCGCAAGAGCCACGTAGTGCACATCTGGTAAAGGTGCGAAAAGCTTTGCAAATTGAAATGTTGGCTCCTGTCAGATTCGAAATTGTTGCTTAGAAAGATGAGGGCATGAATAATCACAAGATTTACGTTTATTTTGTGTTTTGTTGCCTATTTCCATTGTTATAAAATGACCGATAAAATTGTTACTTTAAATATTCTTTTCTATATTTTTTTCTTAGGGTTCTAGCCATTTTTAATTTTTTATCCAATTAAAATTCAGATCTTTGTCAGTATCAGACAGAAAATATTCACAAACTGCAAGTATGGGTTATGGCTTAAAACCCCTTCTTATCTCCGCCTCAATGGACAGCACGATTAGACTTTGGGATGTGGCAACGCAAATGCAATTGGAAGCATTACATTATAAGGTTAATGAGGATTAATTGTCGAGTCTGTATTAAATATAAGAGGTTTTTCTTTTGTTTAACAAGAAAATTTTCAAGGAATCTCAAGTGAATACGATGTGTATTACTCCGGATGGTGCGCAATTTTTAATTGGTGGTTGGCAGAATTTGCGTATATATGATCTCAACTGTCTTACAAATTCAGGATTGCATAATTCAGCGTAAGCGTTTTGTCTTTGCTATTAAATTATTTTTTTCATTCAAGGGTTCATGAGAAGAACTTTACATCTGTTGGATTTCAAAGTGATGGTGTTTGGTTGTATACTGGTGGTGAAGATTGCATGGCAAAGGTTTTGTATTTTCAGTGTTCTTTAAAAATTTATAAATCGCAGATTTGGGACATGCGTATCAATCAACTTAATTGTCAGCGTATATTCCAAGTTTGTATTCCGTTACTTTTATTCATTGATGTTAGGTAAATACACCAGTTCACTCAATTGCTCTTCATCCAAATCAAATTGAATTGTTAATTTCTGACGCAACTGGAGCTGTTTATATTTGGGATTTGCGATCTGATCGAGATGATACATTGTCTACTGAAGTTGATGTTTCCGAATATGTAATTTTTAAAAGTTTTTGTTTTTCTTTTTGCCTTTTTCTTTAGATAGTGCACATTGATATAGATAGACTCGGTCGGCAATGCGCAGCCGTAACGAATAGAGGAAATCTTTTCTTTTGGGAGATTAACCATAAAGGCGGCGGTTTGGCTAAAACAATTCCACATCTTGATGCCACTGCCGACAATGGATCAACGCAGAAGCTTCAAAGGCAAACGACTCCACAAGAATTAAAGGAAGATGAGTCGACAACGGTATTTTTTTAGTTTTCTAAAATTTTTCAATTTTTTTTCATTTTAGGAATTCTACTCAAGTTCAATGATTGACACAGGCCTTCCTCCTATTGCACCACCACCTCTATCTGAAATGGGTGGAGATGGTAGCGCTTTCTATGTGCCTGCTCCTCGACGAAAGCAAAGATATGGTGCAAAAGAAGTACCACCATCTGAACTAGGCGAAGAAAATGAAGAATTGAAGCAAATTGAACAAGGTTTTCATATTAAATGGTTTATTATAAATATTTTTTTTTAAATTTAAGAAATGTTGAAAAATCCATCTATGACTGTTACACCGCCACATCGTTCATCTCTACCAGTAGATTTAATAAGCAATGCTAAGTATCGAATGAAATTGCGTGCTCACAAATCATTTGCATTGAAGTGTAGATACCGGCCTGACAGGTTTTTTTAATTTGTTGAGGTTATATCTCTATTCTTATTAGCTTGGCAATAGCAACATGTTCAGCTGATCAGACAACTAAATTATGGAGTGTTAGTGATCATAATTTGGTATGATAATAATTTTTTTATTTGTTAGTAAAAGAAAGATACGGAATCCTGAAGACTTATTGACTCTGAAGACCTGCAAATGTTGAAAGTGAATATTGAGGGATTAAGGGTGATAAATACCCAGCTCTTAAGTTACAGTTTTGCATTTTAGAACCTATGGTGTGAGTGTGTATCTTAATGCGTGTGTAAGATCAATATCACCTTTAATCCCATCAGATCCGTGCTTCCTCCAAAATTTATCCAAATCCCTCGATATTCTTTTTCAAAAGTTGCTGTTCTTCAGGGTCAATAGGTCTTCAGGGGTTTTTAATTTTTTGAATAACTCAAAATTTTAGTTAAGCACATATGCAGCTCCAAATAGTAAATGGGTCTGGGATTGCGCTTTTACTAATGATTCAGCTGTAAGAAATTTTATTATTTTTAATCAATGATTGTTAAAATTTCTTTAGTACATGCTGACAGCTTCATCTGATGGAATCATTCGTATGTGGGAATTGGCGTCAAGTTCAGTTGTTCAAATGTATCAGGGTCATTCATTGGGTATTACTTGTATGGCTTTTAAAGATTTTAGTTGAAATTTTCTTTTTAATATATTTTTCATATTTTTAATAATTAATGTATAATACATATGTCAAAATAAAATATTTATTCAAAACTGATCTTATTTAGTTTAAGGTTTTTACTTAAGGTTTTCTGCGAGTCGTAAAGTATTCTCCTGAATTTAAGTGGTAATGTATTTCCCTGAATTTAAGTAGTATAGTATTTTCCTACATTTTTCCGTTTCATGCTTTTGAGGATTGTGTTTCGATTGTTTGTAAAGTTACTAAATTTTATTTTTGCATTCTCTCTTTTCAACCATTACTTACTATTTCTCTTGGTATAGAAAAAAAGGAAAGTGAGATAGTACACTTGTTTTAAGGAATTTCTTATTCATGCTTGGATTTTGCATATTTTCGTACGTTTTTGCAAATTTTCATGTTAGCTTTATTTACGTGAAGGAATTTTATTTAATCTTTCTTTTTTAGAAATTTTGAGCAATGTTTACTTGGAAGAAACCTCAAGATTTTCACTCTTCGCTTCAGCGGTTTGCAGATGTTGGTCGTGATGCTGGTTCAAGAGCAAAACATTTCAAGTTGATTTTTGAGAATCTTACAATTGAAGTAAGGTTTGATTTTATAGTGCAACAAACATTAGTTTTTGTTCATAATCTTTGTTATTTTGTCATTTTCAGGAAAAAAGGCAGTTGATCGAGAGTTTTGGATTTGAAATTTATCATTTGATTGATTCACTTATGCTTTGCCATTATGGACAACTAATTGAACAACAAACAATTGCTGATGTTACTGGTATTAATTTTATTTTTTAGTTTATTTTGTGCTGAATTTTGGTTCACAAATAAGATTAATGTTTAGATAGAAGTTGAAAGGAGGGGATAATTTTTATTGTTTAGGTTATATTCATCAGAAATTTTTGAAAAAATTTTCTTTTTTAAATTCCATTTTACCCCAATTAAAATTATGCAGCTGCAACTTATACGACCGCGTTAGACATACTTGAACAAGTTTTACTAAATGCTCCGGAGTTTGTTGGAATTGGTTTGTAAATTAGTTGGTGATTTTAAATTTTTTTAACTTTTCAAAAAAAATCTTCTGAAATTAGAAACTTAGAATTCAAAAAATTTTTAAGTAAATCATTACATTTAATTTAAATTAGGTTGGCAAAGAAATGGAATTGAGTTTATCTTGAAAATGGTTCTCCATCCTCGAAACGAAATTTCTGTTAGAAAATTGGCTATCAGACTTTTCATTATTTGGTTTTTTTTAATTTTTCTATTATTTTTAAATATAAAAACTTTTAAGGTATCAAACCTTAGCTGTTTATGGCCGAACAAATTATAATCTGGATGTTGTTTTTCAATGTGTTTTGCCTCACTTTCCTCTTAACAATGAATTAAGTACTGATCGAATTTTGACTGTATGTTATTTTAAGTTATATTTTCTAATTTAAATTTATTTGAAAGATGTTTTGTGAGGGTTTTGAACTTAACTCATCAAATTGTGAATATTCAAATACACTGTTTGAGCCCTACATTGCCAAATGTATTCCCATCATGATTTGTACATCAAGTGAAGTAGATCAACAACAGCAACTTTCGACTGACATCGCAACATCTACTCGTGAAAAGGCAAAAACACTTCAGGTTATATTAGCTAAGCATTTTTAAACAATTTATCATGTTTTATAGATTTATCTTGATAAATTTCTTGAATATATAATTCGTGAGACCATGCGAATTAATTGGTCTAATCCTCTACAACGCTTGGAATGTGCAAGATTTTTATTGGATCGTATAATTACTCTATATATTTATGAGTTATTCCCCGATGCGTCAACTGGAATTGATGTGAATAGCGGTTTGGAGACTACTTTTGCTGAAGATGTTAAAGATGACAAACCGCTTCTTGAGACTGCAGAACCTGAAACCATTGCTAAGTTTGTTTGAATCTTGTATTTTTAAAGCTATCAATATTTTAAAGATATTGGCTCATCCGATTTTTTGTTCGTATTGCTGAACCATTTGATTCGACTCTGCCTTCTTGTACTTCTTCCTCCAATAACTTGCAATTAACTTCTGAACGTAGCAATAGTAATAATATATCTTCCTCTGGACTTCCACTCTTTAAACAAGTATCATTTATTTTCAAATATTTCTAGATTGCTTTTTAGGCTCTTTTTTCCTCACAAAAAGCTATAAATGTTTTGCTTACAATGATGCGTGAATCAATGAGGTTGGTGAATTTATCGTTATAAAATACATATACACCAATGATTTTCATATTTTAGGCTTCCACTTTCCTGTGTTAATGTTATACAAAAAGTTCTTGCCTTAATCCGTATTTGGCTATCACAACCAGAATTACCCAATTTTCTGGATTCAAAGCGTGTATCCACAGACGACTGGACACAATTATTACTTCGAATGCTATTTTCTTTTTTCCGTTCGCCATATCTTCTCGTCATCAATGATCGTCTGCCATCTGCTATTTCTATTGCTCATAATATACTTAAAATTGTGAGAGATTTGGCAAATCCTTCAGGCATGCAAATTGTGCATGTTTCCAAGTCTGTATGGCAGGTTTGTTCATTTAATTTCAAAATATGCGTAATCTTTATTCATTAGGAACTACTTAAAAGATTAATTTCTGTTGTGGATTTGTGTGTTACAAGATCAGATGCATTTGGACAAGCAACAGCCGCAGGTTTCACACGTACTTTGCTAGGCACTTTGGTCTTTGTTCAAGTGCTACGTGAAATCAGTATTGATAACCATTTATGGGATTGTGTGCTTGTTGTATTTCAAAGTGCTTCTTGGAAAATTCAGATTATTGAACAATGGTCAAGGATTACTATTAATATCACCAAAGCATTGATTTTAAATTTGTAATGATATAAAGTTTAAATTTTAACTATAATTTTTTGCCATGTCAGATTTGCGATACATGTATGTTCTTTTGATGCTGGTGTTCCACAAAAGGTCAACGATTCTATTGATGAGATTCCTAACTTTTCTGAAAATACGGTTAATTTTAATGTAAATTGTTTTATAATTTATTTTAATGATTTACAGAGTTGTAATAACTTAAAAACAACAAGCGATAGTAGTAGCACTGACACTTGTCCTTGTGAGGTGAGTTGCCCTTTTTTTAAAAACTATGATTATGTAAATATTTTCAAAACAATTCACGTTAGTCTAGTCTACTGATTTGAATTAAATATTATAATCTCTTACGTACGAACAGATTAGTCGACTTGTTTTTAACTGACTAAATATTGATTTAACCATTTTGCTCTAAATAAAGAAAAAAACTCATTTTAAAATTAGGCTGCACTTACTCAAAACAACAGCGGATTGGCAATTGTTTGGATTAGAACATGGATGAGGATTATTTGTTTGGTGGATACTTCAAATTCTGAATGGAATCGCTCCCAACAGGTGATTTAATTTTCTGTCATTTATTGAAAATATTTCTTTTTATGTAGTTAGCTGTGCAAACGATTGCCACATATGGCCGAGCTGTGGATATGCTTATTCAAGTAGGGGAGGGAGCCCAATCAAATAATGAAGCCAATCCTCTCATCCATTGGTTGGCAATACAAGTCTTGCGTTGCGCTTTAGACGTGGCGCCGCACGCACTTCCTATCATGTTTACCATTTTGGTAAGTGCACAGCCATTGCCGCCACTTGTGAGAGTTTTTATTCTTCATCGCATAACTGAATGTTTACGTACTGAAGTTGCACCATTAGCGCTTGAACATATTCCTTCAATAAACAGTCTAGAAGGTTTTTATCAGAAAAATTTGAAATTTATCAAGTTTTATATTTTAAGATATGGCCATTATCTCTGCTGAAACAATTTCAACGTTACAAAGGCTTATCAAAAATCAAGAATTTTCGGCAAGAGCGGTAATTTTCGAGTATAATCATTTTTAATTTGTAAATTCAATAATTTAGATTCGTGTTGCCGCATTGCTATCTTTAAATCATCCAGATGCTGAAAAGGTTTTTTTTAACATTATTTTTCAAATTTTTATTCTAGATTATAATTTCCCTTCTTGAAACACGTCGTCAATCACAACAACAACAGCAACTTGACCAATTCTCCTTGACGCTTTGTGTGAATGCACTTTCCCTTTTAATTCTAGAAAGAGCTGATGTAGTATTGTTTGATAGATTGTTACATCTTCTGATTGATCATCAATATGCTGCACGAGTTTTACCTTTATTTTGTGGTATTTTTACAAGATTACAATAAATTAATTAAAAATATTTAGCGAATATTGCCTCAGTTATGCGAGTTGGCTTTCATTCCCAACTTATTGATGCCGTTCAATTGTCTTTGTCTAAGGCTAAAAATCTGAACATGTTAAACGATTTGAAATGGCAACTTTGTTCAATTTGTGCTAAAGAAAGCATTGCTTTACAATGGAAAGAAACTTTGGCAGAACGATTTGAAACTGATAAGGATAATTTTTTCGAGGGATTTGTAATTCGACTCTCGGTTAGTAACATTTAAAACGTTAAAATTTTTCCTTTCAGGGTCAATTTCCTCTACCAGGCTTTCAAATTACTCAATGGAATTCCATCCAAGAAACAGCAACTGAAAAAGAAGAGAGTGATGAGTGCAATATTTACATGGAAACAAATTCATCCATCCTTAGGTTTTTTTCTTTACAAAATTTTTTAAAGAAAATATTCAGTTTGGGAAGAGAAGATCCTCAAATGCTTTGGTGTAGAACACCTCTTGGTCGGTATGCTTATCAAATGGAGATGATTGAAGATGAGGAAGAGCCGAATCTTTCAGCTGATAATTGGCTAAACTCAATTTCGGATGAAATGAATCCTTTGTTCCAATCAACACAGAGTGCTCGGCAGAAATCTTCTCTAGTTGATGAAATTTTTGATCCATTCCAGGTTTAATTCTTTGAACACCGATCGAGAGAGTCATTTTATCAATTAAGGAGTTGCCATTTCCTATCCCTCGCCACTCAACACAAATGCCCATAAATTTGTCATCTACTTTTGCTCACAAAGCAGATTTGATTCCACTAGATATTTCTGTGCCTGAAATCCTGCAATTTATACAATCAAGTACTCGATTTCCTGAGGAAGTCACAGCATTTAATGGATGTGATCATGTAAAATCTGAAGCATCAAAGTCAGAAATACTTGACCAACTTGAAAATGATGATAACATCATTGATCCAAGTACTGGGGATGGAAGGTTTACATTTTTTATTCTATATTTCACTAAATTTTTTATAAAGTAAATACAACTGCTGGCGAAAATTTAATGCAACTTTTGGATTTTTTGATTCTGCTAAAGATTCTCCGTCAAACTTTTACCGAGAGATTCGACATTTAGATTCTACCGTTTGTCGAGAAGTGCACAAAGTTGCTGTAATTTTTGTTGGTGGAGGAAATGACTTACAAGTAAATATCTTTTTTAAAAAATGCTTATACAGATTTTCAGGATAAACAATCAATCTTATCAAACAATACAGGATCAGAAACTTTTAACAAATTTTATGATGGATTAGGTTTTTTTTATTTTATATTTTTCATTTAGTAATTTAAAATTTAAGGTTGGCCTGTTTATATTGGTTCATCTGAATTTTCTGGATATAGTGGAGGCCTTCCTAATGGGTATTAATATGATTTTTCCTTACACAAATTCGTAACTAAATATTTCCAAGACAAACAGCAATTTATTATGCGACTGCAAACACAGAGCTTATTTTTCACGTTTCAACACTTCTGACTGGTGACGCTACTCAACGCTTAAAACACTTGGGAAATGATGAGGTTTTTTTGAATTTGATACATAAATTCTTATACGAATAATCAGGTACATGTTGTTTGGTCAGAAAATACAAAACCTTATAGACGAGATATGATTGCTACTAGATTCTGTGATGTGCTAATTGTATTATATTTATCGAGTCCAGTTCTTTTGCGTGTTCACATTGAAGTTCAAGATCCACGCTTACAATTTGGTCCACTTTTTGATGGTATTTATTTTTTTAGTCGAATTATTGAATTAATTATAGGTGCATGTGTTCACATATCCCAAGCAAGGTTAATCTTTTTCTGTAAAATTCCTTCAGACATCTTTCATATTTTTTAGTACTCTAGTTCGTGAAACTGTGCTAAATGCATCCCGTGCTTATCGAAATCTTCGCGTGGAATGTGATCGCCCTAATAAATATCGTGAGAGGGTTTTTCGTGATACAAAAAAGATGCTTAAACCTTTGCCATTGTCAAACTCAATCACAAGACTATTTCATGCGTCAATTGAATGAGTTGTATTTTTTGCTAACTATTTTCCCAACAATCCCAGAATTCTATTTATTCTAGCTAAACTTTTAATTTTTTTATTTATATATTTTTATATTAATTTAAGCCTTTTTCGTGCCTTATTAAAAAGCTAAACTATGATAATATATCCTCCATTTATTCAGCATAAATATTTAAAGAAAATATTTTGATTTTTTTCTAATAGCTTAGATTTTTTGCTTACTTTTTTTAATCTATTAATTCATTTAATTTAATGCAATAACGTTGGGACTTTTTTCTAATAGCTTAATAAATAGCTAAAAAAAGCGATGAACATTCTACGTCATAATAGCGGATCATTGAGTCACGCCGGTGAGCTTTCAATTGATATACTAATTATCTAAATCGATTAAGAATTTAAAGAGTTATGGCTCAAAATGTGGCTCCGGGACTCAACCGGCGGGACTCGATGATCCTGTTCCCTTAAAAACCCTAAATTTTTACTTTAGACAGAATTTCAGCTTGAATAGTAATCACGAATCTCTTCCCTTCATCCTAGTCATATATTTTTTTTCAACATACATCTTGTAGAAACGATGGATTTGAGCAAGGGATACTTATGGGATAAATTGTGGCTGCCTTTTCTTATTGTATGCTTTTTTAGAATTTAATATTTAACATATTTTTTACTTTTTAGGCTCTGTCGTCATTTTTCTTCTTTCGGCTTCTTCAGTTTATTGTGAGATGGTATCTCTTCGGCAAATGGACTTTCCGGACATTCAGCTACTTTAAAATTCGTACATTTCGTCGAAATCGGAACAAGAATATGGACAGCAAATCTCTTCAGGTTTTGATAAAATTATAATTTTAATTTAAAAACATTAAATGTTTTGGTAATCTTGTAGTTCACTGGTTCTTAGAAAAAGGGATGCTTTTCGATTACTTTACAACCTGTTAATGGGTTGTCATGTGTCCTAAGTCCTTATACAAGTTCAAATTCGTTCTATTTCGAATCCCAGACCCGAGTTCGGGTTGGTTCGACTTCAGATTCTCAGATTATCTACTGACAAACCACACAAACATTGAAAAGCACTCCTCGTTCATTCCTCCTTTGGACTATTAAACAGAAGATTACTAATGTTTTTAAGTCAAGTAATGTTCCGAAAATAATATCATGCTTTTTTTAGCTTGTTCCTCCTAACAAGAAATGGCGTATTTCGAACGAGATTGTTTCACTGTTTCATTCAGTCCTGTCTGGCCTGTGGGCTTTGTATATTTTGGTTAATATTGAAGAGTACATTCATAATGAGAAGAGTACTTTGATAACTGTGCGAACTAAGAGTGCTGAATATCTGGTAAAAATTTTTCACCTCAAAAGTTTATCCGAAAACATTTATTTTAAGGTTTTAATGTCGTTTGGTTACCTCGTTCACGATTTTATTGATCTTGTTGTGAATGAGCGATCAGCTCGTATAATCGAACTTCTATTTCATCATGTGGTTGTACTTACAGGATTTACGGTTACTCATATTACTGGACAATTTCTTTATATTGTCGTTATTGGTTTGCTCATGGAAGTTAACAGGTTATTTTTAAAAAGGTTGTAAAAGTTATAAAATTTTATTTTCAGTATTTTTTTACACACTCGCTCATTGATGAATCTCTACCGACAGAAAAAGAATTCGACTGCATTTAAAATTGGTAATCTTTTTATATTCTTACTAAATTATGAGTCATTCCTATATTCAGTTGCCATGCTCAACATTTCTACTTTTGTCCTCTTTCGTCTTGCCGTGAGTGCAGCATTAATAGGTATACAACTTGTATTTCCAGGAAAAACTCAATTACCTTAACATTAATTTCTTGCAGGTTGGCTTTTCTACCATTATGTAAGTGGCTTGGTTCAATGGCATCTGCAAGTGATAAACAGTATTTTGGTCTTCTCACTTACCACAACAAACTGTGTTCTATTTTATCGTGTTCTTGCCGCAGATGGGCTTCTTGGTGCGAATCGGGCGCGTGCTGCAGACCTTAAGGATAAACGACATGAAACAGCAGCTCAAAACGCTGACCCCGGACATGGCACAACGACTCAACAGAAGGTTTTTTAACATATTAATGCTCACAATTTAAGAAATTTTAGGATGATAAGGCTGATGAAACTGATCCTAGCTCGAACGATGAAGACGAGGAAGGTACATCCGACGAGAGTGATAATAAAAAATTTGGAGGAAACAATCAACCTCGTCCGAATTATATTGAGGTGCCAACACATCCTGCGAGTTCACAGGAGGTCTTTATTGTAAATGTGGAAAATTAAATTGATAATTGCAATGTATTCACACACAAACATTATTGTAAAAATGTAACTTATATAAGAAGACACAGGGGTAGAGCCAGGTTTTTTCATTTTCCGAACTGAAATTTGTTCCTTATAAAAATTCAGTACCATATTTCACTAACTAAAAAACGATTCTGATAAGATGACACGGTTGGTTAACATCTTTGATCCATTGTTTCTTTTTCCGATCAAACCTTCAACCTGACTACGCTTGCCTAACCTTTCCTATTGTAAACATTTATCGTGCCTTACAAATTATGGAGTGTTTTTTACATAATTTCTCTTCTTTTTTTACTTTATTTTTCTTCAAGTAAGACATAAAACAAAAAAAGACACTAACCAGATTGGGACCAATTGTTTTTCATATCAATGATCCACATCTTACAAAATCCCTAATCAACACCCAGCAACTAATTTCGACACATATTTGTTTGCTTTTAGAAAACTAATTTTTTAAACGACTTAAAATTACATAGCTTAAAAATGATACAAAGAAATTTCTTTTCAGTATGTCAGACACTTTCTGGTTCAGCATCCACCACTTTGAACCTAAATAAAGAATTTCAGTTCAAGCTTTTTCCACTCCCAAATCGCCTATTTTTTAAAAAGAAATTAACGTTACCATTGTTCGCATTCGCATCGTCTAGCTTTTCCATCGTTTTTTAAAATCCAATAATTCACATGTTTGCTGTCTTTCTCACCTAAAAATGAGACGATAGAATATCCATTAAACACCTAAGAAAAGCTTCTTCTGAGATCCCTATAATCAGTAAAAATTCAAAACATACAAATGCATCCGACGACTTTGTTTTCACCAGCTTGTGCATAAACCTTAATTATCAAAACTATATATTTACTTGTTATTTCAAACCATATTTGGCTCTTCACGTGTTGAAACCAGCAGGCGAAAGTAGATTCTTGAATGGTACCTCTAAGAAGGTGGCAATTAAAATTGACTAGAAATTTGTGATGTTCGGATTCCCTAACAATAAGTAAATAATTTTCTCCTTTTTTATCCCCTAACGAAAGAATAAAGGATTTTAGTTCGAGGCATGATCGTCTTAAAATTTCTGCGTTTATTACACTTGAAAATCTTACGAACATCATACAAGGAATTTTTTAATCACTAACGTCGATGCCTTGAGACTTCTCCAGTACCCCACGTATCGCACTCGTGTCGGCTCCCACTCCCATAAATGCATAGTCATGAGCATCTAGAAGACGCAAAGAAAATAATTTTTAAAGTAAAAATTTTAAGAAACCGAGTTCTGTTGAGTATAGTCGTCTAATGCATTGTTGTGTAGCTAAACGACTAGGTCCGAAAACTTGAAAACTTCGATAGACAAACATCATAGTAGACAAATAAATGAAATATTCTGTTAGAAATTGAACATAATATTTAAAAAACGATAATGATATGTGTAAAGACATGAATAACATGTATATTAGTGAATCTCGATTTGACTGAAAAATGGCATGTCCCCTTAATCCCTCGATATTCTTTCAGAAGTTGTAGGTCCTTCCGGGTCAATAGATCTTCGGAGTAAGGTCTCAATGGTTGAACATATTAAATATTCGAATCCGGGACTCGAAATAGGTTGTCCCCTTTGAAGAAAAGTACATTCAGTTAAACCTAAGACTCACCAATATTATATCTTAAAAAAAGTCATTTAGGTAGCACTTTATTTTTTACAACTGCATATACTTAAAACAATAATGAACATAAACTTTAACCAAAGAAATTCTTAATCCTATTAAAACCTGCTTTATCGAATAATTCTTAAACGGTTTCGGGCTCAGCGTCAACAGCCTTGAACCTAAAAGAAAAATTTTAAAAATAATATTTATTAAGAACTAAAAATACCAATGTCCACACTCACAACGATGAGGCTTTCCATCTTTCCGAATAATCCATTCCATAAGATATGAAGCATCAGGTTCACCTAAACATATAAAACTGCTAAAATACTTAAGATTTTAACAAGGGTTTAGCATAGGGGCATAAAGTTAATGATCTTCTAGCCTACTTGTCCTTAGACACACTCGTTCAAACTTAAAAAATATCGAAGAACACTTCCTAATTATTTTGTACATGTACCAGTGAACTAAAAACCGAATAACTTCATTTATCCATCTCTTTTCTAAAAATTTATAGTCTTTTAAAATCGAAACGGAATTTTACGACAACAGACGTTTTTACAAATGACTTATTGTTAGATCCTATATGTATATCCTTAGAAATTCAAAAAAGAATAAATAAAAAAACAAACATTTGCAAACCATGTGCTTCTCGTTCAAGTGACAAGGAACCAAATTAGGATAGTCGCGAGTGCTGTTCTCCGCTCGATAGAATAGTTTTGGCTCGTAGCGCTTAAAGTCTTGTATAATACAAAAACTACAAAATTTACTCACATCATCGCCCATAAGGCGAGCAATTATCATCTTCTTTTCTTGACCATATGCCTGCTCAATAGAATCTGGCACATCACCTAAAAAATTTTTTTAAGCTGAAAAAAAATCAGGAATGCTAGAAAAACCACTAATCTTAGTTCTTATGTAGTTTCCCTCCCCAACAAATTTTTTCCTTGATGTAAAAAATGGGCATGATTTCTTCCTTGCAGAATTCCACAAAATTACCTGCAGCATCGTGTGAATTTTGCTAGGAAGAAATGACTGGCAATCTAGTACTCCAAGCAAAAAATTGGGTGAGGGAGGGAAATGACATAAGTAAATCGAAAGAAGGTCAACAGATAAAATTATACCATATTCATTCGGATCAGCGGCAGGCAGAAGATTTGCTCCTCCAGCTGGCTCAAACTTAATTGAAGACAAGCATCTATGCGCGAGAATTAAGCGACCATCCAATTTTGGCATATTGAACGCGACTACTTGTAAACGTTTTAGCATTTGAGACATTTTATACCAAATAAATAATGAAATGATAATTAATCTCTAAATATTATAACAAAAGTAAAACTAAAAATGTTTCGAATTAAAAAATAATAATTGTGAATTGAAAAATTGTTGGCAAAAATTATGTAAAACAAAAGGGCGTGATAATTGGGCAACAAACAAAAGGTCGCCAAGAGCAAACACGGACAAAAGTTCGCCAAAACCAAACACAGGCAAAAGGTCGCCCCAAGATCAAGCACGGACAAAAGGTCGCCAAGACCAAGTACGGACAAAAGGAAGCCAAGAGCAAGCACGGACAAAAGGTCGCCAACACCAAGCAAAGGACAAAACGTCGACAAGACTAATCAACGGGCAAAAGGTCGTCAACGCAAAGTGTGGACAAAAGGTCACCACTTGAATAAAGAGTAATGTAATTTAGCAGTAAAACGGGAAATGATAAAAATCAAACAATTTTTAAATTCTCAAAACGGCAAACTCAAAACCATTACTGTTAAAAATTCCAAATCTAAAACACATATTTTTAAAATATAAAGCATGAGAAAATCCCCTCACACCAACATAGTATATATCGACCTCAACTATAGATGTATGTATGAGACATGTACGGCCGGCACATGCATGCATTGGCAATTAAAGCCTCTTTTTTATCCGTCCCTTTTCGTGCTTTCTATCTTTTGTATTCATTCAGCTTCTTTCCATTTGTCATTTTCTCGTCGAAATGCCATTCTCCTGCTCACAGCTGCCTGCTTTTTTTGGCCACTTTATTCCAGTTGTCATTCTCTCTTGCTTTTTTTCACAACAAAATATATCACTCATTCACTACCCCTTGGCACATTAATATCTTTTTTGATTTCCAGAGTATGTAACTCGAAGATATTAGGTTTTTACACCCGACTAGATATGAAAACGATAGGCACAGATACGTAAAATTGTCTTAATCCAGAAGCTATGATAGCACGTCCCGAAAATGGAAGTATTGATGTAGTTGATAGTTTTGGGAGCAATGTAAAAAGGTGTGCATCAACTGACAGCAACGGATTTCCAGTAAAGGATGTTGATGCAATAAAATTATTTGTTGGACAGGTATTAGCGATAAAATAAATCATATTAGAGGGGAGCTGAGGATATTTTTCCAGATCCCTCGCAATTTGGAGGAAAAGGATTTGAGACACATTTTTGAGTCGTTTGGCAAAATATTTGAATTTACTATTCTTAAAGACAAATATACTGGAATGCATAAGGTAGTGTTCTTGAATAAAAATGCAAAAATATCCTGTTTAGGGTTGCGCTTTCCTAACGTTTTGCCACCGTGAAAGTGCTCTAAAATGTCAAGCAGCACTTCATGACCAGAAGGCATTACCAGGAGTATGTTTACAAAATATTAAATCTCATTTCTATGTATATAGATGAATCGACCTATGCAGATTAAACCTGCAGATACTGAAAGTCGTAGTGGTTCGCCTAAACAGAGCACTGAAGACAGGAAGTTGTTTGTGGGGATGCTTTCTAAGCAGTACAATGAGGATCAAGTAATAAACCGGGTACTTTATGGATATGTCACCCCCCCTCCCAATTTGAGTCTCAGGGTTTTCCTTAAACGTAGAAAATGGTCAGAGATTATTTTCTTCTCCATGTCAATCATTTTTTTCTTCTTCAAGTATTTTGCTTATTTATTTTGCCTGTTTACATATTTTGTACTTACATTCCACTCATTTCGTTTCTACATTTACTAAATTTCACTTATTTTGCTTGAAGAAAGTAAAATGATTGACATGGAGAAGAAAATAATCTCTGACCATTTTCTGCGTTTAAGGAAAACTCTGAGACTCAAAATAGGAGGGGGGGGTGACATATCCATAAAGTACCATAAACCGTTTAATCCTTTCTTCAACAAAATGACAAAAATGTTAGCACATAATTTTGACAGGTACGGGCTATGTTTGCTCCATATGGACGTATCGAAGAAGTAACGGTATTACGAGGGGCCGACAATGTCTCAAAGGTGAGCGTTTTTAGCTTGAAAGGTCAGCAAGCAGTGCAATATAGGGATGCGCCTTTGTGAAGTTTTCACAAGCTGCTGAAGCCGAGCGTGCTATTTTTGCTCTTCATGGGTGCCAAACAATGGGCGCGTCTAACAGCCTGGTTGTTAAATTGGCAGATACGGAACGAGAACGACAAGTCCGTCGAATGCAGCAAATGTACGTATATTTTAGCAAATGTATGTTTAATTTAGCAAATGTATGTTTAATTACCCAAGTTTAAGAAATATTTAAAATGGCACAATCTAAAGAAATTAAAGAAATTCTTGCTAAACTTCAAACTATTCAACAACAAATTAATAAATTAGACGACAAGGTTGAAACATTAAATACAGCAGATATTATTGAAAAATTGGAAAATATATCAACGACTATAGAAACAACAGCAATCAAAGCTGTTGAGGATAAAGAAAGACAACGTAGTCTTGTCCTTATAGGATTAAAAGAATCAACAGCAGTTCGGCCAACAGAGCGTGCGAAAGCTGACGAGGAGGAGGTTTTACGCGTTCTGGACGCGCTGGACGTCCAGACATTGCCATTGGCAGTGTATAGAATGGGAAATCCAGCCAAAGCAGGTCCAAATGGTCGTTTAATTAAAGTGATACTTCCCAGTACATCTTTTCAGCGAATTTGTTTGGCTCAGTGGAAAAAGAAACGTCTTGAGATTCGATCCATGGAAAAATGGACCAAATTACTAATAAGACCTTCACTAACTGCTGAACAACTACGCTTAGACAAGGAAGAGAGAGACAAACGCAGAATCGATTGGCAAGAAAGAAATAAGAATAATACTGCTGGAGACAACGTTACAAGACGTACAAAAAACTATTAGGTAATTTTGAGATCAAATTATACTATTTTAATTCAAGAAGTGTTACAAACAAAATTGACACTCTTAAATTCCTAATGCAAAAAAATTCCTTTGAAATAATATTGATAACTGAGAGCTGGCTAAATCATAAAACTTTAGACTCATCCATAATAGAAAACTCAAAATATTCATTAATACGTAACGATAGAATTAATTCTAAAAAAGGCGGCGGGGTTTTAGCAGTTATTTCAAATTCTATTCCCTTTAATGAAATTAAAACCTGCAAAAATTCTCACTATGAAATACTATGTTTTGACATATATTCACCTTTTACTTCCCAGAAACATAGATTTATATTAGTTTATCTCCCACCACCTGTAAACAAAATACAACAAAATTGCCTTGTTGAAAAATTACAACAATTAACCAGTATTGATTATACATACTCTATCATTGGTGATTTCAATATTCCTTATATACCCTGGGGTAGCGAAAATTTAATAGAAATTAAAAATGATAATATTTTACTAGAATTTATAAAATACTCTCAACTAGAACAAATTATAAAATTTCCTACACGCCAAAACAATTTTTTAGATTTAATATTTACTAATTCACTTTCCTCCTATAAATCCATAAATATGACTGAACCAATACAATCAAACATATACCAGTCCGATCATAATGGAATAGAAGTCATTTTCAATTTCATAAAAACCAAAAATCTTAATCAAAATTATAAAGATTATATAAACTGTAACTATAATATCATAAACAACTATCTAAATTCAATAAACTGGAATTTATGTTTTGCAAATTGCATAGACATAAATCACCTGTATTCCACCTTCCAAAAAATAATTTCTGAAACTATAGAAAATTTGATACCAACAAAATCTAGAAACAGTAAAAATTTATTACCAAAACACATACAATCATTAATTGAATACCGTCGTAAACTATTTAAGGATAAAAGTTTACACTCAACAGAAAAATTTAAAATTGCATCATTAAAAATAGATAAAGAAATACAGAAATACTTTAGAAATCGTGAAAATAAACGATTAAAAAATATTCGAACTAAATATACTCATATTACAAACCTTTTAAAGACAAAAAATACACAAATTCCAATACTCTTGGACAATAATAAACTTCCTCTAATATCAGCTAAATCTAAAGCTAATCTCTTTTCAAACTATTTTTCACAAATTCTCTCTCCATCCAATCAAAAATCTCTAATCCACAAACCTTCTCTCACTCCAAAATCTTCTTCAAATAAAAATAACCTCATTAACACACACACAAACAAACCATATTTAAACTTTATACAATCATTTCAAGAAGATATATTCTTTATATTAAAATCGTTAACAAATAAATCAAATATATCGACAGATATGATTCCTGAGATATTTTTAAAAAATTGCTCACAATCACTTGCTTACCCTATCTACTACATATTTAACTATATTACAATGAGCGCAAACTTACCCGATATCTGGAAACAGTCCATAATTATACCCATTCCGAAAAATAAAAATTCATCCTGTCCTTCAGACTACCGGCCAATATCTCTATTATGTCCAATCTCAAAAGTCTTCGAAAGATTATTATACAATCAATTAATTAATTTTATAGAAAAATATGAAATTATCCCTAACGTCCAACATGGATTTCGAAAAGGGAAATCAGTAACCACACAACTTTTAGAAACATTCAACGACTTTTCGATTGCTTTGGAAAATAAACAATTTATTGATGTCATATATTTTGATTTTAGTAAAGCCTTCGACACAGTTCCACATGATAAACTTATAAATAAATTACACAAAATTGGAATAAGGGGATCTTTTTTACAATTGCTAAAAAATTACCTCACTAATAGAAAATTTACTGTGATGATCCAAGATTATAAAACTGATTTAATGGATATAAATAGAGGCGTCCCACAGGGGTCAATACTAGGGCCATTATTTTTCCTTATATACATATCAGATCTACCCAGTTTCTGTGAAACAAAGGACGTAAAGATAAAATTGTTTGCAGACGATCTTAAAGCATACTCATTCTCTAAAAACACTAAAGACTTTGAAATTAACCTACAAGAGTTTATCAAAAAACTAGAAAAATATGCTGAGGAAAATTCACTCAAACTTTCAGCCGAAAAAACATCTCTTTTACACATAGGGCCTAAAAACCCTTTGCACACATACACACTCAATAATCAAAAGATAAAAACAGTCTCAAATCAAGATTCTATAAGAGACCTTGGCGTTTATTTTTCACACGATTTAAAATGGGAAAAGCACATCAAAATTATAACTAACAAAGCAAATCAAACAGCATTTACAATAATAAGAAATCTAAAAACTAATGATCCTAAAATATTACTCGAACTATATAAAATATACGTATTACCCATAATAGAATTTGCATCGCCCGTTTTCAATCCATATCTTAAAAAGGATATCGAACACCTTGAACAAATACAAAAAACTTATTTACGTATTATATACAATAGGTCAAATCCACGCACACCAATTCCAGAATATCAAGACCTTCTACAAATTTTTAAGGTAGACTCGCTACAAATTAGAAGACTCAAAACTGACTTTAAATTTTTCCACAAAATTTTACATGGTGAAGTAAAAATCGATCAAAAAGAAACATTTAAAATTACAAAAACTAATACAAGGGGAGACGAATATAAATTTTTTATTCCGGCAAGATCAAATCAAATCAGCCATAATTCCTTTTTTGTTAGGACAGCGCGGCTATACTCTCAGTTACCAATATCAATACGTAAATCAAATTCCAAAATATTCAAAACACTTCTTGATCAAATAGATCTCAACACATATTTATCACGCCCCACACCCGTAACATAATACAATCACATATATTTGTTGTACCAATTATTGACATATATTTGTTTTAGTTTAATTTTCAACTTGACTTAATTTATTTTTTCAATCCATATATGTATTTTCAAATTTGTAATGTCGCCCAAGAGGCAAATAAATAAATAAATAAATGGCTGCACAATTGGGACTTCTTAATCCGTTGGCAGGCAATGGTGCGCAGTTAGCAACTGCTCAACAGACCCAACAGTTAATGGCAGCAAGTAGTCAAGCAGCAGCCGTGGCAGGTATTCCAGGCTATCCCGGCACTTTCACGCCTAATGGAGTTGCAAACTCGTTGGGTACTTCCAATGTACTTGGGCAACTCGGAGTAAGCTCCATATGTTTTCGACATTACACTGTACAATTTTCAGCTTATCCAAGCTCAAGCTGCACAGGCTCAATTAATTGCTGCTGCTTCAATGGCACATCAACAGTTAATCAATCCAGCAGCAGCTATGGTAGCCGCAGCTTTAGGGCCTGGAGTTTTTATGCCCTCCCTTCAACAAGTTAGTCGACTAGTTAGTCTTTAGATCTCCCTTAATTCCAAGGATCTCTTCGGCATCATTCCTAATTCACAACAAGGATCATCAACTGGCATAGGATTATTGGGTGCTGTAGGAGGTAGTTCAGCAATACAAGCAGCAAGAAGTGGTGCAACCACTGGATCCTTGCATTTATTGAGGCAATCTAAACAGCTTTCAGCAACAGCAACATCATCTTCCTCTGGGACAGGACAGTGCGGCTCCATATCAGAAGGGGCAAACGTTGCGGGTTTAATACCTGGCAGTTACCCATCTCAGCAGCCAGCAGCATTTCTACAACAACCGAATACTTGTGGGCAACAAATGCTGTTTGGAATTGATCAACCATTAAACTGTAAAAAATTTTCGAACGTATTTTTAAATTAAACCATTTAATGGTCAGCGGGTCTCTATGGGCAAATGCTGCAGCAAGCCTTGATTGCTCAACAACAAGCACTAACTGCAGCAGGCCTGACCACTAATCAGCATCATTCAAAGGAAGGTAAATAAAATTATAAATAAAATTACCTATGTAATCCTCCAATTATTTATTCTCATAACAGAATATTCAATGGGCCCAGATGGATGCAATCTGTTTATATATCATCTACCTCAAGAGTTCACAGACAATGAACTGGTAAAGGATTAACCTAATAGTAACCGACTGAAATTTGTATTTAGATCCAGATGTTTGCCCCATTCGGGCAGTTACTTTCAGCCAAGGTCTTTGTCGATCGAGCCACTAATCAAAGCAAATGTTTTGGTTAGTTTTGCTTAATGCTGATACTTAAGCTAAATCGGTACTTTATGGATATGTCACCCCTCCCCCCTATTTTGAGTCTCACTCAGAGTTTCCCTTATACGTAGACCTTAATGCTTTAAATCTGTATGTGTATATGTATTTGGCACATTCGTGCGCCGTGTAGTCAAAATTTTATTTCAAATTTTTTTGAGTGTGAGTGTATTTGTGAGTGTTATTTTCTTTCTTTAGGCTTTGTTTCATATGATAATCCAAATTCTGCTACGACCGCTATCCAATCTATGAATGGTTTTCAGGTTGGAATGAAACGTTTGAAGGTGGGTTTGCGTGTAGTCATATACATAATGTTTAAAATCTCCGTTAGTTTGAATATTAGGTCACCACTAATTTCAGGTGCAGCTGAAGAAACCTAGAGAGAAACCCTACTGAATCTTGAGAAAATGTGACAGCAATTGTTCCAAATTAAAGTTTATGTATTAAAAATTATCCAAAATTTTTAAGTTAAAATCCTTTGATGTTTCGCAAACTAAGTATGTGAATTTCGTTTTTAAATAGTCATCGTATTTATGTTGCTCTAGTCATTTATCTCAATATACATACACTATTTTATATTGGTTCAAAAGATCAGTTTTTCTTATCTCGTGATTATTAGTCTTTGTATGTTGTTTTCAACTCATTATATTCAATTTACGTTTTTTCTGTTCAATTGTAATTTTTGTTTCTCCGACTTAAATTCTTATACTTAACTAAAAAATATTACAATTATGATTATCTAGTTTATACACTATCTATTAAAAATTTTCCTTTTTCAGAAAATTATCTACATCAGCAACAAATTGTCATCGCGTAGATTTTCTAAAAATCATTTACTTCGTTTAAATGCTATTAGATCTCAAACTATTATAATTTTAAATCTCGTATATTAAATCATTTAATCTAAATCTAAAATACCTCCTATATGAAAGGATGCCCGTTTCTGTTAGGCCAAAAATTTGGAAAAAATTAGTAATGAAATGAAGCTAATTAAACAAATGTCCTTTTCATATAGGGAACTATTTATTATTCTTTTTATTTAATAATCTAATCATAATTATCAAGAAATAACCATCTTAATGGAGAATCTGATGATCTCATGTGTATAAAGAAATTTAATTATATTTGATAGTTTGGGAACATATATTTGTATGAATATTTTGAAAATTTTTCGAATTTTATTTGGACCTAAACTATAAATTTTTGTATCAAACACCTATTATAATAATACTAATTAAACCCTTATCTTCCTTTCCTAATGATTTAATTATATGTATTATCTACTTTATATGTATCAATATCAAACTGACAAAAATTTTTCACTCTCTGATAAAGAGCGAACATACATAAGTGGGAGGTGACGTGTTAAGATACTGCACTTATCCAAAGGGATGAGATTTTGAACTTTGCCGAGTAAACAAAATATAATTGTTCAAATTAAAATGCATCGTACATTAAATTTCAAATCAAGGAATAAAAAATTTGCAAAATGCAAACTTAACATCCAATCATTTTCTCTTCAACCACCTCCATTTTGAATCCTTAAATGTTCAAGAATTGCCTCAGGTGAAATACCTAGGCGTTCACCAGCACGAAGCTATAAGATTTGTTGTATTTTTAACTTTAAAAAAATTTTACCACGACAGCGAGTTGTTGCTCGATAGTTAACATTGCTGAATTATGAAAAACAATAAAAATAAGTAAGAAATCACAGTCCTATCTTAAATTTAAACTCAAAAGTAAAACTTGCCTCTCTTTCTTGCTATTGCATCATAAATTCTTTGTTCATTAATATCTTCTGTCCATAAAAGTGAATCTTCTCTTTTTACAGGCTGCCAAGATACCATTCGCTTTTCAAAAGAATTTTGCGATTCTACTTGTCCTTGAGGCGCTAATAAGTGCGCGCGTGTAACAGGTCGCGGCAACATCTGAGATTGTAACTGCTGGAATATTTGCTTCTGTTGTTGCAAACGGTTGTGTTCCTGAAAGCACTTGTTAGAATCTTAGCTCTTAAACACATGTAGATTTATTTACTACTTACAGAGGAAACCTCCATGTTTCTGAATCCACTTGTTGGAAAAAGCAAATTTTTCGATTGTTGATCGTTCCATGAAAGATGATTTTTTCTCGAAATTACGTCTACGGTACGTTCAAGTTCAGCCACCTTTGAGTGAAGTGCATCCATACGTTCAGAAATTGAAGGAATTCGTGACTGCCGCTGGTCAACTACTTCCTGAACTTGTGCCGAAGAAGAAAAGTATCTGACTGGTAAAAGTTAAATCGTTTACACCCGTCTTCGCCTTCTTTGCCTTGTAAACAAACCAGTTAATGTGCTCATTAGCGCAACAAGTAGAAAACAAACAACAATTGAGGCAACTCGTGTTAGATTACTAGGTTTGTAACGAGAAGTCGTTGAGTCCACTATGGGAATATTAAGTACTTCAGGCATTTTTTTTTGCTTTTTATTTAATTGAACTTTTTAATTGACAAAGAAAGCTATGTAGAAGGATGAGGCGAAAATTAAGAAAATTAAAAAGTGGCCTTCAACTAGGAAAACAATTATACAAAATTGGCCTAAGCCAGTCAATTGAATAAATGAAATTTTTTTACAAATCTAACTAGGAAGCTTTAAAATTTAATTGTCTTAAAAATTAAATTTTTCTAAATACTGAGGCAAATAGCAAAGAAATTAATTTTAATTACTTAAATGCATGACGTGTTCCTCCATCTGTTTTTATTACTTTTTTAATTACTCCCTCTTATACAATTTAAAAAAATGAAATAAATTGTGCTTGTGAAGCAAATCTTATCATTAGATAATAAACGATAATTTAATTTTAATAGATGTTGACTTTTATAATACACAAAGCAAAAATGATAATTTTCTTCTTTAATGTCAAAATTCCTAAAATTCTTAAAATTCATAAAGAAAAAACTTCTTAAACCCACAGCAAAATGAACTACAATGTAATCTAAAAATGAGTTTTTGGCTGCTTTATAGTAGCACTTACACAGGTGGCACGTCCCGAGTAGGAGGGCAACTACTGCCAGATATATAAATCTTTAACCCCTCTCCACATTTAAGTGAATAGATAGCCCTTATGGTTGATTTAATTATACGACAAAAAATAGAATTTTTATCTATTAACATATTTTAATACATTAAACCTATTTGAGAAAAACATATTAAACTTGTATATGTGCCGTTTCCATATTCTCAGGTCCAGTACTATGCACATTATAAAATCGCTGTCCACAATAACCACAAGCATGAGTTCCTAAAATTTGTAAAAATATCGCAAAATTTATATAAGCAAAAAAACCTGGCTTATCCAAGTTGATAAAAACCTAAACAGAATAGAAGTTAGTAAATAAAACAGAAGATAAAAGCAACCTTTGGATGACCTCCATGGAAGTGACCACCATCACAAAAAACAACGCTATCTTCGCTTGGTACAGGTGCTTGTTCTGCAACAAGGTGAGCAGCAATATTAGGATTCACTTGCTTCGCAGAATATTCAAAACGAGCAAGACGATAGTCGGCCTAGAAAATTTAGAAATATTTAAAATTAACTTTCCAAAAGTTAAATTAACCTGATCCCACGCTTGACCTGTATGAGTTATTTGATCAAATTGTGCAGCTGACCCATCCTTTTTAGCAACAATTTCACTGGGCATAGGCTTTCTCAAAACACTGACTGATTGATCCTGTGTAGATGATGTTTTCTTTATACGCGCCTCCTTGAATGATGCAAGAAGTTGTCGCAACCAACTTGACGGATTCTTCATTTTTCTGATACATAAAATTAAATAAAATGAAGATTAAATGAAAAAATATTGGTATTTGATAGCAAATATCGGCACAATATTTAATGTAGTTTTTTCAAATAAAAATAAATATACTTTAATTTCGATCAAATATGATCATACATATTTTTGCATGACATAAAAATAAATGAAAAAGGGAAATATCAAAATCAACGAGTCAGACCCTAAGCCATGAAAAAAAATAAAAAAAAAACGGAAAAAGAAATTTAAAAATTTTTTTAGAGCCCCTAACTTTTCCTCCATTTCAATAATAGCCTTATCTTTGCCTAAAAAAATATAAAAAATAGCAAACCTCCACATTCTGTAATGTAAAAGAAAAATCTTCATAGGTTTTCAAATTTACTTCAAGAGTTAAATGCAGAAATATTCTTGTAAAATTTGATAGCAATACATTAATTCTTTACTTGCTTTTTGTGCCAGCCCAATAGTTGACTTTTTACTTTAAAAAACAAATTAGCCATTTCATGCACTTTGGTTAAGTGGGAAATTTTTAAAAAATAGAGTTTTTACCTTGAACGGGTTCGAAACTTCCTCTATTCTTGAAAATTATCCCACTTAACAAAGTGCATGTTTTTAATTTTCTTCCCCACAGCAAAATTTCAATTATTGGAATGGCACAAAAAGCACGTAAAGATTTGAAAATTGCAGCAAATTTTATAAAAGAATATTGCAAAGCATTTAACTCTTCAAGTGAATTGAAGACTTATGACGATGGTAGGGCAAGAAGTACCAGGGCGTCCCGGACTCTAAAATTTTGAACAAAGTTATAGCTCTAATATTTTAGTAATTATGAAATTTTTATGACCATGGGTCTGAATATAATATTAAAAAGACTAAATAAACTAGACAAATTTAATGTTGAGTCCACTTGATTGTCTTCAAATCAATTCCTTCCTGCACCATTTCCCAAAGTGGTGACATCTTAAAAACATTCAAAATCCATTTAAAATTAAAAAAACAGAAAAAACCTCTCTAAGTCGATGTGCTTCAGTAACACATTTTCTTAAAGTAAAATCCACCTCTTCCTCAGTTGTGAATCTTCCAATACCAAAACGAATTGAAGAATGGGCCAAATCCTCATCCAGGTCTTTAAAACACAAATTAAATTTATAAACAAAAATATCAACAAATAATTTAGCTTTTGTCTATTTTGGAAAAGGCACAAACGCAGAATTAACTCTAACTCTGAGCTTCGATCTCAGAATTAATTACTTCGATCCCAGAATTTGTGATATTTTGTTACACATTATTAAATTTAATTTTTTTAACTCACCGATAGCGCGCAGCACATATGAACTAAAAAAGTTTTGTTAAAATCGCAACATGAATTATTAATTCAAATCTTACGGTTCCAAACTTGCAGAGGTACAAGCAGATCCAGACGATAGAGCCACCTTTATTTTAAAGATAAAAAAGAATGTTTCAATAAAACCTCGTTAAGTGCCATAAGCAAACTCTCTCCCTCAATGTAAGCAAATGAAAGGTTGACGCAGCCCAAAATAAATATGAAACAACCGTTGAGACACGCGTATAATAATAACAAACCTGGGTACCACATATCAGGATCACCATTGCGCATCTATAGTAGAAAAATAATCATTAATCTTATTTGTTGTTGTGTATAAAAAATAAAATTTTAGTATTTCTAAAGATTTGTTTTTAAGCTATAGAGTATAACACGTTGGCCTCATGTCTACCTCATTAAAAAATTAAATTAACTCAAACTAACTATATTTGGAATTCCTGCGTTTAGTCCATCAATTAAACGTTTTGCCAATGCTGAGACATGTGCATAATCGAATTCGCGCTCACGCTGAGCAATATCACAAGCAACTCCAAAACCAATTATCAGAGGGGCAGGAAGAGTTCCAGACCGAAGACCACGCTTAGATGTTTTTTAATATGCTTTAAAATATTTGAGGTTGTACCTCTTGACCGCCTCCGGACATTTGAGCCTTAAATCAAAAAAATTCATCGTTTCAATAATAGATAAACAACCTCGACTCGTACTCGAGGTCTTCTGCGAACATACAGTGCACCGATTCCTAAATTAAAACATAATTCAAAATAAGAAAATAAATTTAACCTTTAGGACCATATATTTTATGCCCACTTATCGACATCAAATCTACATTTAAATCATCAACATTCAAAGGAATCTTTCCAACAGCTTGGGCTGCATCAGTGTGAAAGAAAACGCCTTTTTTGCGACAAAGAGCTCCTTATAAATAAAAATCAAAACAGTATTAAAAAGTAAAAACTAACCAATCTCTTTTAATGGTTGACGTACACCTATCTCATTATTTACCGCCATAATTGAAACTAATGATGTTTGTGGACGAATAGCTTCTTCAAGAACTTCCAGATCAATCACGCCATTGCTTTTGACAGGGATATATGTCTTCAAATAAAATTAGTAATCAATAAATGTGTTAGTTTTCCAATACCACTTCATGGCCAACACTTTCAAGAAAACGACATGAATCTAAAATTTCGGCAAATTAAAACTTTTAACATTATAATTTTTCATACCTAGAACGCATTTGTGCTCAGTTTGAGCAGTAATCACATGGTTTTTTCCCGCAACTCGATAAAAATTTGCAACGCCTTTAATTGCAATATTATTTGACTCTGTTGCGCCCTATAAAAATATTCTTAAAAAATCATTAAAAATAAAAATATACTGATGTAAAAATAATTTCACGCGGATCAGCACCAATCAAATCAGCAACTTGTTTACGAGCAATATCAACTGCCTTTTCTGTAAAATAAAGACAGTTAATAAAAATAATACGCCTTACCCGTTTCCCAACCATACGCATGTGTCCTACTATGTGGATTTCCAAAATCATTCAGTTGGTAAGGTAACATTGCATCAACAACACGAGGATCCTGTTAATTAAAGATGAGGACTACTTATACGAATAAATCCCCTTTCCATACCAGCATAACCCCAGCTCAGACTTTTCCAAAAATTTTGAAAACTAACAAAAACAAACCGTAGGAGTAGTGGCCTGAACATCCAAATAAATAGGCCTCACATTAATGTCCGAAGATACAAAGGCCTCTACAATACCATTTCGAAGCCTTTCCATTCTTTCAGAACGAGAAGATTCTGCCGCATTAGAAGAAGCTGTAGCTTGAGAAATTTTTCCAAGTTGCACAGCGACGCTTCGGAAATGCTTTCCGAACATGATGGTCAAATAGACTGGAATATTTAAAACTTGGTAACGTTTAAATATGTATAATCTAAAAGAAAATTATGGTTTTACATTAAATATAGAAAATAATTTCAAAAATAATTTTAAAATTAAAACGAAATTTAATAGAATTTTATAACCTTACATAGAAAAATAAACATTTTGAATAAAAAATACATCAGTTTAAATCGCAAATCCAAAAGAAACAAAAAATTTTATGTGCCCATCAACTAATCGAGATTGATGGTGTAAATAGTATAATTGGGACGGGAAAGGGGCCTTGGGAATAACACAAAAAAAAAATCATAGAAATGAAAAAATGATGATGAAGCGTAACGTGGGATTTTTCTATCCATCTCTCCATCGAGCTAGTGTTCATTGAGCACTTGTGCACTACCAACTATTGAACTACCACTTATACCAAGATCATTAGGTGACGGGGAAGCCACAGAAGCAAGGCACGAATCTAATAAAAAAATAAATTTCTAATAAAAAAATAAAATAAATTTTTCATGCTTTCAATATTGTTAGTTGACGTTGTAGCAGAAATCATCTTTTTCCTATGTTCCTCTACAACAGGATAGAAAAACGGATGCTCCATTGCCTCACTAGCAGTAAGCCGATCCTGGTGATCATATCGCAAAAGTTTGTCAAGAAAATCAATTGCTTCGGGCGTAACCAAATGTTGATTTTCAGAATGAACAAACCGTTCCCAACGTTTTCGAGAATGCCTAAGAAATTATTTCCGCAAATTGTGATCAAAATATTAAAAAACCTTCCCAACAAATCATTAAAGCGTGGATCAAGCTCAATCTGGTATTTGTCAATATATTCAAACAACTCGTCCGTTCCCAACACTTTTGCAATTCGCACCAACTGTAAAGAATAAGTAGACGAGTAGTTTAAAAATTTTAACCTGATCATAATTGTCATGTCCATGGAAAAATGGCTCCTTCCTAAAAATCATAGACGCAACCATACATCCTAATGACCACATATCCAAAGAATAATCATAACACTAATAAATATATTATACTAGTAAATAGTCCAAAAAACAGACCTGATAATCGACTAGAAGCTCTGGCCCTTTGAAGTACCTTCAAAAATTTAAATAGAATTAAAAAACAATTTTTACCTTGAAGCAACCCGAACATTATATTCCTGTCGGGGATGATAAAACTCAGCAAGGCCCCAGTCTATGAGCGAAAGCTGCCGTTTTTCATGGTCAATCATCACATTGTGCGGCTTAACATCTCTGTGCATGATTCCCATAGAATGACAATAGTCTAATGCCTTCAATAACTCAAAAAGATAATATCTAATTTCGTAGTCAGAAAGCGTCTGATACAATTGCTAGAATAAAAAAATAAACAGTTATAAACAGACAATCGTTAACAAATGCCCTAGGTATGTAAAACTAGAGTGGATAAATTAACCTTTTTTAGCCCATTGACGAAGGAAAAAAAAACTTTCTATCGATTTTATTTTATCGAACTAGCTTTACTTATCAGAACCTGACAGTTATTTTTAAATTTTAACCTTAAAATCAGTGTTATTGATGTATTCAAAAACGAGCGAAGGTGTTCTTGAAACTGGATCTTTGACCACATCCAAAAGTGATATAACATTGACACCGCCTCTAAGATTTTCCAAAATCTTAATTTCACGTTTAATTTTCTTCTTTTTCACAGGCTATAATTTAAAAAATAAATAGAAACATAGAAACTTATTTACTTTAGGTACCCAACCCATTACTTTACCAGGCGATTTTAGACTTGGATATGTCAGTCGGAATAGCTCGACGAATTAAATCGAATGACGCCAAATCGGCCATCGGTATCAAGTCTGATAGCAAATCCCAGACCCTGAATTCGACCAGGCGAATTCAATTAAAAAATTATGTTGAAAAACTGACACACTCATCGAGATCAAGTTGGGGTTCGAAATAAATACGAACTCATATATAATGAGAAAAGGTGTCACATAAACCCAACTTTTACCCTAAGATCGCCTGTGTAATGGATTGAGTGCATAAAGTAAATAAGTTAAAAAAGAATAAACCTTAAGAATTTTGATGACGACTTTCTCTTCAGTTGGCACCTTAATTCCTTCAAAAACCTCGGAATATTTACCACGTCCAAGCTTACGAACTAATTGATAATCATCAATATTTCCCCATTCTTTAGATAGAAAAATCTTTTAATGATAAAAATAAAAAAACTAACCAATTTGATGGCATTCATAATCCCAGTATTCACGCGGCTTATTTATATTTATATCAGGATAAACACGAGAACGGCTTGGAACTGGCATAATTATTGAAGGATATAGACACGTCAGATAAAAATACACTCAGCGAATAGATGAAAAGCAAATGAAGAATTTAGAAAATAATTTTTCTGAAAAAAACGATTAATAAAAACAAGCAATCCACAAACTCAAATACAAAAAGCATATAATAAAGCGAATAATCTAAAAAAATCACTAAAGCCGCACCAAAACAATTGTTAATGGCCGATTTGTTGCCCTACTTAATTCTTATCAGAACATTAAAGTTTGCTTTTTAGGAAACATTTGTGGGTACGGATAATATCCAGATAACCTAGGATACAGCCGGATAAAGTTTTTTTCAAAATAGGGAGGATACGGATGGATACGGATATGATGTCCCAAATCCGCGGATATCCCTCCCTAATGAGATTTAAAACACAATATATTTTATAAAATAGAAAGTACATGTAATCAAAAACATGTATTATTAAGAAACTCAAAACGACAAAAATATTCTCTTTTTTAAAAATAAAGAAAAAATAATTTTTTAAAACATAGAAGAGCGAAAATCATGCAACCTTTGAAATGCCAAAATAGAAAATTGAGGAACTCAATAACTCGTAAAAATAAGCTTTTATTATTTTTTCTCCCTAAAGGTTGCACTAATTTTAATATCCACTATCTAAACAATCACGCATATATAAAAAATTGATATGAGCAGGCACAAGCATTGTTGTTGAGCAAACATCATTCATAAAAACTCATTTATATCTTCATGGAGAACACCATCGTAAGGAACTCCTCATAATCTGAAAAAATATAATGGATTCCAATTGCAAAATATAATCATACGAATCCGAATCCAGCCATCACGATCAGAATCTTTTTCGCGAAATGCAGCAGTGAGCGTTTGAAGAACAACACAAAGCTGAATAAAATCGTCGAAATTGACCCTTCCTTACATAAGAAAAGCAATTGTAACCAAGAAAAATGTAGAATTAAACCTGAATGAGTACGGTCAAACTTTTGCATAAGCATATCATAGAATGGCCCCGAGAGACGATAACCTGTAAAGAAATTAAACTAACAACCAGTCAAATAATAAAGTTATACCGAATTGTGTCAACGCAGACATTAGCTCACCACGATCAATATTTCCTGAATTATCACGATCAAATGTGCGAAAAGTTCGACTCCAGTCGTTGACGTACTGAAAATGAAAAAAGTATAAACAATAGAAAGAATAATTAAATTTACATTCCAAAGAGCTTGAAACTCATTGAAGCTAATTCCACCATCATTGTCCGAGTCAAACATAGAAATCATAATACGGCAAGTTTCAGGATTGAATGGCCTCCATGTCCCATTAGACAGCGCCCTCTGTAACTCATCGGAACTAATTCGACCTGAACGATCAGTGTCAACAGTTTGAAAGATTTGTAACAGATTGGGCTGTTGTGGAGAATACATAATCAAATACTTGCTGCTTTATTAAACCACTTAAAAACCTTAATATAAAAAAACAAGCAACGCATTATTAATCATCAATGTTGGAAAGTAAAACAAAAACCCCCACAACCTTATGCACCGCGAGGAACAAAACAAATAATGTCGTCATAAGTTTATGGCTTGGGACAAAAGGTCGATTACCAGAAAGATCGATTGCTTAAAAGATTTATCTACGCAACTGAATCAAAACGTCGCTCCTTGGCAATTCTTAAAGGATCCTCTCAGGTAAAATGGGACAATACGTCGACCTTAAAAAGAACAACAGAAAAGGCTAGCTTATCAAAAAATTTTCAATTATTCATAGAAATACTGACAATAAGAAATATGCATCTCAAAAACGTGAAAATTCTGGATTAAATTGGGAATTGTATCGACGATCTCTATCCTTATTCAAGTGCACCATCTTATCAAAACTTTCCTCAACATCATCTTTATTTTCCTGTTTAGTGAGCATTTTAACACGTTGTTGCTCTCGACGTTCCCTAGCCAAGCGTTCTTGCCGAAGAAGATTAATATCAACACAGGGCTGAGCTGATGTTGATGAGCCGGAAATCGTAAAATAATTTAAAAAATTTTAGACAAAAAAAACAAACCATACTCGATTCCTTTTATTTTACTCTTCCGCTTCTTTTTCTTGTCCTTCTTAAGTTTTATAGCCTTTCGTTCTTCACTAGTCAAAAACTTCTTTTCACTCTTTGAAACTTTTGAAGGCTTTTTGTCATGTTCACGCATTAAGGGTATTCCTTCCCACCATTCATTGTCCTTTGAATATTCTTTTGTATCCTCGGCAAAACGCTTCATGATCCCTAAAATCATGTTTTATTTTAATTACCCATTTTATAATCATACCAACTTTTGACTCCCAATCATCTTGTTCCTTCTTTTTTTCAGCAGCATATTCCTTGTTGCCATTTGCAAAATTTTTGCGTTCTTGTTCCTCCAGTTCTTTAAATAAATTTACATGATGTTCATTACTTGCACTAGTACTAGATGATGTTCCACCCATAACATCTTTTGAATCACCACGCACACCTAATTTTACAAAATTAACTAACATAATTTGGCTCTTGTCCAGATTAAGCGTCCAATCCAACATCCAATGCTTCCAGTCAAATTTTATGCGTCAAATCAAAGGTGCCATGTACATTGTTTTTCACTTTAGTACAATGAAATCTATGTGAATATAAAGCTCTACTCACACATTGCCTTTGGACGCGTCATGTGGACAAGAGCAAAAAACAAAAATAAAAACTAACCAAAAATATCTTTAACACTTTCTACATCTGATGTATTGCCAATGTTCCTCGATCTTAAGCGTTGAATACGATCCTTAAATTTTGTTTGATAAAATTAGTTCAGCTAAAAATAAACCTCATGATCAGCAAGTTCTGCTCTTTCAGCCCGTGCTTTCTCCTCTTCTGCTGCTTTTGCTTCATCTCTTCTTACTCTGGCTACATTTTCTTTTGTACGTACATGCCATTTTTTATGACGCAGAATGTTCATTGCTCTCTATTATAATTTAAAAAGTTTTTTTTTAATTTTAAAAGAAATAATATGTAAAGCAAAAATTGAAGCTGTTAGACAAAAATCGAAATATTTTCTTTAAATATTTATGCTGTATATTATAAATGGAGGGATAAGACACAAAAAAGGAGTGGGAATTTTTGAGTGGGAATTTTTGAGTGGAAGTGGGAATTTTTGAGTTTTTTCCAAGCCAGAGTGGGAACTTTTGGGGATTTTCCAAGTTTCCCAAGCATTCCTGATTGGTATATCTTCCGAAAAAAATTTATTTCAATTTTCCCTAGCCAAAGATTTTCCGAAATTCCAAAGGCTCCAAAATTTCGATTTTCTTCATTTTAAATATCAAAATATCAACTAGTTTACACTTTGACATTTTCCAATTTGAAAATTAACATAATGAAATGCGTTAATTTTCAGTTCAAATTTATTTGGCGTCACTTTTTTTCTGAAATCTGGATTTTTTCAGATTTTTGTTAATCTCCGGAGATTACGCTTTTTTCTTGTTTTTTTTTTTTCATTTTTTTTCTATTATTCATCTGTTTTTTTATTTTATTCGTTTATTCGTTGACCCCAATGCAGCGCGCGCTTAAAATTGCTAAAAAATAAATTTAAAAATTTTTTACAAAGTCTAAATTTTTTTTAAATTGAAGGCCAGCTCCCGACAACTGGACATGCTCCTTCTGGATGGCTGGCCGGTTAAATTCATTTTTTTTCTTTTTTTAATTTGAGTTTGAAAATTTTTTAATTTGTTAGGCGCTGCAGTGCTCTACATGGTGGCCGTGGCTGGATGTGTGGTGGCCCTGACTGGATGGCTTCATCCAAACGGTGGGTTTTTTCCTAGTTCATTTTGAACTTTTTAATTTAAAAATGAAATTTTTTTATTTTTATGTTTGTTCTTCGTGTGGTGGCCTTTGGAGAATATGCTGATGGCCTTCATGGTGGTGGTCTGGTGGCCTGTTTTTTTAATAAAAAAAAATTTTTTTAATTTTTTTAAAAAGTTTTGCTTCTGGTGGTGGTTTGGTGGCTCTCAACATGCTTTTGGTGGTTGGTGGCTCTCTCATGCTTGTGGTGGTGGTTTGCTGGCTCTCAACATGCTTTTGGTGGTGGTGGCTCTCTTCATGCTTGTGGTGGTGGTTGGTGGCTCTCTTCATGCTCTTGGTGGTGTTGGTGGAATATGGTCGGGGTGTGGTTTTTTATTAAAAATTAAAAAAATAATAAAATTTATAATGGGAGGGGGTGATTTTCAGCCAGGTCCATTCTACTCCATGCACTGGTGGTGGTGGCTCGTCTACATGCCCTTTCTCGTCTACATGGTCTTCCAGATCAACCCTTGGCCCGGTAAATCTTCAAAATTTTTAATTGAAAAATTGCTTGCTAAAAATGCGCGAGCGAATGACCCCACCCTTTCTTCATTTTCTTGTTTTTTTTTGTCCTTGTCTCTTTTGTCTTTGTTTTTTTCAATTTTCTTGATTTCACGATTTTTTGAAAGTTTTAGCTCAACCAGTGGTATGGATGGTATGGACAAAGCAGAATGTGCTTCAATGGCTGGAATCAGTTTTTGGAGGTTTTTAGTTCATTTGGGAGGGGGGGGGGGAAGTTTTGTGGGGAAAAGCCTGGAGAGGGCAGAGGGGTCGTTTATTGATTTTCGTTACCGATCTCTCTGCCGTGTTTTTATCGATTTTATTTTTGGCATTCTGTTTAATGTCAATTCATCCCATTTAAATTAGGTACATTTGAGTCTTACCCATTTGAGTCTTGCACACATTCATCTTCAACAACTTTTTCTTCATTTACCTTAACCCATTTTTTAACTCCGATCGAGATCATTTGTTTTAATTTTGCGCGTATTTCCTTCTTTTTCAACAGAATTTGATTGATTTTTAATCTTTCGCATGTTTAATTGAATACTTTTTCAGATTTTAACATAACTATCTTTTAACTACTAAAATGACTACTCTCCTAATTACTCCAACTTTAAATTCAACTAATCAAGTTGCTACCAGTTTTGCTCTTCATTTACTGAAAGCTGGTTGATCTACTAATGAGAACAGACAACTCTTTGCTTTGATTTCGCCTAAAGATGGAACGAAGATTTCAAAATCACTGGAACCTTATCTTGAGGGAGGTCAACTCAATATTTTGTTTGGCTCTGCTAATTCTCAAAAGATTGTTAAGAAAGTTGTCGAGGTTAATGAGGTTTGTGATTTAAGTTTGGGTATTGTTCAGGGTCAATAAAAGCTTCTGGGATTGCCCCGTTTGTCTCTGGTTATCTGGCTAGCCTTATGACACAAGATTCAAGACCGAGTACTTCAGATTCCGTGGACCCCTCTCTAGGTTCTCCGTGAGATAAGATTCAAGACCGTGATACTTCAGGGTCGTAATTGGCCAGTTTGTCCTCTCTGGTTCTCTTTGTGGGATAAGATTCAAGACCGTGTACTTTATTTTCCAGGGACGGCCCGTTTGTTTCTCTCTCTGGTTTCTCTGTTAGATAAGATTCAAGACAGTGTTACTTCGGGTTCCGTGATGACCCATTTTTCTCATGTTTCTCTGTTAGATAGGTTTAAGACCGGGTACTTCAGGGTCCGTAATTGGCCGTTTGTCTTCTGTAGTTTCTCAGTAAGATAGCCTCAAGACCGTTTACTTTAGTTGACCTACTTTACCCGGTTGGCGGTTCCGAAATATATCGTTTTATATATCCTACGAGCTGATTGTGAGTCGACTTTTACCTCTCTCTAATGTCGGAATTGTCTTTGGGTTGGGTCTTTGGTGTCGGAATTGTCTTTGGAAATTGACTACTCTCCTAATTACTCCAATTTTAAATTCAACTAATCAAGTTGCTACCAGTTTTGCTCTTCATTTACTGAAATCTGGTCGATTTACTAATGGGACTAGACAACTCTTTGCCTTGGTTTCGCCTAAAGATGGAACAAAAATTTCAAAATCGCTGGAACCTTATCTAGAGGGAGATCAACTCAACATTTTGTTTGGCTCTGCTAATTCTCAAAAGATTGTTAAGAGAGTTGTCGAGGTTAATGAGGTTTGTGATTTAAATTTGGTATTGTCCAAGGTCCATAATTGCTTCCGAGATTGCCCTGTTTGTCTCTGGGTAGCCTTATGACAAGATTCAAGACAGTCACTTCAGGTTCTGGGGACGGCCCGTTTGTCTTCTCTGGTTTCCTTGAAATAAGATTCAAGGCCGGGTACTTCAGGGTCCGTAATTGGCCCGTTTGCCTTCTCTTGTTTCTCCATTAGATAAGGTTCAAGACCGGGTACTTTAAGGTCCGTAATTGGCCCATTTGTCTTCTCTGGTTCCCTTTGTGGGACAGGGTACTTCAAGACAGGGTCCGTGATGACTCATTTGTCTTCTCTGGACTCTGTGAACTTTGCTGGAAGAGGAAAGACTGCTCTACTTTGTTATAAAGTTGCCTATTGTTTAGAAAATTATGAAAAAGCGCTTGCCTTCGTTCTTGATTTTGACAACAATTTTAGTTCAACTCCTCGACAAGACGATTTTAAGGAGCATGATAGTTTGGTATTTCAATTTTTATTTAATTTTTTATTGGTCCACCCAGCATGATAGCTTGGTATTTCAAACCAGAAGTCCCGCACTCTTAAGACCTATTGCTGAAAACCTATTACTTTTGAAAGAGAATATCGAGGGATTAAGATGGATAAATGATTACCATCTCTGGGTTTGTAGAATCTACTTTTCAGTCACACCAAACCCTCGATATTCCCTTTTGATATTTCCTTTAAAAACTTGTAAGTCTTCTGGGTCAAAGATCTAGGATGTAGGTGTTGGTTGACCCCTTTTAATTAATTCTAAAAATTTTTCTAGTATGTCAACAGAATTATTGAACAAGCTCTCGATACCTACAAAAGAAGAGAAATCAAAAAATGGAGGTTGAACCAAAATTAGCTGCTCTAATTGATCGCATTTTTCAACAAAACCTTGAACGTCGCGATTTTAATTCTGTGATTGGTTTGGCTTTTGATACTCGACGAATTGATATGGTGGAGGCTGCAATCAAATCAAACGAGGTGGAAAAAAAACACCTGTAATGATTGAAACGCTCAATAAAGTTTGGGAATCACAATTGGATATTGAGTTTAGAACTTTGGTGCTTGATTTGATTTTCCATATGCTGGATGCTGATTTGCAAATTGAAAAGAAGGGTTCGCAGAATTTGGCTTTGAAAGTGCTTTCGATATGTCAGGTTTTTTATATCTTTTTGTTTAGTTCTTATGGGCATGGGTTTTCTTACGGGTGATATTTTTCTTTTTGGATATTGGTTTTTTATTAAAATTTTCTTGTCGCAATACCCTTTTCCTCTTTTTTTTTCTTTTTAAATTAACCTTTTATCTCTGATGAACTGAGGATTCTCTTCACTCCATTATGGGTGGGGGAATTGATCTCTTTAGTAAGTGCCTACGTTCTCGTTGGGGCCTCTTTTTTCTATTTTCAGTTGCCCTTTGAACTTATTAAGGGATTTAGGACTTGTTGTTACTCCCAGATGGATTGAGGATTTTGCAACTCTTCACTAGCCTCTTCCCTTTTCCTAAGCTTCTCACTATTCTAAACATTTCACTAAATTTATTTTTCTTTTCAGTGTTTGATCAAATTAGAACGTCCTGCTCAAGTTGCACAGATTTTCAATAATCTTTTATCGAAGGTTTTTAAAATTTTATTTTATTCTAATTTCATCAATTTTAAGAAAAATACTCTCGTTGCTTATCAACTTTGCTTTAAACTTTACGAAAATGCACCTCAAGAATTTTTGGAACAACTCAAGGAACTTTTATTTTAAAAAGAAGATTCCCCAGAAAATGAGGAAGCAAAGCCTTCCCCAGAAAATAACAATTTAAAGTCGATACTTAGCGGTGATGAAACGATCAAGCATCATGCAATTATTGATAAAGAATAACCACACGGATATGTTGATTTAAAAAAATATAAAAGATGTAGACCGAGGATCATGTGCTCATAATGCTACTGTTATTGTCAATGGTTTAATGCATACTGGGACAACTTGTGATGATGTTCTTAGGTTTTATTCAATATTTTAAATTAGAGCATCACTCCGTCCCCAGGAACCCCGACGATTTTGTCGGCAAAAACCCCCCACTTTAAGGCCTCCACCGTGGCAAACCCCTGTCCACGAGACTGTCGACCTTGAAGGGGTGGGATGCTATTTTGAAATTTAATATTTTTTTTATATTTTGTTCAGAGAGAATTTGGATTGTATTTCTAAAGCAACTGACTGGAATAAATTCAATGCTGTTGCATCACTTGGGTTGATTCATAAGGTTTTTTTTCTTTATAGTTTTAGTTATATATTTTCCTCAGGGACATGAACGCGAAGCTCGAAAGATCCTCGATCCATATTTGCCCCGAGGAGATGTTGCTTTAAAGGTGGGGCTCTTTGTGTATATGGTTTGTGTTTATTTCTTAACCCATTTTTTACGGTTCAAGCGTGGCATCCCACACTTTTGGCACGCCGAGTCCACCCATTAAAAAAGAAATCTTTTTAGATATATTTTTATTTCAGCGAGGATGAAATTCAACGTGACCGTGTTTCGGCTAACAATAAGTATCAACTTGAGTCTTACTGCTTTAACATCAAGCAAACAATGGAGGATGATAAGGTTTGATTTTGATGGATAAAGCTTGGCCTGGGTGTCTTCGGGGTGGGCCTTCTTGTTTGAGGGATTGGATGTTTTTTGAGGATAGCATGGATTGTCTTGGGAGATGAAATAGGGTTTAGGGTTACGCAGTCTTAACAGGGTATGAGCTTGGGTCAGGAGTGGCCTGTTTTGGTGGGGGATGTGAGCAGGGATGAGCTGGGACATGGATTGACTGTCTTGGGGTGTATTGGGAGCATTGATGGGCTGTCATGGTGGGGGATTAACTGTCTTTGGGTAGGCTGGGGAGTGAAAGGGCTGTTTTCTTGGGGGATTAACTCTCTTTGAGCATGCTGAGGGCAGGGACTGACTGTCTTTCGTCATTTTTGAAGACGGAAATTTTGCATTTTCAATTTTAAAGATATTATTCAGATGTGTGCTTCAACAACAAATACTCCTCGTACATGTGTGGCTGGCGGCTCTGAAACATCAACAGGTACACCGAGACTTATTTTTGCAAGAAGTGTTAAAAATGAGCAATGGATTGCAACAAATTGCTGATGAGTTACAACGATGAGAGAAGCTAAAAATGTGGCAAAGATGCTTCCGCCACATTTAAAGGTCTAAAATTTTTAAATGAAGTATATTTTTTAGTGCTTTTCCGTTTACACTTCAAAATTTATTTCTGATTCAATTTTTAATCATTTCCCATCCAAAATTAAAAAGACCAAGCTTTTCAAGAATTAAGCAAAACTTAAAAAATTTTAAGTGTAAGAAAAAAAACGGAAAAGTACAAATTTTTGCCACTTGTAAAAAAAGGTTTGGGCCTTTTCTTTACAAGTGGTATATTTTTCATTTTCGTTTTCCTGTTTGTGGTTAAAAATTGTTTGGGGTTCCCACTCCCGTCCTCCCCGGGCGTACCTCACTTGACTCAACCAAGCTCAGAGCTTAAGACACTTGTTCAACCTCCAAAACTAATCAAACTAGAATGACCTCGAGTTACACTCCAGGAACTTCGGGGTTTCATTCTAATGCCCCCTAAATCAGTTCCGTGAATTCCTTTATGTATTGGCATAGCATTCCAAACTGAACTGCCAGAACTCTCCATAGGTTCAGGCTTTCATACCTCCGAGTTATATCCAAAGGCACGGGTTCTTATTCAATAGGTGTAGACAGTAGGGCACTTAGACCTTAGATTTGATTAGAACCCCCCCCCCCCCCCCCCCTTCCTGCACTTCAACGGCTCGTCTACAACTTCAACTGCTCCTGCCAGCCGTCTACAACTTCAACTGCTCCTGCCGGACTTCTACAACTTCAACTGCACCTGCCAGCCGTCTACAACTTCAACTGCGCGGACTCTACTGTCCCCTGGGCCCCGACATTGTACTCTAACGTCCTCCCGGGTCCAACATGGTGCTCTACTGTCTATCCCTATTTTATAAGACCCACCTTTCTTCCCCACATCCAAGTCTGACCCAAATTTACTTCCCGATTCGTCCCAGACAAAACGTCACTCCCCATTTTGTCCCACGGACAAAACGTCACTCCCCAATTTGTCCAAGACAAAACGTCACTCCCCAATTCGTCCCAGACAAAACATCACTCTCCATTTTGTCCCAAGGACAAAACGTCACTCCCCAATTCGTCCCAGACAAAATGTCACTCCCCATTTCGTCCCACGGACAAAATGTCACTCCCCAATTCGTCCCAGACAAAACGTCACTCCCCAATTTGTCCCACAGACAAAATGTCACTCCCCAATTCGTTCCACTCTAAATATTCGTCACCAAAAATGACCCGCACTGAAAATCCCGCACTGAACTGACCGACCCCCCTTTTCAGAAAGATATCTCTCCATAGGTTCAGGCTTTCATACCTCCGAGTTATATCCAAAGGCACGGGTTCTTATTCAATAGGTGTAGACAG